CGTCTGTGTTGGAACTATCTTTTTCGTAACTGGCCACAGCTTGATGGAAGAGAACATCTGCGTTGACGTAATTATCATAAGTATCCTTTGCCATCTCTTTCAAGCCCTTGACCAAAAATTGGGAGCACGACTGATCTGGGTACTTAGATTCATCCAAGTCAATGTCTTCTTTAGTAAAAGCACCAAAGAAGGAAGAAATAGAGGAAGAAGAAGGCAGTTCTTTGGGAAGCGTGGAAAAGCGCTCCTCATTGATCTTGGTTGCTAGCTTCTTCAAATTTCTCTCCAAAAACGTCTCTGGAGATTGATCGTTCAAACCTCCGTAAATTGTCAAAGCTGTAAGGTCATAGATAGCTTCTTCGTACTTTTCAATATTTTCATAAGCATGTGCTCTCCTGAGTAAGCACTTGGAGTAGCCTGGATTCAATTTCAGGGCTTCGGTACAGTCATCGATACATTTCTCATGTTCGCCTTGGGCAGCGTAACAAGCAGCTCTGTTGGCATAGAAAACCGGATCGGTTTTACAGAGCAAGGCCAGACTGTAGCATTCAATCGCTGGCTTGAAATCTTCTGCCTTGTAGTATTGGTTACCAGTCTCTTTCAATGCCAATGCCCATTTGTTTCGTTCCTCCTTTGTCATACCCTTGACCAGCTCTTCGGTCATATTTGGTAGACCAGTGCTTTCATTGATTGGAATATTAGAGGAAGGCCAACTGACAGTGACAGTTGCAGACTTTTTCTCAGACTTCTTCTTTTTCTTGCTCTTGTTTTTCTTCTTCGATTTCGAAGAATCATCCAAACCTGCATTCTGTTGGTTCAAATAGTACAGCAATCCGGCTACCGATCCGGCTCCTACAACGGCTGTCACAGCCAGTGCAACCTTATGCGTTTGCACAAATCTTGAAAGCGACGAATCCGACATTTCGTTTCCTTATATCGGCGAGAGTGTCAATTTCAATTTCAAACTGAGTGTTTTGCTTGCCTCTCACTTGTTGTGTTCGATTTCTTTCGACTAGCGTTTTTTTTTTTCTCCATCGGAAACATAAGAGGTTGAAACAGGTGCATGTCAAATGTGCCATCAAAATAACTTTCAAGGAAAGTAAATAGCACACAGTTTTTAAATCATCTTTGTTTGATCTCAAGCTCGTGAGAGCACTATGGTTAGAATCTATTTGTAGTGAGACTTGTCTTTTGAGGTACCAAGATGAAAAGATTTAGCAACCGAATGGTCCAGACGATAGCTCAGGCCTACCAAACCGTGTCGAGCGCAAGGAAACCTATGGCTTCAACAGATATGGGGTCCATGAATACCACAAGCTCTTCGAATTTACATTACAGGACATCGACCGCACCTGCGGGAGTGCCACTGTCGAAGATTCTAAGTAACACATTTCCGCTATCTGTTTCCGAATCTTTCAAACATTATTTGAAAAGACATCAACTCAACAAAATCCAGCATGACCTTTTGTCGGTGTTACCGTTTTACCCGACGCCTTCAGCCACCCATAGTGCCGAAGTCATACAGACAGTCATAGATGAGCAAAACAACTACATCAATGAGTTTCATATCTCGCCAATAGGCAAGCCGTCTAGAAAACATGTGGTCTTTGTGCATGGATATGGAGCGGGACTTGGGTTCTTTGTCAAGAACCTGCAGGATCTTGCCTCGAGGAAAACTGATTGGGATATCCATGCGATAGATTTGCTTGGTTATGGTTGTTCTTCTAGACCTAAATTCCCATATCATGAACCAAATGCTAACTACAAAAAAATAGAAGCCTGGTTTACGGAATCTCTCAAGAAATGGTTCGACAGAAGAAATCTCAACCGAGACAACACCATCGTTGTTGCACACTCAATGGGGGCCTATATTTCCGCTTTGACGAATTTCAAATACCCCGAGCTCTTCAATAAATTGCTGTTAGTCTCTCCTGCCGGAATCTACAGCACTCGGCAGCCTGAAATTCCTCCATGGTTTGACAAACTATGGAATCGAAATGTGTCGCCTTTTGCGCTAGTTAGGAATGCCGGTCCGTTTGGTTCCTACTTGACTTCAGGTTGGACTGCCAGACGGTTTTCGAAAGATAGCAGCATTCTGAACGCAGAAGAGCAAAAGTTGATGCACATGTACACCTATGCAATCTTCAACGCTAGAGGATCTGGGGAGTACATGCTAAATTACATGCTTGCACCAGGAGGGATTCCTAGAAACCCATTGCTGCGCAGAATTCACAACCTCAATTGCGACAGTGTATGGTATTACGGTAGCCACGACTGGATGGATAAGATGGGTGGAGTGTCAGCCTGCAAAACTTTGAGAGCCAAAGGGCTTCGTGCAGATATGAAGATTGTTGAGGATAGCGGTCATCACATTTACCTAGATAACCTTGCGGCATTCAATGCTCTTGTCGCCGACGAATTGAAATAATGTTTAACGAAGATCAATGAGTTTTTTGATTAGTGTAACTTATTATTCGATCTTACGTTATACATACTTTAAAATCATTATGTGGAGGCATAAAGTTCATCAACACGAGAACGCACACTGTTGAGAATATCTTTTCTCTTCAACTTCTGTGCGCTAGTTACGAATCCGTTCTCGGGCGTCCATTCCTCATCAACTAGAACAGTACCCTGGATAAGCTCAATACCTGCGAGTCCTTGGGATTTACCAGTTTCAACCAGGCTCTTGGTATACTCATTTGCGAGCTTCTTGTTGGTGACCACTTCAGACAAGTGAACTTCGTCCCTTGACTTGACAATACCAAGCTTGACACAAAGATCCTTCAACATATTCTCATTTGGAACGACGATCGCAATAGGCTTCACTTTGTTCTCGTCAGCATAACAGCAAATGTTCAAAACGAGGTTATTGGATCTGTACACGGATTCCAGTTTCTCAAGGGCAATATACTCTCCATTTTGTGTCTTGACAAGATTCTTCTTTCTGTCTATCAGTTTCAATTGACCATTGTGGGTCCACTCACCGATGTCACCTGTCGAGAACCATCCTTCCTCATAGTTGAAAGCACTCTCTGTCTCCTTAGAGTTGTTAAAGTACTCTTTCATGACTGGGGGACCACTAATCAAAACCTCACCCTGGTTGTTCTTGGCAAAGTATCCAGCCTCAGGGACATCAATCAGTTTGACAGTGATGGATCCAACCAAAGAACCACAAACACCATACTCAAAATGATTTGGATCGGTAACACAGGTGTTTGCGACAGTTTCGGTAAGACCATATCCAAGGAGAAGAGGGGAAATGGTGTTGCTGATAAAGACCTGTGTGGACTGTGAAATTGGAGAGCCACCATTCAACATCAATCTCAGGTTTCCTCCTGTTGCGTTCTTGATCTTCTTAAAAATGATGTTATCGATCAATGATGGGAGACCAGGAATAGAATACTTTTTACATGCAAGTTTGGTGTTGTAGGCTGCCCAAAACATTTTCTGTCTTGTGGATGGTTGCTTTTCAATCTGTGCCAAGATTCCCTTTTTAACACTCTCCCAAACGGCAGCAACACCGACCATGATAGTTGGTTTCAAAGTTTTAATATCACCCTCACAGTTCCTGGTAGACGCATCAGTGAGAGTCTTAACATTGGCATAGCCAGAGACAGAGCCCCAGTAAAAGCAGAGCATCTCAAAGACAAGTTCAAAGATGTGAGCTAACGGCAAGAAAGTGATAACGACATCGTTCTCAGTGACGGTCTTATCATCAATGACGAGGGAAACTCCACCAATACCTGCAACAAAATTGGCATGACTCAAAACGACACCCTTTGGAGTACCAGTAGAACCAGAAGTGTACATGATACACGACACATCGTCCGGCTTCGGAGGGTGGTGGGGAATGTCATGCGCTTTTTTGCCAAGAGCAATGACGTCATCATAGGAGAAAATCTTAATGTCCGGTCTAACCTCCAGGATCTTTTGAACGGCCTTTTTCGCTTCCTCATAAAGTCTACCGTTTCCACGCTTATCATTAGGATCAATTGGGGCGCTGTGGATAATGTACTTAATATCCTTTGCCTTCTTGAGAGGATTGATCAGCTTCGACAGCAGATTGTTGTCGGTGAAAACGGCAGAAGTAGCCGTTTCCACCATAGAATGGGTCAATCCATCCTCACCTAACGTATCGTATGCAGTGACCACAGGAATAGCCTGGGTTTGTGCGGCTATGAATGCTCTCATCCATTTAGGGCTCGTAGATGCAAATATGTGCAATTTGTCGACGCCGGCCGGCTGAACACCAAGACTGACAAGCCCCTTTCCGAAGTCCGAAACAATCTCGCTCAATTGACCGTTCGTGATGTACTTGTAATCGGAAAGCTCGTAGTAGACCCACTCCTTGTCCACGAACTTCTCTGCACCATCAATAAACTTCTTAACCTGTTTGGTTTCATAGTGGATGTCTTTGATATCTCTCCATGCCTGGCATCTTTTGTTTGCTCCGTGCTTCTTTTGTGCCTCGTTGAAGAATTCGTACACCGTGCTACATTCATATCCAATTGGACGGGCAACCACAGCATCCTTTGCCTTGTAGTATCTTCTTGGGGCAGTCTCTCCCTTCTTTGCCTCGCCAACAGGCACATTGACTTGGAAAACCATGGTGATTTGCGATCTGCAGAATAGAAATTAGAGGGGCTAAAAAAAAAATTTCCTAGGAGTCTTTTTTATTCCGCCAACAGCCTAAAAAATAAAAAAGTGACCATTGCACTTACATAAGCAACAGTATTAGCAACAGGGCTTGTTGTCATGACCCCAATCGATACCACCATCCGATAATTGCACAAGGAGCGTCCTCTTTAAACCCAGGCCAGGCCCCTAGCCCCGTGCCCCCCACACTTGATTTTGTTGAGCTAAATCCCAACAAAAGGTGCAAGGATGTTGTGTCTGATCTAGTGCTAAAATTCCGAGTTGTCGTCTGCATGGTCTCCCCGCTTTAGATCAAACTACCAGAACGTACTCATAATCTCCAAATGTAGCATTTTTCTATTACGTTATCTTAGGTCTTGATCAACAGTCTCGACATGGCCGTGCAAGTGTTCAGCCGACCCAAATTTCACAATGGTTCCGTTCCTCGTGGCTTTGTCGACATCTATTATTGTCACGCTGGTATTGCTTGGAACTTTCAGATCTTCTTCCTGTAAACCGGGAGCCAATGTGTACTCATATGCTTTATAAAGATGATTAGTGAAGTTGGTGATCACGCCGCCATGGGTGCAAATCAGCACATTGGAATAATTGTTCGCAGTGGCTTCGTCTATAATTCGAGTCCACTCGTCTTGCAGCCGTGTCAGAAGCTCTATTCTCGTCTCTCCCATTTCCTTGAATTGGGCACCATATTTTTCCTTAGCTTCCGATAGTGGCATTCCCTCGACAGGGCCCATAGATCGCTCCCTTAGATTCGACGTGTACCTCAGCTTGAAGCCAGGTTTATCGCGGTGCCCAGAAGTGATCTCATTCATAGTTTGAACACAGCGGCTCAAATCAGAGCTGACAAACTCGTCTATATCTAGATCCTTCATTCTAAGGCCAACATATCTGGCCTGTTCTAGGCCTCGATCGTTAAGCGGTACATCTTTGTGTCCTTGTAAGATCTTGAGGTTATTCCACGATGTCTGGCCATGGCGAACAATGAACACTCGAACTTTAGTTGGATCTGTATTCTGCTCTTTATCGAATGTCATTTAATCTCTTTCAAGGTTTTACCCGGCCAGACGTTTCTCTGAATTTTTTTTTCAACCTCTGATTCTTCTCCATAGTATGCTACGAGCTAGAGGCCTATTAGTTTCTGCCCGGCAGTTCCACAATTCTGTGGTTCGTCCTTCAGTACTCGACTACTTTAGGTTTTATAGAAAAAAGGATACTGTTCCAGAAACGCCCACAAAGGACACCAAAGAGGTCATCAAGGAGATAGAGACGAAAACAAGAGACCCCGTAACCTCTAATAAGATTGTCATTTTGGGCAAACACAATTCTGAATTCAGCGATGAAAAGATCGCTCAGAAGGCAATGGAAGGGTTTGTTTTCACTACCTGGTTACCACGAAAGTCTGAATTCTCGAAAAGAAACAACGGCTCGCAACCATATCAGGAAGTAGTCAGCGAGCTTCTCACAGAAATTTTCAAGATTCATGCACCATCCACTGCATCAGATATCAAACTTGATGATCTCGCGCTCAGATTCAAAATACTGAAAGATGTTCAGATAAAATTTGGAACCTCAATTCCTGACATTAAATTGTCTCAACTAGATTCGTTTGACAAGATCGAACGATACTTGGTTGCCAAGTTAGATCCCAAAAGCCAACTTTTCAACGAGAAAGTACCTGACGCTGTGCACCTTGATCCGAAGGAATTTGAGGGAACTAACATTACTGTTGGCGAATATGTCTTCGAGAGCCAAAAACGGAAAGAAGTCAAGAAGCTGTATCGAAAGGCCAAGAAGGCTGAGCAGAAAGCCATACAAGAAGCTCTCAGCGATGGAGAGAAGTAAATTTCCAATTAACCTGTATATAATAGGTATCAGTATTTGTGCACATCATTTTCGAGAAATAGTAAAAGCCACCACCACTGAGGCTGCAAGCGCAAATAACACTCCAGGCAAAATCATTTCGCGGATAGTGTCGTTTGGCAGACCTGGGCTCGCAGTAGTAGTCTTGGCAGAACTGAGAATGGAAGGCACATCCACGTTCTGGTCGGGGTGGTGGACAATCAAGTTGATCTTGTCTTTGTTTAAGCTAGTCAGCACGACGACGCAGTCTTTCAGGTCCTGATCAGATGTTATAGCAACCAGATCATTTTCATCGTCGATATAGGAGATGGCAAACTGCTCTGCAGTCTCGAACACTTGGCCCGTTTCACTATCTTCTGGGGGAGTCAACAAAGTTCTAATTTCCTGCCTGGAAAGCTTAGACTCGATCAAGTCCCTCAAAGACTGAATACCGTCGCTAGGTTTGCAGCTGACCCTGTGGGTTCTTCCCTGCGGAGACTTGAATTTGAAGAAGACCGGTTCGTTGAAGTCAAGTTCCACTTGCGGAGCTTTCAAAGCAGACGACGAGGTCTCCGGAGCTCCCGAAAACGAAATTGAATCTGATGGCTTCACAGCATCGTTTGTGGAAACATTGAATTGAGCAAGTTCAGATTGCGTCACGTCAGCAAGCGAGGTCGAGTGCAGAGAACTAGTGTCGTTGTCCAACGACGTCCAGAATTTGTTCCAGGCTGGACCCTCTTTTTCCTCGTTTGACCCTGCATCAGAATCCCCATTGTTGATCATTTGAATGGATTGAAGCTGGTTCAGAGTGTGGTAGGTGAGTTTGAGAACATCCACGACACCCACAATTTCAGTGTTGTCGTCATCCACAACCGGGAGATTCAAGTAATGACCTTCAAACATTTGTCTGAGAGCTTGGTGAATGGAGCTACTAGCCAAGGCATAAGACGGCTTAGGAGTCATCACACGGATCACGGAGCAAGTTCTTGGGTCAATGCCAGCGGCAATGACCCTGAGAACAATATCTTTGGATGTGAAAATACCCGTCACCTCGTCGTTGTTTTTGGAGTCCTTGACCAAGACTGCTGTCGTCTTGTTGTCCCTCATCAAAATTGCAGCTTCATAGACGGTAGTCTTGATGTCGCAGCACACAGGGATAGTTCTTTCCGACAGAACAGAGTTCAAAGTGGGACCGCTCACAAGGTTTTTGAGGTTCTCAAAATACTTGATAACATGGAGAGGCTGGTTAGCTGGTCCGAGCTCTTCTGTCACACCCTCCATAGCATCGTACAATCTTTTTGAGCTCTCATACATCCTCTCAAGCTTGGTCATTGCTTCATTGTAACACTTGGTAATGTCCAAAACACCCACTATTTGGTTGCCCTCATTGACCACAGGGAGATGTCTGAACCCCCTGTTGACCATGAGAGAGAGAGCGTCAGAAGCTAAAGTGGAGACCTTGGCACACATGGGATTTGGAGTCATGATGTGGTCAATGGTGGTCTGGTTTGCGTTGAGATTAGCTCCAACAATTCTGAATGCTAAATCCTTTGCGGTGAAGATACCTGAAAGCAGGCCATCCTCGTCGACCACCAGTACACAGTTTTCTTTGGTGACAGACATGAGTTGTGCTGCCTCGTACACGGTGTTTGTTGGTTTGCAAATAACTGCCTCTGAGGGCTTCAAAGACATCACTGTACCTGCTGCGCCCGAGCTGACCTTTGAACGCTTTTGTGGCGAACCCAGGTTCGAGACCATACTAACATTGTTCTTTTTTCTCAAGTCGTGCTCAATTTTCTTACGAATCTGGTCGTCTTTTTTGCTCTGCCTTTTCCGTGTAGACTCCATTGGATCCGAGGACGGATTAGATAGAGACGACTGAGCCCTTCTTGGAGTTCTCACTGTGCTGTCTGAAGCCAACATATCAAGAATATAAAATTAAGGATAACTTTTTTTTTGTTTACGGATCAATGTAAACAAACACCAGATTTAGACAAATCAGGGCGGTGTTATAATACCCTGGAAAAAACGGGGCGGGACATGTGGAGACAATGTTCACGAGCACGACTACAGATAGAGAAAGCCTCGTGTGGCATGCAAAACCAGCCTTGTGTATCAATATTATCAAACTAGATGTTGGTTGGAGGACAATATTTCAAGGTTTCTCCACCTCTAATGTCTCCTTATATGCGCTATTTCCATGGACAGAAATCATTCACTTCCCTCCTCTCACAGCCTATCAACGGCGAAAGCTTGCCCGTCATCCTGTCAGCAGCGCCTGAGGTGACTATTATTATAAGTCAGGCGTTTTCAAAACGCCCATTTAGCCTCGAATGACGATAGTCAGCAAAACGTCGATCGACGGAAGGCTTAAAATATTTATTGCTCGATTATTAATTTCAAGTTCCGAGATTTCGGCACAGAGAAGTGCTGCCGACAACCGATATATAGACGTTCGACCCACCATTTACTGCCATGGATAAATTTGAGAAGACCGCTAAGCGTGCCTCGAAAGCTTGCGACTTTTGTCGCAGTAAAAAAATCAAATGTGACGGCGAATCATTTTGCAAGAATTGCAAGAACCACAACATTGAATGTACTTATATGTACGTTTCCAAAAAGCGGTCATCCCGGAGAAGGAAGAGTGCCAACATGAGCGATTTTTCAGAAAGCGAGAGTGCAATCTCAGAAACTAATAAGCTAAGGCATCGTAACGGCGTCTCCAAGGATCTCGAGGGAAGGCTCAACAAACTTGAATCCATGGTGCATGCCTTGTTGAATAAACTGGATCCCGAGAAAGAGAATATCGTGGAAAGTTTTGTTCGAGAGAGCGACTCTCCTGAAAATTGCAAACAAGATGCTGAGCCTGTTGCAGACTCAAATGCAAACCAGGCAGACCTTGAAGAGATTTACTTTGGGCCCCTGACTACGTTTTCATTGTTTTCTGCCAAGGGTCTTAAATGGCTTGATAGCCTCCTTCCGGATGACACACCAACAAAAGTTTTGCGCCGTCATATTGCTATGTTAGTGAAGGCAGAACATCAGAGGAAACCAACTCAAAACTATACTATGGTCAACGCGGCATGGGATATTTTCCCACCTGCCGAAATAATTGATTATCTTCTGAACACCGTCGAGCCCTTCTTTCAAGACTTTTATCCCATGAAGATCGCTGAAATACGCCGCCTTTTCGACAAATACTTGAAGTATAAGAGTGGCCTTCGATCTCTGAACTCATTGCACCCATCAGAAGTTTTACTCATGAGCAGCATGATGCTCCATTCATGTTGTATAGCCAGTGAGTTGGTGAGGACCATGAACTTTCCGTGCCCAATGCCGTTGACTCATCTGCAGGAACTGGAAAGAAAACTTTCTGAGAGCTGTCTAAAGCTGCTTCTCAATCACACGGTGTCGCACTCCAATCTTCTAAAACTACAAGCTCTCTACTTGCTTGTGCCGATTGCTGATATTTGTATGGATCACCATGCATGCGCACTGTCAAACACACTGTTTGCCAGATCCGCCCTCGAACTGGGTCTGCACAGGGAAGAGAGCTATCTGGGGGGAAACCAAGAAAGAAGGGACCAAAAGATATATTTGTGGTGGAGGGCTTACGTTCTAGATAAAGAGGTTTGTCTGAAAAGTGGTTTGCCTCCTATCTTAAATGACACAGATATCACTACGCCTCCTCTACCTGGATTTGAGGAATTTTGGGCAATGCCCTATGAACGTCTGCCAGACGGAAGACACAAAAGAGAAATCATGAGAGATAAAATAGTCGCCAAGCTAACATCGTTATTGGATAGCAACAAACAAGACCTCTCCTTTGAGCTCTATCTCACATACGATCTTGCGGTGATCTCGTCAAGAACATACCAGGAGCTGTTTTCGGCTACCTCTCTCGTCAGAAAAACAAGATCTCAGATTACAAACACAATCGAGTCACTACTTCATGATTTGGAATGCTGGAGAATGTGCTTCCCTAAGAAAATTAGACCTGGCGAGACGTTTCTGTATCTGGGTGCTCCGACAAAGGCGAACAATGTAACTGATGGCATCTTCCTTCCATTTTTGGTTCTCAACTACAATCTGAAGTATTACCTACTTCAGATCATTATATCGAAGACGATGCTGCGTCTTAATTGGTATTCAGACCATAAACATTCCCATTTATCCTCAAACAGGAACAACCAACATGCTAGTTTTGAGAGCATTGGTTTGAACGCTATAAGACAGATATTGCAAATTGCGTACAAGATTGACAAGAAAAATCAAGCTTACGTTTATTTTGCCACTTACTATTTCATGTGCGCCTATGTTGCGCTGATCGCGGAAGTTTTGCAAAATTTGAACTCACCGGAAGTTGTCGAAGACGTGCAACTCCTGTTCTGGGTCAGCAAAAACTACTTTGCTGTTGGTGCTGTCAAGTCGCTTCCCAACCACCACAAATGGCAGACGATGGACAAAATCAGCAGATGTCTCTTCTACACAGTGTGGTGTTCGGTTCCCAACATTCAGGAACGCAGCAAGCTAGACGTGGGAGACTTCCTTGATGAGTTCTTTCAAATGGCAGATGAAATCAAATCGAAGGCCAAAAAAGACGGGTCCACATCTTTGAAAGTACCTAGCCTCCAATCTCCTTCGTCGTACTCTCGAGTTTCAATGGAGAGACCCACGATTGACAAAACTGGTGCAGACCTGCAGCGAAGAGAGCTGTTGGATCAGATCTGGGGTTCCTCTTCGACGTCTGGAAAACAGACTCCCAATAACAGCGAAGATTCGTTGCTTGACGGACTTTACTACGATGAGGACTTTCTGATTCCGAACATGTTCAGTCTTCCAAACTATCTTTTTGATGTCAATCAAAATCCCCTTGACGCTTCTATGAATACACTAGGATTATAGTTAAAGTTTATATAATTCAGCAAGTCTCACTGCACGACGAGCAGCCCCGTAGCCCGCTTGGTAGCCGTAGCCCGAAAGCCCAGATATATGGATCAGCACTCCTTTTTCGCGCCGCTCTTTTTCAACGCGAACGCCACCAATGCGACTTGGTCTCAGACCGCATGCCACGCGGAGGATTTCTGGCTCGTTTCCGATTTCTGGGAACAGTTGACTAGTCCTACGAATAATGTCATCGGTTTCCGTTTTCCACGTATCGGCACACCAGTTATTGGCCTGCAAATAGCCACCCAGCACCACCTGAGACCCAGAATCTGGTCGAGGAATGACATACGTAACGTCCTCAGTTCCCCATCGCATGCGGTTCTCATTTATGTGGGGAGCCTTGATCACCACAACCTGGCCTCTGGCAGGATAAATGTTTTCGTCTTCGGCTCCACCCAGTCCTCTGGCACCAATTCCCGTACAATTAAAGACGGTCCTGGCAAACTCGAACATCTCATCGACATTCTGGATTTTCCTCCGCACGAAGACAACGCCGGTGGTAGCAAGATATTCTTTCAGCACTTCTAGGAACTTTGGACAGTTGAAGTTCCACGAGACATACGTAATTCCGAAGGCTGCCCCTTCAGGAAGTTGGGAAGATGGTATAATCGCGAAATCCTGTAAATACGAGCTCAAAGACTCAATTTTGCGCTGATCAGGAAGATACTCCCAGTACTCAGTACTGGGGCGGCGATCTAAACCACACCCAGAACCTAAAAGCTTCTGAATGGCAGCCAAGTGTGTGTAGGTAGTTCTATCAAAATGCAATGTCTGAGCATCATCAGGAGATATGCAGCTGAAGTTGCCTCCGGCCCACGGAGACGTGTAGTTGATTGACTGATCGCCCGGCAAATACTCTGCTACAATGGTGATTTCGGAGCCTCTGACGCCACTTTCAACAAGATTAAGAGCCGTGTAGAGTCCGACAATCCCGCAGCCGAGAATTGCGAAAGTCATGAGCAGAATGAGTAATAGGGCCCGAAACTTTTCAGCGGCATTTTATTTGTGGCGAACAAAATAGAACCCTGTGGCGGTGCTCATGTACTCAATAAATATCACGCACCAGAGCTCACGCAACTAGTGTTTTCTGCCCTATGAAAATTTTATACAAATGCTTGGCATGTGGCGTCTTTCCACGGGTTTGCTGGCCTGTTGTCACTTTTGCATATCATCCCCCGATGCTGCAAGATGGCACTGGCAAATTCCTGTGTGACTTTAGCTCTAGCAGTCAGCAAACACAAGGAGTAGCTTTCACTTGTGGCGAAGTTTCAGATGATTTTGCTGCAAACTTGTAAGACCCTTTGGGTCCCTTTTTACGCGCATCTAGATTTTTTGCTATAATTTTACTACTCCACATTAATTATTTTTTGTTACCGCGACGCCGCACAGAATTCTCTATAAATACCTAATTGCTTCGGCGATTTTCTCTCCCCAATGAACTTACCAGACGACATCCTTGACACCGTTGTCTCCGACCTTGACACCAAAAGCCTCCTCAGCTTGTCGTTGTCGTGCAAAAAATTGCGAGCACATGCTCTCCCAAAATTGTATCGGAGCTTGCTTCTGGTAGACACCAGGTATAACATAGTGGGCGAATCTGAATTCACGATTCTAGCCACCTCGAAATTCAAGCAGTTCCTTGAGGCATTGAATAACAACAGGTCACTAGTTAGTTTGGTGCAACGCTTTCTTATTGCTTCCCACAGCAACAATGTGGAAGGGCTCGAAATTTTGGTGGGAATGTTCATTGCTTTCAAGTTGAAAAATGCCAATGTTCCCCTTTTGGGGCTAAAGGAATTTAAGATTTTGAACGAAACAACCCCATATAAATTCCTTTTCATGAACAAGGAATATGCCGCTTCCGAAAACCTGAAGAAATCATCTACTTTGTTGTACGAGAACGACGAAGACGAGTTCAACAAGTACTCGAACTTCAGCCAGGAAAGTTCAGTTGTCTCTTTGCAGAGTTATCAACTTGTCAACATTACAGATCTCAATGATGTGTCGGAGGAAGCGCGCGAAATCTGCATCAACACATCCAATCGGTACCAAAATGCTGGTTTCATTATGACAAAAAAGCTGATGCAAACTTTCAACTCTCTAGAATCTTTGGAGATTCTTAATTCAGAAGCCGTTGATGCTTTCTTTTCTCAGTTGGATGAAGAATATGTGAGACTCGAGTCGTTGAGCAGACTTTCGTTGAATATCAAGGATTTGCATGCTGTGCCAGCTGTGGAAAGATGCGTGGATCTGACCAAATTAGAACAATTTGAGCTAAAGTTCAAGCAAACTTCTGTTGGCGATGAAAACGAGGATATAAACCCTAATCTTGTCAGCATTTTTCTGAGTCAACTCAAAAACCTCAAGTATCTCTCTTTGGTGCACCTAAACTCAAATAACCTGCTGAAAAACCAATCACAGACATCGCAATTATTTCTCGGCAACTCCAATCTATCACATTGCATTATGGAACATTTGGATATTTTTATTCCTTCCATCATTTACCTCAACGTTAGCATGAACAACTTTGCATATCTACCCTCAATCAGCATGAGCTATCAAGATAGAATGACCCATTTCGTTGTTGACGAGAACTTCTTGGAGACAAAGTTTCGTCATTTTCATAAGATACTTGCATGCAACCGTCTGGAAACTTTGATAATTCCAGACTTCTTTTACAACTGGAAACCATTTATCACAATAAATCGGGAAGTGAAGAATCGACCACAACTGAATGCTGTCGAGTACCTCTATACTGGGTGCCACTGCCATAGATGCGTGGAGACGCGACAATTGTTATCCCAGTATTCCGAAAAGCTCAATTTTGGTAGCAAGGACTTGTCTTCCACTTACAGCTTTCTAATTGGGCTTCTGCATACTCGCTTGACCAAATTTGAAACAAGCTCTGGATTGGACATCCTCAAGTATCCCGCACTGGACCCTATCGAAGTCTCGCACTATGGTTACTTGAACATAGATATTTCAAGGGTGGTACAATTGATCTTAGATAATATGCTTGAAGATTTGAACTTCGTCGTTCAAAAGCTCCCTAAGCTAAAATTGCTCAGTCTTGGTGGTATTCAGATATCGATTCAGCGCACCAAAACCGAAATCAAAATGAGTGCTATCCAGGATGATTGGAGCTCATTGTTACGTCGATCGACCTAATTTTTTTAAAAGGTTTATTTATGTATTTCTTATTTAGGCATGCCGTTAACGCTATCTTCTACCAAAATTTGATAAATCATAATTCAAGGTGACTTGAATATCGAAACATTAGATTCCTTAAACGGAGTCATCATGACGAATTTCAATGTCCCTGGTGGATTCCCCTCTCTCCAATCCCAGGAGTTTACGCTAAAGACTCCTCCACGGTCCAGAAGCGAAATAAAAACCTCTACTCCGTCATCAACCGCTTTCCGGTTCACACCAACTAATGGAAAAAGGCTATATCCATCCATTGTGGTTTCCCCAAAAGATAGTTCTGACTGCGATACAAGCTATCAGGATAAGGAGAACCCATCCTTTACAAAAGAGATGGATTTTCTCCAGACTAAGTTGTTTTCGTCAAAGCTTACTTCGTCAGTTCTGAACGAGTTCAACGATAGATACCAAAAGGTGCGGTCGGAAAATATCATCAACATCCAAAAGTTGAACAGCACAAGTCCTAAGCCGAGAAGCCGACGACCATCTACTCGATTCAATAGTGAGCACCGAGGACGATTCAATAGAATGGAATCTATATCTTCACATTATGCAGCCCGGCGTACAGGACGACAACCTGCCGAAGCGACACGGAAAATATTTGAGGGCCCAGAGCAAATAACCAGAAAGACTCCAAATGACAAGCGTTTGGGAGCACGGGATCTGGGCAGTGCATCAAAGAGAATGAGAATTGTTGACGGCTACAAGGAGATCGTGGAGCCAGTTGAAAGTCCAACAAGGCCGCCAGAAGAGAAACAAAAGATAATGGAACAGCAGCTGGGAAAACAGCGGCAGGAAAAGCCACACTTGGGTCCGCTTCCCCGATTGGAGTTTTCGCAGTCTCCTCGTGCAGCCGCATCTGCCCGACAGTCGTCCAAAGTCCCATCGTACTTGCAACCTACCAATGCATCTATCCAGCGTTCAGAAAGCAAGCAGCAACTAAAGAGGAGCGAGACAGCATCTTATCTTCCAAGACTCTCTAGTATTGTGCGATCGAAAACTATGCAGGAAATTTCGCCATCACGGATGAACAGCAGTCAACCGAATCCACACGTCGCCATTCTCAAAGCACAGTCTGCACTAACGAGGTCCGCGTCGTCAAATACCCTAAACAAAAAATCGAGCATCCCGCAACTCGTGAAACCAGCCAAGAAAGATTATCCCAGACCTTGGAGAAACTAATTTTACTATCCGCTAAAAAAATTTAAATGGGTCACCACGCAGATTACTCCGAGTTCCATGCTCAAGCGGACAAAAAGGAGCTCTTACAGCAAGTTGCGGACTCCTACAAGAGTCTCACTGAGGGGCAAACTAACTGGGTTTGTAACTTGGCCAATTGTAGCTCATTACTGTGGCACTGCTACAACGAGGGACTTTCCAAACGAGTGAATTGGGCAGGTTTCTATGTACTCGATCCAGAACACAAAGATCAGCTTATTCTGGGCCCATTTATGGGCAAGGTCGCATGCCAGACTATCAAAATCGGACTTGGTGTATGCGGAACAGCGGCAAGCACGCGAAAAACTCAACTCGTGGAGGATGTCGAGAAATTTCCTGGACATATAGCCTGCGATGGGGAGACTAAGAGCGAAATTGTGGTTCCCATTGTAGCTGATGGACGACTCGTTGGCGTTTTGGATATTGATTGTCTGGAACTGAACGGGTTTGACGAAGACGATCAAAGATACCTCGAATTTTTGTGTCAAGCGATCAGCGAAACATGCAGCTGGAAAAATTAGCTCTCTTGCGCCATGATTGTGCTGGGTTCGGCCCCAATGTCGTGTAGTGGGATGTTTATATCTGTATCTTCTATATCACTTTCATCAAAATGCATACCTATTCGGCTTTCCAGATTCCAGTTTATGGGTCTTGATTTGCGTTTCTTCCGACGTTTCAGAAAGCAATGATGATAAATGCTGGACGTGACAATAGCAGATGCGGAACCTGCCATATTTACAGCTATATCCCACGGATCGAAGGATCTGTATGGGGCAAAGGCATGTTGCATGAATTCACTTCCAACTCCTCCTGTGACTGTACATACCACAAACGTAGCGTTGCGCACTATGCGAATTGACTTTATATCCAATGTCCAGTAGAAGAGAAGCGTCATCAAGAAAAATACAGCAAAGTGAAGAGCTTTATCGTAAGGCATTGATATGTCCGCTAGGCCAAGATACAGAGCGCCACTTGCAATAATGCAAAGAGATGCAAGGGGTATCTTTCTGATCTTCATGCTTTGAAAATCAAGAAATACATATTGTAAAAAATAGAATCCAAAAATTAACTTTATCTTTAGCTCGTTGCAGTAGATATTATGATCCCAAATGAATATAGTATGTGGCGTTTGCGGAACGCACAGCACTAAATCAGGATACTACTGTGGACCATGCATCAGCTTTAAAATTCTGAAACTGAAATTAAATATCACCAATCTATGCTATCTTAACGAGACATTTGGGTATGAAATTGATAAGGTTCTTCAGGATTGCATCAATGGTTTCAGCTCCAAGGTGCTGAAAAAATATCTGGAAGGGGACCTACAGGCTGACGTTGGCTCGAGAGAGAAATTGAGTCCCTCAACAGAAGCAATTGCCAGACTTGCCTACATGCTCCTGGCCGTGGAAATCTCCCAACTAAAGAAAAATCTTACGCAGGTTGATGAGACATTGAAGCGACAGAGGCTCGCCAACATGCGTCTGAAAGCCAAAGTGGAAGAGCTGAGGGTTTCCAAGACCGAAAAGTCCCACATGATTCATAGAAAGAAGCAGGAACTGACAGAAAAACATCAAGAACGTCTCGAACGGATCCACGCCACCATAAAAGAAATTGAAGTAGATAAGTTGGACAAGACAGCAAGACTAATTAAACAATCGGAAAATCAGCATTTTCAACAGCTGGTGAAGATCTCAAGCTACGAGAACATGAAAGCTGCTAAGAAGTCGGAACTGTCAAAATCCAAGCTACCAAGCCTAGAAAGGCTGAACTATAATATCATGAACCTACGAAACAAAGCCACCCCAGGGCCAGTTGGTTTTAGAAATGCAATATTTTTCAGCCCCGTTCTTCCTTTATCACAATTCTTGTACTATACATCTGAGGTGATTATCACTTCCGTCACCAAGGTCGCTCAATTTGTATCATTGTCGTCGAAATACCTCAACGTTGATGTGCCGTATAGGATTGTAAGGTCGACCCCGTGCCTATACATAGTTGAGGACGCATGCGAGTCGTACGCACTAGCGCTCGGACCGCCCAGCCAAAATCCCGAGCAAACAAACAGCTTGTTTGAGTCCACTAATCAGGACTTGACTCGTTTCTGTGGTGCACTAGCCAGATTGCTTATCAATATGGTGATCCTTATCAACGCTACTAAGCAAACGCCGTTACGATTCGAGAACTTATTGCACCTCGATGAGCTTGTGCAGCTTCTTGTTGGAGAAGTGTCTGATCTCAACTGGACTGTGCAAGAACAGGTTCCTAGCCAACGAGAAGAAAACGAGTCTACACCTCGCAGATCCATATTCAATTTTTGGAGCAAAAGAAAACGACCTCATGCTATCATACAAGCTTCGCAAGAAAAGGGAATGGAGAATAGTTTGCAAGAAGTACTGGAAATATCCCTCTACAGTAGCCAACATTTGGTGGAGTACCTCCAAGACCAAAAAATCAACATCCAATCAAAAATAGCCAATAGTATAATCGCCCCCTCGCCGTCAGCTTCCACTTCACTTGGAGCCGCATCACTTTCCGCAAGCAACGGAAGCACCAATACGCCTACGGTGCCCGAATGGTCGTCCGAGATTTCGCCCGTACCTGATGTTGACTGGCTGTCATCAAAATTGCATGCATTTTTCGTGACAGAAATCTTGAAAGTACTCGACAGAGAAACAGGATCAAGCCAGGTCGCCAATGGCGGCCTCTCGACTTCTAGCACTTCGACATACCAGCAGATTATTTACAATTCACAGAATACTGACTCTGCCGGGTCCCGCTACAAAACAACGCCCTTGTACTCGACAAATGCGATCCCTGTCTACCAATCAGGTATTCTACCGCCATCAAGAAGCCGGTTCCATCACTATAAGCACTCCAAGCAGACCAAGACAGACAACTGGGAAGTTATATAGCTCTTCAGTCATAATAAAAAGTATTTACCCGGCTTTGGGTCGTGGATGATAATAAAATTGTGCTGCTTCGAAAGCCAGCCAGGCAGATTTCATTAGAGATTGCGGTACACAGCATCTACTTCGGTCAATTGCAATTAGGAAAACGTCAAAATGCTCTCAGACCAGGAACTTTTTGAACTCAACAAGAAAGCAGTAATGCAAGGATTCAATATCCACCCTCGTATCAGTTATAATACTGTTGGAGGTGTGAATGGTCCGCTTGTCATTTTGGAGAATGTGAAGTTCCCAAGATACAACGAGATTGTCAACCTGACTCTTCCGGACGGAACAACCAGAGCTGGTCAGGTTTTGGAAGTCAAGGGCGACAGGGCCGTTGTTCAAGTTTTTGAAGGAACTTCAGGAATTGATGTCAAGAAGACCAGAGTCGAGTTCACGGGAGAGAATCTGAAGATTCCCGTGTCCGAGGACATGCTTGGTAGAGTCTTTGATGGTTCTGGAAGACCTATCGATAATGGCCCTCGTGTGTTCGCTGAAGACTACCTAGACATCAACGGTTCTCCTATCAATCCATTTGCTCGCATCTACCCAGAGGAGATGATTTCCACCGGTATTTCTGCTATTGACACCATGAACTCCATTGCCAGAGGACAGAAAATTCCTATCTTCTCTGCTTCGGGTCTTCCTCACAATGAAATCGCAGCCCAAATTTGCAGACAGGCAGGACTGGTCAGACCGACCAAGGATGTCCAGGACGGCCATGAGGAGAATTTCTGTATTGTTTTTGCTGCTATGGGTGTCAACCTAGAGACATCTCGCTTCTTCAAACAGGATTTCGAAGAGAACGGTTCTTTGGATAGAACTTCGTTGTTCTTGAACTTGGCGAACGACCCTACCATTGAAAGAATCATTACACCAAGATTGGCTCTGACTACTGCCGAATATCTTGCCTACCAGACAGAAAAGCATGTGTTGACCATCCTGACGGATATGTCGTCGTATGCGGACGCCTTGAGAGAGGTGTCTGCCGCAAGAGAAGAGGTGCCAGGTAGAAGAGGTTATCCTGGTTACATGTACACAGACTTGTCGACTATCTACGAAAGAGCTGGGCGTGTGGAAGGAAGAAACGGATCCATTACCCAAATTCCAATTTTGACCATGCCTAACGACGATATCACTCACCCTATCCCTGACTTGACAGGATATATCACCGAGGGACAAATATTTGTTGATAGACAACTCTCAAACAGAGGTGTGTACCCACCTATCAATGTGTTGCCATCTCTTTCGAGATTGATGAAAAGCGCCATTGGTGACGGAATGACCAGAAAAGATCACGGTGATGTCAGCAATCAGCTTTACGCCAAGTACGCCATTGGTAGAGACGCTGCTGCCATGAAGTCTGTGGTTGGTGAAGAGGCTTTATCGACAGAAGATAAATTGTCGTTGGAGTTTTTGGAGAAGTTCGAAAAGACGTTTATTTCGCAAGGTGCCTATGAAAACAGAACCATATTCGAGTCTTTGGATCAGGCCTGGTCTCTTCTGAGAATCTATCCAAAGGAGATGCTTAACAGAATCTCTCCAAAGATCCTGGCCGAGTTTTACGACAGGGAGAGACAGGCGGAGACCAACAAGGAAAACAACCAGGAGTCCGACGTTCCATTGATCGATGCATAAATAGACTAGGAAAGATAAGGTGAAGTCTTTTGATAATTTGTGGTTTGAGGTGTATATGATGTAATTATCTTTAACCCCAAAAAATTGTGACATTTTTGCTTGTAATGCAATTCCTCGTCCGCCAGGGCTCTTTTCCGCGTTATGGCTTGAAACCCGTGAATGCTTTCCTGGATCTTCCAGTGGAAATTCTTTATGAAGTGTTTAAGCAAGTACCCAATGAGCTGAAGGCCACATGTCGCTTTTTCTACGTGATGTACAACGACTACTATTGCCAGAAGCTTGTTGACGAGCTTGGAGAAAACATAATATTCAACATTTCAATGTACAACTTTGATGAGCTGGTTGACTACATTCGATCCTTTGATTATTGGCGCGGGACATTGAGACACATTGTTAGCAATCATTACAAGTTAGGAGACCCAGAGCCAGATTCCGAGATACGCAAAACAATGAGCCCTAAAGACATCATCAATTGTAAATACGTGAAAGATTCATGGAAGCTCATTTACGGGATCTACAAAAATCGCAGACTTTTCGTTGAATATGATGATTATCAAATAGATGAGCCCCACAGTTACCTTACGCGATCACTGCTGCATGTCAACAAAACCTACCTTGTCAAGTACAGAAAAACCATCCAACTTCCTGCGGATATCTACAACCTTTCATGCGGCATAATTGTTCAAAATGCTCTTGGATTGGGAAGCATGAATTTCAAAGTGATCAGAAAAAGTAACCAAGAAGAACTTCTCAGCTTTTTCCCTGCAACTAATATCAATGATTTAGTCCCCCATGGAAAGTTTGTATTGCTTGACTTGGGGGATTTTACTGTAGAGCTCACTAAAGAAGAGAAAGAAAAACTGACCGAAAACAAACAAATTGAAGTGGATATCGTCATGGAGGAGACAGGGTTGTATTTAAAATCCGGTTTTATAATATGCTTCATTGACATAAACGCTTACCCAGCCAAACTCAAACGCATCGATCCTCTTACGAAAAAAGTGACAATTAGCGAGAAGCGTTCGTGGATAGCATGGTCAATCGATAACCAGGACCCCACTCCAGAAAATGTTATTAACAGGCTTCTCAAACGGCTTTACAAGTCCATCAACAATCTTGTTGCACTAAAGCCACAGGAATCACCATATCAGCGCATTGGGAGCTTTGCTGAACTCAATGAACAAACAACAAAAAGGCAAAGTAATGTAGTCAGGAAAAGACGAAACTCGGATTTCGAGGAAGCTATTGATATCGACACTTACAATCGGAAGTTTTACTCTCGAATCAATGAAGAAGGTGAGCCAATCACTCGGACTTTTAGATACATTTCGATGGCAGACAGGCGTCTGTTCGAGAACCGGGCGATAGCAGAGGAAAAATTTATTGCGGCCGATGAGCCTTTGAAATGGAAGCTGACCACAATCCTAGAAGTTTGATCGGTATGGAATTATTGCCGAGGCAGTGCCTGAAAGTAAACAAAAAAATGCTATTGATTTTTTCACGTATTCTTTTTCGCCTTTAAAAAACGTATAGCAATACCAACATTTTCCAAGCTCTTCGGTCCCATCAACACTCCAACCCCTTATACATGACCGCTTCCGAATCTTTATTCGATTCAAAATTCACTCAAGAGCCAATGCTTCTATTTTCATCAGATGGCATGACCAATGATGTGGATTTGGGCAAAAGCTTGATAACATACAGGATGTTGGTGTCTAAAAGAGAGGCCGGCGCGATTATCGGCAAGAACGGTGACAACATTACAAGAATTCGTGAACAAACCAATGTGAAGGCAGGCGTGTCAAAAGTCATTGAGGGATGTATCGATAGAATCCTTACTGTCACCGGCATCGTGGACAATGTGCCTAAAGCATTGGTGCAGTTTGCAAAAGCTGTTACGGACTCGAATGTACAGACTGTCGCAAGCGCTTCCGCTAACGGAACGGACCCTACCTCTTTGATAACATACAATTTCTTCCCTCTGAAACCTCTATGTCCATCTCCGGCCGCTTCTGATCCATTTTATGCCGAAACTTTGAGTTTGAGATTGTTGATTCCTCATTCACAAATGGGAACATTGATTGGAAAAGGAGGTAGCAGAATCAAATCGATTCAAGAAACCTATAACATCAAAATGGTCGCCTCGAAGGATTATCTCAGGAACTCCACCGAGCGAATAGTTGAGGTTCAAGGAGCGAAGGCAAACTTGGTCGAAGCGCTCAATACCATCTCTAGATGTCTTTTAAGCAACTATCATGGCGTGGTGGCAACTATTTATTATACACCATCTCCTCGCCAACCACCATATAAAGATGGATATAAACTGGATCCTCTACAGGGAACCGGCTCTGATAAAGAGATTTCTGAAAAAACTAGTTTTCCAGGAGAGTTTGTGGGAGCTTTGATTGGGAAGAAGGGATCTCGTATTCAGGAAATCAGAAGAACCTCAGGCTGTACTATCAACATTGAAGCTGAGGACAACGAACAAGGCCAAAGAGAGTTCACCTTGACGGGAACTACTCTTAGTGTTGATCGTGCGCTTTCGTCGTTATACTCTTGTTTTGAGAAAGAAAAACAAAGAAGAGACGAACAGATGCACCAGGGGTAACCTTGGAGATCTTTCAAAAACTCGATTTTATTTAATGTGTTTAAAGTTTGTGTACGCTAAAAAAATTCGGAAAAATTTTGCTTTTACCCGTCGTACAGCCCTAACTTAATTTTCCCGAGACAATCATGTTGTTCCGTGCGGCTTTCACCCGTTGCCACAAAGAAAATTCGATCACCCTATCAAGAATACATCAACGAGTCCGAAAAGATACGTGAACTTTTAGAACGGGTCACCATACCCGATATATATAAAATTAAGTACGTCTGCTCATCGTAAAGTTAGAAATGGATGAAACTGAAAGTTCAGATACAAGCTCATTTGAAGACTCCGTAAACTTTGCTCTCCATCCCTATGATCTAGAGGAGGAGCATCGGTTGTCTCTCAATAAGACTGACAGCTACCACAGTCTCTATCCTGATCAGGCTGTTGTGAATACCGTCTCACATACAGATGACCAAAATGGAGACAACAACTGCTATGAGGTGAGCATGGGAGTCGGTGACAAACGCGATCCCTTGAGACTTCCCCTGTGGCGTAAGTGGCTCATTACAATCACCCTTGCTCTCGTCGGTCTTGATATTTGCTTATTGTCGAGTTGCTGGTCTCTCGTAACACCATTGAAAGAGAAATACAAGGTTTCACACGAGCTCTTTGTACTAGGGGTGTCATTTTACATTTTTGGCATGGCTTGGGGACCCCTATTTTTGTCTCCGATTAGCGAGTTTTATGGGCGAAGAACGACATACATTTTTGGCCTCACAACTTGCATTATCTTCCAGATCCTGACTTGCTTCGTTCCGAATTATGGGTTCAAGATATTCTGCCGGTTTATGACAGGACTTTTTGGTTCCGTATTTTTATCGGTTGCACCTGGTACAATATCCGATATTTTCACGAAGCAAACTATAGGAACGCCGTTGGCCATTTATTCGCTCTGTCCGTTTTTAGGACCGAGCTTAGGTCCTTTGCTCGCAGGTATTGTGGTTCACTTTGGCGGTGATAAGTACATGTGGACTTTCTATAGCCTACTGATTTTCTCTGGATGTCTATGGGTGTTGGTGATTTTGGTGGTTCCCGAGACCTATGTTCCGATACTAACAAAATGGAAGGCTCAAGAACTCCGGATGAGTACCGGTAAAGAGGAGCTGTTTGCTCCAATCGAGAGAATGCACTCAAACATGTTGGAATCCATCTTGAAAGCACCAAAACGGCCGCTCTCTGTTCTGGTTTTCGATCCGATGATGACCGTCCTCTGCTTCTATTCGGGCCTCGTATTGGGAATTGTCTACTTGTTCTTCTTCTCCATCCCTTACACGTTCCATAAAGTCTGGGGATTCAACGTTGCAGAGCAGGGACTAGCATTTCTAGGTATGGCTATTGGAATGCTGGCATCTTCTGCCATTTCGCCGTATTTTGCCAAACTCTACCTCAGACTGAGCAATCTGAAAGGCAAAGCTCAGCCTGAATACAGGTTCCCGCCGCTTATTGTCGGAGGCTTCTTGGCCCCCATTTCACTAATTATACTGGCATTTACAACTTACAAACAATGCCACTGGATTGGAGCGCTCATTGCCTCTGGATTCTATGGCTTGTCGACAGGGCTGATCATTTCTGGGATTTTCACTTACACAGCGGACGCATACCAGCTGTATGCGGCATCTGCAGCTGCTGCAAACACCTTTACAAGATGTTCCATGGCTGGAATTTTCCCGCTGTTTGGCCTCCAAATGTACGAGAGATTAGGAGTTCATTACGCAAGCTTGCTTTTAGGGCTCGTTGCGCTTCTGCTTACCCCTGCACCTCTCCTCTTCTATAAATATGGAGCCAAACTTAGACAACGGTCTAAGTTTGCTTGGTCTAATACGCAATAAAGCATAGACTATAGAAATTAATATAGACTTATATGTTTCATTATGCGCTATACACTCAAGCCTCAACAGCCTCCTCAGCAACAGGCTTGAAGTCGTTAACGTAAGGCTCAGCAACTTGCTGGTCCTCCTTTGGATCGTAGACGACAACAGAATCTGGTAGAGCCTTTGGACCTCTTCTGTTGGTAGCTGGGTCTTTCATAATCTTAACCTTGATGCCCAAAACACCTTGTCTCAACAGAACGTGTCTGGTGGCAACGTCAATGAAGTCGTTGACTGGTTGACCAGAGTGGATCATGAAACCGTCACCGAACTTCATGGACTTAGCTCTAGCACCCTTGGACTTACCAGAGATAACAACCTCAACACCTTTGGCGCCGGACTCCATCACGTGTCTGATAACACCGTAAGCAGCTCTTCTGACAGCCAAACCGTTCAGCAACTTGTACTTGAGGGACTCACATTGAGTGACGGCAGAAAGACCTCTGTCTTGAACTCTCTCAGCAAACAAAACGATGGTACCTGGAGCAAACTTGAATCTCTTTTGGATGAGGGAAGTCAACTCGTTGATTCTTCTGCCCTTCTCACCGAGAACTCGTTGGGTGTTGGTGGCAGAAATGATAACCTCTGTCTTAGTTGGGGTGATTCTGACCTCAACACCAGCATAACCCTCTTCAGGGAGCTCTCTGGTGAAGAATTCGTTAAGCTCGGCGTAGAAGACACCGTCAGCGACAAGCTTTCTTTTCTTGGAGAAGTTGGCAACCATTGTGTTGATGAGTTTGTTCGGGTGAAAAATTTAATTAAAAAAAACCTTTGGAGGGCTGAAGTGCAAAGTTAAAACATCACGTGACAAGGTGAGTTCCAACCGAGAAAAAAAATCCTTGCATGTAGTGGGTGCGTGCCAAGTCCGATTTCTTATTCGGTACGATCCGGGATCTAGAATCGGCTGCAAACGAGGCGGTGCAGCATTGGCTTTTGAAACACTACGCGATTTTATGCGATTACGTTATAGCATTTTACATTGTATGAAGTAGATAGTCGAATTATGAGCCAAACTCAGATCACCTTCAATGTGAGCGACTACTATGAGATCAAAGATATAGTTGGCGAGGGAGCATATGGCATAGTCTGCTCCGCCATATATAAACCATCTCAGCAAAAGGTTGCCATCAAGAAAATCCAACCTTTCGACCGTACCATGTTTTGTTTACGCACCCTGCGTGAACTCAAATTACTAAAGCATTTCAACCATGAGAACATTATCGGAATACTGGATATTCAGATACCGTATGACTTTGACAGCTTCAACGAAGTTTACCTGATCCAAGAGTTAATGGAGACAGACTTGCATCGCGTCATTAGAACTCAGACGTTGAGTGACAATCACTGCCAGTACTTTATTTACCAGACACTACGCGCGCTTAAGGCGCTACATTCAGCTAACGTGCTTCACCGCGACCTCAAGCCCTCCAACTTGCTGTTAAACTCCAACTGTGACCTCAAAATTTGCGATTTCGGTCTGGCTCGTTCGGTAGCATCTCAGGAGGACAATTTTGGGTTTATGACAGAATATGTAGCAACCAGATGGTACCGTGCACCTGAGATCATGCTGACATTCCAGGAGTATACCACAGCCATCGATGTTTGGTCTGTTGGCTGTATTCTTGCAGAAATGCTGTCAGGAAGGCCACTCTTCCCAGGAACGGACTACCATAACCAACTATGGCTGATAATTGACGTCTTAGGAACGCCTCTTATGGAGGACTACAATTCAATCAAGTCCAAACGTGCAAAGGAGTACATACGGACGCTCCCCTTTAGGAAAAAGAAGAACTTTCGTGATTTGTTCCCCGATGCAAATCCTGATGCAATTGATCTCTTAGAGAAGTTGCTCACTTTCAATCCCAAAAAGCGGATTACAGTCGAGGAAGCCTTAAACCACCCATACGTCTCCTTTTATCACGAGCCGAACGATGAGCCGGTTGCAGAGAAGATACCTGATGATTTTTTTGACTTTGACAGGCGTAAGGACGAGTTGTCACTATTGGAGCTAAAGAAAATGCTTTATGACGAGATCATGGAGCCATTAAATGTGAACGAAGCATAAATAGATATCATAGCATCTTGATTAAGAGAATTGCGCTAACGCAGGAAAAATTAGGTTTTTTTGTCGGCTCTGTAAAAAGTGTCAAGATATGCGACTCCCCACGGAAACATGGTGGCTGGTGGCATCTTCCTTGGATGACGTGGATTGCTTGAATCTCCGAGCCACCAGCAAGTATCTCTGTGATATTTTTTCTGCAAATTCGATATGGAAACCACGAGTACTGCGTAACTGGTATCGTTATACCGAAAGTCCGGACTCAGAAATCAAAAGATTCTGGTTTAATAAATATATCGAGCATTCGCGATATGACCGTTGGCTGCGAAGCCTGATACAGGAGCTTATTTCTGGCACCGAGAAGACGAAGTCTGAGATATGGGAGGAGGTGAGCTATGTTTTTCGAAATTCCCAATTGTTCGTTCCGGAACTCCTCCGACTGTCGAAGCATTTCGATTCCAGCTTTCTACGAGAGGGAAAGTATCACAAGGAGGATTTCGTGCGGCAGATGGATCGACGTCTTCATGACCTCTCAACAGTGTATTACGCTAGCCAACTATTAGAAGCGATCAGATTGTGCAAGGTTCTCAATTTTGGATATCGCACCATATGCAAAGGGGAGTATCCTCGGTGTCTTGAAGAGATGTTCTATGAACTGGCTTATATTGACCCATATGCGTTCGAATTCTTTGATTACAGGAAACACGTTCTGAACAGGGTGCTGCGCGAGTATAACGGGTTGCAACTGGATGCTGGGGTCTCCAATACAAACAAGGTCAAGGTTCTTGCATCCATCCTCCAGAAAGTCCTGCAGTTACAATCGCTGGCACATTCACCCATAGTTGACTACTGGTCACAACTGTCATTGGAGGACTGCTTTCTCTTCCGCATTTATGGTGGTGACGCCGTGGGTAAAACCGAACTGATTCATTCTATAATGGAACGGTTATGCCATGAGCTTGGAATTCCAGTGAGGATCAACAATTTGAATCTCGTCGTCCAAGATCCCACAATTCGTGGTGGAACATCCCATTTTATGATTGAATCCTACAAAACTACACAAATCAACATAGCCGAAATCCATGATCTGCCACAGCCTTCTCTAATGCTCAACCAATACGTATCACATGTTGAACCACGAAAAATGATCGGAAACATAGCAGCCAGCTTTTTCTGTCAGTACCCAATGGAGAGACGAAATCCAAGTGCTTATTCGCATCCAAAAGTTGTGGATGATCAGCTGGTTGTGGAGAGGCCCGGTGATAGGTTGTTGGGCCAAATTATAGGCTTTTATGGAACTGACAAGGAGACTATAAACGTCTTGCACAAGTTCTGGATTATGCTGGTACATCTGGAGACTCAAAACCTGGAGGAGGACTTGCAATCCATTTTCGTTTCGCTGGTGCAGTCAAACCGGTTGGCCTTCCTAGGGATAGGAGTGGCATGTCTGACCAGTACCATGGAAGGGATTGAGAGCACACACTTGAAGCTTAAGAAGGCGTTTATGAATGGTACACTCTCGTTCAATGTGAATGAGGTCAAGCGAGACGACCAGTTGCCATTTCCTAAAGGTTCATATTCCCAGTTTGAAGATGGCCAGATCGTGGTGGACCGTAGGGGCGAACTTCTGATAATAATCGGCTTCAAAGAGTATCATAATCAACGGTATTGTCAGTGTTTCACCAACACAGGCCAGACGGTGATTGTCCATGAGAAAAACTTAACCGTTTCCAATTCCAGGGTTGATGCCAGTCAATTTGCGCTGTTTGACAATGTAGGACTGTACTTCCGAAAGTTTGACTTTCGATCAGGGAAGTTTGTCAGATACTAGCCCGAGGGGACTAGTTATCGAGATATCATTGATAAGGAATGCGAATATTCAGATGAACCTGAACTATGTACATATAAGAAGTTGTGCTTACTTTAGAACTCCACAAGGCTTTCGCCTGTAAGCTTCTTTGTCGAATGCGCTGATCTGGCATATGGGGTGTATCTTAAGGGCATTAACTTGTTCAATAGAATGTTCTGAGCCAACGAGTAAACATTGGAACTGATCCAATAGAGCGACAGAGCAGCTGGTGCCTGGGCCGATAAAACAACAAGGAAGCAGATGCTCATTCTAGAAAGATTTATGACACTATCAAAAGCGGTAGGTCTTAATGAATTTTTCACTCCTCTTGTGGTCAGCTTCATTAGGTCTGCCGTACGGAAATTCCATTCCGCATTAGTCAAAGCTGTGACTCCCAGAACCACAGGCAATATGAAATATGGATCGGTAAAAGTGAGATTTGTGAGATACCCAAATCCTTCAGTTGATAGAGTGGGATCCAACACAACAGCACGCACGCTGGTCCATCCTGTAAGAACCCTGAAGGTTTGAGATAATGTTATCCATAATGGTATCTGTAATGCAGGAAGTGCCAGAAACTTCCACGACTGACAACCGTTCTCCCTGAAAATCTGTCTCTGACGTTTCATTCTTTCCTTTGAAGCCAGCACGATAATTTTATTCGCCGAGAGCTGCTCAGTCTCTGTCTTGATGGGAACATCATTTTTGGAGAGCCTTGCGTTTTGCTGTGCTGCCTGCGCTCTGGCGGCCAATCTGAGCTTGAAAATAGGAAACATTGCACTTATGATGGGGCGCAGTTCATTCTGTTTTTGTAGCCCCCTTCTCTGGTAAATTGCCAAGGGAAGTGTGATTCCAGTTCTGACTGAAACTGTTAGAAGAGGAATAAAAGCCCACCAGGGAAGTCCCGAGGCAGCATGAGCAGCTGCAATCAGCTCAGCACCGCTTTCAAACACAGACGCAACATCTGTGGAGAACAAACGTCGTTCCTGCTGTGTTAAGGTGGGCCTAGCCAATCTAATGGTTCTTAGCATAGCGCAAGTTTTTAATTTTTTTATTTTGATTACTCAATTTCCATGTCGCAGAAAAGAGGAAGACCAGCACCTAAGCTCAACAGGGCGTGCATGCTCTGTGGTCTTGTGCAGTCCATGAGTGTGAGTATGCCTTAATCATGAAGACTAACTTTGCAGCAATTCCGTAACGAAGGATGTCCCAACTGTGAGTCAGTTTTGCATTTTGCAGACAACGATGACCTTGTTCGAGAGTGCACTTCGCCTACCTTTGAGGGGCTTGTTGCTACACATGGAGACAAGGGATCGTGGGTGGCGAGATGGCTCAGAATCGAGAACTTTGTACCAGGTTTGTATGCTGTGCGAGTTCTTGGCAAATTGCCTGACGATGTCCGAGGCGATTTGGAGGCACAGGGCATTGAATACAGACCGCGTGATGGATCTATCCAAGATTAACCGTCATATAAATACGACAGTTTTGATTTACTTCAAAAGGTACGAGCTATACGAAACGAGAGTTCAGATGAAGATCATTCATTTACAGTCATGTGCATGCCTACGAGAATAGTCTCAATGATGAGTGTGCTGGGCGAATACAACCATTTGCTGGTTTTCAAGCCTCTCAGGTAGACAGTACTTCAGTCCTGCTTCCTATGATGCCGTTTGGTTACATAATCGTGAACGACCACATGCTGTGAAAATTTTCAACAAAAGGAATTTTGTATTGTATAAAAAGATCGCTAGATCTCGTTTTTTTCATACTTGATTCTTTAACTACTACCCTTATAAAAATGAGCAATTACAAAGTCGCTGACATTTCCCTTGCTGCCTTTGGTAGAAAGGACATTGAGTTGTCCGAGAACGAGATGCCTGGTCTCATGTACATCAGAAAAAAATATGGACCGTCCCAACCTCTCAAAGGTGCCAGAATCGCTGGATGTTTGCACATGACTATCCAAACCGCAGTTCTCATTGAGACTTTGGTTGCTCTTGGAGCTGAGGTTACGTGGTCCTCATGCAACATCTACTCCACTCAGGACCACGCTGCTGCTGCTATTGCTGCAGCAGGTGTCCCAGTTTTTGCCTGGAAAGGAGAGACTGAGGAAGAATACCTGTGGTGTATAGAGCAGCAGCTTTTTGCTTTTAAAGACGGAAAGAAGCTCAACCTGATCTTGGACGACGGAGGAGACTTGACCTCTCTTGTCCACGAAAAGTACCCAGAAATGTTGGAGGGCTGTTACGGTCTTTCTGAGGAGACGACCACTGGTGTTCACCACTTGTACAAGATGATGAAGGAGGGCACCCTGAAGGTTCCTGCTATCAATGTCAACGATTCCGTTACCAAATCCAAGTTCGACAACTTGTACGGCTGCAGAGAATCTTTGATTGATGGTATCAAAAGAGCCACAGACGTTATGATCGCCGGTAAGGTTGCTGTTGTTGCTGGTTTTGGTGACGTTGGTAAGGGATGCGCCATGGCCTTGAGAGGTATGGGTGCAAGAGTGATAGTTACCGAGGTTGACCCAATTAATGCTTTGCAAGCCGCTGTTTCTGGCTACCAAGTCACAACTATGGAGGAAGCCGCCCCAATCGGTCAAATATTCGTCACTACCACTGGTTGCAGGGATATCATCACTGGCGAGCACTTCTCTGTTATGCCGGAGGACGCCATTGTTTGTAACATTGGTCACTTCGATGTGGAGATTGACGTCGCTTGGTTGAAAGCTAATGCTGTTGACACTGTCAACATCAAGCCTCAAGTTGACAGATACCTGCTCAAGTCTGGAAAGCACGTGATTTTGCTTGCCGACGGTAGACTGGTCAACCTGGGTTGTGCCACCGGTCACGCTTCGTTCGTCATGTCCTGTTCTTTCTCCAACCAAGTTCTTGCCCAAATCGCTTTGTTCAAAGCCGGCGATGCTGATTTCAGAAAGCAATTTGTTGAGTTTGAAAAGACTGGTCCGTTCGACATTGGCGTTCATACCTTGCCAAAGATTCTGGACGAGACCGTCGCTGCTTGTCACTTGGATCACCTGGGCGTCAAGCTTACCAAACTCACCAAGGTTCAAAGCGAATACTTGGACATTCCAGTGCAAGGTCCATACAAGGCTGATCACTACAGATACTAAAGGATATTAGACGACTAGCAATTTTGCATCAACTGCATTTGCGATTTAGGTTTCTTTTTTGCTTATGAGTTCCACCTCTTTTATGTTTGAATGTCATGCTTCAACATCATGTATAATACTGGTATAGATATCTTCAACGAGATTGTTTTGGAAAATTGTTCATACTTAATTTATTGTCTGGGGAATGTGATAAAATAAAATCTACATGATTGAAATTCCGTCTTATTTACTCAAATTGCGTTACGGCGCTGTTGCACAGCGGACACTTCAACAAATTTGCTCAGCTGAACAACCCAAGTCCAAGGATGATGTTCGTGATGCCATGGTAAGCCAACTCTCTACTATTGGGATAATTGGGTCTAATCCAGTCATGTTCCGCAAGAATGAAGATTATATCGATAAGTTGGTGGATATCTTTAAAAGCAAGGGACCTGCAAAAGCCAGTGCGATGCTTACAGATGAATTTGTCAATGACGAGACTGAAACGGATGAGCTGGTGACTGAATTAGACGATAGTAGCGTTGGCAAATCTCCCTCTGCTGCGCTAAAAGTCGAGCCTCTGGATAGCTTGGCTACTTCTACTGACCACCAATCCCTCCCGTCGCGTTGGATCACTCCGAAGGAATGCCAGTTTGAGCTTTCGCTAGACGGTTTGGAGATCTCGACTAAAAATCCTACTAAATCCGTGTCCTCCTCTTCCTCAATAACAGTTAACCTTCCTCATCACGCTCGTTCAAGCATTTTCTCGACAAAAGCAGATTTCAGCGTGCATGAAACGATAGGCATATACTATTATGAAGTGGAAGTTCTATTTGGGCTAAACTCGGGATCGGAGATAACAATAGGATACATGGATGGAGATCAACCAGAGGAAATCATCAGTTCTCTGAGAGGCCACGACGAGAACGCATGGGGATACAAAGGCAAAGACGGGAAACTAGTAAGCTTTGAGGAGTGCAGATCCAGTGTTCGAACATCGTGCAAGTTTGGCAATAAAGACGTCGTCGGATGTGGAGTTAATTTTATCAATCGTTCGATTTTTATCACCAAAAATGGTGTGTTCCTCGGTGAAGCCTTTTCCTTGCCATCGAACATGAAGCGGGTCGTGCCGGTGGTAAGTCTGGGATCTTGGAACTCGATTTCGACCAACTTTGGTCATACCAAAAGCTTCAGGTTCAATATTGACAACTATGTCGACTCATTCAAATTACGGTTTCTAAAGACAATCAATAACTATAAAATACCCTCCGTGACCCTTGACAATGGCAGAGAAATCCGAGACTCCAACGATATGAAGAACTCGCTCAGCCAGATGATTAAAAAGTACTTTGAGCACAGAGGCTATGCCACTGCGCTCAAGTCATTTGAGAAGGATTTGAGTCTTGAGGGGAGTGAAGATACTCCATATCCTTTAAGGCGTGAGAGCTATATCAAGAAGAAACTCAAACATCTGATTTCAAGCAATGAAATCGATGCAGCCACGGAGTTGGTTAAATCCAGCTTCCCCGGTCTGCTAGAAGACAATACAGATATACAATTCAAACTAGACTGCCTTAAACTGGTGAACATGGTCGATAGTGAAGAACAATTTATCAAACTTGCTAAACACATGAAATCAGCTTACGTCTGGGAGCACTATCAAAAAATACTAAACGATCTTTCGGGGTTGCTTGCGTACGATGATCCGACTGCCACTGTGCTATACAAATCATTCATGAACTTTGAAAGGGCTAGATTGGTGCACAAGCTCTGCATGTTGATTAACTTGAAAAGTGGCATTCCAGCATTATCCAATTTTGAACAACTTATTCATGCTGCAGACTCCATGGTCGTTGAGGGTAATGATCCCAACACGACACTGATAGACATTGTGAATGATTTTGTCCAGATATGAGCTCACAAATGTTTCTTTAATTCGTCGAGGATAACGTCACTCAATTTTATAATTCCGTCCGCATTGCACAATCTATATGTGTTGTTAGCCTGGTACGTGGACGGATCCATGTTGCCCATTTCATCGACCTTGATATAGCCTAGCACGTTGTCAACATTCACTTGCTGGTTCATGTACTCAGGAACACGCTTTAGATCATATATGGGCATATAAGAATTGAGATAATTGAGCGAATCCAACCGATACATCATGTCATCAGCAACATGGTCTTTTATGACATGCTGTAAAAGCTCGATGAAAGACTTGTTTTCAACGAACTTATCAGGTGTGACATGATAGTCACTACCTATTTTATCTATTGCTTTGATTCTGCCTATGGGCAAGCGTGCTGGGTTAGAGCTGAATGATAGTAATGAGGTTGATCCAGCCTGATGGAGATATATCTGTGACTGTGCGGCATATTTTAGTGTTTTGACTAGATGTCTGTTGGCAAATTGACTGATCCCAGATAAGCTCATATTGAAGTACAATTTTTTGCGGGAAAAATTAATTTGAATTCGCAGCTCAGATGAACTAAATTTTACCTTTTTCAAAGAGGTCGAGTATATTTTCGGATACTCTCTGGGCAAAATCATGCCTCTGATCTTCGGGAAGACGCGAAGCGTCAATGCGGGCTTGTTTCATTTTTTCCACAAGCTGCAGAACATCTGAAGACTTGTCACTACCGTGATCCAGCAAGGGTTCTGTGTAATCAGCAGCAGTTTTTATTGGCTTGCTTGGTCGTTTTTGCTGCTGTAGAGATCGCCATCTATGTGTTTGAATAGACTCGCGGATCCGCTCTTGATCATAAGTAATGTACTCAAACCCTGACATGATAAACATATCCTGATAGAAATCCTCAGCCTCCTGCGGATTAAATCCAACGACAATCTTGAATCCATCCCACTGTGGTTCACCACAATCTTCGGTATATTCGTCGTCCAGTTTAGTCGCTAGGCGCTCCAAATGTCGTTCGATTTCGTTGATTTCTTCCTTGCTTGTCGTCTGTAAATCAATACAAATTACTAGCCCCTGTATTTCTTCTCGGAGTATTCTGGCTTCTGGTGTATCAAGCTCGTTGAACCATTCTGCAGCAACCTCGAACTCATCAATGAATATAGAGACCGATGCTTTGTAATACTTGGTTTCAATCGGGACATCGTCCACGATAATGCCACTTTGACATCTATCGTTTGTTAAATCTTTATCAGAGATGGAGAACACGTCTTGGACAAGCCGTACCTTGTCCACGCCTACTTTACCAGCGATCAATATTCTGTTCATGATTTGATTTGGCTGTGTAAATCCTAAGTTTTAATAAACAAAAAATAGCTTCCAATTGTTTGTTTCGTATGACGTCAAAAATAGATATAAACCCTCAAAAGAATGATAATGACTCACTCATACAGTATGCCCTGACATCGGATGACTATTTGGACCAATTTGCACCTATTATAAAAGCTGAATTAGCGAACAAAGAGTCTCTGGATGATCTGATATCGAGACTTGATTCCGCGTACAAAGAAAAAGAAGACACTCTTGAAGGAGCTTCCTTTACTTCAGTAGACAAGCTGACCAGCTCAATTGAAAATATATCTCAAGTATCGAAATCTGCGGGGCAAATAGGTCAAGAGATTGCGTCCATTAATGACCAGGTCAGGAAGACAGGATTGGATTATCTGGATAAAAAGAAAACTGCCCTCAAATACAAACGGCTTCACAACAAGATTTCCGAGACTACGTTGACAATTAACTCGTGCCTGGATATGCTTGATAAAACAAACAGAGTCTTTGAATTATTTCACAACAAAAGCTATTTTAAGGCTTTAATCAATTTGAATTCGCTGATGAAAAGTCCGTCTGAAGATATTGAAATGTTCGAATTCACTCGGAAAATTCATAACTCGCTTCCGGCGATCAAGCAGCTTATCATCGATGAGACATTCCACCAGCTAATAAGATGGTTTAACGTCAGCTTTGAAAAAAATCTTACTACGATCGGAGAACAAATGTTTGAGCATTTTGAAAAGCTCAATCAAGCATGGGCTGAACAACAAGAGCAGGATGAAAGCTTACTCCCGTTTAAGGTAAACACACCTTTGGAAAGGGCTTTCAGAGATGATGAGCTCAAATCTTTCAACCCCCTCTCAAATGACAAAATCCAAATCGATCTTGGTCCCGTTTATCATTCTACGATGGTATTCGAGCTGATTGATGAATTTGATAGACTCAAAGATGACTTTTCCAATGAACTGCTTCGCAAGCGTGATCGGCTGATCTATCCTATACGAGAGGCTCTCGCGACGCTGAAATTCGACATGTTTTCCAACAACGAGTCTCTAAAAATTGTCATTTACTCGCTCGCTGCCTTTTTCGTGGTGGATAGAATGATCGCAGCCAAAACGGAATATCAATTGAGAAACAAAAAACAAACAGATGATCTCTTCAGTTCCGTCATCACAAAGTTCATCCCAATACTGAAGGGACATATTAAGAAGTATCATGATGACTTTCAAAACTTGAAGGATCTAAACGAGATAGTCGGCATATTTGTCCAGATCCTAGAGAATTATGAGTTCAATGTGGAAGCACTTTATGAGGTGCTTATTACGCTGTTTCAACAATACATCAACACTTTGACTAAAGACTTTGAGCTTGATTATCAAAACCTATCTCTGGAGGAGAACCCACAGCCTATCACTATCGAGAATAAGACGCAGTTGAACAATGTTCAGACAAACTGTTTCCACAAATTCAAGGATAGCATAACGGAGTTTCCGGTTGTACTTCCGTTCTCCATAATCTATGTGGCTACTTGTCTGAAGTTGAGGGGATTTATTCATGATGTTTACGCATTCGTTGGAAAATACTATGCCCATCAAAATTCGGAAATACTGAAGCTTATTGGCAAATCTATTGATCACGTTCTCATAAATATCGTGCTAAAGGATCTCAAAACAAAAATTGACTCTTCCTATAAAGAGGAAGTGTCCCAGAATCTCATTAATCTGGAGTTCTTTTCCAGATCAGTGGTCGAAATCGAGAATTATTTGAACTACTCCAGCGATCCCACCATCGCGAGATGCAGGTCATCGTCGCTATTAATTCGCCTAAGGTCTCAGAAAGAATTCCAAACAATACAATCGAAAGCAGAAGAAGGAATGTTCGATATGGTGGACTCCAAAATTGATATGCTATTTGATATGGTCGATTTTGATTGGGAGTCCAAGAAAGTCAACGAGGAGCCTAGCATCGGTATCAAGGATATGGGGCTATTTCTGGAAAACATATTCATGCTTGACTTTTCGCACCTTCCCTACACAATCAAATCCCTGTTGCTGATCAGAACATTCGACAAAATCGTTACTTTCTTCAAACAATCGATCTATCAGACTGATTTTATAACAAGCGAAAGCATAATGAATTTTGAGACCGACATCAAATATATTGAGTCTATTATTCCTGGTCTCAAGCAACAGAAAACATCGACGCGGCACCTGACTGCAGATTCGGAGACTTCGAACTCGACTTTCCAGACTATATTTGCTGGCTTGACGCAAATCATAGACCTTTTGAAGGACGGAAATCTAGAAGCCTACAAAGATGAGACTACGCGAATGCGTAAATTCAATACGATTGCGCCGGAAGAAGCGATCGAGTTGATTCAGAAACTTGAGAACTATCAGGTGCTAAAACGCGAGATGTCAGAGCCTGAGCAACAAGAACATGCTGATCCCAATAATGGAACGAATGGAGATTCCGCGCGGTCTATGTTCGGCTTCAAGAGATCAAATACCACCGCGTCTCTTACATCTCCTTCAAAAATGTCAATGTTCAAAAGGCAGATTTCTTAGATTACACTTCAATTGGCTCCCAGCTAAGCCAGTCGCTGCTCCGGTTTGGAATCAGACCCAATTTGTTCAGCTTCCAAACGCCAATGGCCATGTTTCCACAGCAACATGCCACATATAGAAACTGTAAAAACGTCTTTCCCTGATTATCATTTAACTCTAAATCGCGGAACTTTTCTCTAACTTGAAAAATCTCCTTGATGGAGTTGACGAAAAGCATCAAGACCATGACGACAGGAATCAGCTGAAGCGAATTGGGTGACATGTACATCATTATCAAGTTCATAGGAATACTTTTAGCGGGCGACTTTGCCAAATCCCATGCTCTTTCGTATTTTAGTTCCTCAAGGTCAGAGTTCTTGTTTGATATCTTCCCTTGCGGCTTGACCTTTCCTTCTTTCCATTGTCTATAAAACTGCTCATCAAATCCAGGAGGCGACGAAATAGATTTCCCTGATGGCTTGTCACCCCTTTTTGGCGGGCTTCTATATTGACTGACCCAATCCATAAAAAATAAAGTTAATTAAAATTAATTTTGTTCCGATCCATGCAACATTATAAATTAGTCAAGCACGCTCCCCCACTCAAATACTCGTATAATGATTCACGAACAGTAGTTCACATAAAGTCCTCTACTCCATTTATGTCGGCAGCGAAACGAATACTGAAAAACATAGATTATTTTGATCATAAATATACGAAAAAAGGAAAGCCAATACCAAATCAGAACAAGTTAGTATCATATATTGTTGTGCGCGGAATGGGGAAAGCAATTTCCAAGGTTACTAATCTTGCTCTCTACTTTGATCACGAGCTGGGCTACAAAGTTGAAGTTTTTACCAAGACAGTAGAGGTTCTTGATGAGCTACAAAGCGCGAATGACGATGACGTTTACCAACGAAGGAAAGTTTCGTGCTTAGAATTGCATATAGACCTTCAGAAAAAGGAACCACAGTCCGAATCATAGCATAACATTTTAATACTGAGCAGCTCAACAGGTGCTCTAATTAATGTTCATTACTCAAAATTTTCTTTCTTCATCAATCGTTAATATGCTTGTGAGCTTATGGAGACATTTGTCTTGAATATCTGTGAGCTGTTTGAGGAGTTTCTCGTAGTTTTTGCGTTCTTGTTTGTCTGTTGATTCTAGTTTTAGCTTGCTTATAAGTTCATTACAAATATGGAGACAGTCATCCAAATACCCCAAATAGTAACGTCGCTCCAGACTATGAATTGTTTGGACTCTAGTTATACTATCAACTGAGCAAAGGTTGACCATTCGTATTGAGTTTTCCATAAATGTTTCAAGTTCGCTGATGATGGGGCCTTCTTGCAAATATTGGTTTTTCTGTGAAAGATATTCTTCATAGCTTTGCCCCTTACGGATTCGTATATGGCAATCCTCTGTCTTTAGCAATCCACGTTCATCATGATAGTTTGTAGTATCAGGAGCTTCCATTGAAAAGTTACTATGCTACTTTATTTTTTTTTTATTTTTTTTCAATAACATTCAAATAAATAGGTAGCCCGGCTTACTCCTTGAGGCCATTGATGGTAGCGACACAATGTCTTGTGTGTCTGTAATCCCTGAACTCCAGTAACCAAATGCCTTGCCATGTACCTGTCGCCAGCCTTCCATTGCTAATAGGGATGTTAAGGGAGGCACCGATCAAGGAAGATTTTACGTGCCCCGACATGTCATCCGGACCTTCATCTGTATGAATAAACTGACATTTTCCACCTCCGTTATCGGGGCAAATCATGTTCAAGGCGGTCGTCATGTCCGTACGGACGTCGGGGTCCCAGTTTTCGTTCAAACTCAAAGCACAAGACGTGTGCTGAACAAACAGGTTGAGCATTCCAACCTTGTAGTTCTTGATCTGCGGAAGGTTCTTCAACACCTCATCTGTGACCAAATAGCAGCCGCGCGATCGTGGAGAGAAGGAGAATTTAGTTTGTTCCCAAGACATGAAATAGAAATTGCTAAAAAGAATACGACTTACATAATCTAGCAGTCGGAGTCTGAAATTGCTTCCGGAGTGTAGTCTTCATCTTCGTCATCACTGGAAATCAAAGGCCCCGCCAAGAGAAGCGTTTCTTGAGAACAGGTAAATTCAATGGGCTGTTGCACCATGGCGGTCTTCTCCTCCTCGTTGTATTCCCAAAAACTCTTCAATTCACCTCGATATAGGGCCGTTGATACTGTTGATAAAATAATACAAGGACACAGATATAATAGTGCCGGCTGCGCACGGTTGAAAACATGTAATACCGTCACCGTGGATACAAGCCCTATTGTATAGCCGGCCAGAGCACTGTAAAAATATGGCTTATCAAATTTTTGGAGATGATGAAATTCTGTGCCGGGATGCAACTCATGATATCTAAATAGGTCATATCTCAGACAAAGCGAGACAAATAAACCGGGGACGATCATATCTCCCAGACCCAAGATTGACATTTGAATCTCATTATCCTTGCTGGACAGCTTACTAGGAACAAGCATTTTGACAGGTATATCAATTTTGGTAGCAACATTAACCATGACGTCAGATCCGAAGACAAAATAAATATCGTAGATGAAGAAGAGAATCAGCAAGATTAATGCTGGCCTGAAGCTAGGTAATCTGCTCACGGAAAGGCTAAATATTGTGAAAGATGCGCCGAATATATTGCTTAGAATCCAATTATTTTTGCCATCTAGTAAAGCGAACACAATGGAGAAAGAAACTCCAAAGACCCAACCGTAGATGTCCGCTGTGGAAAAGTAGTAATTGAACAATTGACTCTCCTTTTTGATATCTACACGTGACCTCAAAAGCATCTCACTTTTGATTACTTTCTCGGCTTCTGTAGAGTCCGGAAGTAAGAAGTTTTCTTCTACTCCTGCAGAGTGAAATAAAATGTCCCGCGATAAAGTTAAAGCATATCTTTTAACAAATCGCTGCGAATCAAAACCGAATTGGTGACACAACTTGCGAGCAGCGACTTTTATCAAATAGGAGATCACAAATGAGTTCGCTTTGACACTCACGATGATCAAATAGCCGTTCAACATTCTTGTGATTTTTTCGATATCCCAATTTCGTATGGCAAAATACAAGCCCAGGAGAGCAATACCGGCCAATACTGGCATGGCAAATGCATGAGTCTCGTCAATGGTTGCTTCAGGTATGGATGTCTCATCGCGATCGGATTGATCAAATAAGGGATGTTTCTCGTTCGCTATTTTAGCGTTTTTTGGTCTCTCAATAGTACTGTAACTTCCCAAAGAAACCAAACTGACAGCCAGCACAATTACCGTGGCATAGGATAGAAATGCCGTGCTAACGTATGATTGGTCGTAGATGTAGAATGCAAATTTATTAGCTAATTGGTGCGAATATCTTCGCCCCCATTCAACGTATTTCTCCATAAGAGGAAGGAAGAGTAGTTTTTTCAAGTACGTGTTCGAAAAAAGGTGGTAACTTATTATTAGATTTCTTTCCAATGTCTTCAATGAAGGAGTTAGAACAGTTCAACTGTGGTCTACGAACCACAAACGTGAGTGTCTTGGTCTCTGGTTATTAACCAAGTAGTATCCAGCTATCAAGAATGCGCCATTGCCGGCTGATGGTGCAGGGTCCAAGCACTTCAACAACTGGATTCTCTTGTCCATTATGTTAGGTGTTCCTTTCTATGTCACTAGACGTCTTGGATTGGGCTTGTACAGTTTTGTCTTTTTGTTCGCATTGTTAGCAATTCCGATTCTTATGGCTTGGTGGACTGTTTTGTCAACCTATTCCCCAAGGCTCAATGAAAAAGTCAAGCTGCCGAACATGGGTGTCCAGTACTACCTTGAATTCCATGATGATCAATTGAAGAGCAAGTACAAGGATCAGCACAAAATTCCAATGGAGACTTTCCACAACCTTTACTTTGAAGGAAAAGTGTCATTCAAGGGTGACGCTTTGGACGTCATGGAATACAGGCACGATTGGGCTTCGTTCAGGTTCACCTTGAGCTTGTTCAAGTTTTTCTTGTTTGGCATGATTCCAGAAGTCATCATGCATACTAAGTCCCAGGACGAGGAACAAGTGAGAGATCACTACGACAGGGGTGATGACTTCTACTCCTGGTTCTTGGGCCCAAGAATGATTTACACCTCTGGTATCATCACAGATATTGAAAGAAATGAAACTCTTGAGGAACTTCAAGACAACAAGCTGAAAATCGTTTGTGAGAAGATTGGTTTGAAAAAAGGTGACAAGATGCTTGATCTCGGATGTGGATGGGGTACGCTTGCTTGTTTTGCTTCCTCTCAATACGGAGCAGAGGTTACCGGTGTCACGTTGGGCAAGAACCAAACCAAATACGGTAATGAGAAGCTAGCTTCTTACGGTATATCTTCTGACCAATCCCACATTGTCTGCTGTGATTATAGAGATTCACCAATGCCCAAAGAGGAGGGCAAGAAGTACGACAAGATCACTTGCTTGGAAATGGCGGAACACGTTGGCGTCCGAAAGTTCTCCTCGTTCTTGCGTCAAGTTTATGATATGCTGGATGACGATGGTGTCTTCTTCTTGCAGTATGCAGGATTGAGAAAATCATGGCAGTACGAAGACTTGATATGGGGCTTGTTCATGAACAAGTACATTTTTCCTGGTGCGGACGCTTCAACTCCTCTAGATTTTGTGATATCTGCTTTGGAAGGAACTGGGTTTGAAACGGTTAGTGTTGACAACATTGGTGTTCATTACTCTGCTACATTGTACAGATGGTACAAAAACTGGCTGGCCCACAGAGAGGAAGTGATCTCAAAATACGGTATCAAATGGTACAGAATTTGGGAGTACTTCCTTTCTTACTCCACAATTATCGCCAGACAAGGTTCTGCTACCTGTTACCAGATTGTGCTCAGGAAGAATCTCAATTCCTACCACAGAATTGAAGATGTTCCTCGACAAAAGGGTCTGCTTGCTCCAGCATCCGGACTCGAAAAATGGGCCAAAGAGTTTACTCTCGGATTATAGGTAAAAGTATGGTATGTTTATTTATCTTTCATTGCTTATAATGTATCTTAATCCCAAGACCAGGTGATTTCAATTTCGCCGATGTCCAGATCTGCCAGCTTCGAGAATGCAGCTGGAGAAAAGTCCAAATCATTGTCTCCACATGACTCGCAAGAGTCAACGACTTTGACCGTAACAGAGTTTCCGTTGTAGTTTGCAGTGATGGTCTTTCCACAGTAGGATGAAATATCCTCACCATTGACAGAAGTCTCATAAAGGGAATGGGAAATGGCGCAGACCAAGTCAGAGTTGGTGCTGGATGTTCCACAGTTATCAGCGCCGACTTCGTAGAAGGTGCCTCTACCGGTATGAGAACCGCTCGAGGAGATGCTTGCAGAAGTTTCACTTTGAGAGGTGGGAGACTCAACAACACTAGCTGCGGTAATGGAAACAACTGAAGAAGACAACTTCTGACCAGTAGGTTCCGAACTGCGAGTAGCATTCAAGAACGAGGTGGACAAGGTAGTTCTTGCGTTAACAGCAGAAGAAGTATTCATGGCTTTCGGACCACTAGAGTCAGTGCAAACTGGAATCTGGCTATTGGTGAAGTCACCTGTAGCTTTGTGTCCAGTTCTTAGCCATTCAAAGTCGTCCATATCGATGCTGATATGATACTTGTTTTCGACATAGCTCAAAGCTTGAGTGAATTTTTCCCCCAGGTCCTGAGCTTCAAATGGAGCTGCAATAGTATATGAAGTGAGTGCAAGAGTCAAAAGAGTGAAAACCTTCATTGTTGAGTGAACAATTTGCTCTATAACAGGAGATGGGAGGGGCTTTTATAGTTTTCCCTAACATCATATTACATCATATCATTCTTCCGCTTCTTCACTCAACGTGTGATTTTGTCTAGATCTTGGCCTTAACGGCACGTCCCCTGCATATGCGTCGACCCGCCCTTGATGGGCCAGCCCGATATGTTTTTAGGAGAATAAGGGCAAACAACGGTTAAACGCGCTTTTCGCCTGAACTTCTCTTGTTCAAATCTGTATGATGGCCTCTTTATGCAAAGATTGCAGGCCAGAACCATTTTGATTCCTTGATTTGTTAAAAAATTATGCACATCATATCTGAGGAGCAATTGTTATTGTACATGATTTTGGCGAATGTTATTTTGGGGCTGCATGATCGGTCTAAATCGTAAAAAAAGAAAACTTTCTACTTTCCAATCGCTAATACCTTTTTATAGCAGTAGAGTTCGAGAAGAAGTTTCCGAAGCAATTCCTGGTTCATTGGAAAGATCTTAGCTATGATTCTCAGTTTCGCAGAGCTCTTTCTCTGATCATATATCCAATGCTTCAAATCGGGAAGCGATAACAGAGATGGAATTTTTTCATACGGAAAGCAAAGCCCTTCTGGGTCGATTGTAAAGAGTTTCTTTTTCGTCGTGGAAACCAATTGGGAGGTGAATATCAGGTTCTTTAATGCAAGTAGCAACGATGATTCCTCGTAGTCCAAGGGAGTTCCCCCCAGATCGAGAACTATCGTAATTATTAAACTCAAAAAATGCTTATTCTCTGTTGCATCATATAAGTAAAAAGTGTTGAGTCTTACAACAAGCGCTTGATAGAATAGTGACTCCTCATTCAAATAGGTTTCTCTCTTGATCGACTTTCTAGAACGTAAAGCGGTATCAAAGCACTGCTTCATTTTCGTAGCTACCAAGAGAATGTCCTCTTCCCGAGAATAAATTTGACTGACGTTAGACAAAAACCAATAAGACTCTTCTTTTTCAGAACAAGGCTGGGCTCTCACGAAAACCATATTTTGGACCGTCGGAGATGAACTTGAATAGATAAATTTGATAAAGTCAAGAGTGTATTTGTGAGTGACTCTGGAAGCAGCTTTCTGAATAGTTCCTGTTAGTTCCGATTCCTTGAAACATAAGAGACTACACCAAACCATAGACTGAAATGAAGGATTCGCGATGATAGCGGTCATCAAAGTATGGCAGGATTTTAATGTCGGTTTTTCAGCTATTACTTTCAGTCCCTCATATAGAATGGATACTATGGTACTGTTTTTGTTTATATTGTGGTAAACTAGCAGGTTCTCAAAGAAGTCGCCTAGTACCAGCAAGAAATGATTCTTCGAGTCGGGATTTTTGCTTAGTTCCATGATATCAAGATAATAGTTGAGAGATGAAACGTAAAGCTGATATTCCTGAGTTTCTGTGAATAGCTCTGTGGTGACCTGGTTTTTTACTGGATCCCTTCTCAGTCTATTTTCGCTTTCCTGCTCTCGTAAAGATAAAGGGTATTTTAGGAGTGTCTCGCACAGCTGGGATTCGGTGAAATAGAGACGTGCATGCTGAGATACATCTATGAGCCTAGCTAGGTTACCCAACAGTATATCCCGATACCGAAGCGTGAATTTCTCGCTTGGTGGAGGATAAATTGTGGAGTTTATGAACCTGTGAACAAAGTCAAATGTGGGGAATCGTTTTTTTGATGCATCAGAAGGGTCTGAGTTTGGTTTTTTGATTTCAAACCATCGCTCTGCAAGTGTTGGGAATTTAGTATAAGTTTGCATGATACTGGCTACAAGGAGGATAGAACACTTCAAGAGCTTCGAATCTGGTGCAGCATGTAAACCGGACACAAAATTCTCGACCACTTTGCAAATGTAAGAGGTGTTCTCTTCCATTGTGTCATGAAATTGCTCAAAATTCTTCAGCACAGTGAAGAACAGAGAGCACAACTCTGTTGTTACCAAATGGTCTCCAAAACGCAGCGCGACCACCCCAACACGGGATTCCAAAATACCGCTCAATATTAATGATTCATACCGCTCTTTCAGGCCCGCAGAGAAGTTCTGGTTTAAGCGCTTCAACGATATGTATAGCTCGTTCAGGCTGTTATCATCACACTAATGCCGTTAGTGTCAAGCGGAACAGAACTCACCTTTCTCAACACGCCGACGGTAGAGCTCTGAACATTGTCGATCAAAAATTGGAAACTCGAGTCTTGTTTCTTCTGGTTTGCGACCACAAACCTAGATTTTGAAGAAGTTGGGCGCCGGGTTGTTTGCTCTGCTCCAGCCGTGTTAGGCGAAGCACTCAGGCTTTTCATGTTAGGATTAAAAAAACGTGGTTGCCCTTTTTAGGGATACGAAGGCTGTGCACCGTGTTAAAAATTAAATCAAGTGAAAAGCAAGATATGAGATCTGAAACATCCACTAAATATAAATAGAGAGTTCCTACCCAATTGAGCATTTGACAGATCTTGAAACAGTGTGATTCAGAACCAAACTGATTTTTGGAGTATCAAAATTTCCTTTTAAAGGTTTCAAAACAAGCGTGCAACAAACTTTCGCTGATTTGTAACTTATAAGAAGGATCCAACGACGCGCCCTTACATTTACTGAGCAATCCTTCAAGTGGGATATATCAGAATGAATAATACATCTTTTATGAAGCCCGTGGGTTCACGCTCAGGATATCCTTACCTATCAAACCTTCAAGGATGGCAGGGATCAGATTATAATGCTGAAAAATTAATAGCACATCAGCCAGGTGATGGCCATAGGCTTGTTGCAACCCGCTCCTCCGCCAAAGATTCATATTCAAAGAATACAAGAACTTTAGCGTCTTTGAATCCACAACAGACAAACAATAGGACAGGGAAAGGGAACGCCAACAGTAAACAAAACAATGAAAGCAAAAACTCTGTTTCATGCTTCAAGAATGATTACTCAAACCATTATATTCATTCGGGCGTCCTTCCAGTGAAATATGTAAGAAATGCGATTCAACCTGTTGAAGGATATCCTAAGCTGCAAAAGCTTATCAGACTAAAAGAGCAACAGGTTATGAAATATGCTACTAGAGCTTATGGCTCAAGAGTCAAACCTGAAAAGATAGTTGATACTCTGAACAAATGGATCTACGAAGAAAATTTACAATTTGATGTCATTATGATTGGTGCATTGTCCGAAAATCAATTATTATACCCCTTAATCTCGCAACTTCCGATTGACAAACTATGTGCTAAACCAGGATTCTTGTTCATATGGGCATCCACCCAGAAAATATCCGAGCTTTCTAAACTTCTTTCAAACACGGGCACATGGACGAAAAAGTTCAGGAGATCAGAAGAGCTTGTGTTCGTCCCCGTGGACAAAAATTCGCCGTTCTATCCCACTGATTCACTCATCCCTGAAGAACAATTGCTAGAACAAATGCAATGGCATTGTTGGATGTGTATTACTGGAACTGTGCGGAGATCATCGGACAAGAACCTTATTCACTGCAACATAAATACTGATCTTTCCATTGAAAATGATTCCACGAAGAACTCGGCCGTTCCAGCACAGATTTACCAAGTGGCGGAGAATTTTTCGACTTCCACCAAACGGCTGCACATTGTCCCATCGAAGACAGGACTTGATCACCCTGTCAGACTGAGGCCAGGCTGGGTTATCCTGAGCCCAGATGTCATGCTTGATAACTTTGATCCATTGAAGTACAAAAAGGAAATCGCAAGTCTGGGTTCCAATATTCCTCTTGATGACGAAATTGAACAGTTAAGGCCCAAGACTCCAGTTTAATATAAGCATTATAGCTTTGCTAAAAACATGCATCTCAATTCATAAGAGTTGAAACTAAGACATTCTAGTAGAGAATGTCTGTATTGGAACCTAATGTACAGATATTTTCAACTATATATGAACACACTGACTTAATGCCATTCAGCCATTTGTAAAATATAAGAATTGAACTCATTTCAAACAATTACTGAAGCATTGTTTGTAAATATAAACATCAACTTGTAATAACACCTCACCCAACCGCAAATAAATATAAGGAAGCCCATAGTGTACAATGTTGAAACATAACATCACTGTTCTGTTTCCTGATGATCTTATTTTATGCACCGATGGAAGAAACATATCGTCCACTCTCGAGTTCATCGATAGTAGACTCGATGACCTCATCGTCATCGTCATCTTCAACCAACTCAATGGTAGCATATTTGATTAAATCCCACTTTTTCCAAAAAAGTAAACACTCATTGATATCGTCTGAGTCAACGTAGTCCTGCAGATAGTATTTCGTCTTGATAAGTCTATCCTTCAATTGCTGCAAACGAACATTTTCAGGAACTTCAGATACGCGACGAGTTGTCGATTTTGGGACTTCGGCGGGATAATCGCTTTCATATTCTGTAATGTTTGTGTTCGTGGAAATTTCAGACTTATAACCTTCTTCATCGTCAGAGGTAATTGCAATCGACGTAGGAGTTTGCGGAATACCATTTCCGCCGTCAAATCCATACACTTCATCCTCATCAACTGCAGTGGCATCACAATATCTTGCCCATGCTTCATCAATAGCACCAACAAGATATTCAAAACAACGACTTCTTGCTGCAAAATCAGATTCTGGAAGACACCGTCTTGACTTTGGACTCATATCGAGAGACGGTGACTGAGTTACATTGAGAGGAGAAGAAACTGTCGAGCTTCTTCTACTGAAAGAATTGTGACCTGCGGTATTCTCAGAGGAATCCTCCTTCTTATCACGTTTCTCTTCTTGCTCGTCATCACTGTATTGACTAACAGCTTTCGATAACTTTGAATCCATCATGGTTGATGACAGAGAGTTTTTCAGAAGCTCTCTGTGACTCCTTCTTTTATTTCTTAGCCTGTTTCTATCTTTGAGAGTTGTTGGCTTTCGCGAAGCTTCGTCTTCAGAGGACTCATCTTCACTCGATGAGTTTTGGCAACTACGGATGTAGAGCAAGCTGCCTTTATTCGAGGATAACGGGCAGTGCTTCTTGCGAGAGGGAAACGAAACAGGGTGATTCTCCTTATCGAAATCTGTGTTCACAGAAGATCCTCTTTTAACTGAAAGTACCATTTTGGGCGTGTACCTTGCACAAAAAGGCTTTCCTTTTTGAAATTATTGACACGAATTCTTTTGACAGCCTCCTTGCTAATACCGACCAATCAGGAGAAAGTATTGGCACAAGCACAACTGAACGTAACAACTAAGTAGTCCAGAAGAACGGTAAGCTCGGTAAAAATAAGACTCTAAAACCTCTCTATTTGTAACCAAATATGGGGTTTGAGTAGAGCACCAGCTAAAAATTGACTTGGTAGAACTTGGTGAACAAGTTTTGAAACACCAGAGTGGCAAATTTGCTGGAAGAAAAATGTGCAAATAGGAAATGTACAACGATAAAATAGTGGGTGGCGAATTGCAGCCAGATTGTTGTTCGCAGAAATTTTCTGTGCAGCGCACGCAACCTCAGAAAACAAGACGTGTCTAGAAAATAACTCGCTATGGTGGTGTACGGATGTCGTCGTAAGGGCGCTGTTCGGTGATGAAACTAGCTACGCTTGGTGTTGTTTTCGAGATCCAGCTATTGCTACCAGACTGAATGATTTCCCTAATGCTTGATGAGCTGATATTCTCCGTGGCAGCATCTCCTCGAGCTAGGAATATCATGTCAGCCCATGTAGGAGGTGTGTCTGCTACCATCCCTTTTTTCATTCTCTCGAGGTACTGCAACTGTGATTCTAGAGAATCATGGCCGTCGTTCCGTGTCAATACAAAACAGTCGCTCGTATTGAAGAAGCTCCCTAAGGCATCTTGTAAAGAACGAGGCTCGTAGTATTTTGGAGAGAGAAGTCTAACAAGTGTATCATAGCCGAGCAGGAAGGTATAGCTCAAGCGGTCTGTGTAGTTTTTCTTGAAGTACCCCTCTAAAGTCAGAGCTTTATCCACAAACAGGGAGCAATTGGTGATTCCAATAGCACAAGAAACTCCTAGTTGGTCTGTGATTTCATGAGCCAAGTGATACATCATTTTAAGGCGGTCTTCGAACTTAGCAGGTTGTGGAGGCTTGTCGGCATTTTTTATGGAGAGCAATAGTAGCACTGACCTTGAGTTCATGCTGCTGTGAGCAGCAGATTCATCCCCTAGTTTATGTGTTAGCGACTTGGCTACTAATGATAAGTGACCTTTATGAGGGGGATTGAATGACGAGTCCAAGACAAGAATGCGGTTTGTTATTGGAAGCACGAACTGGTTATTCGTTACAAAGAGCAGCTTGAAAGATTTGGATGTAGTCTTGAGAAATGAGTTCAAGTGAGACTCAAAATCGAACATTTTGATTTATGAGGAGCACGAAAATAATAATTTATCGTGAATCAAGACAAGAGTACAGTCATTCTCGGATTAATTGGCTACAAGTGATTCATAGTTAATCCGTTTATATATTTTATTAATTCACAACTCTGGACCAGTCGCTCTCAACAACCCCATACTGCAGCTCAGCAATCCAGTCTGCGATTTGTTTGGTCAAAGGACCAGATTGCTCGCCAGGAAGCAAAGGAACGTTGATAGCCGTGCCATTATAGCCAATTTCTTTAATTGGCGACACAACTGCAGCAGTTCCGGCACCAAATGCCTCAACCAATTCACCAGATTCGGCCTTAGAGGCAATTTCAGTGATGGTGCAATACCTCTCGTTAACATCCCACTCAGATGGACTGAGTCTCTCTCTTGCTAAGCTCAAAATGGAATCTCTTGTCACACCCTCCAAAATTGTGCCATCTAGTGGCGCCGTCACCAACTCTTTCTTTCCTGTCGACTTGTCCTGGAAGACAACGAAAAAGTTCATGGTGCCAACTTCCGTAACGTTCTTTTCTGGACCGAACAACCAAAGATTTTGTTGATACCCTCTAGAAGCAGCCTCAAGTTGAGGTTTGATGCATGGAGCGTAATTTGCTCCCAATTTCTTGTCACCAACTCCTCCCGGCCAAGCTCTCGTCGCGTAGTCGGTGGCTTCCAATTTAACTGCCTTGAAGCCCGTCTTATAGTATGGTCCAACAGGCGAACAAATGACAAAAAGAAGAGCCCTGTCTGGGGTTCCAACTCCGAGACCGGCTGTGGTGCCAATCATAGTTGGTCTGATGTAAAGGGAGTATCCTCTCTCTTGTGGGATAAAAGCACCATCGATTTTCAATAATTCTCCAATGAGTTTAATGAGTTCTTCCGAGTCAAAAGTAGGCAGACATATTCTAGCGGCAGATTTGTTCATTCTCTTCATGTTCATGTCTGGTCTGAACATTCTGATCCTTCCCTTGCTATCCTTGTATGCTTTTAGGCCTTCGAAAAGCTCGAAAGCGTAGTGAAAAACGCAAGCAGATGGATCAAGAGAGAGGTTGCCATATGGTTTGATTTCTGGAATCCCCCAGCCGGATTCTGCGGTCCATTCAATAGTCAACATGTGATCGGTGAATGATTGGCCGAACACAAGTTGGTCATTAGGCAGCTTGGTCTTTGGTGCTGTAGTTTTGGTGATCTTCAACTTCGAAGAGTCCAACGCAGACGACATGCTCCTGACAAAGTTTTTGCTTCTAAATGATTGTTTTAGAAAAAACATTTTGAGGTTCAATTTCAGGTCAAGTTTGTGAGTAATTTACAGATCTCCAGAAATGATAATTTTTCATACAATTTTATCAAATCTCGGTTATGTATGGAAACGAGGTAAAAAACGCTTATCTAAATTGAGCTGACCCAATCATTTTTGGCTTGTCAATTTCTTGCTCTGTTCGAGTTTCTTATCCAGACCCCTCAATCTCTCATTCTTCTTTTCTTCCTGATCCGGAGGAAGTTTACCCAACAATGCGGGTGCAGGCTGGTTCTTGAAAGCCGACTTGAATAAACTTAGTTTATCCGTCTCTGGTATCTGTGCCTTCTTCGATAAATCCTTGTTCTTGCTATCCTTCTTTTTGTTTTCCTCTCCGTTTTGCTTCTTCAGCCTGTTTCGTTCGATCGCAGACCTTTTTTCCAATGTCTCAATCACCTCTTTAGTTTTATCGAACAAAGTTGACTGCAGCTCTTTGTTGTTGAGTTCAGAGCGTTGTTCCTTTTTGACTATCGAGCACTCTTTGACGTAGTTACCACCATGCAATTTAACGAACTCAGGCGAGCTAAGTGCAAACAAAAATGACTGCATTCCTTGTTCTCCCGATTTCAAGAAGAACCACCAAAAAGGATACGTTATCAAGTAGAGCAGCAAACCCCAAACGGAACCCATGGAGAGCGTACGACGCATAGAAGGGGTTCTCACTAGTCCTGGGTTCACAATATTGATTTTCGCATTGTTAGGCTCTCCATCTTTTCTTTGAAAGCTGTCCAGCCTCCGTTGATATTCTTTTGCAAACATTGAAAGCATTAGCTTTGATGTGCCGTAGACCTTCCATGGCTGATTCGCAGGGTACTTTCTCACGTCCCACAATAGATCGTTCAGGTCGACCTCACCTATGGATTGACTCATACAGCTGGCCAGTAATATTCTAACATCTCTATCAGCTATCTGAACCTTGAGAGAAGGTTCAAGCAATGTGAGCAAATGGAAGTGGCCAAGATAATTGATTGCCATTTGACGTTCAACGCCGTCTATACTTGATTCTCTAACCTTGCCAATCGGTGCCGCTTCGGCTGCCAGACACAGTATTCCATCAAGACGACGCGGTGGAGACTGATCAAGCCAAGTGGTCGCTAATTTTCTAATGGAATACAAGGACGACAAGTCGCAATGCTCCGCGTAAATTAGCTGGTTTCCCGTGTCGTTTCGGAGATCCTCGATATAATCTGTAATCCACGCACCTCCTGATCCATCTTCATTGAGCTGTGAGGTCAAAAGAACCAATTGTGCACCTCTATTAGCAAGTTCGCGCACCAAGGAGGCACCAATACCAGAGGTTCCCCCAGTAACGAGATAAACCTTACCATGTAAGTCTCTTTCCCATGTATTAGTTGATCCACCAAAATAGTACTTTGTAAGCCCTGCTGAAAGCAAGAGCGGTCCATATTTTTTGACATAGTCCCAGCCGGGAACTTTATCGGTGCCTTCCAGCAGTATAGTGCCAAGAATATTGAGTGGCATACTATCAATGAAATAGAGGGATCAACACAAAATCGATGGATAAATAATACACACAGCCTGAAAAAAAATTATTTAGAATAGTTATCCAGCTATTGATCAGCATGGACGAGCTTCTTTTCTACAACTCTGTTGGTGACCCTTCCAAAAAACATTCTACGTCATTTGGATTTTTGTCTAGTATTCACTCGTCGCAGCACATTGGTCAATATCGCCAGTGTTACTCGAACATTAATGGCACAACTCTCACTGGCATTGGTGGTGAGCACAAAGTTATTGTCGCATGCAAAGGCAAGGCACTCATCCATGTATACTTACATGGAAAGGAATCTCCAGAGCAGACCATTCCATTGCCAGAGGAAGTCAGCTGTCTTGAAATCTTTCCACATCCAAATTCTGAAAGATCGTGGCTTTTGGTTGCAGGAGCAGTGAGCGGTCGCTTATACGTCTGGGAACTCGATTCTGGTCTTCTTCTCGCAGTGAAAGAGAGCCATTATCAGTCTGTTGGGGTGGTCAAGTGCTCGAAAGGTTATATCGTAAGTGGAGGAGCAGACTCCAGAATTGTCGTTTGGAAAGTTTTAGATATTCTGACCGACTCCCATAAACCTTACGTTATATTCACTGATCACACCCTACCGGTTACTGACATAACTATAAGTTCTGGGCTCATTAATGACATCAAGCTGTGGTCTGTCTCCGCAGACCAGACTGTGCGCTGTTACGATTTGACTTCTCTAGCTTTGGTGACGACGTTCGTCGCACAGCAACCCATCCATTCCATCGCAGCAGACCCGGCATTCAGATGTCTATATATTGGGCTCGCAAACGGAATGATTCGAATGGTTCATTTGTTTCAAGCATCTCCACAAACACAGATATGGGAGCAAGTTGGTGGTTTCGGTAAAATCATCACTTTGAAAGACGACATAGATCTGCGCGAGACATTCACTAACCATCAGATTGGCGAAAATCCAGTGACCAGAATTGCAGTCTCGTTCGATGGCACTCAAATCGTTACTGGCGATAGTAATGGAAAAGTTCTAGTTTTGGACGTGGCTACAAAACAGACTGTGCGCACTTTGAAACAGCTTGCTGGGCCCGTTTCAACTCTGAAATTGTTTAGAATGGAGGCGAATATTGTTAGCAATTCTGCGCTGAAGACTGCTGTGCGAACAATTCCGGTCCTCAAAAGAAACCTTGTGGAGGACTTGGACCTCCAAAAACATGAGGTTCATAGAAAATTCACTGACTCTGAAAACTCAAGACAACTTGACCTTGACAACTTCTTAGACACGGTTAAATCGGAACAGAAGTGGTTCTCCAATTTCACGGGAGTTGACTCAAGTGTCAAGCAAAATAAGGAGAATTTGGGATCCGAATTGGCAGAGCTGAGAGAGTCATATGCAAGCATGAAATCCAAATATGATGCACTCTATGACGAACACTCCAAGCTGCTAATGAATAATAAATAGAATTAACTCATTTCTTCTTCTTCCTAGGTGGCGAAAGTGGGCGATTGAATCCTTTTTCACGATTCATGTACTGGCGATATTCAGTCCTAGGTAATTTTTTGGCACCAAAAGCGGCATTACCATTCACTTTCTTATTTTTAGTTGACCCAAAGTCCTTAAATCCTATTATTGATGAGAGACCTGGTTCATTTTCAACAAGAGGCTCCTCTTGGCTATCAGAGAGCCGTCGTCCACGAGATTCTTTTTCCAGATTGTCCTTTAGCTGATCGTTTTCCACTTTGTTTTCCGTGGACGATTCAGAACGATCTTTCAATTCAGTAACTCTATCGTGGTTTGTCGGATTACCATTTTCTTCGACTTGCTTCACATTCTTGCTTGCCTGTAGCTTTTCGGCCCTATCCCGGTCCTTGAGCTTTATCTGTATTTTTGGCATTTTTTTTTTAACCTATTAAAAAAAAATTGTTTGATCTTCAATGTCAGAAAGGCTTACGAAAAAGCAAGTGAAAGCGCTTCAGTTCAAGTCTAAACACTCTGAAAAAGCTGCTGAGACACTAGAAAAAGTGCAAGAGGCCAAGAATGAGCAGCAGAAGAAAAAGAAGACCCGCAGAAGAAAGTCGAAACAGGGGAAGAAAGATCGCAAAATTCTTTTTATAGGGAACTTGCCTTATAATGTGTCGAGTGAAGATCTCCAGAAACACTTTCAAAGCTCGAGTCCCGATAAAATTCGAATTCGTCAAGAGAAAGGCATAGCTTTTTTGGAATTTGAAACCGAAACAGAGGATTATGTTAAAAGAGTGGAAGCAGCTCTGAAGATGCACCATACAATTATGAATAATCGAAAGATAAACGTGGAATTGACAGTAGGTGGCGGAGGGAACTCTAAACAGCGAATCACCAAAATCAAATCCAAAAACGAGAAGCTTGAGAAGAGACGCAGACAACTCGAAGCGAAACGTCACAAGCATGAGTTGGAAAAGCGCAATTCGAACGCTGAGACTAATGAGGACGAGCCCTTGACAGCCGGTTCAACGGTCCATCCTTCGAGACAGCAACTGATTGATAAATAGTGATGAAACCGGTTATGTCGTGGAGCTTGTCGATCTTTATCTTAAGCAGTGATTTGTGTCTTTAAAGAATAGTGCACTTTTTGCTCTTTTTGACTTTCCTTTGAACTGGTTGGGCAGGCAGCGGTGTATGTTGCTTCATATTTGCTGCTTGGTTCACCTTCCGTTCCTCTGTGGGAGGATGCAAGACTGCCTTGATTGCATATTCGAAGATTTCGCTGACACCCTGTTGCGAAGCAGCTGAGCATTCCATGTAATTTATACATCCAACTTCATTTGCTAGTTTTCTACCTTGTTCAAAGCTGATCGGGCTTTGTCCATATTCCTCCAGTTGATCGAGAACATGTGGATCATCCCTTAAATCCAGTTTGGTGCCCACAAGCAAAATTAAAACATTTTTCGGCGAATGATGCTTGATTTCTGGGATCCATTTGTTTTTCACGTTGGCAAAGGATGTCGGTTCCACAAGGGAGAAACAGATGATGAAAATTTCGGTTTGTTGGTAAGAAAGAGGTCTCAATCGGTCATACTCTTCCTGGCCTGCAGTATCCCACAAATTGAGCGTTACTCTCTCATCGTCAACCATCAGATTAGCGGAATAGTTGTCGAAAACGGTTGGCACGTAGTCCTGAGGAAACTGGTTCGTGGTGTAGGAAATCAGAAGGCAAGTCTTTCCGACTGCGCCGTCTCCAACAACCACACACTTTATGCTTCTCATAATGTTGGGTGGGATTCAAATCGAAAAACTTGAAAAACGTTCGATCAGACTTGCAGTCGTGAAATTTTTCGCTCGATCAGGAAACCGAAATATCAGGACCCATTTTACGCGTCGGTAATGACTTGATTATCTGATTCATGCCGATAAGTATCACTACGAAATTGCGGTTTTTTCAAAGGAATCTTCTCTATCCGTCGCTTCCCTGGGAATCAAAAAGAGTTGTATTAATGCTATTAATAACTCATGCAACGTCGCTGTGTTTGTCTCAGGCGACGCACCTCCAAGGCGCTTGAGGGGCTCCAATTTCCTGAGCAATAAGTTTGATTGCTCTATTTGCTTTAATTGCACACATCAGGCAGCAAACACGAGAGTTTTTGAAATGCTCCTCCTCATTAGTCCGATTCGCTTACGCAGTGATTTTTGAGTTGCATTATAATTTCCTAAAGCGATAAATTGTAGTCGGCATAACATGCTGCTATTGCAATTGTAGATGCAGAATCCAACCGAAATATTTACATTGGTAAATATATTCATGAATGCTTCAGCGCTTAAACCAAATGGTGGCAACATCTGGCGTCTTTAGCTTACTTGAGTTGCCAATTCACTGGGCGGTATTTTGACAGCAGCGAATGATGAATCCCCACTGCAGGGTGCGGCAAACACTATAAATTGACGCTTCCTCCCTATTTACCTTTTCGACTTCTCTTCTTTCGTCTGAATAATCAAGTTTTATACCGTTCGTTGCAAGCACAGAACATCTCACAATCCAACAATGCAATTCGTTACCGTGTTCGTTATGGCTGCCTCTGCCTTCGCTGCATCTACTGGTGTCACCGAATCTACCACCGAAACTTCAGTTGTTTCGGTCACCGTTACTTCATGCGATTCTTCTGTCACTGACTGTCCATATTCGAACAGCAGCGCGCCAGTCTCAACTTACGAGGGTGTTGCTCCAACCCATGGTTCATTTTACGCTGCTGGAGCTGCCGCTCTTGCAGCAGGTGCTTTCCTTCTCTAATGTCAACGGTTGTCCAAGCTAATTTGTCTATTGTTTAACCAGGAATCTGTTTGCGTTTCTTCCTTTTTTGCAGAGATGGGCGGTTTACTCTACGTAATTAGCGCGTTAGACCTGACTAATTGTACCGGTTTTTTCCTCAAATTGCACACCTGTTGACTGGTGTTGCTAGTATCTGTCTGCACCTTCCGTACGGATTGTGTATAGCCTTGAGGCAGCTGTAAGGTCAGATCTCAGCGCAATAAATATAACTTTGGCTACCTGTCGTCGCGTCGTTCGACGGAATCTGAACGGGATATATCATTTCCCACCCAAAAAAATATTGCATTGAACATTGTTTAGCCATCGTTCTATACAGTACTCAATCACAGCGTCCTTGATATGGATGTTTTTGTATCATTACTTTTGAGCGATGTTCAAGTTAATCGCGGTTCGTCGAAGCTCACGAAATTGACATTCAGGACGCAGACACAGCGGGCGGTGGAAATCGACCTAGTTGCAAAAAATATATCACAATCAGCACCTATGGAGTTCATTCAAGATCGCTCGAAGTTTCTATTGAAACTTCCGTCCTCGTTTCGCAATGTTGAGGCCGAGTTTTTGAAGGGCTCCAATCTGTGCCTGACTGAATCTACTGAAGCAGATAATAAAAGTAAGAAACATCCGATTGAAACAAATTCTACCCGAATGATCATTCAGCTCAGCCCGAAAGTTAACGGAAAGTTTACTTTGCAATTAATGGAGGGTGACCAGACCCTTTCCAAACTCTCTGTCTTTTTCTATAGCGATACGTCAAACGCTGCCCCTTCACAAAAATCCGAAATAATCGATTCTGCAAACTTGGCAGACCATTCGGCGAATCCATTCCCAATATCTTTGGAAGACGGACCCGTCTTCCGAGAAACCCTTCATGATTATGAAACCAAAATTACGAAACTAAAGCAAGCAATACGGTCCACAAATGACCTTTTAATCAGCTATGAATCCTTATCCAATCAACTTTACAGTTCTAGAGCGTCGCTAATAAAGTCTTTCAGTGTCATTGAATCGACTTTCCCAAGCTTCTACCATTGTGAGTTTGACAAATCTATCCTTTACTCGTTTGAGAACCTAACGGATGAGAACAAGTCTGCTATAAGGCAGCTGAAATCCAGACTCTCGTCAACTAATAAGCTCTCCGGGTTAGAATCATCTTTGGCATCCAAGAAAAGAGTGTTTGAGGATGAAAGCAAAAAGTATTACGATTGGCTTTCGAGGTTACTCAGTTCGGGCAAGTCCAAAGATGATAAACTTTTTCAGAAAAGAAAAAGCTTTGAATTGGCCAAGATTGATTACTTTGTTTTTCTTTTCGATACACTTGTGGACCTTATTTTAGACTTTTGCAGCCACCAAAATTCCTTCATCAATGCATACAGCTCCTCAAAATCGCAGCGACAGAAAATCAGAGCAGCAGTGGAACGTGCCTCTTCAATGGCTGAATTGAATGTAGAACTATCCAAGATTCATGGAATTGCGGGTCCTAACAAGTCTGGTATTCTGTTTACTCAAGGAGGCCAAGGAAAATCTGGTTGGCACAAGCAATGGGTTGTGCTCAACAACGGTAAACTTTCCGAGTTCATGGACTGGCGAAAAGGCACCTCAAGACGAAACGAGCCTATCGATATTTCTCTATCAAGTATCAAACCATTGGATATGGAAAAGCGCAAAAACTGTTTTAGGGTCATCACTAGTACTGGGATAGAACACTATTTCCAAGCAACCTCGGAGGAAGATCGCGATTCCTGGATTCAAGCGCTATATGATGCAGGTCAACAAATCAACTTCCATAAGAGTAAGGGTGACTTGAATAATGATCCGCTTTTTGTGAACGCTAGCAAGACTAAAGAGATACAGTCTTCGAGCAACGGGCCGAAAAAAGAGTCCTTACAAATTGACAGTAGGCAGAGAAGAGTGTCATCTGTTTCCTTAGAGAATCTGCGCATGGTTCAAAAGGCCGATAGCAGTAATACTCGCTGCAGTGAATGTGGATCAACGGAGTCAGTTGAGTGGATTTCTATGAATCTGCTCGTGATCTTCTGTGTGAAATGCTCGTCTTGCCACAGATCGCTTGGGACTTCCATATCTAAGGTTCGCTCACTCAAACTGGATGTTTTTACTCAGGAAGGCTATAAACTTCTGCAGTACATTAACAACAGGTCAATTAATGCCATATATGAGGAGCTGCTGCCCAAAGAATCTCACATCAGCCCCGATTCTAATGATAAAGAACGACTCAGGTTTATTACCGATAAGTATGCAGCGAAACAGTACGTGAATCGGAAAGACGCTGCAAAGGCATCTGATTTCTTGATCCATGGTGTACGAACTCATAATATTCCTGAAATAAGCAGAAGTTTTGCTCTCGGGGTTGATCGCGATTTGAAATTGTACAAGCCTGCTGATCAGCTCTCAAATTTGGAGCCCCCTGCATTTTCTGTTTTGGAGTATGCTCTGAATTATCCCTCTTTAGAGGGTAAAGATAAATCCATAAAGGTTTTTGATCTCGCTGAGTATCTCATTCTGAATGGAACAAAATGTGGAGACAAAGTTCAGAATGTAATAGGCTTGTCCGACGAAGCATTGGATTATTGGCAATCAAAAATTGACCGCTTCAAAGGGAACTCTACCCAAACCACTAATACCCAGCTGTTGGTGCAAACAGCCGCTACATCGAAATCCACGCCGAAGGAGCATAAATTCAATTTGCTCAAAAAGAAGATGAGAAACTGAAATTATTTTTAGGGAGCGAAAATAAATTGGGCAAGGCGTTAAATATTTAATAAAGTTACCTCCATTTACTGTTCTCAATGCATGAGGAAGCCGACCGCGCTTTCGAATTTGATCAACATGACCCGATGAACCTTGTCCGTCTTGGTGAATGTATCGGCAGGGGCAACTTTGGAGACGTGTACAAAGGGGAACTTGTCAAGAGCTCACAAGTGGTTGCAGTTAAAATTATTGATCTCGAGAAGTCAGAGGACGACATTCCTATTTTGATTCAGGAAATCAAGTTCTTGAAAGGACTCAAGTCTCCATATATCACAAACTGCCATGAGACGTACATTAAAGATGTGACCATGTGGATTGTTATGGAGTATTGTGGCGCTGGATCCTGTGCTGACTTTCTCAAATGTTTCAAAAAATTAGACGAGAGGATTGTTGCTTATATCTTGCGTGATACCGTTCGCGGTTTGGAATATCTTCACTCAATGAACAAAGTGCATAGAGACGTGAAGGCAGCAAATATCTTGGTTACGGATCTCGGGCAAATCAAACTGGCTGATTTTGGTGTGAGCGGACAGCTCACAGAGACTATGAACAAGAAGGAGACATTTGTCGGTACCCCATTTTGGATGGCTCCTGAGATAATATTAAGACGTGATGGCTATAACGAAAAAGTCGACATTTGGTCTTTAGGTATCACAGCCATCGAACTGGTAACTGGATTCCCTCCCTATTCTAATGAAGAGCCAATGCGGGCAATATTTGAGATCCCTGATCGTCCTGCGCCTGTTTTAACAGGGGACGAATACAGTGTTTACTTGAAACAATTTGTGAAAGACTGTTTAAACAAAGAGCCCAGCCGAAGACCATCGGCCAAAACTTTGCTCAGAACGAAGTTTCTCTACAAGGTCAAAAGTAGATACAGCCCCATGCTACCGCTAATTACTGAGAAGAAATCCAAGATGCAAAGATTTAAAAAAAAACCCAAATTCTCGTTGAATTTTGAAGAGAAGCGTAGTGGCCAAGATATCCATTGGGATTTTGATCCAACAGTCAAATTGACGTCTCTGCGAATCAACCATGGAAACCACTCCTCGTCTTCTGTTGGGTCGTCTGGGGTTATGGATGAGAATGAAATGCATAGTATTCACGAAAATAGCATTTTGAGACCCGATACTGCCGTCACCCCTTCTACCTCACCATTATACAACCAGCGGTCCGAACATCCAAGGACGTCAAGACCACAGACTTCAGGCCAAAGGGTCAGCAACAGCACTACTTACCCAATAAAGGGATCTAGGGAATCTTTTTCCATAAAAGAAAACGTTGACCCCCGGGGCCAATATTTCTACAATAATTTGATCCGCGAGTCGTTTGATAGCATCAGCCATCAATCACAATCACAACGTTTCAGAAAAAATCTCGAGCAGTTAAAAACTGTCATGTATGAAATGGAGATGCGTAATCCAGGGTTCTGTGAATTGTTGTGTCACAAAATCTTCAATAGCATGCTTCAAAGCTGAAATAAATGACGCTCTATTGTTCCGTATTCTAGTAAAATATATTATTGCACTGCCTTATAGCAATCTTCTGGGGTCCAAATCATAAAAAGTTGTAGAAAAACTTACAGACAGACATGCACGCTAGAGATTGGTTATTGGCCTTCATTGGGGTCTTCTTACCGTTTGTTCCAGTCGCTATCAAACGCGGTATTTGTTCTGCAGACTTCTGGATCAACATTGCTCTATGTTTCCTTGGCTTTTTGCCAGCTCTGATACATTGCTGGTATATCATATCTTGCTATCCGCACGATACACATACCAGATATGCTGGAGTCACGCTACCGGGCCGCGAACAGCAGAATTATGGCAGTGTTTGAACTATTTGAACTACGTTCTGATTCACCATAAGGTTGACATGAGTAGGAGATCTTAAATAACTATGTGTATGTGGGGGAATATTTATTTTGTTTAACAAGTGTAATAAATCTCACATATGAACAGTGCGACAATCTTCAGCAGTAACATAAGTCTTGAGTTCCAGCATGGATATATGAAAACCTTCTACACATGCAGTCCGAAACTAGGCCCGGCAGAATCTGAGATAAAAGGATTGGATACGAAGAATATGGATCTGTTGTATTTACCCAACTTGACCAATATGAAAGTATGTAATCAGCTGCTTTGATACTAACCATAGCTGTCGTTCGATCTGGTTCTTGATGGCCAGAGTCTGAATCCCCGAAGACACCCCGTGGCCTGCGAAATGATTGCACATTGTCTGCTCCAGGGCAGAATATGGCCGCAGCTAGGGTATCTGACATCCCTCAAGCAGGACAAGCTTCAAACCACTTCTTGCTCTATAGTACTTAAAGACGATTTGTTGAACCGGCAAATGTATCAAGACCTCAAAAATAATGCAAACGAAATCGCAAAGCTCAACAACACATTAATATACACCTTGGATGAAATTGTTTTTCATATTTACATCAATGACGATCGTCTCTGCCCATCGAATAGCGAATTCGTAAAGCTGTTAATGGAGGATCTCAATTATCTCATGGCTAGTAGTTACCTGCAACTGGAATCTGATTTCCCTCTGGTGTTTTGCTTTTATTCTCGTTCCATAATACAGCAATCATATGAGTTGATGTACTCTGTTCAAGAGTCACTTCAAAGGCAAACACAAGACCAATTATCCGGACGACGGGACTTGGTAATTGGGTTTTTGAAACAAGTTTCTGCAAAGAATATGAAATGGTTCTGGTCGAAGCACAAGTCCCATAGAAATCCAGACTCCATCAAAGTGTTCTTGATCGAGTTCTTCAATCACGAAGCCGCTCTGTGATGAGATCCTGGTTCATGCCTCTTTATAGTTGAATTTCAATCTCTCCAACTCCAAAATATCTTGACTTAAGCTTCCAACGTCTCTGACGAAGGAATATAAGGTTAGTGACGAAAGGAAAGGTACGAAAAAGAGCATATCGAGAAAACCGGTATAAAATCGAATGCTGATGAGGAATATTGTCGCCGAGATCGCCATAACTGCGATAAGTATTTGCATGTTAGTAAACCTCGTCATTAGCTCTCGAGGTCTGATAAATTCGACATGAATCAGTACCGAGAGCCCTAGAATGGTCACGCAAGTAAAACAGCTGACTATCGGATTTTCACGCCGATAATGTGGATGAGTGATGAGGATAAGATTAATTGCAGCAAAGCATGCCTGAGACAAATGCAGCACCTTGCCAAAACTATCGTCCAGTTTATTTCGAGGACGAGACTTGTTGAAGGGCACATTTTCCCTAAGGTTCTCAATTATGATGGACTGGTCTTTAGAGTCCAAGGGGGGGTCTTCGTCATCTATGGTGTATTTTAAATTGACGACTTTGCGTAATCGGGGCATATTTAGTGTGCGAAATTATAATACATTATGTTAGTCTCATCAATTTATATAGATATAGCTATGCTAGACATTTAAACGTCGGATTTCTCTTCCACTCTATGAGTCAAGGAAATGACAGGCTCCAGTTCGCCAGATTTGATTGCCCGCAATATGTTCCTCTCATCTGCTCTGGATTTCACGCTTTGAATTGAATGCACCAGATAGACTTCTTCGTCTTCCCTGATCTTCTCACCTTCGTGAACAATTGAAGGTTCTGACAAGTTGCTTTTTGGACCCTGGTACTTTCCCTTTGCATAACCCAAATAGTATAAAGTGGCAATTATCATACATCCTGGCGTTATGACAACCGTATAGTTCATTGTTGATGAGGAAACTGTAGGTTCGGCGGGGAACATCACCAAAACGATGATGAAAGCAATGAACGCACAAGTTATCCAGCCTATTATTGGTGAGATCACGTCACCCGTATAGAATTTTCCTGGCACGAACTTGTGTTTCCCTGTTGTGAGTCTCAGAAAGATCGGGGTACCCCATGAAAAGTAATTTCCCGCAATGTATAAAGAGAATAAGGCGTTGGCTGCGGTAGTTCCGATAAGACAAAGCAACCCCAGTAATAAGGCTAGGATTCCACCATAGAACACGGCTCTGATAGGGGTCGAGAGCCTTCTATTGACCACCTTAACGATAGGAGCAAAAGGAAGACCGTCGTCTCTGGCGAAAGCCCAAATTTGTCTGGAAATAGCAGTGAGAATGGATGCTCCCATTAGCCACTGACAGAAGGCAATCAGCGACATAAACGCGATGGCCCAATTCTTACCCATCGCATTGTATATAATCTGGGCGATTGGGCTCCCAAATTTGGAATCCAGAATAGCCGTCACGTCTGGACCCATACAGGCAGCAATGACGATACAGATGAAAAATCCAAGAACGAAGCACGCGGACACAGACCCTATGATTCCAATAGGGACACCGTGGGATGCATTCTTGGCCTCCTCAGACATATGGACACACGAATCGAACGCACCAATAGTCCAGACACTGGGCATAAATCCGTTCATCACAAAGTTAAATCCTGGAGTCCAACCACTTAGTTGTTCGTTATCCGCAAAAATAAAGGAGCCCTTATTGAATCCAACACCATTGACCTTGCAACCAATTGGCAAGGCAATGAAAAACAGAGCTATGAGTCCCAGGTTGCACACAATGGAAAAAGTCTGGAGTCTTGACACAAAGTTGGAGGCAAAGCATGTTATTCCAATGTTTGAAATCACGCAGGCCGCATAAACCCCATATGTTTTGGCGGAGGTGATATCAAAGTTTCCATCTTTCGAAATAGAAACGGCAGCGAGAACTTCGCCGGCGAAACCGTAGTCCACGGAACACAAGGCACCCACCAGGGCCACCGAGTTTGTGTTTCCAACCAAATATGAAAGGAACACCCTGATCTTCTTCGGAGCATAGAAATGTGTCCAGTAGAATAAGCCTCCTGACGTTGGCAAGCTGCTTCCAAGCTCTGCCATACTGATTGCAATCAGGAGAACGAATGTGGATGCGATTGCCCACCCCCAAACGAGAGTGATAGTGCCGCCAGTCAGACCTTGAGCTAAGACACTGGCAATGGATGGTAGCAAACCCATGATACTGAAGGCCACACCAAACACTTGTAAAGTGGAAAACTTACGCTTCAATTCCTGTTTGTACCCGATCTGTGCAAGCAGTTCATTATCAGAGCTCACAAGTTTTGCGTTGATGATGTCCGGGCGCTCAACATCCCGGTACTTGCTGAATGTCACAGCGATATCGTGCGAGTCTTGTTTCTCCATTTCAAGCTACACCTCCCCAAGCATTCGAAATAACAAGCTGATTATATACTTTGACGGGTCGCAAAAATGTTGCTACTGACGGCTTATCACGGCACGATCAACGTGGACCCCGAAAATCTTATCATACAGAAAAACTTGCAGCCACGAACGCGCCTATTAACCGCCGGTTCCTGAAAGAGCAAGTTGAATACTCGATCTTTGATCTTTTGCGCGTCCCCGAGGAGCCAGCACCGTCGAGATATCAGACTTTCTGCTTTAGGAGTCTTAAAAAACGGCATCATGCACGAGAACTATAATGCTGTGTATTTCGACAATAAAAATCCAAGATTATTGGCGAACGTCTGCACAGCTATCGTAGATAAGAAAATGTCAGCAATCCGTGCCGAATGGAATAAGTAGCTAAGCTGTTATACTTATACAAGTAACGAAAGTCCTTGTCAAGAAATAGCTTCTATAGTGTAGTGGTATCACCTCAGATTCTGATTCTGATAACCCCGGTTCGAACCCGGGTAGGAGCTAAGATTCTTATTTTTTTTTTAATTACTTTTCGAGTTCGCAAGAAAATTTTTGCCCGGTACCGCTCGCCCCACGATTATAGTAAGGTAAGGTAGTCTTGACTCATAAAAAAGTATCTTTTTTATTTCTAGCATGTCCTACAGATCAACTCGTTCCTCCGAGCAGCAAAGTGTATCTTTCGAGGAGGCCATCATCACCGGTCTGGCAACCGATGGGGGGCTTTTTATCCCGGCTGAGATTCCAAAACTCGATGATTCGTTCCTGAAAGAATGGTCAGAACTCTCTTTCCAAGAACTTGCGTTCAAGATCATGAGACTCTATATCAAAGAGTCCGAGATTTCAAATGATGACCTCAAGAGCCTGATTACCAAATCCTACTCAACCTTCAGATCCAAGGATGTTACGCCTCTGGTTCCTCTTGACTCGAACCAAAACTTATATCTTTTGGAGCTATTTCACGGACCGACCTACGCTTTCAAAGACGTTGCCCTACAATTCGTTGGTAACCTATTTGAGTTTTTCCTGACTAGGAAGAATGCCGCTAAGAAAGAAAACGAATCGAGAGACATAATCACCGTCGTGGGTGCTACTTCGGGTGACACTGGATCTGCCGCTATTTACGGTCTCAGAAACAAGAAAGACATTTCTGTGTTTATCTTGTACCCAACTGGAAGGGTTTCGCCGTTGCAGGAGCGCCAGATGACCACTGTTTTGGACGACAACATCCACACTCTCTCAGTTAACGGTACTTTCGACGACTGCCAGGACCTCGTGAAAAAAGTGTTTGGTGACAAAGAATTCAATGACAAGTACCACGTTGGTGCAGTGAACTCTATCAACTGGGCTAGAATATTGGCTCAGATGACTTACTACTTCTACGCATATTTCCAGCTTTCTAGGCAACTTCCTGAATCTGAAAAGTCGAGTTTCAAGGTGAAGTTTATAGTTCCAAGTGGGAATTTTGGTGACATTCTCGCCGGATTTTACGCTAAGGAGATGGGCCTTCCAGTCGAGGAGCTGGTTGTTGCTACGAACGAAAATGACATTCTCGATAGATTTTTGCACAGTGGGAAGTACGACAAAGCTCAAGTCAAAGAGACCTACTCTCCCGCAATGGACATTTGTGTCTCATCCAACTTTGAAAGATTTTTGTGGTATATGATCAAAAGAACCAGCGGTTCAAACAGTGACATGAAAACTGGTGAAATCCTCTCCCAATATATGAAGGACTTGGCATCAAATGGTGTTTTTCAGGTTTCTCCAGAGACTTTGAAATTGGCTCGGGGTAGCTTGGATTCTTCCAGAGTGTCGAATGAGGACACAGTGAAAACAATCAGGGAAATATACGCAAAGACTTCCAATGATTACATCCTTGATCCTCACACAGCTGTCGGAGTGGCTACTGCACTTAGAAAGATTGCCGACGATGGCAATGATTTGAATCAGAAGTACATTTCGCTCTCTACCGCACATCCAGCCAAGTTTTCTGAGGTTGTGAATCAGGCTTTGAGTGAATTCGAGGGTTATTCATTCGAAAAGGACGTGCTTCCGGACGAGTTGAAAAAGCTGTCCTCCATGCAAACCAAGATCACACAGGTAGACAAAATTGACCTCAAGGTTATCGAGTCTATCATTGTCAGCGAGCTCGAAAAGGAGGGCAAAAAATAGACGGCTCATGAACCGCCAACGGCTCGCCGTATTAATCATTAATTGCAGTGGTTGGTTATGTAGCCCTGAATTCATTTAAGCTCAGTATACACGAAAAAAAAAATCCTAGGATTCTTTCTGTTTTCGTATGTCTACCTCAAGGTTTCCAAGAGAAAAGCAAAGAAAGCTGGCTAAACAGGCAGCAATTGCTCATGGTCAAGGCCATGTTCAACATAGCATAATGGGAAATCAGGGATCCAAGCCCCAAGGGTCAGGGTCGCAAGGAGGTCAATTGTCCGCAAACATCAAACCTACAGATGTTGTTATCTCTAAGTCGATCGCATACATGTTTCCAGAGAAAGCAGAAATGTACAACAAACTCAGAACTAAGGAAAGGGAGCTGGACTTGATGATAAACAAAAAAATCATCGACCTTCAAGAGTATCAACAGTCTGTTACGAATGGCTTTGTGGAGGACTCAAATGATTACCAAATATTGAGGATTTTCATCTACAACATGTCTGAAAACCAACCATGGCAAGTGAAGGATCAACAAGTCGAATCTTTGCCTCCTCCATCCTGGACTTTGAGGATTGAAGGACGTTTGCTCAATGATACCGAGCCTTCAGACTCTCCAAAACGAAGAAAGTTTAGCTCTTTTCTTTCCGGAATCTCGGTGGAGCTCAAAGCAAAGGATGGTAATGACGAGGATTTGTCAATCGGGTCAGTTAATGGTGGTCCAGACGCAAGAGTAATCGAGTGGCACGATAACTTTGGTACTAACGAACTGGAAAGATCGAAACACCAATTTGACGGACTGGATATCAAAAGGTCTGGTTCATCGATTCCTCTATCCGAATTTCCGGAAAATGAATCTCAGGATCCTTCTGAAAAGGAGATTGTATGTGACATCGTCATTCAGCCAAAGATGTACCCAATCAAATTGCAGGTAGTGAAGGATGCTTTGGTAGAACTTGTTGGATCAAATGAGATCTCTCAGTCTGACTGCATTCACAAAATTTTTAACTACATTAAAATGAACAATCTGTTTGAAGTTCAGACTATCCAGGACAAACAGGGCACGAATCAACAACCTCAGCAAGTTGTTACCGTCAAAACCGATGATCTTCTATACCGTATATTTGGCATCAATTCGCTTACCCTGACGCAGATTATGGAAATTGTTTCAACAAAGCTTCTCAAACCAATCGAACCGATTAAGGTGCAATACAGTATCAACACCCTCAAAGAAACGACCCTGGGAGATTTGGTGATTGATCTCAAAGTGAATTCGAGATTTGTGGATCCATCTTACAAACCAGGTTCCCAGCAGCTTGCAGAGATGAGCGATATGATCAATCAAAGTGTACTAAACAAACAATTAATCAGCGATTTGAGTAAAGTGAACGAAAGCTTGAAGCTGAATTTCCAACTCCTCAATTATTCCAAGTTGAAGTACGACTTTTACAGGAAGCTGAGTAATAATCCGGTTGAGTTTTTGCAAGAAGTTTTGGAGAAGAACACCGAGTTTCTCAAAATTCTTTCCAGTGATTCATTCACCTTTGGCAATGATGGCATTCTAGATGAAGAACTTGTGAGGAAATCTGAGTTCTACACAGATGAGTTTTTGGCAGAGCACATCAATGTTCTATTTAACTCTGGCAGGATTTGAATATATGTATAATACGGTGTATTAATAGTTAGATGGCGTGAAGTCTTTCATTCACTTTGGCAAACCATTGTTGTTGGAATTGCGGACTAATGTGGTTTGCAAGGCTTTCAAACGTAGGAAAGTATTCTGCGGATTTGTTTGTGTACCAGCCATTCTCACAAACTTTTACAATGCAGTGCTCGTCTTCTAAAGTCGTTATTAAAATCTGGAGCTCATTCTTGTCTAGTTCTATCTTATTGAAAAATGAGCTTTCGCTATATTCTCGAGCTACCTGCTGAAGCTCATAGAACTGATCCATGAAATTTAAACTTATTTTTTTTTACTGGTCAACATTATGTCTTCTAAACAAGTCAGCTTTGGAGACTTGCCGATTGAATCTTCTGATGATGAGCATCAATCACAAGATGAAGAGAAGAGTGAAGAAATGACAATTCTGGAAGAGTACAAGCTTTGGCGAAAGAATTGTCGATACATGTACGATTTCATCAGCGAAACGGCGTTGACATGGCCCTCGTTATCCATACAGTGGATACCGGGCGGAACGTTCGAGACAAAAACGAAGGATACAAAGATTTCTAAAACCAGAAACCTTCTCTTGACGACTCATACCTCCGGGGAAGATGTCAACTACTTGAAAATAGCGTCAACTCAGATACCTGCTTCAGTTTGGGAAAATGGACCCGAAATCACTGCTGAGGAGCTGCAGCAAATCAATTCGAGACTCAGGATCTCGAAGAAACTGGACCAGGAATCCGAAATCAATAGAGTGCGCGCTATGCCGCAAAATTCTAGAGTCATTTCCACGATCAATGGTAAGGGGGATGTTTTCGTGTATCATTTGGACGCTAAAATGAACCAAGAAAACAGAAACAGGCTTATACACCATACTGACAATGGCTATGGGTTGAGCTGGAACCCAAATGTGGAGGGAGAGCTGGCTACATGTTCTGACGACCAGACCGTGGCCGTGTGGGACATCGTCCGCTCGGAAACAGAGATCACGCCTACCAGTGTGTTCAGTAATCATACAAGCATTGTTAATGATGTAAGGTGGCACAACTTTAGCGGCAACTCGCTGGGTTCTGTGTCAGAGGACAAACATTTCATTTACCAAGACACAAGGACGAAAGGACCAGCCATTGATACCATTTTGAGCACCAAAACCAGCTTCAATACTCTCTGCTTCTCTAGATTCTCGAAATACCTATTTTCCGCTGGGGGTGAAGATGGAAACGTGTACCTGTATGACTTGAGAGACGTTTCCAAGCCGCTTCATATAATGATGGGACACACAAAATCTATCACGAACCTCGAATGGGATCCATTCCACGAAAATATAGTTGGATCCTCCTCTTCCGATCGCCGCATAATTTTGTGGGATATCAATAAGATTGGCAAAGAGCAGTTGCAAGATGAAATGGAAGACGGTGTTCCTGAGCTACTTATGATGCATGGTGGACATACGGGTGGCATCAACGACTTTCAGTTTAGCGAGGAGATTCCGTGGACCGTGGCAAGTTGCGCAGACGACAATATCGTCCATCTTTGGAAAGTGAATAAGAAAGTCGTTGAGGAAGAACCTTCAGAAGTTGATTTGGCTGAACTCGAGTGATACACATAGTGAGCACATAGTAAATTACCCGGCGTTCGTATTTTTCCACAAATTTTCAAGCTAGTGAATTTTCGTGATAGCTAGGACTTTCGACTATGCTTCGAATGCTTCGTTTGAACCCAGCTCCAATGATCTCGAGGTCATTTGCAGTGAGGATGATCTCTCTGTCGAAGGGTATGTTACTGAGTCATTTCATTTTTGTTTTAAGTCTAACTTCCAGTTGTCGCCAAACAACCAATGACTGTCTACGAGCCTTTGCCGAAACTCAGAGGCGGTCAACCTCTTATGGACTACATTAAAGAAGCTCAATACAAGAAACTGGATCCTTCTGGAGAGAAAAGAAAATTGATCGATCGTTCGAATCCTGAAAGGTTAAGAGCAGGTGACATAGTGAGTGTCTTTTACAAGAACCAAAAGCCAGTCAATGGTACAATCATCATGGTGAAGAGAAGTGGCGTCGCCTCTTCAATTTTACTTAGAAACAAAATCACAGGCTTGGGTGTCGAAGTGAATGTGCCTATTTTCAATCCGAACGTGATGAGAATAGATATCTTGCGCAGGCCTGCAAGCTACAGATCGAGAAACAGACATTACTACATCCGTAACAGCAGGCTTGATGTTAAGGAGATTAAAATGTAGTATATTGTATATAGCTTAAGCGCATTTAGGTACACATTTACAGTACAACAAATGATACGTCGCAACTGGAAAAATAATTCGTAGCGGCGAGGTTTTGCGGAAAAAGTTGGACATCGATAACATTTTAATTTCATTATCCTTTATCCATTATGCTTTCTTTGGCAATACTTGGACTTGTTGGAACCTGTTTTGCAGAAGGGGAATCCAAGAGCTTTTCTGAATACAGCTGGCCTGAATTGGCTGACATGAGCTTACTTGATAGACTCAAGCTTTATCCTTGGAAATTGGAGATGGTTTCCGTTGGCTTCATTGCAGCTTATGTGTTGACTTTCTTCATCGGCTCGAAGTACAACGAGAAGCTGGTGAACAACTTTTTGAATGCCAATTTAGATCTCCTGAAAGAACAGTTCTCCCAAGTTGGTGTTACTAGATCCAAATTGTTGGCCAAAGATGATTCTGAACATTATGCATTCTATGCCACTGGAAGACTCAACATCGAGTCATTGACTGCTAAGTTCAAGCTTCAACCAAGACAAAACGTCTTTATATGGTTTTTGGAGCTAGTTTTCGACTTTTTCGCTGGAGCTGTGGCCCCTTTGCAAGATGTTGTCGACCTGACTTTTCAGATTGATAGTCAAGCAGGCTCTAATTATGATGACTTTATCTGGGCCATTGTCTCAAAGGATAACATGAACCAGCTTAGAAAAGATAACTATTTCCTTTCTTTGACCAAAACCTCCGAGTCTAACAAGTTACCTGTCGAGTTTGTTTTTATGAATGAAGTGCCAGAAATGAATGAGGTCTTGCACCACAAGAAGTTCAATGCCGTTCTGGAGAAGTGCAAATCATTTTTAAAGTTTGTGGCCGTAACTGATCAGAGCAGTGAAAAGCCCGAAACTGTGAGCGATACTACTCCAAGCAAGAAAATAGTGGTTCAACTTAGAATTCCTAAATCTTCTGCAGAACTGGAGGCTGCTCACGAGCTTCTAAAATTTTTGTTGAATGACTACATTGACTACGTTGTGAGCAAGGCCTCATTTAGAGCTGAGCTTACACGTAGATGCAAGAAGACCAGAGAAGCAGAAGTCTCGAAATTGAGGAAATTAGAGGAGGATTTGAAAAAGGAGCAATTGGCAGCAAAAAAGCTAGAGGACCAGAAGAAACAAAAAGCTGGCTCGAATGCGGATGAACAACGTAAGCATGAAAAGAAGCAATTGGAAAGAAAACAAAGAAGACAGATGGGCAAGCAAAAGATAAGACAGTGATCAATGTAGTTAAAAAAATAAAAATGTGTATTTTTAATTTTCGTTGAATGTTACATTTTCTTTCCTGTCAATTTATATACGCGCCCTGTGGGGGAGTTGAAACATTCTACAATTCCTCGTCCGGTCATTAAACTTAAGCTCCAGATCATGTTCAACCCGTTGTGCTTGACGAAGTTGCTCTGATTCGCCTCGTATTTCATTCTCAAATCGTCTTCCAGTATCTGTTCAAATTTCGTCGTCTTTATTATCTTATAGATGGCCATATTGGATCCCTTCACTAGTCTCCAAAAAGGTCCAAGGTTTGGAAGAGTCAAGGTAAACCAATCGTTAATAGGCGAAAAAGTTAAAAAGCCGGAATCTATCAAAATTCTTGGGTTGAGGCCACTTCTCGAAAGTAGCGGAGCAGGAATTGCCACAACATTAGGATAATCTTGTAGTAGGCTCATGAAACGCGAGCTAATTTGATCTGACTTTGTATGTTGCTCGATTAATCTTCTCAAATCCTCAGTAAGAATAATATAGCGGATGTTTTCTTGAGGATGCGAAATGAGTTTTAAACGCCCCATAATGGCTAACTTTTCCACACGAGAGTCAACGAATGTTTCAAGATTCGGTAGTATTGCATATAACTGATTGAGGGCAACAACATTAGGGTAAGATGATCTAAGGGCGGACAGTTTTGCCTTCGTCCTTGAGGATAGCTTTGCCTTCGAAAGGAAGTCAAACTTGATCTTCATCACAAACTCTATACAACGCATGAGGATCTCCAAGTTTTTGTCGTCATCGTAGTCTTCCAGATTTGATTCGAAGTAGAGGTCATCCAGGCTTAAAGATTCAAATCCTGGAATGGGACTGAATATATTCACCGAATAATCAAGAATGCGATATTGTTCTCCGATACGGACATTTTGAGTTTGTTTTCTGTGTGGGTTGGATGTCCTACTTGTCTGTGTTTGTGACTCTAGCTTCTTAGTTGGAGAACCGATAGCCATAAAAAGAGCTATCGAATAAATTTTCCTTTTCCCGTTTTCGAGGTACTATGATTTTATATATTTCGATCTATTTATTTACAATATAACTTTAGTTGACGTTTACACCAATCGTGAATCTGTGCACAGGATTTTCGCCGTCACGCAAGTCGGTTAACTGTGCGGAGTAGATTCCATCCTCGTGAATGTAATCTATATGATTTTCTTCCTGATCCAAAATATCTAACTTCAAGTTAGAGTCTGCAAAAAAAGCGTTCACCTGGTCTGGATCCTCATCTTGTTTCAAACCTTGTGCAACCATTCTATTCAGGGTCATAAGCACTCTGCTTCCCGAGATTGGGTTCCGTAATTTGTTATTAGACTTCTCGGCTCTGAATAAGACGCGAAGAGGTAATTTCGCAATGATTGCATCTCTCTCAGAGCCTAGTAATTGATTCAAATCAAAAGATATTAAATCATCCAAAGTCAACATTTGCGGTTCGTCGTTTTCCTGCTCCAGGCCAGTGGACGCCAGGTCCAATTCCTTCGGCTCAACCACAGGAATTTTAGGTTTAGAGTTAGGCAAGTGCATGTACACTGCTCCGTTTTTCGGATGAAGTCGATTTATCATAACACTTGGTTTCACTTGCACTATTTGTCCTTTGACCCCGATGGTCGGAAAGTCTCTTAACAGCTGGACTGGTATCCGTTTTCTTTTACTAACGGCTGAATATCTGACACCGAAACGGGTGATGCGAGCTTGGATTGCACGAGTGACAAACATGTCCGGATTGCACTAAGTGGAAAAATTTTAAAAAAAACTACAGTATTAAGTCGCGACATATTTTGCAATAGATATATTACGACAGTTCAAAACCGAGGCTTCCGTCTTCTTCCCGTAAATTTCGAGTCTTGCGCCACCGTTTTCCCTCGTCTTTTCATCAGCTCTTTCTTCCTGTGGATATATTCTTTCTTTGTCTCCATGGCTCTCATCATCTTCTTGCTCATTTTCTTTTCTTTCTTTGGTGTGGTAGACTCGACTTCCATATTGCCCAAATTTAATGGGCGATCGCTGTGTCCAGCCTGTAAAACCAAGTAATGCTTTTTGTTTTTCTTGGACTCTGGATCATCCACCACAACTCCACACTGAAATCCAGCCACTTTTGCTGCACTTGTGATTTGTATAATTTGATCTTCGTTTGCCGGATAAAATTGACCAACAAACTTCCCTCCTCGTTTCAAAGCTGCATATAATGTGTTGAAAAAGCGAGCCAATCGCATTTTTGGCTCACTCGCTGTGCTATCAGCATTACAAAGCCACTGTATAGCAGAGATGGATATGGCCGCGTCAAACGTACCTGCTCTGAATGGAACTCCACAGCCCATATCACTTAAAAAAAGATCCCCTTCAACTTCTCTGTCAAGTGCAGTCGCGAGCATGCTTGGAGCAATATCCATTCCAACCCATATCTGGTTCTCCTCAGTTAGAATCTCACCCGAGAGACCAGACCCACATCCCACATCTAGTATAAAATGTGTTCTTTCAGGATCAAGGTTTAATAATTCCAGAGATCTCAGCGTCATTTGAGCCTGAATATGCTGCACTCTTGTAGATTCGGTATATTTCCGTGATTCACGATCATTATAGAAAATTTCAGGTGGAGCAATCTGCTCAGGACGAGACATTATGAATACCTTCTGTTGATCTCGTGAATTATATAGAATTTTGACAAATTTTTTTTAACTTTATCGTTTGCGCCCCTGAGCCGCAAATATTATTGCTGGGCTGTGTATCTATCACATGAGACAGGTTCAAATAGGTTCTTACGAGTAACAAAACACATAAGGAGTTTATTACAGAGTTAACTAGGATTCAGTTATTCAATCCAAGAAGTGATTGTTTTGTACTCTCAGCTTGCCAATTACTCAACCACTGATTCGCCCCAATGCAGCCTGAAGAGATCAGACCTGCCGAGCTAAAAAGACCGGAATCGGCGGAATCCAGCGTGAATGCTCGGCTCAAGATTATAGACAAAAACTCGGGAAAAGAGCGGCACTCGATCTTGGAGGATGATGAGTATGAGGGGGACAGTGCCAATGAGATGAAGCCGCCCGTTCCAAAACCTTCCCCAGCAGCCGTCACTCGGGCCTTACCGGACAGAGCCTTTAGATTTCGAAGCGATGGATCCTTTAGGTCAAAGTGGGATGACCTCACTTTCAAACCAAGACAGTCAATATTCGATCAAGAAGTGAAGTTTGGCGCCAAGTTCTACGGTTTCTTTGTTGCCTTCTGGTTTTGTGTCTTTTTTGGTGGGTTCAACGTTGTATTCAACTACCATGTCAAATTTGGATTTCATGCCAACTCCCGGATCATTAATATTATGTCGGATAACCTCTTGGGTGTTGCCTTGGTGGATTTGCTGATGTACTTAATGATGTACATTCCTGTTTTCATTCAGATGCTAGTGAAATGGAACAAAATCAATTGGAATAGAGTCGGTTGGGTGATACAATCAATATATGAGGTCTTCTATCTGATATTCTTTTTGTTCCTGGCAGAGTTCCTCAAGTTTCCATGGATTGCCAAGATCTTCTTACTGTTGCATTCACTGGTGCAGCTGATGAAGATACATTCGTATGCATTCTTCAATGGCTATCTTTGGCTAATCAAAGATGAACTAAAATACTCTGAAGGATACCTGAAGAAGCATGAAGGTGACCTGGCTGATGAAACTAGGATTCCCTTGAGTAAATCCGTGGAGTTTTGCAAGTTTGAACTAAAAGTTCAGTCTTCCGAACAACCATTCCCAAGCAACATATCGCTCAGAAATTTCTTTTTATACACCATGTATCCTACACTGGTGTATCAAATCGATTACCCCAGAACTGAAAGGATAAGGAAAAGATATCTTTTCACCAAAATTGCGGGTATTTTTGGTGTGATTTTCTTGATGATCACTATTTCTGAGACATACTTGTACCCGATGGTGGTCAAATGCCTGGAACTCAGAGAAACACAGTCAGTTTATTACAGAATGAAAATGTACCCAATGATTATCATTGAGTTCATACCGCCCTTCCTTGCCGTCTATCTACTAGTGTTTTATCTCATTTGGGAGCTTATTTTGAATGCTATTGCAGAATTGTCTTATTTTGCTGATAGAGAATTTTATGGCTACTGGTGGAACTCGGTCGATTGGAACGCATATGCTCGGGATTGGAATGTCGTTGTCCACAAGTTTCTTCTCAGGCATGTGTATCATTCTTCTATCAGCGCTCTTCAATTGAACAAAACGAAAGCGACAATTTTTACATTTTTGCTCAGCTCGGTTGTCCATGAACTAGCAATGTTTGTTATATTCAAGCGTCTAAGAGGCTATTTGCTCGTGTTGCAGATGAGTCAGCTACCTTTGGTGCAACTAAGCAAGACTAAATTGATGAGGGATAGAAAGGTTCTAGGAAATTGCATATTCTGGTTTGGTATCGTTCTGGGCCCAAGTCTTATGTGCACGATGTACTTGGTGTTCTAGCCGTATCTTTATTTACACTTGCTATCTATATATAGTCTCAAATGGCCTTGTGTCATTGAAACAGCTTCTGAAAACTTCATCCACAACTTCTTCCGCATGTTGTTTGTCTTTGCACTTGGGATGATTAATAACACTCAATATTGCTTTTCTTTTAACACACGCTTGATGTCCTTTTGCGTACCTCATGAACCCTAGTCTTCTTTTGAATTCTGTGACAATAGCACACTCTCCACTTAGTGACGCTGCACGAATCTCGGTGCAAGCATGATGTCTGATATCTCCCCAGTCCACTTTGAATCTAGTATTATCATACCAGTGGACAAGCTCATGAGACAAAGTGTCGTTAAGAACCCATCTGTTATCGATGTAGTTGGCACAAAGTTGGACTCCCAATCCGGGATTGAAACCACCATATCTTGGAACTGTACAGATTTCACAGCTAATTTTAGCTGGATCCACGTAACCCCCCGCTCGACGGATCTGATCAATCATGAAAGTGACAGTTGGAGAATACTGAAGCATGAACTCCTTGTATTCATTACATTTAGCACACTGATCCGATTCCATTTTTATCTTTCGGTCCTCTTCATATGCAACTTTCTCTTGATCTGTGAGATTTATGCCAGTCTTGTACTTAAGTGTTCGTATCCACCAATCAAAACCAGAGGATGCATCCGAAGCATTTATCATTTTGGTCGGCTCTTTACTCATGACGAACAGTCAAAAAAAAGTACCAAAAATTAAATTTATTTGAACTATATCATGTCGAACATATGGATTGCAGCCTCAGATAATAAATTAGACAAGGTTAGGGAGTACATCGAGTCAGGAAGTTATACTGCAAACTCAAAAGATCCCAATGGCTATACACCCATGCATGCTGCCGCAAGTTATGGTAATTTAGATTTACTGAAATATCTTGTTTCGCAAGGCGGAGACATTAATATTCAAGATTCTGACGGCGATACTCCCTTGCATCACGTAGAAACTCTGGAAGCAGCCAAATTCTTGGTTGAGGAGCTTAAAGCTGATTTTAAAATTAAGAACAAGGATGGTTTGACTCCAGCTAAATATCAAGAGGAAGAGGATGAGTATCCCGAACTTATTGAATATCTGTCGTCTTTGGAAAAGTTAGGCACCTTGCCTGCCATGAAAACCGGTATTGAAGTATCACACAACAGTCCGGAACTTCCAAGCGGTGAACGAGTGAAAATGTACTTGTCTAAGGATTACGAGGAAAATCTCAGTGACGAGCTGATTCAAAGACGGAAACAGATCGAGAGTATTATGAATGATGACCTGAGTGAGGAACAGAAAGAGGAGAAACTGAGGAGTATAATTTTAGGAGTGGTATCAGATAATGTTCATCAATTAAAAGAGTCAGACGCCCCAGAGTCCAAAAGACAGAGGTAAAATCACATTATATATTATTGAATCAATAGTCGCCAGATTCTTCATCGAGCCCCTCGTCGTCTTCAATCCGCTCGATCAACAGTGAACCATTCGGCCACAGTTCCCTAACATCTTTCAAAAGTTTGTGTGGGTCGGCCTGAAATTTGATGCGAGGCATTGGCGATATAAGTTCGAATCTGAACTCATGTTCATAATTATCCAAACTCACATTTTCCACCTCCAATTGATCTAAGACATTTTCCTCTGGAACAGAAAGTTCCTGGGATTGGACGCGCAAGAAGTTTTTGCACTCGACAAACACAAAGATATCATACAACGTTTGATCTTTGTAGAATTTTTTAACTGTGCGCTGGCCCTCGTGATTTCTTAACTGTATCGTGGTATAATCGCCCTTCTTCCAACCGTTTTCATCTATCTGGGATAATGATTGTACATGGTTTGCGAGGAAAGCCAGTTCCTGCTTTTGTTTTATTTTTGATGCTTCTTCTTCTTGTTTCAATTTTTCTAGCTTCCTCTGCTGCTCCTCTTCTTTTTGTTTCTTCTCCTCCTGCTTGATCTTATCATTCAATAAGGACTGCTCATATGCCTCATCCTGTTGCTTTCTTAGTAGTCGAGCAAGTTCCGCCTCCTGTCTGTCGTATCTTTGTGTGATTAGTTGGGGCTCATATTTATCTATGATCTTTTGCAGACGCTTGACGAGCTTCTTCGCGTATTCTTTGGTGCAGGTTTCAAAATTATGGTACCTAGTAACGATTGACATCAATGGGAACGTCGTACCAGTTGCAGAAACGTTGGCGATCAAATTAATATATGGAACAGAATGAACTTGGTATGTTTGACCCACTTCGAAAGGCTCAGGATAATTCACATCTCCAACATACAGAATTATATCGTTTTCTGTAACAAAGTTTATAAAGCTGTCGTGATTGAGATACGTTTTCACGAACTTAGTGCTGATATCCTTTTCTGAATTGATCAGGATGCACATCAACCACTTGAGTTCAGTTTTGGATTTCTCAAATGCCTCGTTGAAGCTTCCTTCAAATATTGGAAGATCGCTAGTTTCACCCAATGTATCGTTGACAAGAGTCTTGATGTTGTAGCTCGAGAGGGCTTCCTTCGATGTATGAGCAGGCTTTGAAGGAAAATCTGTGGGGCTTTCTCTTAGTCCCAGAATCCTGAATAAATTAGGAAAAACAGGACCCAATAACTTGTTCAATCCATACCCCACGAGCCAAAATAGTTTCGGGAACAACATGAGAATGAAGATCACAGGTGGGAGTAATGCGTATGTGGGTCTTTTTCGTTCTTGATTATTTGTATTAATTCCTAATTGCAGCTTCCAGCGGTTATGAATTGGGACTGCTTTGGGTAACTTAGGAATAAGATCAAGAAATGGATCATCAAAAGCAAGAGCTCGAGGAGCAGTTGAATTTCCTGCAGATGTGTTTATCGAGGAGGAACCAGCCTCCATGTTAGCGAAGGATCTGACAAACGGAGAGTCCAACTCATTTGAAATTGGATATGTCGGTCTCTCATCTGTTAGAGTCGGGAAGTCGTTATCGAAATAACGAGCAACTGCAATTTCGAGATCCCAATTGCATACAGTCAGGAGCCTCAGGACTTTCTCCTGCTCATCGCTCTCGTTATAAGAAGTAAACTCTCTAAAATTTTGCAGCTTGTTTTGCTGTTCCGGTGTCAATTGGTCCATACTGGCACGATGGAGATTTAAGAAACTGGTGTTTCTCGATTGATTTCAGGACTCGGTTGATTTTGCCACTAAATATAATTTCCAGACGAATCCAAGATTGACGCGTCGATAGTCCCTATTTGTTTATATTCTTGTGTATCTTGTTGATGGCTAGACTATGATCAAGGTCAGCAAAAGAACGGCCCTGTCTCCAGTGAAATTAAATGCTGCCTTGAGGCAGGAAAAAAGGGGAATAGAAGGACCACACGAAGACTCTATAAAAGTGGTAGTGAGAGTGAGACCTTTACTTAAGCGAGAAATTGAAAGATCTCCTGAATGCCTTGTTGATATTGATAATGACCAATCAATAGTTCTGTCGCCAGGAGTTAATTCCCTTCAAGCGAGAAAATACAGAGAAGCCCAAAAGTTTACGTTCAGCAAGTGTTTGTGGTCATATGACAAGAGAACAAGTGTCCCTTATGCAGATCAAAATACTGTGTTCGCGGAAGTGGGTTCAGAATTGCTTGATAACACACTAGATGGCTTCAATAGCTGCGTTATAGCGTATGGTCAAACAGGATCGGGTAAAACATATACAATGATGGGAACAGATGACGAAGATGGTTTGATCCCCATGGTTTGCAGACAGCTTTTTACGAGACTGGATCAGCAAGTTCACACTAAGGTCCAAGTGAAGATCTCCTTCATTGAAATTTATCAAGAGAATGTGTACGACCTACTTGGAAATGGTAGCAAGCTACGAGTGCGGGAAAATAGTGAAAGAATTCCATTTATTGAGAATCTAAATGAATACAATGTGAGTGATTCCCGGGAAATCATGAAGCTTCTTAACGAAGGTTTCGAGAAAAGAACCACAGCAGAGACCCACCTAAACAAGCAGTCATCTAGATCTCACTCAATTCTTACCGTAACAGTGGTCCAAGAAAAGTTTGATCCTGCTACCGGATCCTTAGTGAAACTCAAATCCAATCTCAAACTAGTTGATCTTGCGGGGTCAGAGAAATTTGTTGCCAGTGACGGCTTAGATAAAACCAGGCAACAGGAAGGAAGTAGAATTAACAAGTCACTGGTTACTCTCGGCAGGGTTTTAACAATACTCTCACAGAGGCCAACTAAGAAAACGGTTATACCTTACAGAGACTCCATATTGACATGGCTCTTGAAGGAGAATATTGGCGGAAATTCAAAAACGATTATGATAGCATGCGTTTCGCCTACAGATTTCGATGAGACGCTTAGTACGTTGAGGTTTGCGACCATCACATCCAGGATCGAGAACCAAGTGCAGGTAAACAAAGAGTCACGATCCAATATGGATGAGATGGTGAAACAGTTTCAGCTCGAAAAAGCAAAGTTACTAGAGTGTATATCAGAGCTCAAGCAGATGGATAGCAGAAGTGATGAACTGAGAAAGTTGGAGAACTATGTGGAGTGGCAGAACAACTATATAGATACTTTGACCTTTACGAACAGCGTTACTCAAAGGCAACTCTCATCCAGTCTCAGAGCAGCTCAGAAGAGGAATGAATTACTAATGTCATCGCTAATGTTAACATTGAAGGGGTCAGAGACGGGCCCCAACGAAGCGACAGACGAGCTAAGCAAATTAATCGACAAACTGCACAGATTAGACATTAGATCTCCATTACGAGATATTGAGAAAGACCTACAGAGCGATTTGGTGATGACATACAGCGCAAACGTCATTGATGACATGATGTAACAACAATATTAATATACAGTCTATAGGAGTGGTTGTCTAGTTTTCTTGCAATATCTATCTGACCAGCAGAAAGAATTGTCTAGGGCACATTTGGAATTTGACCGATTGTATCCAGATGCATTTACAAAGAGATAATACAGATTGTTACAATTGATACTTTTTTGTCTCTTGCTAGTCCGCCTGGGGTCTGTGGAGGGGAAAAAAAAAAACTAATTGACCAAAATGAAAAACTAACCAATCATTATGAATTTCGTGTTCAATACCGCGCTGGAGATCTCTCTCTGGCATATTCTCTCTCACCTTGCTCTGGGTATGGAGCTCCCTCTTCTCTGGATCTGTATTCTCCTCTTGGTGCAGGTGGTCCATCTCTGTAACCTCTGTCATAATCGCGGTAGCCACCACGTGGCTCCCTGTAACCCCCGCGAGGCGGGTATCCGCCACGGCCACCTCTATAGCCGCCAGGACCAGCAGGGCCAGGTGGTCCACCCACTGGTGGAGGACCGTAGTCCCTATAAGAGGGTCCTCTAGGAGCACCATAGCCTCCCACAGGTCCATCTGGTGGAGGTCCGTACCCACCTCTTGGGGGATATCCACCATAGTCGCCTCTTGGAGGGCCTCTGTACGGAGGGTAGTCTCTTGGACCGCCAAAGCCACCTCTTCCTCTTGGAGGATATCCGCCTCTTCCTCCCCTGTAGAATCCTCTTCCACCTCTGTAACCGCCTCTTCTTGCTCCTATCGTTCTAGATGCTGAAGCGATGTATGGACTAGTGTCCTCCTCAGCCACCAATTGAGTATCTCTGTAACTGACACCGTTCAACTGGCTGATCGCAGATTCGAGATCTTCTCTGGAAGCAAATTCTAGATGGCAGATGGTAGGATCTTCTGGAGGGATTCTGACAAAGGTTGGAGTCAAACGGACTTCTTCTCTGATGAAATCTTTGAAATCTTGCCAAGCAGTGGTTGGAGGGAGATTCGAGACTTTGACTCTATTTTCGCCCTTTTTAGCATATTCCGGCTTCTTCTTGGCATATTCAATTTGAAGAGGTTCGCCAGCAAACGGTTTTTCCAAAAATTCACTGAAGGCCTTCTCAGCAGTTTCTGGGTTTGGGTACTCGACGAAGGCATAACCCGGCATCAACCTAAGCTCTTTTAACGGTCCCACCTGCGAAAAGTATTCCTCAACCTCCTCATGAGTCACGTGTGGACCAATAGGCCTCACAAACAACTGAACATCTGAATATTCCGTGGACATAGTCTCTATCAAAGTTAGTAAACACGAAACGGATTAATATTTTGCTAACAAGTCTCGCCTTCCGAAAAAAAAAAACTTGAAAAGGAATCCAAAAAGCAGGGTAACCCTGCAGTTAAACGATGGTAGTTCAGTACACCAAGGTACACAAGTACGGCCACCAATCTCCTCGCCAGCTTTTGAAACACTACCGAGTGGCTGTTCCATCTTCCCAAATAACACAAAATACCCCAATTGTATACATCCATGGAGGTGCATGGGTTGGAGAGTCTCACACTTATAATGAGTTTGGACCACTGATTGATAAGCTGGATTTGCAATTGAATAATGGTCCTTACACAACTGAAAGACACATTGCTGAGATCCAATTTTTTGGTCTCGACTATAGAGTGTCACCAGAAGTTGTTCATCCTCACCATATCCTAGACGTTTTACACGCCTTGAGCTTTATTTATGAGCTGGGTGTCCACAAAGTGTCTCTCATAGGCCATTCGGCCGGATCGACTATGTGTACCCAGATATTGGAGTACGCAACTTTTTTGAGCTTTTACGGCGTTGAGTTCACTTTACCAGTTCCTGAGATCGAATCTATTGTGTTTCTGGACGGCATTTTTGACATCCCCAAGATGCTGGAGGAATACCCAAGCTACCTACATGAGTTTGTGGAAATTGCTTTCAGATCGGAGCAAGACTGGTCGAAAAAGTGCAATATGGTGCACTATAGGATGACAAACGATCTAAAAAGGGAGATTAGGGAGAAGTTTAATTCCTTGAGAAAAACAATTATAGCCCACAGCACGAAGGATGAACTGCTCAGCACCAGACAGCCCACAGAATTTTGTAAGTGGCTTGATCAATTGCCGTATACATACTACAAGTACATCGTTCAGGATATGGGAACACACAATGAAACATACGAAAGCGACGGTCTCGTCTCAATTATCATACAACATTTATTGCACTGATTTTAATATACTAATTTTTTCTTGGCTTCGACCAGTCCACTTTCATGATCAAGTTCATGAAACCTCTACCGTTGAGACCTTCCAAAGCTCTTTGAGCGTCATTAACATTCTCAAATTCCACGAACGCTATGCCCTTCGATCTTCTTGTTTCTCTGTCCCTGAGCACAGTAGCTCTCTTAATGATACCGTATCTCTCAAACACCTCACGCAACATCATCTCATCGACTTGCTCGTTCAAACTGGTAACTCTTAGTGTTGTCGAATCGTCACGCTCCTTGCGTTCAATCTCTGGGGCGGCACCGCCGGCCCTCTTCCTGAGATGAGGAGGCACATACCGCACTGGACCAGAACCCGCGACAGCTGCCATGGATGGCTCCGGAGTGGCGGTGGCGGAGGCCTGTGGAGTACTTGTCGTAGCATCGGCAGCTCCAAGCGTATCCTTGTAGGGACATTTAGATGTGAAATGGTCACCTTGACAGGTTCTACAGGTGATGGTTTGTGGCTTACTTTTGGCCATCTCTTTCTTTCTGTTCTCGGCCTCTTTCTGTGCATCTTCCTTCCACGATGTTCCCAAAATCAGTTGAACTTCTTCTCCGAATTGCGTGGTTTTATCGTCCGGCCCCACAGTAGGATTGTCTTTCTCGTCTCCATACTTGGCCCATTTTCTTCTAGCAGCAATAGCTGGGTCCACCGTTTCCTTGACAGTGACCAGCTTCACTTTTTGTGTTACTTTCACTTTTTTGCCTTGATCGTTGATTTTGTAAGAGATGATGGTCTTTGTTCCATCATTATTTTCAATCACTTGAGTTGCTGGTAAATCATTCTCTGCATCGGCCCAAGAGGAAGGCGTCTCTATCGCTGCTTGAGACATTCTTATTGATTTTTTTAATCATTGAAAAAAAATTCTGCGTAGGCTTGTAGTGCCATCGTAAAATTCGACGCGTCGATGGAGGCGGCTATTTACCTTGCCAAGCGTCGTTTTAGCATCTAGTGCTAAATATAACGGTTTCATACAAAGACCGTAACCTTTTTTTATCAATTTCTATTGATTAACAGTTTGACTACTTAGAAGAGGCTCCGACATTGGAATTCAAAGCTCAAACCACAACAATCTACTATTTGGTCTATTCAAAACCATCACCGAATTGGAAAGCGATTAATTGCGAAGGCTTATAAAAAAATAAAAGACTGTGCGACCAGGACAAGGCGAAGGCGCTTTGAGAAAGATCATGAGTCCAAATGTGCTTCATAATATACCAGCCATCGCAAGTGAGGCCTCAAGTGCTACTCTTCATTTTGATCCCGGGATAGAACTGGGCCTTCGGGGAGAAAAGCCATTGATCTCTGGCGCCAGTACTCCCTCAAAAAAGCCAACTCCGTCTCCTCATAATGGCAGTAAGCAGGTCGTGGATCAAGGGATGAAACAACTGGCCAGGGAGCTCAAATATCGGGAGTTTTTCAAGCGCAGCCCCAAAAGCCCCAATAAAGGCTTCTCTAAGTTTTTTCTTTCGCAGGAGTTAAGTCCTTATGATAAAACTTCGGATGATTCAAGCATAGCCGACGATACGTCTGCTAGCATAGACGAAGATACTGAACAACACTACAAGGAAAAACCAAGAAGACATGGTCTGGCCTCTTCTTATGCTCGCAAGACGACACATGAGCATGCAAATTTTATTCTTACTTTTAGCAAAGATGGGAAATACATGGCATCCGGAGGTGATGATGGTGTCGTACGAGTGTGGAAGGTTATAACCTCAAGTTTTGATCGGGAAATACCTGAAATCGCTCGAAACAAGAGCTTTAATGGTCACCATTTAAATCTACCCTTTGAAGAGTCAGATTCCATTTCAATAGGCGGTTGCTCTACGATCAACGATTCAGTAGAGTCGTTGGGAAACACGGAGAATGGTTCCAATAGGTGCAACCCATGTCCTGGGAAAAAATCAAAGAAGGACAAACAAGGTGGTAGCACTCCGTTTGCGCCTCTTTTCATGCACCGCCCGGTCCGCGAATTCCATCACGATGATACTGTCTTAAGTATTGATTGGTCAGAAAATGGATTCATCATATCATGCTCTCAGGATAGCACTATCAAGCTATGGCATGTTGACCGCAACGACTGTCTGGCGGCTTTCAAACTGAAAAACTTTGCAACTCGAGTCCTTTTTCATAAGAAAGACGATCGCTTTTTTTTGAGTTGTCAGTTGGATGGCTCCGTGAAGCTATGGTCTATTCTCGAAAAGGACGTTGTGTTGAAAACAAACGTTCGAATGCGAATAACGTGCATGGAGTTTTCGCCTAGCGCAGAGGAGTTATTTGTTGGTGGAGAAATTGGGGGCTTTGTCATATTGTCGGTTAAGGATCTTGATGTGATTGACAAGTTCCAGATTAAGCGTAACAATGTGGCGCCCAGAGTAACAGGAATTGATGCTTTTGAAACCAAGGACGATGTGAAAATGGTTGTGACAACCAATGACTCACGAGTGAGGCTCTTCAGTTTCAGAGAAAAAGTCTTGAATGTAAGATACAAAGGGTACAATAATGAGCATTCTACGATTCGGGCATCGGTCAATGAAAACCATTCATTTATTATTTCTGGTTCGGAAGACGGTTGGGCTTACCTATGGGCATTGGACCTCAATGCCCTAAAATCTCCAGAGACGATGAAGGGCAGTCATAAGCTTACGTGGGATCTCACATCATTATTCAAAGACGAGAACTGTCGACACAAAAACAAGAACTATGGTGCATTTCATGTTCACCACTCACGCTGTAACGTTGCCATTTTTGCTCCCAAGGCAACATTGAAGTTGCTTGAACTCTCGAATGACCCCATTTTTGATCTGAAAGCAAGAATGAGTTTGGGGACCACAACGAAGAAAGGAGATGATGAACTGGACGATCCTTCCACTTCAATCATTGTTACCACGGATGATGATGGAGTAATCAGAGTGTTTCGCAGAGATTTTGCTTATCAGGAGCGAAAAGCCTTCCGTACAAATCTCAAAAAGTTTGGTGGGAAACATGATCGCAAGTCATTATCCAAAGTTCGCAATAGATCAAGATCTTCTAGTTTCATGAACAAAGCCAACTCTTTGAATAGAGGCAACATAAATGGCGGAGACGAAAATGATCGAGGAAGGAAAGATTTCCGGCACTCGGAATTTCTAGCTACCAGAGGAGCACTGTGTTCTCCAAAGAGGGATAAATCGTTGTCTGCATCTAAAGATGAAATCGCAAAGCTGCCAGCTTCAGAGGCAGCTTCAGACGGAACTCTTTTTGATTCTAAAGTGAGGTCCATTGATGTGAAGCTTCAAGAAATGTTGGCTTCTTCTAGACTGGAGGATAGGCATGTGCCTATCATATCAACCACAGATGAAAATGACAGCTCGCTCAGAAACGACAATGAAGCAGCTAATAGCGTATCTATGCATGGTAGAGAAACTTTTCAGGAGACAACCAACGGGGATCAAGATGAGGAAACTTCAGATTCCATCGTTACTTCGGAATCGGTGAAATCAAGAGTCCAATGTGCCAATTGCGGCTCAGAGAAATTTACAGCCAGGTCTCATGGGGACACGCGCAGCAACATCTTCTTTTTTTGTGACGATTGTGGTCAGAAAGTTGATTTATAAAACTAGGTTTACATGGCCGGGAAAGGTGCTATTTAAATTTTGGTTTGCAGCCCGTCTAAAATAATCGTTCGTCTGTTAATTATTTGGTATCAAACTATTTGAGTTGTATTAATATGGACGTATATCCTCCCAACGTTCAAGATAGAACGCTTGAATTCCTCCAGTGTGTGTCAACCTTCAATAAGCAGAATCACAACAAAATACCAAGAGCAACTACACAGAATGGCCCTACAAAATCTCAGCGGAGCGAGTTCACTCGGAAGGCTGGCCTTATTGCTAAAGACATTGCACGGGTCACCAACTCTTTAGGGAAACTGGCAGCACTTGCAAGGCAGAAACAACTATTCAACGACAAACCCACAGATATGATCGAGCTGACATATGTTATCAAGCAAGACATATTCAAAATCGAAAGATCGTTAAAAGAACTTCAGCAGTCGAGCGTAACCAAGTCATCTGGCGATAATCAGATCAACACATATACAAAGAATGTTGTGCAATTGCTGAACACAAAAGTGAAAAACGTTAGCGAGACGTTCAAAGAGGTGCTACAAACGAGACAGCGTAATGAGCTAGCAAAAAAGTCCCGACAAGAACAACTCCTGGCCTCTGTAAATGGATCGCTCAAAGACACGGGAGTTAACGGCAAAAGTAATGAAGTACTGCCATACGCTTTGCGAAAGAAGGGAACGCAAATTTCTGAGAATCCTTTTCTATCTTCGATGGAACAAGATCCAAGTGTTTCGGTACCAAATCAAGACTATCTGTCTATACCAGATCAATCCCAGCAGCTTATGCTACTCGAGGAACAGAGTAATCAATATCAACAGGAAAGAAGTAGAGCAGTGGAGGCAATTGAGTCTACAATTAATGAGGTCGGTGGTTTGTTCCAGCAACTAGCCACAATGGTTCAAGAGCAAGGCGAGGTCATACAAAGAATAGACAACAATGTTGAAGACATTGGTCTCAACATCAGTGGTGCACAGAGAGAACTTTTGAAGTACTACAATACCGTAACCAGTAATAGGTGGTTGATGGTAAAGATCTTTGGAATACTCATATTGTTCTTTTTGATGTGGGTTCTTATCAGCTAATGTCAACGCGTTCTAATTTATTGACAGCAAGCAACTCTGTGTATTTAATGATCTATCAACTCTATTCAAAACAGTCCTCTAGCTTCTTTTCACCCGAAACGATCTTTTGAATATCGCTCAGAATATCTCTAAAGGTGTCGAACTGGGTGAAGTGGATCTTCTGCTTGATACAAAATGTGACCAAATCTTTTCCTCTTCTTGCAAACAACAAATCGCAGGACTTCGCTGCTGACAGATCCGAAACTCCATCACCGCAATAAAATAAGTATGGCTTCTTACTGAGATCGTAGTTCATAAGGCACTGCTTGATGGATGCGGCCTTGTCATGTCCGAATGGAGTATCGTCACGATAAACAATATGCCAGTCGTTGCCATTGATCTCCACACCGTTGGAAATGATGGTCACGTGGTTCATAACTTGCTGGCCGAGAAGCTTCTTCAACAAAGCCTCGATGATTGGGGACATGCCACTGCTGATAACGTATAGAGGGATTCCGTTTTCGTGACACCAGTAATAGAACTCTTTGAAACCAGGATCCAGCTTGATGTGTTGTAGCAAATAGTCAACACACTCTTGGAAAGAATGACCATTTGCAGGAATCGACCTGAGCATCTCGTCGAAACCTTCTCTAAAAGAAAGAGTCTCGTTTAGCATGCGGTCATTTAGAACCTTTCTCTTTTCGTAACCAAAACCAAGGTTGTCAGTCAAGACGTCATTAGAGTCTTGAAGGGTTACGGTGCCATCCCAATCGGTGAATACAATAGCAGGAGGAGACATTATTTGCTAAAAACTAAAAATCAGCTCGTTGTGCATATGATAGGGTTGATGGTTGGTTCCTGGTGCAAAGGTGTGTAATATAGAGGACGATGCCATTGACTCTTGGAGTCTATGCACTATGGAAGAGATAGCGATGTCAACTGAGCTCAACCATTCCATTAGCGGAAGTGTCCTTTATCAATGGATCTAAGAATTTCCTGATTGCTGAAACCGACAAAAAAAGTTGGCATTCTTTGACTAGATCCTTCTAATGGTTAACGTGGCTGTTATTTCAGGGGGCACGGCTACAAACACAATCTTGGATGTTTTCCAAGATCTATCAGAAGCTGGAGGCCAAAATACCTCGGTCTCGCATATTTTGCCTGTCTCAGATAACGGCGGTTCTACATCCGAGATTATAAGAGTGTTGGGTGGTTGCTCTGTTGGAGACCTCAGGTCGAGAATTGTGCGACTTATTCCTAATGAAAGCCAAGGAATTCGTAATTTGCTTTCTCACCGGCTTCCCAGCAAAGCCACAGATGCTAAATTGGAATGGGGATCAATAGTTGAAGGCTCACACGAGCTGTGGTCAGACGTGGATCCCGCATGTAAAGAGATCATCAGGAGTTTTCTTATCCACGTTCACATGGAGATTTTGAAGCGCTCACGGAACAGTACAAAGAATTTCAGACTTGAACTTGCCAGCATTGGTAATTTGTTTCTCACTGGTGCAAGACTTTTTTGCGGATCTTTGGATTCTGCAGTCGAATTGATATTGCGCGTTGCAAGAGTTTCCTCGAGACTTCACGTTATTCCGTGTCTCAACACTAATTTCACGTACCACATCAGCGCGCTACTGAAAGATGGTACAATTATTACTGGACAGTCACAGATCTCACACCCCTCAAAACTCGGGCGTAACAAAGACAGCAATGAATCGGGCTTCTCTCTTCCTATAGTAAAAGCCGATTCTTTAATACACCCTCCCCCAATAATCCCATCAGGACAAGCTTCTCCATCTCACACGTACTCATCATTTTTGGATAATGCGCATATTGGAGCTCCTGCTGATAAATTGGGTAGCCAGGCAATTTTGTACGGAGTTTCCAGCCAAGTCGAACATAATCATACTTTAGATTCTGATACCGAAGATGAGAATGAGTTTGCAGTACCAAGTTACATTCATCCAGACCTCAAGAAGTCACAATTGCATGTGGATAAAGATGACACGGCGCCGCTGCCAGCACCGATAGAAAGAATATTTTATATTTCACCATATGGTGAGGAAATATACCCTGTGGCTCAATCTCGTGTCCTTCAATGCCTGTCGACTTGCGATGTGATTGTGTACTCCATTGGATCTTTGATGACCTCTATCATTCCTGTACTCATACTACAAGGAGTTGGAGAGGCTATACTCGAGAATAGTAACAAGAAAAAGATACTCCTTCTAAACGGGACGTTGGATCGTGAAACGCAGTCTTTAGACGCCCTTGGGTTTATAAAAGCAGTACACGGGGCCCTGGTATACTCAATGAAGACAAGTTGCGAGAGACGAAATTTGACCTGTCAGTCAACTCTTTCCTATTCCTCCTTCATTACACACTTAGTTCACCTCATGCCCTCCAAAGAAATTAAGGTGGAAACCGAAAAAATAAAAGAATTGGGTATTGAATGCATTGAAGTCGCTCCACGTGAAGACGATGATACCAGATATAACTTGGAGGACTTGCATGCAAAATTACAGAAGATAGTTAACAGATAGTGATTATTCGACGCGACGCAAAAAAATTAGTCGACTTAGAAATAATTATAAGCTCTTTATATTCCATGAAGAATATCTTCAACATACTCTTTTTGGCCTCGCTAGCCCTCACACATCAGGAAGGAACCTCCAGTCAGGAATTAAAAGAGAAAATTCCGGACGAATTTGAGGGATCATGGCAAAGATGGCACATGAAACAAGAGCATGACTTAGATCATGCGGACGCTAAGTCGGTGTTTATGCTCCACGATACAAGAAACGCCAAACGTCTCAGCAGACTTGATATTCTAAGAATGTACGGACTGTTGAGAGAAGAAGTAGTTGGCAAGGGAGATGGTACCGGTTCTCACGATGACACCGAAGTTATTACAGATGATATGAAGAACCACCTTGTTCAACAAGTGATGTCCTTAATTGATAAAGACGGAGATGGGGAAATTTCCTTTGATGAGTGGATGGAATACTCTAGCCAAGGAGGAGAGTTCCCAGATTTTGGATACGGTCCAGGACACGAGTATGATTTCGAGGAAGAATATGAAAAACATCACTGGATCCAGTATCATGCAGAAAATGATCCCGACGTAATGGTGCAACATGCAGAAGATGTGGAACACGAACTATTGCATCATTTGCATGAGATCGAACATGAGGAATCTGGCTCGGGTTACAACCAAAGATTTCCTATTAGAGTGTCAAAGATTCCGCCAAAATTCAAAGCCTGATCGATTAACTTTAATTATAACAGAAGTTTTTAAAACATTTTCTGCATGTCTCGGGAATATCTCTACCTGATGTATCCAGCTCCCGCTTGATGATGGCGCAACCAATACACTGAAAATAGCTATGGTCATAGGAGTTGTTCCCGTAAGTACCCACTGAGTACCCGTTCTCAATCATCATTGCCATTTCACTCTGTTCATAGCTCAGCTTGAATGTTGACTTATTAGAATTTGTTGTATACCCTGTATTAGGGATATAAACAATTAGCGGGGGCAGCCACCTTTCTGAAGTCTTATTGGAGTATTTTGATGCTTCACCTAGATATCTGTATGCTGACTGAATGTGACAGCCGAAGAACACAGGGCGTTTATTAAGCTTGTTCTCAACAAACGTTTCAGGTGATGGGATGTTGGGAAATATAGCATAGCGTTTTTGGTCGTACACAAAAAACGATTTTGAGTTTTGGTATTGACTTGACGTAAGACCTATGTTTGTTCCATTTGGGAAGCTGTCAACATCAGAGCTTGAATCAATTGCAATAATTACATCAACATCTCTTGTTTTCTGATGGAATGGCTGAAATGGAATGTTCTCATCCTCACCGCCATCCACGAGATATAAATCTGTGGAGTTTCGGACCGTGCTTGACAGAGGTGTATCGCCATATCCGTGAAATGGGTTTGGATAGATGAGAGCATAATCTGCTACGTACCTGCTGGCATTGATGTCTTCGCAGGAAGTCAAGCCAAAGACATTGAGAATGGTTTTCAAAGAATCATATGTCTGTTTCTTTGATCTAGCCATATATTTCCAAAAGTGACTTAGAATACTGTTGAATAAGCTTGACGAGGTTCCTGCTATGAAAGTCATCTCGTCATAACCGATTGTGCATAAACCTGTCAATGACTTCCCGTTCAACATCTTCGTTCCCAAGTAGTCCAATTTTACGAAAGCATTAAGGTATTGTTCCCATGATCCAAATTCATACGGATTGAATTCAAATATTCTTCTGTGACCTTCATTCGATTTGTAAACGTTTTTAGAATTGGTCAAGATGATTGGAAAAGGTAGCATGTGATTTGCAAAGCTTGATAGGCTTCTAGCACCTGACATGGTCATATCATGGGGACCGTTGCTGGAGAAGATAATATCACCAATTGCTTTGCCCCAATAGTCCGTCAGAGAGGTTTTGTATCCATGTTGTTTGCGTTGTGAGACTTCTTCATGAAGAGTTTCATAGAACTGTAAAGCTTCATTCCAGATTGAGTCCATTTCGTTGTTGCTCTTTTTCAACTGGTTAAGCCTGAACAAACTCTTAAAGTATGCCATAAAAGACGACGATGAGTTTGAGGTCTTCACCGTAACTGTCGGGAAATCGGTTGGAAGATCTCCTAACAGTCTTTGAGAATCTTTAAAATTGATGTTGAGCTCGGGTATCCCTCGAAGTGATGATGAGTTGAGTTTCCAGGAGCCGTTTACTTTCAGCTCGCTAATAGGCCCAAAGTCGTATTGCATTAACGAGAGAATCAACCACGAGCCACCAGAGACTCCGGCCATATACGTAGTCGATTGCAATAACCCTCCAAGACAGCCGTACTCTGTTGCCCCAGGAGTCCGAGAGTCAAACGCTTCTAAAACTCCAGCAGCGGTAAGGAAAGACCTGAACGAGCCTCCTGACAAGCTTATAGCTATACTGGGGGTATATCCGTCAAAAAAATTGGAATTTATTTCATCAATGTTAAAGCGGGTGAAAAGGTCAATAACATGTTTCTTGGCTTCTTGCTTTCTGCGCATGACATACGCTTTTTCTTCAGGACTTATTTGGTCACCACTTCGAAGGAGTGGATAGGAAGGACACTTTATTTGATATCTCAAGGCCGAAAGAGAAGAGCTGGTGGTCTGTGTCTCATTTGTGACGTTCCAGGACTTGTTCAGCTTGGCCTCTGGTTGGAAGCCAGTACATGCGGATATAGCACGTAAACAAAAGGAGGCGAAAATGAGTAAACTATTAAAAAACATCGCTCATCGTTTTATAAAGAAGCGGTAAAAATGAAAGGATACAAAATTTATAAAATATCCCCCTAATCACGTGAAAAGGGCTACACTGAACAAATATAAATTGTATAAAGATTGCATTGATTATCAGAAAGAGCCTAGATAAAAAGAACAATTAAAAAGAGATGAAGAAGGCTTTTGATAATAATAAGAGGAGCTTAGAATTCATCGTCGGAAGACACGTAAGCATCTCCCAATTCCTTCTTCTTCTTCATTCTTTCCTTCTTCTTCTTTCTTAGTTCGGCAGAGGAAAGCTTAGCCTTCTTTTTACTAGTAACAATCTTGTTACCCATAGCGTCAAACTTTTCTTCCTCCTCGTCGTTCTTCTTCTCCAATCTTGGACCAGATCCTTGGCCTTGAACCCAGTTGTGACCAGATGGAGTCATCTTACCATCAACAACGGCCCAGACTTCCTCAGTCAAGTCCTTAGTGAACTCGGCAGAGTGAGTAATGATGATGACACCACCCTCGAATGACTTCAAAGCTTTGGACAAGGCTCCCAATGAGTCTCTATCCAGATAGTTAGTTGGCTCATCCAGAACAATCAAGTGAGGTCTTTGCCATGTACAAGCAGCCAAAACCAACTTGACCTTTTGACCACCTGAAAGACCTCTGATTCTGGAGTGGGACACCAATTCAGCATCCAATCCTAACATAGCACAGTGGGCCTCAATCTCCTTTCTAGTCAAAGGTCTGAATTGACCGGAAGCCAGAGCCTCCTTCATGTCAACCTCCGCAACCATCTTAGCGTGGGATTCAATAAGCTCACCTCTTGGCAACCAAGCATTGTCGACAGACATCATTGGAACCCATCTCTCAGACTTCATACCAAGGTTCTCACCCAGCAAGAAGGAACACTCGTACTCGTAAGTGTTCTTGAACTTCCGTCTAGCGTGGATACCTTGAATTCTTCTTGGGGTACCATCGATCTTGAAGATCTTGTTCATGGCCTGCTCGTCGTTCTCGTTGATTTGTCTGGAAGCTCTGTCCATGGTTTCTCTGTCTTCACCGGTTTGGAATCTCCACTGAATGTACTCAGATGGAGTCTTGTCTAAATGCGAGTCGATATGAGCGAAAGCGTGTTGCTTGATGTACGCAATACGACAGTTCTCATGGACATAGACTTCACCACTGGTTGGAAGCAGCTCACCAGTCAAAACGTTAATCAAGGTAGACTTACCAGCACCGTTTGGACCAATGACGGCAATTCTGGACGACAAAGAACATTGGAAAGAGATGTCAGAGATTTGAGGCTTGCTAGTACCTGGGTATTGGAAGGACATGTTGGACACTTTGACAATTGCCTTTTGCTTGGTCTTGACACCCTCCAAGAAACCTGGTTCTGGGAACTTGAACTCGACCTCAGATGCAGAGAGCTCCTTATAAGACTTAGCAGATGGAACTCTCTTGATTAGCTCAGAAAGGTTACCCTTGTACTTTCTGAGCTTGAATCCTTCGTAGTGAATGATGTATTGAACAACATTGTCCAAGAATCCAGAGTCATGGGAAACAATAATGGAGGTGATGTTACAGGTGGTCAAGTAGTTGACTAACCAAGCAACGTTGACGGTATCCAAGTGGTTAGTTGGCTCGTCCAAAAGCAAAATATCTGCGTTAGCCAACACAGCTCTGGCAAGGGCCAACTTCATTTTCCAACCACCGGAAAGAGCAGCAATAGGCATGTCAATCATTTGCTCAGAGAAGCCGAACTCCAAAAGCTTAGCCTTCACTGTCTCCCTGTCAAGAGAAGTATTTTGCTCCAAAACGAAGTCGACAACAGGAGTTTCGGCGTGAGAACCGTCGATGTCGTGCTCAACGTAGACAGTTCTACATTCTTCCTGAGATGGGAAACCTTCAACTTGACCGTTGGCAATAGCCCTCATCAGAGTAGACTTACCAGCACCATTTGGACCACACAGACCGTATCTTCTAGCTCTCTTCAATCTAAGTTGAGTCTTGTTCAACAAGATCTTGGCACCGTAAGCCAAAGAGAACTCACAGTTACAGAGGTCCTCACCCTCATCATCCTCGTCCTCAAAGACAGGTGGCTGAGGAATGTTATCCACGGATCTCTTTCTGAACTCTTCAATAATCTCCTTCGACTCTTTCTCGTGCAAAAAGATGGTCAAAAATGGTGTCAAAGCGGATGACCAAGCTTCTGGATCGATTTTTCTCTCGTCAATCAAGTCACCAGCAATAGCGGCAACGTAAGTTTGAACAATATCAAATCTAGCTGGCTTGTCCTTGACCAAGTCCTTCAGAATGGCAAGGTTAACCTCAACGTCACCGGCCGTAGAAACCTCAGGAATGCTATCATCAGCTGGCACAGCACCGACTCTTCTCAGAGTGTTCAAAGCTCTCTCGGTAACAGATCTAGCCTCAGGATCAGCAATAGTAGACAGGTTGGTCTTCAGAGCTGGGAACAGCTTTTCCATGAATGGAGCAACAACTTGTGGATCGTCGACCAGTTTACACATGTTGTCAATAATAACAGCAGCCTTTCTCTTGATAGCAGTGTCTCTCTCGGCCAAACCTCTGGAAAGCAATGGAACCATGATGGACAAAGCAGCAGTGGTGACCTCAGAAACGAAGGTGGTAGCACCCAAGGCGTGAACTGTTTCTGGAACCTGAGTTGGATCAGAAATAGAGCTGATGAGCTTTGGAATGAAAGGCTCAATGTCCTTGTTCTCGATGGTGGCAGTGGTCTTGGTCATGGTCTCAGTGGCGGCCTTCTTGACGTCAAGCTTCGTATCCCACATAGCCTCGGACAGCACTGGAATAAGCTCAGGCATTCTAAGAGCAAGTTGAGCCTTAGAGGTCTCAACCAAAATTGCAATAGCATCCAAAAGAGCGATTTTTTCTTGCCATTTAGCGGTCTCGTGTAGGCACTTGAGCAAGCGAGCCAAGATATCCTTAATAGCAACGGGGGTAACAGCTCTAGCAATGGCCAGCAGAGCAGCAGCAGCAGCCTCTCTAACATCTTGCTGCTTGTCACCAGCCCTCGACGAGATGGTCTCAACAAGGCCGACGATGTATGGCTCGACAGATGGGGACAAGTCAGAAGCACTTGCAATGTGACTCACAGTGACGAGGGCATTGACAGCTTGCTTCTTGTCCTTGATAGCCTTTTCCAAGGATTGGAAAAACTCGTATGGGACATCATGCTCGATGATTTCACCGTTGAGGAAAGAAGCGACATTAGAAGCAGCAGAGTCTCTCTCTTCTGGCGCAGCAACAGCAAGTTTGCCAAACAATTCGGACAAAACTTCTGCGCTCTGTTTCGATTCAGCAGCAGCGGACATTCTGACTACTTTCTTGATGAAACAAAGGTTTTAATATAGAAAAAGGCAAACTGTTTTTAAAAAAAAAATTTTTTATCCTTCGTCCACACACGTATTAGAATACTATTAGGGTTACGTAAAAGAAATGTTAAAATAAAAAAATTTTCACAAAAATTTTTCCTGCAATAGGATTGACAGAAAAAGAAAGCGAAGAGCAGACTTATGCAAGTGTAAGGATGTTGACATACCAATTCAAGTAAGGTCTTCAGATACCATGATTCGGCAAACCACGAATCGTGAAAACCTGAAATCAGTAAACGGTTGCTTAAAACATTGAGCTAAGTAGATAATGTGCATGACATAACGTCCACTTGTTGAGCCGATTTTAGATTGACAGTAAGTCTATGTATTGTTCTCGTTTAAATAAATTGTAGGATTTCAAAAAAAAAAAATAAAACTAAACGGAAAGAGGGCTCACTTTGTCAATCGTTAGAGCATCCCCACAATGAGCAAGTTGTCCGAATATCATCAGCGAGTCAAATCTCTCACTAGAGAGGATATGCTGACCAAGTTCCCAGAAGTGACGCCCTTGGAAGCCACTACTGGAGAGTCTTCTTCGTCGACGACTAATGGCTCTACCACATACAACTTGCTTTTCCGAGGTCATGATGAAGAGCAGATCAAACTCATGAATGAGAACTGTATTGTCCTAGATTATGATGATAGACCGATCGGCGCCGGAACGAAGAAGCTCTGTCATATCATGGACAATATCAATAGGGGACTGCTCCATAGAGCATTCTCAGTATTTTTGTTCGACCGGAACAACAAGCTCCTCTTACAGCAGAGAGCAGACGAGAAAATCACTTTCCCCTCCATGTGGACCAACACCTGTTGTTCCCATCCGCTATGTGTTCGTTCTGAACTGGGGTCAGACTTGGACTCATCGATTTTAGGAGCCAAGACTGCAGCTCAAAGGAAACTGGAGCAGGAGTTGGGAATCCATCCGAAAGATGTTCCAATTGAAAATTTCAAGTTTTTGACCAGAATTCATTACATGGCACCTAGCAACGGACCATGGGGAGAACACGAAATTGATTACATTCTAATAATCAAAGCTAATCCAACGTTCAAGGCGAACCCAAATGAGGTGAAAGACACCCGTTATGTATCAGCAGATGAACTTAAACAGATGTTCAAGGACCCAAGTTTGGTGTTCACCCCATGGTTCAAGCTGATCTGCGAATCATATTTATTCGAATGGTGGAATCATCTTGACGAGCTAGACAGATTTACTAGCACGGAAATCGACCGCATGTTGTGAGTCAAGACATGTAACGTTAATAATTTGTAAAAATAGAGGAAGGTCCTAGATCACACTAATCATTCTTCGAGATTCACCTTTACACGTATTCCTCAAAAGAAAAAAAAGCTTATCTTTCCAATTTTGGTTTTGCCGTCGTGTATCCATCTAATCCCTCTATTGAGAAAGAAGCGAAATCTTATCGATATAAAAGTAAAAGGATTCGGAGTCTGCTTTTTAAATGGAAGTTATTCTTTCACAGCTTTCTGACTTTTTCAAATCATACAGTGGGCCAGTGCTTTTTGTTGCACTGTCGCTGATCCTTTCGGCGTTTGCTATACACTCAAAACTGCTACCACGTCATGTCAGGCCGCATAATGGGGGCAATGTCAAGCAGTCAACGAAATCAAAGTTCTCAATCAAAGATGCGCTACCAGCAGTGACAATTGAGCCTGTTGATCCGAATTTCGACTGGGAAAAAGAGAAGCCAGTTCCTTATAGGCCTTTCAAGAATGCACCTTACAGGATCAATATGGCTATTCAGAAAGCCGATCCCCAAAATATTATCGTGATCGAAAATACCTATTTGAAATCCACAAAGCTCAGAGAAAGGATTATGAATGAACGAGCTGAAATTTCTATGGCTTGCCATCCTAGCGCGGAAGCCGCCCTGAAAGAATTGTATTGCACCGTTACTGATTTCCTTATGAAGAAATACCCAATGTACTTCTATACAAAGGATAATGGTACTACTTTCTATAACAAGATCAAAAATGAGTCTTTTCCACTGGATCCCACTATGGAGGATCGACTAGAAGTCCTCAAATTTCTTGGACGTACCATTGAGGAGGACTTTATTATTTTGCTGAAAAATGGAGACGAGGGTGAACTAGAGAACGAGTATGTTTGGAGAGCGGGAGTATCCTGCTACCCGAGCGGATTTGTTCCGGGTGAAAAATTTAATAAACCTTTAACTGCAATCCATAGTCCTGTGCCGCAATATCTTGAACGGCTGAAAGTTTCAATGAACAGATTCTTTGAGAGGCTTCGCGTCCACGAGTTCGTTGTTAGGTACAACTGGAGTATACAGGCACATACTAACATATTTGCGCCTTCCATGAATCACGGAACCCGCACAGTTGCGTCAGTCAAACCGCTTTCTCCTGAAGATCTCGATTTCAACAAAGTTTTCATGCGAGTCGAAAAACAATGTTTCACAAGGCTACCAAAAACCAAGGCTGATATCATGTTTATTAGGACTTATACCACTCCGCTGACAAGAATTAAGGCCGAAAATAGGGCTGAAGACTTTTGCGGCGCCATCGACGGCCTGTCAGATGATTTTGCTATTTATAAGAACAAGATCCTCTGGGGAGATGCAGTTAAGGCATTTCTTAAAGGTGAGTCAAGCGGTTCGACAGAAAAGGTGTACGATTTCGATATCTTCGAGGCCCAACTTAATGGTGAACTCATGAAAAATTAAACGCGTCTCTCTTCATTCTATATATTTTGCAACGCGTAGTAGAAAGTAGACGAGATAAAGGGAAAAAAAACTAACGCGTAATTATTGAAAACATTTAGTTATTCGCAATTCAACTATTATGGGGAGACTGGTGGGTCTTGAGCTACACAACTTTAAGTCCTACAGAGGCACCTCTTCTATTGGTTTTGGTAGTTCGTTTTTTACTTCCATCATCGGGCCTAACGGATCGGGTAAATCCAACATGATGGACGCGATCTCGTTTGTGTTGGGAATCAAATCTAGTCATTTAAGGTCAAACAATCTGAAGGATCTGATTTATAGGGGAAGAGTTCTGGGCGAAAGCAATGATGGTGAAGAAAATGAAAATGATCCCACTACGGCATACGTGATGGCTATTTACGAAAAATCAAATGGAGATATTTTGAAGCTCAAAAGAAGTATCAACGAGACAGGTATTAGCGAATACAGAATCAACAACAAAACAGTGAGCGCAACCCAGTACGCGGATGTACTGAAGAAAGAGAATATTTTGATTAAAGCCAGGAATTTCCTGGTATTCCAGGGAGACGTCGAGAAAATCGCGTCGCAATCACCAGAAGAACTTACGCGATTGATCGAGAATATCAGTGGCTCGATTGATCATAAGAAAGATTATGATATGCTTCTGGAGGAGAAAGAGAAGGCGCACGACACTACGGCATTGCTGAATTCGAGAAAGAAGGCACTTCGGGAAGAGTTTAATCAATACAAAAACCAATCTCTGGAAATTGAGCAGTTTGACCTGAAAAGTAAAGAGCTTTCCGATTTGATTTTGGCGAAATACTTGACTGAACTCTACCACAATAACAAAGAGCTTGAGCAGGGTATACGTGAACTCAAATCTGCCACTCATGAGCTGAAAGATTTGCAGAAGGTGCTGAAAGACAACGAAGCCACCATGAAAAACGTGATTAAAACGCGTAACAAGGATGACAGCGATTACCACAAAATAGAAAAACTGATCTCTAGAAAGGCCGCTTTAATCAAAGAAAAGCAGTTAGCTTTGATTCCTCTCAAGTCTGAAGTGTTGCAATTATCCAAGAAAATCAGTGATTATAAGAAGAGGATTGAAACTTTATCCGATGACCACCAACGACAGAACGCGATTGTTGACACAATCGAGAAGCAGCTGACTACGATACAGAGAGCGTATGACAATTATGTTAGAGAATATGAAGCTACTACGGTGGAGACTCTGAGCTCCGGAGCTCTGAAAGAATACAAAAAACTAAGAGAGGAATTTTTGATGAAGGGAGGACATATTGAGTCCAAATTGCTTGACCTTGAGGATTCAGTGAACTCCTTGAACCTACAAATTGAGAATGTTTCACGTCAGAACGAAATTGTCAGCACAAGAATTAGCGATCTTGAAACCGAAAAGGCAGAGATTAACTCTAAAATTCAAGAAAATGTCTCTCAGACAAATGACGCGCAAAATACCATCAACAAGAAAAAGGAAGAACTCTATGCTGTCCGTTCTACGCAGGAGAAGATTTTGCAGGAAGAGTATGAGTTGAGCACACTTTTAAAGGAGGTGCTAGTTCAATTGAACGAGCTGCATGCAAGTCAAAGAGAAACTGCCAGAGAGAAGAGACTCCGTGAAAATTGCTCTTCACTTAAAAGACTGTTTCCAGGGGTTAGAGGTCTAGTGTGCGATCTATGCAAGCCAACACAAAAGAGATATGAGCTTGCAGTTTCCACAATTCTGGGAAAGAATTTTGACGCGATTGTTGTGGACAATCTCAGTGTTGCAAACAAATGCATTAATTACCTGAAAGAACAGAGGGCAGGAGTGGCATCATTCATTCCTTTGGATTCTGTTGATTCAAAGCCTCCTCAAGCTTATCTCCGTAATATTGACGAGCGCGTGCGTCCAACCTTTGACGTTGTCACATTTGATCCTGAGCTGGAACGAGCTATTCAGTATGTCTGTGGAAACTCAATAGTTTGCGATAATATGGACGTCGCCAAATATGTGAAATGGGAGAAAAATGTGGACGTGAAAGTTGTCACTCTGGAAGGTTCTTTAATTCATAAATCTGGTCTCATGACTGGTGGTCTGTCACCAAACGGTGGCAGAAGATGGGATAAGTCTGAGATACAGTCCTTAACTACCCAAAAGGAAGAAATCAAGGCCAAATTGGAGGAACTTTCGAGAAAGAAGACAAGCGAACTTCTTGAGAAAAAGCTGATGGACGAGCTAGAAACATTTGAAGCTCAAATTCCTCCACTGCAAAATGCCAGAGTCGAATTGAGTAGGCAGGCGAATGACATAGATGCTGAAATCAAAAACCAAAGAAGCATACAAGCTCAATTGGAGAAGGAGCTACAAGAGTTGACAGAAAAGCTCACAAAAGCAAAGGCGAAAGTGGATTCTACCAATAAGGAACTCTCGAGTGTTCAGCAGGAAATTTATGGCTCCTTCTGTAAGGAACACAATTTTGCAAACATATCCGAGTACGAAGAAACGTATGGATCGAACGCAAGGGGTCATTCCAAGGAAAAGGCAAGATACATCAAACAAATTCAATACCTCGAAAGCAAACTAGGATTTGAGAAAGACAGATTGGATGAGTATCAATCGCGCCTGGATCGTCTTAACGAGGACATGTCGAAGCTTGAGAAAAGCTATAGCAAGCTCGTCTCACGCAAGGAAACGATCGAAAACGATCTCGATACTTTTGAAAGTGAGCACGAAGTGCTGATGGAGGAGTTACAAAGAGCTAGTGGCCAGCGCAAGGCCCAACTCATTGATTACCAACAGTTGGAAGACCAAGTCTCCGATGTCCGTCTGCAGGTTGCCGAGACCAACAAAAAGATCGCCAATTTTGAAGATTTGATTGAAAAAGCTAAAATTGAGAAGATGAACATCCTGAAAAATTGCAAGTTGGAAAACGTGCATCTACCGTTATCCCTTGGGTCCATGGATGATATCCCCCTTGATGAATCTGAAAACGTCGAAAATATGCTTGCAGATGAGATTGAAATTGACTTCACGAACTTGAAGTCTGGCTTCAAGTCAGGGCCACTTGAGGAGCTGCTAAGTGAGTTCAAAACAAAAATTGATCAAATTACGGCAGAGTTATCATCAATGAGTCCTAATATGAAGGCTCGAGAAAGACTCGAGGACGTTCAGAGGAGACTGGTTGATCTGGAAGCAGAACTTTCTGACGCCAAGCAAGAGGAGAAAAAGATCGCAGGAGAGTTCCAGACTGTCAAGTCCAAAAGGTACAAGCTGTTTATGGACACCTTCAACCACATATCAGCAACGATAGATCCCGTCTATAAAGATCTCACCAAATCCAACGTTTCGCCTCTCGGGGGATCTGCATACCTTACTCTCGAAGACGAGGACGAACCGTATCTGCACGGTGTGAAATACCACGCCATGCCTCCAATGAAGAGATTTAGAGACATGGAGCTTCTCTCTGGCGGTGAGAAAACTGTTGCAGCCCTCGCGCTGCTATTCACTATCCACTCACATCATCCTTCACCATTCTTTGTGCTGGATGAAGTCGATGCTGCCCTTGACAATGCAAACGTGAATAAAATTGCCAACTACATCGCCAAGAACGCAGGTCCAGATTTCCAGTTTATCGTTATCAGCCTGAAGAATGGACTTTTCGAACGGAGTGATGCTCTGGTTGGAATCTACAGAGAGCAGAAGCTCAACACTTCTAAAACTCTTACGTTGGATCTGAGGAGTTACCCCGACCAAGAGGTTGCATAAATCCAGTCCTGCTTTCTCCATTTGCGCTATGTATCGTACCTATAATTGGGCAAGTAATGATGAAGCCCACAGATGTAGTTTCACAAAAAAGTTGTCATCCTGTAACAAGTCCATGATGCTTCTATTTTTGGGCATTCGAGACCCCCTACGCATGTATGTCTCGTTATTATTCTCGTTTTTGCGACGGTTATCAAGGATGTGCATCGATCTCGACGTTATAAAATTGACCATGGCAGTCAGCTGATCGAGTATAACAGAGTAGTTTTCGTAGAGCTTTTGCTCGCTGTCGCAGGTAAAAATAAGAAAATATCGTCTATCCGACCCCCTTGCAGTATCATCTATAAGCTTGAAGCCCAGACTCACAGAATATCCGTTTTTGGAATCGCCAAAGCTCAAAGGCTTACTCATATCATGATTCGACTCAATTGTAAAGACTCGCATAATTGTTTGGCGTAGAGCTGCATATCTGGGTTGTGAAGACGGATGCTGCGTGCTGATATAAATTTGATCTCCTGACTTTGTCCGGAGACTTGTGCTCTCCTGAGGCACTATGAATGCACATGACTTGCACACTGAGGATGGTGGTACTTTTGCTCCATAATAAGACTCTAAAGGCTCTCCAGAATGGACGTTTTGAGTACATATCACCATGGAGGGACCATGAACTTCGCAAAAATGAGCTAGCGTTATCATGAAAGACATTGGAAAAATATTACTGGCTGTGTACCGTTGATAAATAATAAAAAATCAAATCTCTGATGACCTCTGTGCCTCACTTGGATTGTGAGCGATTGCCAAGCTGGAACTTGACTCAGCGGCAGACCGTTAGTGCTGGGAACCAACGAAAAATACGCCATGTACAGGCAATTGTGGTGAGGAACCTCAAATTACCTGCAAATGTGTCCGGCAAGGATCCCCAACTATTGAGATTGAAAACAAAATCAACTGTAAATATGGCGAACGCTGCGACTACTCAGAATAATAAGGTCAAGACATTGAGTCAGGTGGGAGACCTAATTCAGTTGTCTCGATATGAGGAGTCTTCGAGTCAAAGTAAACTTCAATCAGCAACAGATCCTGTGGAGCGTCAGCTAGAAATACAAGCAATCAACAAGCGCATGTTTTTGGAGTGCTTTTTCACGATCAATCATTTTTTAGATACGAAGACCCCATTTTACATTAGTCGAGTATTTTCTTACTCGGTCCACGTTTGGGACGATATACAACTTTCCGGCTTATCACTTAAATCATTCACTATCAACCTTTACGCCAAAATAGATACTGAGTGGAAATTGTTGGTTCGATATAATGTGAAACTCTCGTTTTTGGTCAACCTCGGCAGCGATTACGAGGTCATAGAGTCCAAGTTAAGGCACGAACCAAATTTGTTGCTTCTCAAGCTAAATGATGACTGTTACTACGTACAGTCCAGCACATACTTGCCAAGAGAAGTAATCAAAGATTTAGAAATGTATCATTCAAAAAAAGGTGCTGGAAGCTACCTTCATGAAGAGCCAACCTGTACTTTCGATCAGATTATGAAGCTGAATAACTTGAGCGTTTGCTTGGTGGATCTGCTTTCCTCTAAGAAAGTTCTCACAGATAAAATTGAATCGCTATTGAGAGACTCTTTGTCTCCGAAAAGCAACCCTGTGGTCATCAATTGTTTGAAAGCGCTTATTGATAGTCAAGAAGTCAGCAATAGGCTTCTCAAGCAGCAAATTTCTCGTCTTAATGACATCCGGCGCGCAAAAGAATGTAGAACATACGGTACATTCATGACAGAGTATAAGCGCGAGGATTATGCTCACTACTTACTGGATCTGGAATCCGTAATAACGCAACTATCGAAACAGAAGTCCAGAATCGCCAATACACTCTTGACAATCTTCCCTATAACCATCTCTGACAGCCTGGAGTTTTCTCTTTTTGGTTATAAGCTCCCACAAAGCCTGAACTATCTGAAGATGACTCGCATAGAAATAGAGAAAACCAATGCACTACTTGGTATAGTGGTTTTTCTTGTGATCAAACTGTCCAACTATCTGAACGTACCTTTGAGATATCCACTGAAGTTTCTTGGCTCTAATTCATATATTAGCGATCCAGTTTCTAAAATGCAAACCAAGCTTCGCGTTTACCCTCTATTTGTTGTTCAAAATAGTAACTTGGCTATCCGTTTTGAATTCGGATTATCGCTACTAGTGAAGAATTTACAGCAAATATTCGAGTCAGAAAATCTTTCCAAGCTCGATGACCATGATCTACTTGCTAACTTGAAGGTATTGTTGACGTGTATAGCTAGAGACGATGGATTGGGTCTCAACGAATATCTGGTGACAAAAGATAAAGTCAATGCCATTAAGCTCAGTTTGTTGAACAAATGACACGGGTACTGTAATGTTGCATTAACCATATATAGACTATATAGAGCCACAAAAAGAGACAAGTTTCTGTAATAAGAACTTTGTGATTGGATGCAAAGCATTCGCTTCATCATTGGTAGTAAAGAAGCCCTCACTGGTGAGCAGAGAGTGCTTCTCGCTGTACTTTTTCACTCCAGCATAATATTCAAGACACAAGCTGAAAATAAGCACCAGTGCTACAACTAACGGACCAAAAACACCATCTAAGTGTCTTCCGGATCTGAGCTTGATCAACTCCAGCCTCTTCATGTAAATAGCATAGGCCCAAACTCCGGAGAAGAGGGTCAGCGCAAAGTAAATGTACGCAATGTTGGTAGCGACAATCGGGATGTGTGATGAGGAGACAGATGAGTGTATTGTGAACGTCAATGCTGAAAGCAAGGTAGTGATATGCAGCCACCGAACAAACGTACGCTCATTAGCAAGCCAAACTTTGGCTTCCACTTTGATTGGACCGGATTGCTTGATAAGAGTCTTTGGCTTTACCACTCCTGGAGGCAAAACGATTTCCTCATCTTCAGACTCGTATCCTTCTAATTTGGATGCCTTTGAAAACACCGGTATGAAATAGGAAGCAACATTTAGCTTTTTCTTTCTTGGAGGTTCAATAAAACTTTTGGATTCGGATGGGGCACCAGATGTCATTAAAGTATTTGAGGTCGAAACCAAATTGGAGGTTGATTTCGCGGAAGGGCTCAGAGCAGTGGCAGACTCCTCATCGGAAGACTCATTGTCATCTAAATCCTCTTCTTCCTCAACTATTTGGTCTAAATGCACCGTTCCGGTGTTGGTCACAGGATTAGGACTTTCCCCAACTTTCTTTTTCAAATTCTTTAGTATCTCATCCTGTTGCTGCTGTCTTATCTGCTTCTCTCTTGAATCTTGATAAGCTTGCTCGGGATTTTTCCTAATGTCGTTCTCCAGCTCTGGAAGCCAAAAAGGAAGAATGTCCAAATTGTCATCTTCCAAAAAGAGAGAGGAAATACCTTGGATAAACTTCGAGAAGTTCGGAACCTCCTTAACCAGGTGCCCATTAGTCAAATCGTTGATCCAGGCAAGAGTTCGGGACGAAGGATTATTGAAAATCGAGTTGGCCAGTTTGATTTCCATAACAGAATAAGGGAACTTGGCATACTCACCCTTTCTGAGAAGTGAATATGGATCATCAATTGTGGAATCAATGTCCATTCTATGCCATTCTCTTGGATTTCTGATTGGTCTATCAGGGTCAAAAGAGTCTTCTCTGATGAACAAAATATCAGAATCAATTGTAATTCGAACCCTATCATCACCTGGCATTTGGAAGGCAGTTCTGGTATGAACAGTTCTCAAGGTCGGCTGCAAATCATTCTCTCTAATAAATTGTTGCAACTCCTTGAAATTGGAAGATAGCTTGTCAATCGATTCCTTTGAAATACCCTTCTTTTCCAACCTTCTGACAAACTTGTCAAGAGTCAGCTTCGTATTGGAATCATTCCTAAGGCGATTTGGAAGCTCCATATCCTCTTGTTCATCTTTGGGATCTTTTTGGAAAATGAAATCATTTAAATACTTCTCCTTCAATGAGAGACGGACATCATTGGAAGTCCCAGTGTCATAGTCAAAGATCTTTTTCTCAATTGTGAGTTCGGGGTTATCCCTTAGTTTGCCTGACCATCTTATCCTAAGTGAAGGTGTTTTATTCAGGTTTTTGAGTAGCTTATTGTTGTATAGTTCGAACTGTCTGTTATCAAAATAAAGAGACGTGATTTTTGGGTCCACACTGTACTCATCATCATCATCGTCATTCTGGTTGGTATAAATTAGGACTGGCAGGTGTCTCAAAATAGTGGTTTTGATTTCCATTAAATTATCAGGATGGATCCAGAACTTGAGAACTTTGTATCCATAATCCTTTTGACCTAGATTATTCAACGAGGCACTCGGAGTAGTAGAAATCTTTCCAGAGGATGACAATTTCTGAATCGAGTTTTGAAGTGAAGTCGATAATGAACTAGAGCCCATTTGGTCTCGAACAAAAGAGTATAATGTCGAAATTCTGAAGAGATATGGAGAGGTGTCCTCACTGATGTTAGTCAAGGGCAACGACTTCATTCGCACGTTCAACAATGCTTTCACAGAGTAGCCTTTATGCAATCTATCATGCTTCTTGACGATCTTAATAAAACCAGTAAAATTCAGTCTCGCAAAATGATCCAATTCCTTGGCCAGCCATAGAAGCTCTTCGAGCTTCTTTTGAAATGCCTTGGCATCAAAATCCGCAGTCCTTTTCTCGGAAACGCTTCTCAAGTACTCTTCGCTTTGAAGTTCCAGCTTGGATATTTCCTCGTCGAGCTCTTTGTACTTCGAAACTTGGAAAGTGTACACCTTTTCCAACTCAGAGTCCAATTGAGATGCAAATTCTGCCTCATCTTTTTCGGACCATGCACTAGTAGCTGAAGAAGATCCTGGCTTATTTAGGTTTTCTGTGGATTCAATAACATTTTCCTTCAAAAGTCTCTTCAAGTGATCATAATCGATATAGTAGTTTTTCCATGGAGGAAAGACCTCATTTTGCAGCTTCACTCCAAACAACATGTGGTGTTGACTCACTCGACGTGGAAAATCACCAATGCAACTTTTCTCTACTTCGCAATTTTGTAGTGCAGCATAAATTAAATAATCATGGGTTCCTGGGCACGTGTATACGACCAATCCTTACACCTCCACTTATCGTGCCTGAAATATAGAATAATACAAAAATTCAGCTCAAGAGCTCTTTCAGAATTTTGACAACCGTGCACCATTTTGTGTAACCGAGGTTATTGAGGATTTGAATTGAATACTTTTCAAACATGTCTTTCGATCCAGTTCATGACAGTATAACTAATAACACGCATGGTGATCCCAATGTGGATTCCACTCGTCCACCGACAGATCAACAGTCCAGGTCCTCCGATCCACTTATCGAATCAGAAGATAAGACTACGGAAGCTGAAGATACGAAAAAACGCAAAAGACAATCCGATGACGGAGTTAAAGAGAAGTTACATCCATCGGTGCTAACCAATTCCCGCACTAGACACCTGAAGAAGGCTGATGGAGAGCCTTACTGGCGAAAGGATATACGCTTCGTTTTTGTTATGAAATTATTCTTCAACAACTGGAGAATATTCTCTAATCCCTTCAAAAAGTCGGGGGAGAATTTCGATTGGCCGGAGCACTTCAAATACTACAAAGATGAATTTGGGGCGGAGCATTTTAATGACGGAACTCGTTTGACATTCTTTGAGCTTTACCTCATAACTCTCATGAAGAGTAGCAAGGTTTCCAAAGTTTTGAAAGATCGCCTTTCACATGATCTAAGCTATGCGTTGAATTTCTCGGTTATCAGCATTCTCGTTAATATTGGCCGCCTGAACACGACCGTGAATTTTGACCATGCGATGAAATCTCAGTTTAGAACTTACCATTCTGTTCCCTCTTTGCATGTTGGAGATCATACGTCGATTTTCGAGAAATTCTACGTCCTTCATCCTGTTGAAGCCAGGCTCAAGACAGAAGACACGAAAAACTACTTCCCAATGTCAGCTGTGAAGCCGTTACAAGATACGCCCCGCATAAAGTCAATATTAAAGTCAATTAACGACTTGAATCAGGAAGTTCCAAAAAATTTCAAGGAGTTCATCTTGGGGATGAATGAAGACAATAAATTCCATCTGAATGTTGTTAGCTTATTATTCCTGCTTTGTGTGCATGAGTACGAGATTGGAAAGCTTTTTTTCCCAACCTCGCAGCAATTGCCGCAAAGTGAGACTGATAATATGGGTCACGCAGGTTTTGCCACTTCTTCGGGATCATTATTTAATGACATCTGGCTGAAAACAGAATCAGATCCAAACGATGAGGTTGAGAGATTTCTGTGGTTAGTTTATCTTTTCTTGGAGACTGACTTCAAAGCAGATAAAATTTTAGCTAATCCGTTCAACAACCCGTTGGCTAAGATCACAATTGATTCTGGACTGAATGTGGCACAAGAAATTGCTCACGATAACCTGGAACTTGTTGAAAAGCTTAGACAGCTGGTGCCCCCAATGAAAAAATATTCACCTGAGCAAAGCCAGGATCCATCTCAATTGATCAACGATGTCGACACAGAAAACGAAAAGGCATTTGCCTATTATATGAAGAATCTACGACTCAAATTCTTAGAAGACGCTCCAAGTGATGATGAAACAAAGAAAGCAAAACGAGCCAAAAAGTTGAAGAAGCCATCGGATGTTGATGATACGGATGCTGATCTAACTGCTTTGGGACTTGAAGAGTCGGATATGAAAAAGCTGAAACAGGCTCTTACCACGGAAGAGAATGGGACCAGAAGTGCTGAGTCGAACCCCCATAGCGACGATTTGCAAGCAGAAAAAGCACGCAAGAAGAAAAGGACTAACATTGGGCCAATCAAGCTAAACCTGAGCCACATCGAAGCCTTTTTAAGTTCAGATGTAAGATCTGGCTCAACGTCGAAAATCATGATTAATAAGCGAAACAAAAATCACTACATGGCCTTGTTTCTGAGAGATCTCATACTGAAACGTGCCGATGACCTCAAACGCAAAAGATTAAAACTAGGGCACTTAAACTGCATGCACAAATTGGACACTCTATTGATTATACAAAGCGACGAGAAGCTCCAAACCGTGTACAAGGACAAAATTGATGAGTTTCAGATCAACTATTATAAAGATTTGAGACGGATAATGAGTTTCATTGAAGATTCAGCGGACAGAGAGGAACCAGCGCACGATTCATTTTTGGAAAAAGCCTTTTCAGATGTATAGATAACGCGACAGTTGAAACGCTCTCATTCCACTGGTTCTATACTAATGACCGAATTACCTCTAATGATACAACTCCCCACTTTCACTTCATTTGTAGATTGTTTGTTTGTAATCAATTCAACAGCATCGGATAAGTTCAGATTGAGGAAAAGATCATAACCTGCAAGTCTCCCTCTGACTACCCTTGATGAGTTGAGTGTAACCTTGAGGTTTCTATCCACGTATTTCTTCAGCTCTGGCGTGGATACCATAATTTAATACGTTGAAATGGTTAAAAAACTCTTTTACCACTTATTTTCAGGTCGTGTGTGAATTCAAGGAGCAAGAAGTTGTTTACAATTCGCCAAACGATGTCTACAGAAGAATATGCGAACCTTCGGCAGCAAATACTGAGTCTGGAGTTTGAACGAGATGAATTAGTGCAAAAGATCGATGAGCTGAAAAAGCGCAAAGTTGAACTAAGCGGCGAGAATCAATTTAATTTGCAAGAATATCTTCAAACATGCCAACTACTGCAAGATCATTCCAATCTCCCGTCAGTCGATATGGAAAAACGACTCCAACTTATTAAAATGTTCTACCCGCATATGGTTATATCAGATGTACAACAAGAGGCTGGGATATTATCGTTCACTTTAAAATTTAAATACTATTTGGAGTTCAAGGTAGTTGTTGAGTTTTCACAAGAGAGAGTCGTTAATCTCGACATTGCAAAATCGAAGCACACAATTGTGAGCGAAATGGCAGAGATAAATAAGCTAATCAGACTATCTTGTGCCAAAAAAGATTTATCGCTTTTCATCTATGCAACTAATTCATATATTAATTTAGCAAAGCGCAGATTAAAGCTCTGGACACAGCTATTTGATAGTCTTGTCGCGGAATACAATGTGAACGATATTTCTCCAGCTTTGCAAAACGACAGACTGGCTGTGTTTGCTCGATTTAAAAATTGCCAGATAGTGACTATTTCTAAAGGCGGCAAGCAGTTCACGGTCCATTGGAAGCTTGCGTTTGACAGTGACGATGCCGAATTCGTGGGCGAATTCCAATCCAAATTGGAATGCATGTTTACTGATGGTGAGACTAGCGTCGACCTTGACGATACATTTAATGTCTTGGTGAAGGTGGACGGCATAGCAGGGGCTATAAGTCATCTTCTCAAAAACCTCTTGGACTAAAAACGGTATTCCATCTCAAGTCCAGCTCTGGACATTCCGCATTTCAAGTAGAATCCTTCATTTCTCGGGTCGCAATTTAATATAACTTTGTAACAGCTTTCTTCCTTCGCTAATTCAATCAGCTGACGAATCAGGTACAGACCCAATTTTTTTCCTTGCTGATCGGGCCTCACGGCTATATCTTCAACATGGCCCACTTTGGCACAGCCATGAATCAGCTTTGTCTCCACAATCAATGACCCAACCGCCACCACTTGCGATTTGTCGTCCGTGATCACCAGATTCTTATATGTTTTAGGCTGCGACTTCCAGTTGTCAACTATATCATTGAAGTGTTCCTGATCTACATCACCTACCGAGGTCAGAGTTTCCAACGTCTGCAGATAGCCTCTGGAAAAATCTTCCTTTTCTAGTGGACGCAGATTATAGCCCTGTGGCAGGTGCTGTTCGCTCATCGTCGGCCTTTCTATGCAGCTATTACGCGATAGATCTAATAAAAATAGTTTTTGAGGAAACTTGTACATTCGGTGTAGGGATTATACTCCGCAAAATTTCCCGGCCTCTATGGCACTACATTGTAGTGCATGCGGATGCCCATAGCTGACAGCTCAGAATCCAAGTATTTGAGAACAAACGGAATAGCGACGGTGGTTGTGTCTCCACCACCAATAAACTTGGCTCCTTGGCCATCCTCCCAAACATCCATTTCATCCATATTTTGTAGCACACGATCAATCTTTTTGGCGCAGCGACGACATCTCGTAGTGGCCTGAGTGCCAATGCGAGGAACAGACATTTGCGTGGACAGTAATGAGCCGCATGAGCGGCAAATGGCAGTCTGAGTGTAGTCCGAACAGTTGAGCAATCTGTCCTGAAGCAAGAAAGACGTTCCGTGACCGATAAGGGCATCTCTCTCCATTTCTCCCACACGGATACCTCCGTGTCTCTTTCTACCTTTAACAGGTTGCATTGTAAGTGAGTTCACAGGACCTGTCGATCTGACTTGGAATTTGTCGTTCACCATGTGTCTCAATCTTTGGTAATAAACCACTCCAATGTATATGTCTGCACGAAGCTCTTCTCCCGTCACACCAGAATACAATGGCTCGTTTCCATGGTAATTGTAGCCGGCTCTTAGCAACTGCTCACCGAAATAGTCGGCTGGAGTGTCCGACTCACTAAACTTCCATGGAGTGGCATCCTGGGCAATACCGTGTAATGCTCCAGCTTTTCCTGCGAGAGACTCCACAAACATACCAATAGTCATCCTCGATGGGAACGCATGCGGATTGATGATCACATCCGGCTGGATACCAGTCTCACTGAAGGGCATATCAATTTGAGGCCACTTCCTTGAGCAGACGCCCTTTTGGCCGTGTCTCGATGAGAACTTGTCTCCAATTAATGGTTGTCTGGTGATCCGGTACTTTATCGAAAGCGTCTGGAACTCGCCTGTCCCGTTGTCATCTCCAAGAAGCTTTACTTCCTCAATGAAAGCTGGCTCCGAGCTATGGTAGGTCTTCACTTTAGTTTTGCCCAAAATATCATCGTAATAAGCGCAAATGGGGTCACCCTCTTCCACGTGAACTCCAATGTGTGGCAGCCCGTCGTCGTCTAGCTTCTCTTTCCAGCTTTCAGGCCATTCATCACCTCCAAAGCCAAAGTGCTGAGTGATTGGATCCCCTCGCTTCCTATTCAAAGATAAGTCCACTTTTTCAACTTTGTACACCACTCCGTAACCGAATCCTCTCTCATCAGCAGACTTATTGATGATCATCGCATCGTCCATATCGTATCCTGTATACGAGATAACAGCAACCACTGCGTTGGTTCCGTTAGGGAAATTATCCATTCCATAATCGTCATAAAGATTGGCTTTAACGATTGGTGTCTGACCCGATTGAAGACGGTAGAGCTTATTGTCGCTCCTGTGGCACAGCGCAACACCAGGCGTTCCCATGGTTTGCTTACCCATCTGGCATTGGTACATGTTTCTTGGTGACTGATTGAAATCCGAGAATGGTGTCAGATTAGCTAGAATGGACAAAATATTGGTTGGCGCAAATTCAACGTGTGTATGGACATTATTTTCGATCTCAGAAGGGATAACGGCAATGTCCATGAACACCTGCTCGAATGGACCAACGATATCCTCTTTGTCCAATGGAAGATATCTGACTGGTCTCACCATTCTTGAGGCTCCAGCAAACAAATATAGACCTGGATATTGGCCGCCAGAGGATGGCGGAACATATCCAATTTCCAGATCCAGTGGAATATCGTGGTTTCCTTCCACCTTCCAGAATCTAAGAGTATCGGCAACGATCTTTCCCTGTTTGTGAGAGCACCAGCCGATGATTCTACCGTCCAGCTGAACACAGCAGACGTTTGGACCAGCTATATTCATAGCAGAGGCAGTAGGTGAAACGCCCAGCTTGTGTAAAAGCTTTGGGACTTTTGTGACGTCGGAAGCCCGGGTGGTGATTTGACATTTGTGAGCCAAGTGGTTTAGCAATCCACAAGGAGATCCATCTGGAGTGTGGACAGGACACAGAAATCCCCAAGATTCTGGAAGCAATTTGCGAACCGCAGTGGTCTTCAACTGCGCAAAAAAAGATCCTCTGTGGACCATTCGGAAGTGAGAAATGAAACGATGGAAATTGATCTTTTCTGCCACCACGGTGTAACCACTCACTTGTTGCAAGTCGAGACCAGATTGCGACACCAGGTTACCCGTTGACAAAAAGTACTGCAATTTCTGACCAATATTCTCGTTGATTCTCAAGAACACTCTTGACATGTACTTCCTGTCTGAGAAGTTCACTGCAATGCCTCTATTGATGTCCGATTGTACTTGCAATCTTATATTTTGAAGATACTCCTCGATTTTCTCCTTTAAAATCATCCCATAGAGGAAACCTCCAAGCAAAATCTCTTGATGCTGAGTTGCATCCGGATTGTCTGGAGAACACTCTCCGGCCACTAAGGAATAAAGTTTTCTAATCATGAATAGAAGCATACGGAACTTATCCTCATTCTTTTCCAAGTGGACGAGAACAATTCTCTTGATAACCTCCTCCCCTACGCTAATATCAGACATGTCAGGAGTAGCACCAAACACCACCCTGAATTTGTCACCAAGATATGCCAGGGTCTCTTTTTGCGAGTAAAGATTGTAGTTCTTATAAGTTCTCAGCAACAATTCCAAACGATCAGTCAAGAAGGAATTTCCAAGGTCTGCACCCACAACACCATCAAAGATTTCTCTATCATTAGTTTCGATCAGTGCTTTCAAGATCATCACCACAGGAATCAGATACTCGTTCTTTCTCCAAGAAAATCTGAACGTCACATTTCCATCGTTTAAGTAGTGCAGAACGTTTGTCTGCGAAGTTTGATCTGGCCTCACCGAGCGAATCTGAACACCAAAATGCGAATACGATGTGCCTCTATTAGCGAACGATGGTCTAATGATAGCCATCGGGTGGTTACGTCTTTGTACAATAAGCATTCTGATCAGCTTTTCAATACCGTTGACGATAAAGTAACCACCCAGTTCATCGCTCTCTTCTCTCAGTTTCACAAGCTGATCAGGGGACAAGTTTTCAAGGTGACATCTGTTGGATTGTAACATGATCGGAACTTGACCGGCTTCCCTGACTTCACTAATCTCTTCACCATCATTAATAGACCAACACACTTTAAGCAGGAGTCTGGCCCTGTAAGTTGTCATTCTCTCCCTACACTCCGCAGGGTAGGTGTTTCTAACCACCGAGAGTTTGTCGGTCGAAGGAACTTGTGGTTTGGCAATCTGCACAGAGTCAACTCTTATTCTCAATTTATTGCCTGAGCCAGTGGCATCATTTGTGTCAAAGATTGTTTTAGTTCCAATGTCTTTAACGGCTAAGTTCAGAAGTCCTCCATCGGGCCCCTCTGTCAAAGCGTTGAAAGATCCGACATGCGGCCTGACAGCGTCATAAAGCATCTGGAAAGCCGACTTGTCCTTCGGTGGGTTTTTGAAGCGGTGCTCCCTTTCCAGTGTTCTGAACTTTGCTGTAGTCATTGGGATATAGCTGTTTTCAAATTTTTTTTTATTTTTTCAGATAAAATTTTTCCGATCCCACGACATCTATCTTTGTGATAAAGAGTGATTGTACGCTGAATATTGATGTGCGATGATGAGCGCAGCAAATTACCTTTGGAGGCAATTCGTGTAAAATAATTACCCACACTGTTTCTTGCTTCAAATTCGCTGTGACCGCCTGGAAACTATTCAACAACATGTGTTTTTAAATCTTATAGGCTATTGAATTGTTGCTAGCTTTAAACATTGTGGTAATAAATGCAGTATTTTTAGCTTGAAAGCACATACTAATTTCATGCGACTCCAAACAAGTCTAAGGAAAAAGTACATCCTCTCTCAAAGCTATTACAAAGTCTAGCATTCTTTGTCTGCTCTGATGTCTCATATCAATATCAAGTCATGATTCGTGATAGCTCGGAAGTAGAAGATCCGTATCAAAGCTGCTGCTAGGTTTTACTTCAAAAGATCAAAAGAAACGTGGCTTGAACCTCCCTCAAGAACTAAAGCACCGCTCCTTCATCTTTTTACAGTCTTTGTGAAAACGTGTGTAGTCATGTAGTCTTCGTTCATGTGCGCGAAGAACAAGAAGCAACTCGTCTCGAGGATAGCACTCATGATTCCAATAGGGGCACTTGAGTGAGTATGTGATACTCATGATTTGTCATTAGGATGATGAAATGGAATCACCATTATAGGATCTCAGGTGTCACTACAACGGAGTGCTACCGTATTCTGCAATTAATACACAGCCCTAAAATAAAAAAAAAGTTCATGGCTAAATCACGATACGAGTACGTCAAGAATTTTGAAAGAGAATCCATTCTCCTCCCCGAAACCTACATAGTCGTCCGTGTCGATGGAAGAGGGTTTCACAAATTCTCTTTCAAATATGATTTCGAGAAACCCAACGATCTACGCGCCCTTGAGGTGATGAATTCAGCAGCACTGAAACTAATGGAAACCATTCCCAATATTGTCATGGCCTACGGGGACTCCGACGAGTACTCGTTTTTGTTACAGAGGCGGTGCGACTTGTTTGAGCGAAGGGAATTCAAACTCATCTCAACATTCGCATCCACAATCACTGCATATTACCAATACTACTGGAGTCAGTCGTTTCCAGAAAAACCACTTCAGCCTGACCGGCTTCCTACTTTTGACGCACGCACAGTTTGCTACCCAAATGAAGAATTGGTGAAAGACTATTTTAGGTGGAGGCAAGTTGACTGTCACATTAATAATCTTTACAATACTACCTTCTGGTCTCTCGTCAAGAGTGGTTTAACGACTCAAGAAGCAGAGAATAAGCTTATTGGAACATCTAGTTCAGACAAGCATGAGATCTTGTTCAAGGAATTTGGAATCAACTATAACAATGAGCCAGAAATCTACAAAAAAGGCACCATTTTTGTCAGACAGGTGGATTTCGAAAGTGATTCAAATATAGACCAGTCCAGAAGACAAGCACAAAGATTACAAAAGAAACTCAAAAAGTCAGAAATCAGGAAACTTCATTGCGACATAATCAAAGACGAATTTTGGGATTGCAGGCCTTGGCTCTTCAGCTAGACTTTTGCTTCAAGACCGAAGACTTGACTCATTAGCCTCCTGTTCATTTTACCAGTTGGAGATTTGGGCAACTCCTGAACAATATAAATCTTCTGTGGTAGCTTGAAGCTTGCCAATCTATCCTGGAGCCAGGCTTTTAGTTCGGTTTCTGTCAGCGAGGTCCCCTTCTTGCAAACTACGCCGCATCCTATATTTTCTCCATACTTCTTATCGGGATACCCGAAGGAGACACACTCCTTCACTTTCTCGTGCGAACTCACCACTGAATCGATTTCAACAGGTGAAATTTTCTCTCCGCCCTTATTGATAATCTCTTTTATTCTTCCCTTGAGGACTAAACGTCCTTCATTATCAAACATTCCGAGATCACCCGTCTTGAAGAAGCGCTTTCCCTGGAAGTTGAAAAATGACTCTTTATTTGCAAGTTCATTTTGCAGATATCCACTCGTGACATTGGGTCCGGATATAGCTACTTGTCCAACTTGGCACTTGTTCAGAATTGCTTCATGCTCGTTAATGATTATGACTTCCACAGTTCCTTGAGGAATGCCAACTGTGCCAGCTTTTCTGGATGTCTTACCATGAAAAGGAATATTATTTGAAGTGACTTGGTGTGATGCTTCGGTCATACCGTACGCTTCCACCACGGGGCATCCAAAACTCGATTCAAGCTCGCTGAAGACTGCCGGTGGCAACGATGAGGAGCAAGACCTGATAAACCGCAGCTGTCCTTTGAGTTCTTTGGGGAGACGGCGATTCAGAAGGATTATATGGATAGTTGGGACAGCCGAATACCAAGTGAAATTCCATTCTCTTAGATGCGGGTAGAACATAGATGCGGAAAAATGATTTGGGACAACAACTGAGCCCTGTGATGCGAGCGACGCCAATAGAACCTGGAGTCCGTGGATGTGAAATAAAGGCATGATCACATAATTCCTGTCACGGTTCCTGAGTTTGTACGTTTTAATAATATTCATCATTGAGCTAGTAAGATTGAAATGAGTCAGGGGAACCTTCTTTGCTTTCCCTGTGGTGCCACTGGTGAATAGTATCATTGCAATATCCGAGTTTCCGGCAACGCCTGGCATGTGGTGTCCTGCTTCTTCTGAAGGTAGACTTGACTTATCTATAACTGAATTGTACATAGATGCCAATGTTTGTGCATGGAATATCTCGTACTGAAGCAAAGATCGTGCCGTATCGTACCAAATTTCAATGACAAAGGGCTTTGTAGGGGTTGCACGGGCAGCAGAAACGACCTCCGAGTCAGGCTTCAAATGACTGTAGCGAGGAACGATGACAGCATCCGTTTCCAAGTCAGAGAGATACCCGGCAAATTCCGATCTAGTGTACTTGGGGTTCAGTGGCGTGATAACGTTTCCTGCTGTCGTAATAGCAAGAAATGAGGCAATCAGCTCGAGTCCGTTTGGAAGACAGGTTGCAATCCTTAATTGCTTCTGTGATCCCTTATCGCTAAAGGGAGAAATAGGGTTTGTGAATATTGATTGGAGATGGTAAACAATGTTGTTCAGTTGAGAGTAACTAAGCTCAAGGTTAGATTCAGGAACAATCAGTGCCGTTTTTCCTGACACTTGGATCAAACTTTGTAAGGACATGGTGAACCAGAAAGTTTAAGGAGCAACAGTAGAAAAAAGGCACTATCTATATATAATTTATAAACCTGAAACTGGTATTTTGATTGCTAGCGAAGGTCAAATGGTGGCTCCGTTTGACCTTGACAATCTCCATCCTAAGTTTTTATAAACTTCACCGAAATAGCCTAAAGGTTACCTACCGGTCGTACCACAAAATTTAATTGGCTTATTTAGACGTCCGGACTAATGCAATGAGGGGTCCTGGTTCTATAGACATGTATTTAGGCGAATTTCTTTCCTTCTAAAGGAATTTCAGCGCGAGGAGTCACCTTTGCATTTTTGGCGGGAGAAGGCCACTCAGGGTAAAGAATGCCAGCTTTCTTGAGCAAATCCTCAACAGTTTTAGTTGGCTGTGCGCCCACTGAGATCCAATACTTTGATCTTTGGAAGTCCAGCTTGACATCTTTTACAGGTATCACTCCCTCCGATTGTTGTGTAGGAGTAAGCGGACTGGGTCTTGGATCATACGTTCCTATCACTTCGATAGGTTTTCCATCCCGGCGTGTTCTTTTGTGGCTTACCACAATGTTGTATAGTGGTTGATGTTTTCTACCCATGCGGGCTAGTCTCAATCTGACAAGTCCCTTCATGATCGTGTCGGATTCTGAAAATGTAAAATTCTTCGATGAGATCACTCTCACACCCTTACACGCATATAGATTTTATTTTTTTTTCAGCTTTTTTTTTTTTTCTACCTTGTATTATTATGGCTACCTTCGAAGATGATCCTCTCCTGTTAGACATGGAGTTGGACTTGAAACTTGGTAGAATTAGAACACAGGTTAACTCGAAACTTGAAAATCAAAAACAGCTGTCTCTTGTACTTCAGGCTGTGGATGAAAACTTGAAGGATCAAAAGCAGAAGCAGAGTCCCGTCACATACTTTGTCTCCTTCCTTTCTCTTCTGGATCAGTGCTGTGATGGTGAAAACATAAAAGATGGAAACCTTGCTGGTGTGGCTCTTTATTTTCTGGACTTGGTGTCTCCGTACACGCCAAAACAGCTTTTAAGATCAAAATTTAGTGAAATTGTTGCACGTCTAGCTCCCGCATTATCAAGCGACGAGTCTGCAGCTCCATTGCTGAGATCTAGTATTGGAGTCCTTGAAAGTCTTCTTGTTGCTCAAGAGACCGGTGCTTGGATCAATTCGAATAACTATAAGATCAGTCCAAAAAGAGGTCTTACAGGTCTGCTCCAGCTGTCTATGGACCACAGACCAAAGGTTAGAAAGAGAGCACAAGAGGCTGTGCACAAAATTTTGAGTACTGTTCCGGCTGGCCCTTCTCTCGAGCATCCTGCTTCAACCCTTTGTGGTGAATTTGCACTCAATTCTGTCATGAAGTTGTTGGAGAGACAACAACAAGAAAAGAAGAATAAAGAACTCAATACGGAAATAATACACAACTTGCAACTGATTGCTGCTATTACGAAGGCCAATTCATGGCCCTTGAAACAAATACTGCCGCTTTGTGATGTTCTTCTGGTTGTGGCCAAGACCAGTGATCAATACTTGGTTTCCTCCTCGTTTGAAGCTTTCGAAGGACTCTTTCAATCTATGAATGACAAAGTTGACGAAGATAAATTTGTTCAAGTCTTGAATGTGCTATTTGATCTCAAACCAGCCGTTAATGATCAGCATCTGGCACCGTCTTGGCTGGCAGTTATTGCTAGGGCTCTCATTTCCTACTCCAAGTCTGTGGACGCATATAAATGTGTTTTAAAGCTGCCAGATGTCTTCAAGATTGTCGGCCACTTTTTCTTGAGCGAAAATCCCAATGTGCGTATTAGTGCTTCGCAATGCCTGATTGCAATTATCACTGATTCTGTTGATGTGAAATACCTTCTTGAACCACCGAAGACTCTCCCCGAGGTCTTCGAGAACGTCGAAGAAATTATAGAACAACTTTCTGAGCTAACTAATGAATTCCTGACTGTCAAGTATAGGGAATCCGCCAAGGAAATTTGTGAAGTCATCATAAGCATTTTGGCTAAATTTGGCTCTCGTGCCGGCCCTTACTTTACTAGCCACCTACAGATTATTGGAGAATGGCGTTCTAATGAATTAGAAGGATTTGAGCTTAATCAGGTTAGTGAAAATGTCATTGCAGTTGCTATCAGCTCGATTGGGCCAGAAGAAGTTTTGAAAACGCTCCCACTGAATCTCACCAATTCGCAAGCTACTGGACGAGCTTGGCTACTACCGCTTCTGAGAGACAATATAAGGCATGCTAGCCTTGGGTTTTACATTTCTGAGATTCTTCCAAACGTGGAATTCTTTGAACAAAAAATTGCTGAAGGAAATCCAGAATCTATGAACATTAAGATATTTGCCACAATTGTGGATCAAATTTGGTCTCTCCTGCCTCACTTTTGTGATCTCCCTACCGATTTAACGCAGAGTTTCACCGACGATTTTGCCTCTAAACTGGCAGCCCTTTTGTATGAAAAAGCCGATTTAAGAAACACGATTTGTCATGCTTTGAAGCTCCTGGTGGAAAGCAATGTCACCTATTCATTGGGAGTTTTGGAGGACGTGATTTTGGCACAGAAATTCCCCTTAGAGGAAGCCAAAAAGAACATCGAATATCTTTCGGCTACAAAGGCATCCAAATTGTTGTCGGTGCTATTCAATGTCTTCTCTCAAACTTCAATGGCCCAGAGAGGTTTTATTCTGGAGACAATTGACGCCTATTTGCAAATCTCGAAGCCTGAGGATCTTTCGGCCACCTTTGACAAGGTTTGCTCAATCTTGAAGCAAGCATTGGATGACGAGAAGGAAACCGATATGATCAAGACGGACGAGCCAGCTGCGAAATCGAGTATTCCAAAATTGTCGATTACCATGATGGACTTGATAGTTTTGATGGCTAAATACGTCCCTGAGTCTTGCTACAATGCGTTATTCTCGATCTTCAACCAGACAGTTAAAATTGCGGATGTTCAGATTCAAAAGCGTTCCTACAGAATCATCAGTCGACTACTGGAGCCTGATGCTGGTCAGAAAGCTGTTTTGAATTTCATTTCTAATATTTTGTCTCTTCTTCTCGAAACCACGGAAACCACCATGACGGCTGCCAAATCAGCGAGATTTGCGCTGATCCTAGATATCATCAAGATTTTACCAGCAGACAACCTGCACTTCATTCCTGCTGTTGTCTCAGAGGTGATCATCAGCACAAAGAGTGTGAACGAAAAGACCAGAGAGTCTGCTTATGAGACTCTTATCGTCATGGCTGCTAAAATGGTTGAATACGAGGGAGCCCCAGTCAAAAACTCGATGAATGATCCCGAGATGCCCGATTCTACCGCTTCGCTTCAAGAATTCTTCACCATCTGCTCTGCAGGCTTGGTGGGTGCCACCCCTAACATGATCAGTGCTGCTATTACCTCGCTTGCTCGCTTAGTCTATGAATATCATGCGAAACTGGATATCCAATTTTTATCCGAACTATACCAGACAGTTGAACTATTTTTGACTTCTAAAAACAGGGAAATCATCAAGGCTACACTTGGTTTTGTCAAAGTTGCGATTTTGAGTTTGCCAGAAGAGATGGTTGCACAGAATATGAAAGGTTTACTGACGAACTTGATGACTGCCTCTCACGAGCACAAGAATCATTTCAAATCGAAGGTTAAACATATCATCGAGAGGCTGATTCGCAAGTTCGGTGTCGATCTTGTTGAAGAATGCATCCCCGAGGAGGACAGGAAACTCGTTGCCAATATTAAGAAGGCTAAGGCCAGGGCCAAGAAAAAGAAGTCACAAGCTACGGGTACAAATGCTGCAGAGTCAGGGGTGATGTCTGGTTACGAGGCTGCTTTGTACAGCGATTCTGAGTCCGAGGAGGAGGAGGAGGATCAACCTACTGGAAGGCCTCAGCAGTACATATCCGAATCTAAAGAGATGCCGCTTGATCTGCTGGACAAACAGACACTTACTCACATATCGTCTTCGAAGCCAAAGAAATTCACGAAAAAGACTTTGGAGAACGAGTTCAAGACCAAGAATGGTAAGTTAATCATTGAAGATGCGGAAGAGCAGGACGATGTGCTCAATAAAGACTCCATCGATGCCTATGTTGAGGCCGTTAGGCAAGGACCAATCAGGGGCCAGAAGAACAGACTAAGATACAAGCATAAGAAAGGAGATGACATTGATTGGGACGAAGAGTCGGATAATGAGTCCAAATCGAAACCAAAAACCTCCAACAAGGTTCAAAAACCTCAGCGGAAACAGAAGAAGAAGTACAAATCTAACAGACGTTTATAGAGTAGAGAAGCTATATATCATCGGGATCGTCCACTTCTCGATTTCCTGCGTAAGGCAAATGTTGTGCCAGGTTTTCTGGAGTCGGTCCAAAGACCACATGATCGTTATTTGAGGTCACTGTAGGTTGCTGTAAATCTTCCGGAACATATTCCTCGAGTACTGTTCCTTTAAACTTCGTGTCAGGTTTTTCGCTCAGCTGTCCACGCAGCACAAAACGGATCCAGTCGGGGTCCAATCGTAATCCATCGTCGATCGGTTCGTTTTCGTTTGCCGGCACGCTCAATGGTTCCAGAGGCTGGGTAGGCTGCCTGTGAAGTCCTGGTGTTGCTTGGCCCAATGCTGCGGTCAGACTATTCATCTTTGTGTGTATATCCATCGAGCTCTTAAGCTCTGCCAATTCTGTGAGAAACTCTTTATTTGGTCTAGCCACCTCTCGTAGTCGCGTGTTCATGTCACTTTGGAACCAATATTCGAAATTGTTTAAGCCCTGCGTAACAAGTCGATCAGAATCAAAAGCATCCAGTCTGCGTGCTGGCGAGATGATTTTGAGTTCCAGAAAAGCGTCAGAAATGTCCTGAATGTTGGGCTCAATGTCATTGCGGGCCTCCATATATTTAGTGACTGTTTGTAAAAGCAGCTGAAAATACCGCACATAAAGGTCGGTCACAAGGTCCAGCACCCGATTGTTGCATTTGTCAAAGCCATGCGCCTTGAGAAGCTGAGCCATGGTCACCCGAAGCAGGTGAAACTCAAAGCTACTTGTCATGAAAACTATAAATATTTTCAGCAGTCGATCGACGCAAACTATCGATTTTTTCATCAGGCACTATCACATGCGGAGCTTTGACGAAGAAAAACCCCTGAGTAAAGCTTTCGGCGTCATCCAACACCTAAATGATGAGCGAACTATGGAAATCAAGGCCGGACAACAAATTTGGCTCTGTAGTGCAATCAGGAGTGCAAAAATAACCTTTGTTGGTAAATCGGCTACCCACGTTGCTGCTACCATCTCCAGCGTGAGGCTTTTTGTTGAAAAATTTTTCGAGATACAATAATACTTGTGTACAAAGAAGTGGTGATCAGGGGAAGATGAAGATCACTAACAAACTCCTGGATTCGCACAAGGAAGAGAATGCACCGGCAACATTTTCCTTCGAGTTTTTCACTCCGAAAACAAGCCAAGGCCTCCAAAACTTGTACGATAGAATGGATAGAATGTATGACCTCAATCCTTTGTTCATCGATATCACATGGAATGCCGGGGGACGTTTAAGCACGCTCACGACAGAAATGGTTCAGACCACCTCAACTGTACTCGGCCTCGAGACATGTATGCACTTGACCTGTACGAACATGAAAACAGACCTGATCGATCAAGCTCTGAAATCGGCATATGAAAGCGGATGCCAAAACATTTTGGCCCTTAGAGGCGACCCCCCGTTGGACGGCTCGGAGTCTACCGGTGATTTCAAGTACGCCAAAGACTTAATTAGATATATCAGGAAACACTACGGCGACCACTTTTGCATTGGTGTTGCAGCTTACCCTGAGGGTCACCCCGAAGAATCGGATCCCGTGAAAACTTTAAATTATCTGAAAGAAAAGCAAGATGCAGGTGCGGACTTTATTGTCACACAGATGTTTTATGACACGGAAAACTTCATCAACTGGTGTGATGAATGCAGGCAGATAGGTATCACCATGCCCATAATCCCAGGTATCATGCCCATTAGTACATACGCTGCTTTCGTCAGGAGAGCAGGTTGGTCAGAGATTGCGATCCCAAAGCATTTTAATGAGGCTTTGGAGCCTATCAAGGATGACGATGCCAAGGTGAGAGAAGTTGGAACAAAGTTGGTGATTGACATGTGTCAGCAATTGCTCGACTCCAAAAGAGTAAACCATCTGCACTTTTATACCATGAACCTGGAAAAATCTACCCTCATGATCCTGCAGGGTCTCAACTTGGTAACGAAGCAACAGCTTCACGACATGAAACAGCCATGGAGAAAGTCGCTCAATCCAAATAGATCCAAGGAGACAGTCAGACCCATTTTTTGGAAAAATAGAAAATTCTCTTATATAAGTCGCACTGCCAACTGGGACGAGTTCCCTAACGGAAGATGGGGAGATTCTCGGTCTCCTGCTTTTGCTTCCGTTGAATCATGTGAATCAGAGTTGATCAGACACTCGCCCAAGAAAGCTCTTGAACTTTGGGGTACCCCCAACAGTCTCAAAGATTTGGCCGAGCTGACCATAAGATACATCAATGGGGAACTATCGTGTTTGCCTTGGTCAGATGGCCAGATTTCTTCAGAGATTGAACCTACCAAGAAGCAGATCTTGGATATTGTGAAGCACGGAATTCTCACGATTAACTCACAACCTTCTGTCAACGGACTCAAGTCCAGCGACAACGTGTTTGGGTGGGGGCCAAAAAATGGCTACGTTTACCAGAAACAGTATTTGGAGTTTTTGATTCCCTCCACAGTGGTCAGCTCGCTGATTGAACGCATCAACGAAATAAACAAGGGAACAGATTCCAACATCTTGTCCTTCTATGCCACTGACAAAGATGGCCAGTTGATTACCAACACGCAAGACTCAGACATCATTGCAGTCACTTGGGGCTGTTTCCCAGGAACTGAGGTAATACAACCAACCATCGTGGAGCGGATCTCATTTTTAGCATGGAAGGATGAGCTCTTTTCCATTTTAGACAAATGGCTTTCGATTTTCAAACATGAGAAAGCTACACAAGCAAGTGATTTCCTATCGTCTTTGTGCGACTCGTTCACCTTGGTGACAGTTGTGGACAACGACTACGTTAAAAGCCCAAATACACGGATATTTGAGCTCTTTCAAGACATTGATCTCCTTGCTTGGACGGCATAGCCTGGCCGGACATGTACACAGGCTTTCCATATAGATACAACTCACCTCAACTGTTGAGTTGCCCACCGAAAACCAACGACAATGCATTTTATTCGCATTTTCCTATTCATCAGGTTTTATGATTCAACTTGGTGATACTGATGCCCAGTGTGTATGTACTTTAGATAGCTAACTGCATCCTCAACGGATTTATTCCACAGCCCGAAACTGATCCAATTTTTTTTTTTTTTTGTTTATCGTCTACTATTTAGGAAATTCAATTACTAAATCGTCTTTATCAATCAGACTCATCTTATGATGTCTCGGGACATATTTCTCGAAAAATTACTTGGAGAGGTTGAACGCGGGGATCAGAGTGGGAAACAATCCTACTATTCTGACTCTCCAGGTGGCCCTGCGGAAATACCTGCCTCGGCCGAAAACGTACAACTGAATCTACCTCGTCAAAGAATGGCCAAATTTGAGTTCCCTTTCAACGATGATGACGAAGAATATACAAGTGACGAGGAGGATGGCGAAAAATATGCTTCTCATTCGCTACTAGTTCGCTTAGCATGGATCATATATGCCATTTTGCCGATTTTAGCAATTATTGTCTTTTTGATGACATATTACTCATCTTTTGTTCTGAATTTATTCAGTTTCAGTGATCGCCCTAGCAATCGATATTATCCGGATTTTCCCTCAGGCTATAAAAGCGAGTCAGGAAGTTATGACGATTACAACATTGAGTTTTTTGACTTGCAACAAGCTGCATCATCCTCCCCAGATGGATGGAATCACGAGGAAAGGGTTCTTTTCTGTGTTCCGTTGAGAGACGCGGCTCCACACTTGTCAATGTTTTTTGGGCATATGAGAAACTTGACTTATCCGCACAACCTTATTGACCTTGCCTTCTTAATCTCTGACACTTCCGATTCGACCATCAAAGATCTGAAAAGAGAACTGAAAAATATACAGTCTGATAAAGACCCCAGGATGCATTTTGGTAGAATTAATATCTACGAAAAAGACTTCGGGCAAATTATTGGCCAGTCATTTAGTGACCGTCATGGATTCCAAGCCCAAGGTCCTAGACGTAAGTTGATGGCGATTGCCAGAAACTGGTTACTGGTCACTGCTTTGCGTCCTGATCACTCTTGGGTCTATTGGAGAGACGCGGACGTTGAAACGGTGCCGCCTACTATCATCGAGGATTTAATGCATCATGACAAAGACGTGATTGTCCCGAACATTTGGCGTCCTTTGCCCGATTGGTTGGGCTACGAACAGCCTTATGATTTAAATTCCTGGCAGGAAAGTGAAGGAGGAATTGAGTTGGCAGATAAACTGGACGAAGATGCAGTCATTGTAGAAGGCTACCCTGAATATGCAACCTGGAGGACACATTTGGCATACTTAAGAGACCCGTATGGTGATCCCGAGGTTGAGATGGAGCTTGATGGAATCGGAGGAGTCTCTATCCTGAGCAAGGCCCATGTGTTCCGCAGCGGTGCCATGTTTCCAGCATTTTCATATCTCAAGCATGCAGAGACTGAGGGTTTTGGAAAGCTTTGTCGTACAATGAATTTCTCTGTCATAGGTTTGCCTCACTACACAATCTGGCATATTTATGAGCCTTCGTCCGATGACATCCAACACATGAAATGGATGGCCGAGGAGGAGACCAATAGACTCGAGAAAGCAAAGATTCAAAAGCTATATGATAAAATTTGGATGAAAGCATTTGAGGAGGTGAATTCCGAATGGAATGGTTTGAAATTCAACGTTTTCAAGAATACTGACGTTAGAAGGGACGTGAGCATTGACTGGAGCGAGGTGGACGAATATTTACAGGACTTTGACGAAGAAGGGCTAGAAGAAGCTGATGCGAATACCAACAAAGATTTCGGAGTTGAAGATATGAGCAAGGATGTGGAATCTGCTCTGCTTGAAAAATTGAAGAGTAAGAAGCTTCGCCAGGAAGAGGAAAACCACCAGGAAGAACTCTTTGGTCATTTTCCGCTGAATCCGTACGTCAGCGGTAAGAATGGAAAAAATTACAGGTTTGTCAAATTTAAGAAGACGAATGACCTCGACATCATCAATTCCAATGTTAATGATGAGCTCAAGCACAAACAGGAGCAAGAAATGAAGGAAGATCTGATAAACGAATTGAGAGAAGAGCGAATGCACCAGCAGCAAGACAAGCAAGAACCTCAGAAGATAAGCGAGGGACAAGAAACTAAAGCTGGAGAGGACACTAAAGATTCGGAAGGCCTATACAAAAATAAAATAGCCGAAAACCACCAGGAGATACATGTCCTAGAAGAGCTCTACAAGGATAGCGAAAAGCAACAGAAGGATGATGAACTACATCGTCTGCGAGCACTCGCAGAAGCTAAGAAGGCACGGAAATTGGCCAGGATGAAGGCAGCAGAGGAAGAAAAAAACAGAAGGAATCAAATTGCCGTTCAGAGGGAGATGGAAAGACGGCGAAAGATGGGTTTAGTTCAAGAATAAACTAAATATTCATTTAGGTACGCTGATGATATGTAATTATGACAAAAAAAAAACTAGCTATGCTTGTCAAGATGTTAACTTTCTTCGATCATCTCCAGATAGATGAATTTTCTCCATAATTCACCTGCCTCAAGAATGATATTTTCAATATCTCTGTTGGATTTTTTCATTTGATAATTGTGGGAAGACAGCACTGAGGTGCTGCTGTTCACGCTTCCATTGCAAGAAGCACATGAACAGTTGTCTGGAGGATGAGAACTAGTTGCAATCTGACCGTCTCCGCCAACCAGCGAGCGAATTTCCGACATTTTCAAAGAAGACAAATTATTGAGAAGTTGCTTAATCTCTGACTGGTCAAGTTCCATTATTGTAAACTCCTTTGCTTTTAAGAATGCCAACGAGATGAAAATAAGCTGGACATGAGCATCAATTTGCGAGAGTGGTAAGCCTGTCTCGTTCAATGGCATATCCTCAATATCATCATCGTCTTTTAAAGACAGAGAGGACAACGTTGGCGTCTGATCAAAGGATAAAGAGACTTGGTTGATGAGAGTCTTGATGCTACTGGACCTGCCTTTCTTGTAGTGGACATCTGGTTCAAATAATGGGTTCCAAAACAGATCAGGACCAAGTAAACGTTTCTGTTCTTCTGTCAGCTGCCCCAATTGCTTCATTTCTTCCTCATCGAATGTATTTCTGAATCCAAGAAGAAGATCCCACACTCTTCCTCTATCATATCTGGACCAAACTTTAGAAGCGCAGTATTTCAACCACCATAAAATCCAGTCTCCTTTCAACAAACCCTCCTCTGACATGAATTTATGCAATTCCGGTAGCAATCGTCTTAAACAGTATAAGAAAAACGAGATTCTATCTTCAATCGAGCCCCCAAATTTTGGTAAATCGTCTGAGGACTCATCCGAATACTGATAGTTCGGTTTTGATTGTTTTTTTGTCGGATCAGGAGTGTGCAATATTACTAGCACCATTCTTTCGTAAATTTCTGCAAATGTCATTGGCTTGAATGAGTGGTTGCTGGACGCAACGTGAGGATTCAAACTTTCTAAACTTGAAACAGATTTTGGTGATGATGATACCACAGGAGTAGAGCTTAATGTTGACGAGTGGCTCACAGTGCCTGTGCCTTCATGATCCATTTTCTCAAAATACGTATCGTTTATGTTTCGCAGCTTAGTCCCATTTTTGGCTATATCGTCTTTCCCACAAAGTACGATCTGCGAATCCAGCAATGGTGGGACCCATTCAGCGAGGCCTAGGGCAATCCAGGCAAGACCAGAATTGTAATGAACAATAGAACCCCATTTCTTCAGGAACTTGATAATCGCACATTCCAAAGTTTCAAATATTTTGTCTTGAATCTCGAACAAGTCCTTGAGCTCCGGAGTTAAAACCTTTGGCTTGTAACGCTCGGTGTTTCTGAGGTATCTATTAAGGTCCGCTTTGATTTGGGCTTCTGGAATTCTCAGCTCTCCATCATCGTCAACATCATCAACGTCGTCATCAGGCTGCACGTACGGATTTAAAACATATGGATGGTATTTCAACAAGAGCGGCCAGATTTTGTGCCGTAGCGATGGCGGAAGACCACGCTGACGAGCGATCATGGAGAGACCGGTTACATTTGTGGTGAGAAGAAACTCTTCGCACAATTCCATAAGCTCAGGAACCTCGGTTATTGGGGGCCGGCCCTTGTATTTGAAACCCCTAAATTTGGCGGGCGTTGAGGACGTGGAGGAATTCGACTGCAAATCCAATGGCTCGTAAATTTTAGATTTTAAAAGACTCTTTGACCCTAAGAGTGATGTGTTATTTCGACTTCGATTCATTACATCAACAGCGTCATCCACTTTGGAATTACCAGTTGAATCGCAAGCTGAGCAATTTTCAGTTGACACCAACATTTATAGGATCAGTATCTTTAACGTCCGCCTAGCTCGTAGAAGATGCTGCACCCGATATGGTGTGAGTAGCGACCACAGAAGGCCAGAAAACCGTTCAAACTAGAGAACGTTTTGACTATCCCAGTCCTGTGGCTTGGTATTTGATGTGGCGAGGCAGGGTCCACGGGACTGCTTGAGCTAGTGTAGACTAGTGTTTTGTGCTCTAGCAAGAGTATCCCGACAACAAGGCAAAGCTCTGGCTGCAACCGCTTGTAATATACTCCAAGTTTGCGCTTTAAAGTAGAAACCCAGTCTAAGTAAAATTCCGCTACAAAAATCGCTAATTTTTTGTGCTTTTGGTCGTTTGACTGCTTTTTTTCGGAGCAGAGCCGACGCACCAAAAGAAAAGGCGTAGATGTAAAGATGGTTGCTTACTCCCAATGAATCTACTGTAGAGGATGTTAGTGAGTTGTGATAAGGAAGTGTCTCCCCAAGAGTCCCCTCTGGCACCGTCTTGCGAGCATAGATAGATTCGCCATAGCCAAGCTTCGCGATGCAATGCGCCACATGTGGCGCATTGCATCTGACTACGAAAATTTTCTTTAGTTTATACACCAACCAAGCTTTGATGATCTGCTCTATCTCTGGCAATCCAGCTCAAGAGCCAGTGCTGTCGACAAAATCTGGCCATGTGTTTGAAAAAAGACTGGTGGAGGAGTACATTGCGCAGCATGGAATGGACCCGATAACGGGGGATTCACTAACTTCTGAAGATTTGGTCGCCATTCAAGTATCGGCTTCGGAAAAGCCATTGGTGGTGCGCGAGTCTGCATCAACATCGATTCCTTCCTTGTTGTCATTATTTCAGCGCGAGTGGGATGCATTGGCTTTGGAAACATTTGAGCTACGCAAACAACTCAATCAATACAAAAAAGAGCTCAGTCTGGCTTTGTACAAACAGGATGCAGCCGTGCGAGTCGCCGCAAGCGCTATCAAACAACGCGACGAGTATAAGAGGGCTTTAGAGGAGCTCACGATAAAGCTTGGAAAAGGAGAAGTCGTCGAGTTCGACACACCAGTGGGACAAACTAACGGATCACAAGCACTGTCTGAAGAGTATGCTAGTCAATTACTTGAGGCTCATTCGCAATTGTATCAGCAGCACCGTTCCCAGAAATATAAATCTCCAATTGACGAGAGCTCAGACATGAAGTTTACGCTTGAAGAAGACTTCAAAATATGGGATGGACAAAAGAAGAAAACGACTCTTCTTCAAGCAGAATTCAACCCTGAGAGAACCAAAATACTACTTGCATATTCAGAAAATGTCGTTGTTGTTTACGATGTGCTTGAAAAAAAGATTAGCAATCGATTTGCGCTTCCCAAACGAACCAAGTTTAGTTATTTCCAGTGGCTCGACGAAAATAAATTTGTGTACGCTTCCACCGACGGGATAGTCCATATTATTGAAGGCGAATCGGAAACCAAGTTTCAATTGGAAAAAAAGTCAATTACGAGCATATTATCCCATCCTCTACTACCTTACCTGATCATAGCACAGGACGACAAACTCTATATATTCGACGGAGAAAACAAATTGTACGAGTCAGATCCTTTCCAATCCAAGATCAGGGAGATGGCTCTCCATCAAGATGGCTTATTTTTAGGTTTGTGCCTTGAAGATAACGTCGTTCAAGTATTTAATATTGCGAAAAGCTCTGTCGAGCTTAATGTTTCCATTGATTCGCTTGGCAGTGTCGAGAACATAGATAAACTTTTATTTGCACCGAATGGCTATTCCCTGGTGATACATTGTTCGACCGACTCGGGCTCGAAAATCGGAATATATGACTTGAGGAAAGACGCTTTCCAAGCGGTTTTGGATTCTCCAAGCAGTCCCGTTCTTGCTATTGACAAAGCTTCCTCATATCTTTTCAATGATCAGACGGTATTCAGATACTATAAAAAGAGCAAGAAGTGGAGCTCTGAGGTCGCAGAAATTCCCGATCTCGCCCGGGATGTGATTGTGAATCTTCAGATCAAGTCTCTAGATGATCATTATGAGGTTTTCGCTATTCTGAGAGACGGCATTTTGAAGAGGTATTCGTTGCAAGCAGGTGTATAGCCAGAAAAATTTCTTGTAATATAATGAATAGACGAACAAGCTGCTGTTTTCTATCATCCTCTCGGTAAAAAAAGCTAGGCATTTTCGGCATCAAATAATTTTTAAAACATTAACAAAGTACCGACTCAAAACAAAAATTTGCCTTGGAATGAGAAGTATAGCTTTCCTGCCTCTCAAAAGGGCTTCTCATAGCGAGGCTCTCATAAAGGAAGCAACAAAAGATACCCGGTGGGGACCGACCACCGCGGAGTTGAACGAGCTGTCTCGGCTTTCAAATCAACCGAGCGACTTGGGCTTGATCACCAAAGAGTTATCCCGGAAACTGCGTTCCAAAAGCCCTATCCAAATTCACAAAGCGTTATCGATTGTGCTGTACATGTTGCAGACCTCATCATCCGAGTTTGTTTCTTGGCTTACATTGAATCAATATTCAATCAGAACCCTCAGGGAATATCAGATAGATACACGTCGAAAACAAGTTGAGGATGCTCAACTGGCTTTCAATATTCGCAACAAGGCTTCCGAAATTCTCAGGTTACTAGAAAACCGAGAGCTTTTGAAACGAAAACGACAAGAGTTTATCACTTTCAGAGAAGATATGAAATTGCCAACTCCTCGTTCTTCATTGGATATGCCAAGCCGGACTTCATTCACAGGTGAGCGCAATTGCAAATCGCTGGAAATAAATAGGGCGGAACTATTTCGTGAATTGGATGTTTTCTCGTCTTCATCAGATGAAGAACGGGAACGCAGAGGAAGTATGCTCAGCAATATCCTGGAGCTAGAAGAAGAAGTGAATCATTTTGAACCCCGGTCGATGCGAATTTGATAAAGTAACCTCAGTTATTGGCTATCACATCCTGCTACTTAATATGACGACAATCTAGTCGTCGCGTCGATTATGACTTAGTTATATATATTAATTAGCCGCAACCGCCAGAAAGTTCTGGCATAATAAATAATGCGCCACGAATAAACAAGTCACCGCCACATTGTAAGCCCTCAAACGGAGCCGCATGACTTTAGCCCACTCATCCAGACGAGGCATGTGTTCGAAACACTGGTACTATAGTAAGTAAAAGATGTTACGTTCGCCTGTTGCGAGCGAGAGAGAGAATTAATATAAAAACCATGTCCTTGACCAAGTGGGCAAGCGATGTTTTTGCTGTCATGGTAATTTATCTAGTTAGGCAGCTCTGTTATCAGGTGTGGCTAGTGTAAAGCAACATTTCTTTTTTTGAAGACCACCCCTTATTCTTTGCCACCGAAATTGCCTGTTTTCCGTAGCAACATATAAATATCGCGCATCCCCAGAAGTTTGTAAGACAACAAAACAACAGGTTTACGCTAGAGAAATGCAAATTTTCGTTAAGACTTTGACCGGCAAGACTATCACGCTAGAAGTTGAGTCTTCTGACACAATCGATAACGTTAAATCGAAGATTCAAGATAAGGAAGGTATTCCTCCTGACCAACAAAGACTCATTTTTGCTGGTAAGCAGTTAGAGGACGGTAGAACGTTATCTGACTACAACATTCAGAAGGAGTCTACTTTGCACTTGGTCCTGAGACTGAGAGGTGGTATGCAAATTTTCGTCAAAACCTTGACGGGGAAGACGATCACCTTGGAGGTCGAATCTTCTGACACTATCGATAATGTCAAATCGAAGATTCAAGACAAGGAGGGAATTCCTCCTGACCAGCAAAGACTCATCTTTGCAGGTAAGCAATTGGAGGATGGTAGAACGTTATCTGACTACAATATCCAGAAGGAATCTACTTTACATTTGGTTTTGAGATTGAGAGGTGGTATGCAAATTTTCGTCAAAACCTTGACGGGGAAGACAATCACCTTGGAGGTCGAATCTTCTGACACTATCGATAATGTCAAATCGAAGATACAGGACAAGGAAGGTATTCCTCCTGACCAACAAAGACTCATTTTTGCTGGTAAGCAATTGGAGGACGGCAGAACGTTATCTGATTACAATATTCAAAAGGAATCTACTTTACATTTGGTTTTGAGATTGAGAGGTGGTATGCAGATTTTCGTCAAGACCTTGACGGGAAAGACTATCACCCTTGAAGTTGAGTCTTCTGACACCATCGATAACGTTAAGTCCAAAATTCAGGACAAGGAGGGTATTCCACCTGATCAACAGAGATTGATTTTCGCTGGCAAACAACTCGAAGATGGTAGAACGTTATCCGATTACAACATCCAGAAGGAATCTACTCTCCATTTGGTTTTGAGATTGAGAGGTGGTATGCAGATTTTTGTTAAAACTCTTACGGGCAAAACTATCACCCTTGAAGTTGAGTCCTCTGACACGATTGACAATGTGAAATCGAAGATTCAGGATAAAGAGGGTATTCCACCTGATCAACAAAGACTTATCTTTGCAGGTAAGCAGTTAGAAGATGGTAGAACGTTATCCGATTACAACATCCAGAAGGAATCTACTCTCCATTTGGTTTTGAGACTCAGAGGTGGTTTCTGAATATGTACTGGTATAACAATGAGATAACGATTTATCGCAACTTACATATCTGTAGTAATAACACTTCATTTGTTTAGTGCTTTGCTAATTTCCATGTTGATGATGGAGTTAATTTCTAAAGAGGCCATTTCTTCAAGTTTGTCGTTACAGCTTTCAGAAACTGTGGGACAAACTTTCGCAAACTCGCTGGTAGCCCTAATGAATGCAATCAAAACATTTTGAAGATTATCTCTGTTAGCACAATTTGTGGAAAGAGTGTTCCAAATCTCAGACATTTGCCTCTTCAAATCATCGTCCAAAAGCTCAAATGTTTTCAAGAGTTTTGTGAAACCTTCGATAACAACCAACTGAGTTTTATAGGTTTGTTGGAAACGATCATCGTCGAAATACTCGACTAGATTTTTCATGATGTGCTCACAGAGCTTTCGGTTGGGCTCGGCTGAATTCAATGCGCTCAATTGGTTTTCAAGTAGCTGGATCTTCATTTCTTCCAATCGAGCGTCTTTAGCTTTTTTATTCAACTTTGCTTTATCGTCTTCCGAATCTGTATCCATATCCGACTCATTTTTTGGTTTTGGTTGAATGAAAGAGTCAATCAAATCCAAATATTCCTCGTACATTTCCGCATCAGGGAAAGTACCCAAGAAAATACCCAGCGATTGTACGCTGTGAATGGCGTACTCTCTGTTTTTTCGTCCAGCTTCAATTAAGACACAACGCTTAACCTGATCAAAAGTCTCTGAGTTTTCTGCCTCATGGAGAAAATTCGGGGTCTTTGTTGCCAAGAGAACCAGAGATCTCAACAGATTCTCCTTACCTTTGTAAGACCTGCCCCTAAGAGAAACAATTAGGATTTCATAAAGCTGATTTAAATAGTTGCTCAAAGAGCTAATCTCTGGTCCCAATTTGTCCACTATCTCAATAATTGAAAGTGCAATACTCTGCCTAATCTGTAAATCTGTAGAGTTAATGTTGAGCATAATAAGCTCAATGATTTCTTTAAGATAGAGCTTGATTGGTCCACTTCCTCCAGAGGAAGAGTCTTCCCACGCTTTAGTGAATAAATCGGAGACCTCCTGGACAGGATCATGTTTTCCAACAAAGATCAAGGGAAGATAGCTGACAGCAATTGACTGAAATCTATCACCAGAGTACTTTGAAATGGATTCCGAAGCGTTGGCGGAAAGCAGTTTAAGTTTTTCGTTATCACCGGCTTCAAAATAGTAGGCTTTCAACTTCTTCGCCAAACTATCGATTTTTTTCAGTGAAGCTATACGGACACAGTATCCAGCAGAGATTGCGAAAGACTTTGACACAGTTTCATTTCTGTCTTTAAGTTGACTCATGCAAATTTTGAGAAGGTCATCCCCATATTTTTGCGAAATAATGTAGTGCCTTGTGATTAGACTGATGATAATTTTCGATCCTGTCACTTTGGAGGGCAATCCAACAGACTTTTTCACTGCATCTGAAAGATGAATAATAAAATCGGCCATCAAGCCTTCGTCCAAGAGATTCATCAACCGTTCAATTGCTTCCATTAGAGGGGAGCTACTAAGAGCGGCAAGTCTTTGAGAATCAATATCGTCTGATTTTATATTATACTTGTCCGCATTTAACGCGAGATAATTGGCGATTTGAGGTTCGATAGATGACATCATCATCGTCAATTGCTCAATCAGGTCGCAAATGTAAGGTTTCAGCAAGATTGATGATGACTTGGCAAGCTTTATAATGATTTGCAGAGCAAAATTCTTCACTTCATCGGAATCATTCAACAAACCATTTGACCCTAGAAGGAAAGGCACTAGCTGAGATAAAATCTTTGATTCATTCGAGGTTTGATGATCAACATTTGAGATCTTATTGACCATCGTCGTTGCAAGATACCGGGTCAGCGAGTTTGCCTCCACGCGCACACTCTCTTTGATATCGTCCATAACTCTGAAAGCCATAGTCCAGATCTTTTCCAAATAAGTCTCATATTCTTCGAATGATACATGGCGAAGTAAATCCTGAATGGCAGCCGTTGAAGCCTGTCTCACTCTCCATTCTCGATTGCCCATATTTGTAAGAAGATCCCTCAAAATGGTCTCGAAGTTGTCGGTGATCACTTTCGAATTTGGAAGCAGAGAGTTCCATATATCATTCATGGTTTTGGCAACTGATGGACTTGGATCAAATCTATATCTAAACAGCTTTGGGATCAGTCTGGATGACAGCCTTTGATCATTGGCAATTAGAGCCTCCAATTTGGATTTGTCTAAAATTGCGCCCAGACCAAATGCGATACCTTTTCTAGATGACCACAAAGCAGAACTTTTGGCAATGGACATGAATTTGTAGACCAAGCTGGGATCTCCAACTTCAGAAGCAAGATTCAAAACGTCTTTGTAAGTAGACACGGAGCTATCACCCGTATTTAAAACCCCAGGATCGAATAGTTCAGTTTCTTCATGAAGATATCCACTGGTGACCGATTTTCGGGAGTCAGTGAACGAGCTGAGCAAATTATGCGTTAGCGTATCTTTCAGCTCTGCATCCCCCATTTCATAAACTAAACTCAAACCTCTTGATGCCGACTCCTGTATAATTTCGTCCTTGTCTGCCAGAAACCTCAGGAATGAGCGTTGGAGGAGGCTTAAGTTATTTTGTAGGGGTTCAAGATGTCCACAATGCTGAACAAGTGATAAGAGCCAAATACATCCTGCTCTTTTCAAAGCAGGCTTCGTATCTTCGCAAGCCTCAATGATTGTGTCCAGTATGATAGGCACTCTAGACACATCATGTTCTAATGGAGGACTCACAGATTCTTCTCTGATATCCAACTTGTTCATTACCACTTTGGAGTGAACGCCTGCAGCAAGGATGCTAAACGCTTCCCCCGCCGTGAAGTGAAAATCGGTCTGCTTTGAAGTATAAGTCCCATACAGCGCAGACTCGATCAGAGGCAAAAACTCTGTATCTGAGCGTAGCAATGAAAGGCTCACACAAGAGATAGCGATAGTAGCTTTTTCGTTAAGCTTTTTGACGAGGGGCAGCAACAGTTTAATAAACTTGCTCTTGTACGACTTTACTTTTGATGACAAAGTCAGGATTGGTCCCAGACACCCAAACAAAGCCAGCTGTGACAAGCTTTCAAAGCCTTCTCTTTGAATCTTCGAAGATGAAGAGCTGAGGGAATTTTCTATTTTCATCAGAACTTCATCAAACAGGTCGGTGGAAACAACTTTTAGTTTTCCATGTAAAACCAACTGGGAAATCAAAAACGAACAAGCCATGATTTGATCATCGCTCAACAAGCCAGTCAAGAGAGACTTCAAATCCTGCTCCTCTAAGGTATCCTGAGAAGCAATGATAGCCAAACACTTCGAAACGTACAATAGTACCTCGTCCGAAATCGACGTAGTGAGCATGGATTTGAGTTGATTAACTGAAAAGGCCGTACTGGAAAATGCTTGCCGAGGACTGGATATAAGAATCTGATACAATTGTCTACCTGCTTCCAAACTTGACTCAGCGACAAAAACATCGAGCTGCATCTTCAAGTATACAGAGAGAAGGGATGGACCCGAATCCGTCCGTAAGGACTTATCATCTAGACGCTGCAATTCTTTGACGAGTAGGCTTTTCACTTTTTCATCGTAATCTAATGCATTTTCGAGTCGAATTTCCCACTGCTGATCAGGAACAATAACTGTGACGCATCCTCTGAGAGCTTGCATCACAAGACACCTCCAGGCAAAGGTCATTAGCTTACCAATGTTAACGTGATCAATGTGTTGAACTTCTTGAATTATGGATTCGAAATCAGGAAACTCCACGGTTAGTTTACAGTCTGAAGACTTTATGTTCTGTATCAAAGAAAAGTAATAAGGATGCAATCCTTTTGATGCTTCCTCTAAGGTTTCAGGTTTATCAAATTGAGTTTGCGCAAGAACATCCAAGATTCTGGCCTTCGCATCATTGAATGGGAAACAGGCATTCACCAGTTTCACTGCCGCATAGCGACAACTCAAAATGTTGTCCCTCGTTTCGAATGTGGGCATTTGCTTGATATAGGAAGCAAATATCTCCATGAGCTTGTGCTTCTCGTCAGATGGTAATTTTAGCAACGAAGGGGATAAAGCGGAAAATGCGTCTTGAATACTGGATATAAGGTCAGGAGAGTCTCGCTCCATCATTCGAAATAAGAAGTCGACAAATGTACAGTCTTCCTGATTTTTAACTCTTCGTAAAACCACTGCCAAAGCCTCGTACTGAAAACGACGTTGCGTTGTGTTCGTTGTGTTGTTCGTTACATCTTCTTTTGCGAGATTGTTCTTTAACTGAATGGCAATAGTCCTGCAAAGAGTTTCGTCTTGCATAGTTTTATTTTTCAACATGGCAGTTGATAGCCATTTGATGAATTTGATTGTCGAGTGTTTCAACCTTGAATAGTCAGACTCCAGTCCAAGCGAGCATAATTGAGCAGCTTTGGGAGAGGAAGCTGCCAAATGCGACTGACTGCAAAAATTCATAATTTTCTCTTGTAAATACAAGGAGGCAGGAGGCCGATCGCTATCGCCTATGAATAAATCTATCAACTGGTCGACCAGTGGTTTACTTTCATAGTCTACCTTGATTCTCTTTAAAAATGATTGGGCATCATTGGCAAGTGACGTTGAGGTATCTGCTGAAGCAATGATTGCAATCAACGTGGCAGAATTGGAAAAAACTGCCTCAGAAAACCTTAATATAGCTTTTTTGTAAATCGTCAAAGTGCCCAGATCAAACGTAGCGCCTGCCTGATAGGTAAAAAAAGAGACAGACGAACTTGAAAGACCAGGAAACGTAAGATCTTGAGGAATATTGTGAGATTCATCAGGAAGCACTGGACCCATCAGCATGAATTCCGAAAACTTGGTGATGAGGAAAGTCTGATCCGAATCGTTGACATTCCAAGAGGAGAGGTACGAATCCTTATGTGAGTCATCTGCGTGCCAATCTAGGAGTAGCTTGCAAAGAACATTAAACATTCTAGAGGCAATTGCATCCTTCATCGTCGAAATGCCATCTATTATTAAAGGTATCAGTTCAAGTCTTTCTCTCTCTGAAAGGCGAGGCAATCCTTTAGAGATAAAGAGTATTGTATAAGACTGAACCACTGTAGGATCCACACTTGCTGCCACATTGGGTGATTTGACTTGGCTCAAAAGATTCCTTATAGGAAGTTTGACATGTGAAGTGTTTATTCTGGTGAGTAGATACTTCACAATTTTGTTGATCTGAGTCTTAACTGCAACATCAGAGGACGAAAATTTGAGGAGAATAGGAGCCAAGTATAAATTCAAAGCACTTTCAAATTTCTCGTCTGTATCTGCCAATGCTAATCGCAGCTCTACCTTCTCGACAAGTGCCAATTCGTTACTCATGACAGATAAAGTTGTAGACCGAGAAAAAATACCAAAGGCAAATAAATTATGCCGAACACTACGGCTCTGAGTTTAAAGTTGGATCAGGGCAGTGCAGATAAAAGAGTTAGTTTTTCGAAGGCTCGGGGAAACAAAAAAATATCCCGGCAAAGAGATTGGGTGTACTACACATAATCTAAGTAGTGAAATGTTCAAGGTGCCTTACAAAAGCCGTAACCTAGTGGTTCTCGATTGGAATAGAAGTTCCTGATCTTCTATTCTCTCTCATTCCCACACTTGATACCCGATTGCAATCTTGTGTCCTGCAAAAGGTAGGAGTTGCACATGTAACATGGCGTATTTAACCAATGTAGGGGAGCTGCGCCCGTATATTATATTGGAGATCCCGCTCACATTATCACACAATCAGATCTGAACAATGGATGCATATGGAATCTAGTATATGCAATATCTAAATTCTTGTTAAAAAAAAATATCCTGTACACAACTCAAACATCATTAAGTCAAAATGAGCATTGGCCTGATAGCTTAATTTGGTTGCCCAAACAACAGACAAGAGAATATGCAGGTAAACTTGTCCCAGTATCATTTTGTTTCTGATACTGTGGCGTTTAAATTAACCTTCTTTCTCCAATGCATTTAGCGTGTTTGTTTGTGTGCTGTATACACATCTGGAGTACAGAATTATGTTGTCAGGTGTGAGCTTTGCGTTCAGTACACTCGTGCTCAGATCAAAGTGAAATCTTACAGCTGAAGCCGTGACCTAGACACAACTGATATTCTAGTACCGAGCGGTACGATTTTGCGTAAACACGTGTTCGGGAGACTACGATGCATCACTAACTGGTGTCTCAGATCTTCGTCTTAGATCTGCCATTAGATCGAGCGTTTTTTGTAAACAAAGCCTTTTCTGCTTGATCCAAAACTTTGTGGTACACGATCCACATTATCAGATACCACATTTCACACATATTGCACACTGTAAGAAGGGAAAAAGCCATGGGTATAATTTCGTGCATTCTGTCATTGGGAGATCACGTTCTTGTTCTTTTGTTCCATCAAGATTCTTGTGGGAGAACTCTCTTCTGGAGTTTTAATCTTTAGTCGATTAGCTTTAAAGAAAGACCAGAGAGGCTTAAATTTGATAATCGGGTTTGCATTCTTCTACTAATCAGCTATATCTTCTTATTGCACAACATCTAAGTCAGTAATCTTACTTTCAAGCGCTTGAATTTCTGCAAAGTGGTATAACTAGGTATTGCAAATTACTAAGATGGAGGGCATTGACGAAAGCAGTATTCAGCTTTTCAAGAACTCCGAAATTGAGAAACATACAGAATTGCAGCCAATGGCCGATAACGGGCTCTTAAGATCAGAGAACTTGAGATTCCATAGCGATAGTGGTAGCGAGCAGTCATCGGACTACTCAGAGGGTGCATCCTCTTGTGGTGAAGATGATGAGCTTGAAGAGGAAGATCTCAATTCCCAGCAACAACCACTGACACGTTCTGATGAGCAAGCTACTGGAAAATCAGAGAACACAAACGTCTCGTATGAAGATGACAGTTTCAGTAAGGAAACTGAAAGCTCTTCGGCCGAAAGAGGGCGTCCTTCAGCTTGTGTTTTTGTGGCCAGTTTATCATCCAACTTGTCGGATGATATCCTTTGCCAATCGGTGAGCAACCATTTCAAGCAATGGGGCACCATTTCATTAGTGAAAGTGTTAAGAGATCCTGCTAACAGGCCATATGCTTTCGTTCAGTATACCAAGGAAGAGGATGCGAAACGCGCAATTGTAGAAGGCCAACACTCTTTGTTGAATGGGAGAACCATCAGATGTGAAAAAGCTCGAGTTAACCGCACCCTTTACATCGAGACTACAAATAAGGCGTTGCCAGAATCTTCAATAAGGTCCTTTTTGGAAAAGTATGGAGAGATTGAAAGGTTGGTTTCTGTGGACGAGAAGTCAAATCTAGTTGATCTACATACAGGGTCGCATTCTTATTGGTTTTGCAAGTTTGTGTACCGTCAGGATGCAATTAGCGCGTATGCAAATCTTAAAGTCAAACCATTTTGGAATGTTGAATGGGCGCAAAATCTTGAAGATGAATCAAGTGACACTCCTGAAGTGACAATTGACAAGTATTCCATTTTTGTTGGCCAGCTAGATCCAAGAATTAACAGGGATGAACTTATTGAAAGATTCGAGCAACATGGTAAAATCAAAGAGGCCATCTTGGTCAACAGGCCATTGAATAACTTTGCTTTTGTAAAATTTGAAACCAGGAAAGCTGCTGCATCTGCAGTTGAAAGAGAGAACCATTCAATGTTCAAGTTCAAGACCATACATGTGCAATACCGTGAGATGTACAACAATTACAAAAACAAATATTCAAACGAAAGCGGACCGAAATTGAATTTGGCTCCACCACCTGTGAGTTTCAGAAGAAGACATTGTTACAATTCAAGCAGCGGCAACAACAACAACAATCATAACTTCACGGGAAATAAGACTAAAAAAGCTCCTACTTTTTACCGGCCGCGGTTTGGTAGCTTCAGTGGTTTTCCCGAACAAGAAATGCAACCGTTTTCTTCATTCAAGAGAAATAATATATCTAACCCGCCACCACTGAGGAGGTTTTCATTTGGGGATCACGTTTCACCGGCAGGTTCATCAGGAAAGGCTTACAAGAATTCCTATGATTTTGTCGGTGCTGGTGCAACTCGCAAAAACACTAACGGTGCCACTAAGGGCACTAAAGCATCTGGTCCTCAAGCGGAGGATGCAGATGCCATCCTTAGTGACGAGGAACGGCTATCAAATAACGGGATGACAAGAATTGAAGAGAATGACGATGCCACTGTGGGCCGTAATACCCATACCGCATATTCATCAACTACCAATGGAGCTTCCAAAACGACTTATTCGTACACATCCGTCGACGTGGACGAGTACTCCCCTAAGTTCCCTCCAGTGCATCCAATGGTCGAATCCCAAACAATTCCTAAGATGGGAAGTGCCGGAGGACCTAGCTATTATCAGTCACCAGCACCATACTATTACCTTGTCCCAACGAAGGACATTGGCGGTTACATGGGCAATACAATTTCTTCTGGGGTCCACAATCCAGCAATCATGGGAGTTCCTGGAAATGGTGCTGGAATCCAGGGAGTTGGGGGACCTCCAGCAACCGGATATTATTACACCTATGCCCCATATGATCCAAACGCCAGTCCTTCACTCTACCCCTGCTACATGTACTATAATCCAAATCCGGCCCCTGGCACGCCGACAGAACAAAACCAGGGATATTTCTCCGAAACATACGATCAGAAGTTTTCAACCGTTTGATATGAAAACTTGAGATTTAATGATTGCTACAAATTGTGTTATGTCCGATGGTAGCTATTGCAAGCTCCGTTTTTTTGTTTTTTTCTTGCAATTCATTGCAATTTAGGTTCATTTTTCTTCGTTTTATTGATTGTGTATTTGCTGATATTGTTATAATTTTTATGGTTGAGGAAAAAGCTAGAGTGTGTAGCCAGGATTCGCATCACATATAAGCCAAACCATTAACGGGACATCCATTATTGAACTTCCCAGAAGCAAGGCTGTGCAAGTTTAGAGAAAAAATTAATGTGACAATAAAGTATCATAAAAATGCCCCAGTTCTATCATTTTGGATTTGATAAAGCTCCCAATCCCGTGGGGTCTAAAGCTCTGGAAAAAATTCAGAGGCCTCAGAAGAAGGCTTACGATTTGGAACATGCTGATTTGAAGCCTCTTAAGTTCCCGAATTTTATTAGTCTACGAGATATAGTTCCCATCAGCGGATTCGACACAGTGTCGTTGCATGGTAGTAAATCGAAAGAGGACGGCAGCGAATTAATAAGCCCTGAAGAAGACTCTCAATTCAACAGCGAGGATTACGAGTTCAAGCATTATATCACCCTTAATTTATTTCACGACGACACTGACCCAATGAAAAGTCTTCTCACAGTTGGAGTTGAAGGTCTTCCAGATTATCTTCTTCATTCCAATTATCTCACAGACGATCTATTGACTTACACAGTGACTGAGCTCCTCACATCGGTGTCAGTCAAAGTGAATCACGATAATGTGCATATTAACACCAAATTCAGCTGGACTGCGCTCAATAACGACACCATCAACTCCAAAATAATATTCATCGAATTTCATGACCTCTTGACCCTGTATTTGTTTGAGAAAATGGTGAACAGTGAGAATATAAAGGTCCGTCTGAAACAGACTGCACGCATGGCATGTGAGAAGTTGGCGGATAGCATTGAAATCACAGAGATTGACTCTTTCAAGTTCAACGAACGATTGAGTCAGATCGAAAAACATGAGACTCTACGAAAAAGGGGGACGCAAAATATCAATGGACAAGACCAAGTATATATAGTGGATTCCAAAGATCTTGAAGACGTTCCTCCAGATATGCTTGATCTGGTCAAGCAGAATTTGATCGATTTTAGAATGAGAGTGTTGTACTTGGAAAGTCAGAAGAAAGAGCAGCAAATGATTAGGGACAAACAATTGAGCAAGATGAAGTTGCGTAGAATGCTGCCCACGAGCAATGATAGGACGGACGACGAGTCTGACGATGAGATACAGGACGATGGAATTGACGATGAGGAATTCAAGAATCAGCAGGAGACGCAGGCACAGATAAGGGCAGAAAAAACCTTTTTGATGCGGATACAGCAGACACGAAAGCGCGATGAGGCACGTTTGAAATCCATAGAAGCTTTCCACAAGAACATTGAACACCATGCATATGAAACAGAGTACGTTGTTAGCGCTCGGAAACGCTTCCTGGACAGTTTTGTCAGCGGAATTAAGGACGCTTCGAACAAGATCGATCAGAATTTCAGCTACTATGTGAACCATAGCAATTACCTTGCTTTCCGGAGCAAGAAGAAACAAGAGGAGGAGCGAATGGACGCTATAGACAGAGATGAGGAAGCAAAGGAACGTGACGCAACTGCCGAGCAAGAAGAGTTCATGGCCTCGTTCACAAAGAAATCGGTCAAGATTTCACTTCGTAAGAAGGGGGAGGCGCCTGCTCTATCGGAAGAACAGGTGGAAAAGGTCCGGCGCAAAGCAGAAGAGGTTCTTGAAGAGTTTCTTGGTGTTAGAGAGGAGTCGCTGGTGGATTTCATTGTCAGCTTCGTTTCCAACAATTACTACCGTGGCAAGGATAATGACGAATATCGCGCGTTTGTGTCAGAGTTGGCCGAAACCTTGGATGAGGACGCAGAAACTGCTGTGGATCAGGTGTATAAATGTATCACGTAAGCCAAACAATAAATAGACAGAAAAAGTTGGTTTGAGGGTAAAATGAATGAGAGCGTGGGGAAGAAGTGCGGGCCATTCTTCCTCGAGCGTACGATAGCCGGGTCTGAGGCAGTCATTGCTTATTTCTCTGACTTCCGAGTCCGCGTAATGGTTTATGATTCACGATACAAAGATCTGAATCCCTTGAACACCAGATCCAAGCGCATCTTGACGAGTGCTACATGGCAGGACCTTTTAGAACCATCAGATTCCATGGACATGTTCAGCAGCGAGCCAGATTACATTAACGAAGTGTGGCAAAGCAAAGCAAAGGCACCGGAGGCAAGCAGTCTTGCCGGGCCTGGCGAAGAGCGCACCATGTACGTGAATATTGCGATCAGAAACACTTCGTTTTCTATCAATAACAAGAATAAGGTCTTTTTCGAGTCGAGTGTGTGGAGCTGCGCGGTAGTACCTGGCTGCAGGGAGTCTTGGTTCGAAGATTCTCTGCTTGTATGTCTGGAAAATGGGACGATCCTACTGTTGCGCGTAATTGTTTCTGAAGGACATTTCGAGCCAATTGTTATTCAGAGACTTCGAACAAGCAGTTTGGGGTCCTGTGACAAGACGGGCATGATTGGTTACAAAGTGACAGTGTACAAAACAGGTAAGGTGGTGGCCATTGCTGCCTTCTCCAAGGTGATACGAATAATGCGCATAGAATACGACTCGCGCGGTGTTCCGTCTTTTGGCTCGTCGCAAAACATGATCATTGGAGGAGCTCTTGTGGAAACATTGTTTATGGAGCCACTGGAGCCGGTGGACAAGGAATACATGATACTAGTTAACTTGATTTCAACAGACGAAAATATTATGAGATTGGAATACAACGAGTTTTACCAATACGATAATCCTTTGAATAGCATCAAGACTCATCCGATGTTGCTGTGGAACTTAGAGGAGGTCCCATACTTCTTAATTTCCACAAAGAACACACAATGCCTTCTGCAAGTTCAGGAAACCAAGTGCATTGTCCATGGTGTACATTATATGCTTTCACGGGACGAAGCAGATGTTACTGAACAGGCACTTCCTATGATCGGTGGAAAATACATTAAACCGAACTCTTACTATATTCCCCAGTATCCGATAACGTGCTTTCCATGCGACGACTACGAGGAAGAAATTTACGACCAGATCCTTCTGTCGACTGACGTCTCTCTTTGGCTAGTGGAAATATTTGGATCTTCGCGCAGACGAGAACGCAGAATTCGTTTTAGTGAAATGTTTGTTCAGCCGTCTGTGTTCAGTCATTTCGCCCTGGAGGAGGTTGCAGAGAAAAAGTACTCTCTGACATATTTCAACGAGCGAGGATCGGCTGAATATAAAATCATAAGCCTTGTTCCGCGTTCAAATGGCTCTGCGTTTAAGATGAAGGTGATTGAGGACAGGGGAAGTCTAATGAACTGGTTTCCGACCTTCGATTTCAAGGTGGTACCGGCACAGCGATCTAAGTTAGTCAACGCAACATCCAGCGAGGAATTATGGTGCGTTGGCCGATGCGAGTCCCGTGGCGCCTTATTTAGTATGCACAAGGGCTACAGAGCTGAAAAATCAATTCCTGAAACTGGATATAAGGATGTGACCCAAATTTATGGATTCGATCTTAGCGGCCAGCCACATTTTGTACTCTCCGGCTTTCAAGAGTCAAGGGTAATTGCTTTCATTACTGAAGGCGACTCGGGGGATATTACAGAACTGTCTCAATTTAGGACCAGCCAGCGCACTATTTATTTTGGGATGCTTCCAGAGGGCAGGTTCATTCAGATATTCGAACATGGCTGGAGGATTGGCACATTTCAATCGAGCGACTTCTTGACCACCTATGTTCACGAAAGAATAATTCTGAGTGCGGTCTGGGAGGACATAGTAGTGTTGGCATACGAATACGGTCAAGAAATGATCCAGGTTAACATCGAAGCAGTTACTGTGTCCGAAAAGCCTCTGACTGTAAGCCCAGGTATCATTGGGATCCAGCCGTCGATGATGAAGTTCATCACTAGACACAAACAACCATACTTGGCAATAGGAACCTACTCCAATAAAGTCCACTTCTATCGTCTTGAAGACCATCGGCTCCTGCTCGCTGACACACTTGACCTTTCGGGTCATATCAACGATTTCGTGACTCCACACGATATAGTGTACACTAAACACCACTGCCTCATGACATCGAAAGATGGAAGTCTTTTGCTATACAAGGATGAGAAACTGCTTTCATTACTGAAAATCGGCGAGACACCAGCTAGTATTCTCCAACAAAGCGAAAGCGAATTTTTCATTGTCACTAAAACTTTGTGGAAGCTTGACTTGACTAAATCGTGCTACCCAGAGAGAATATGGGTTGCAGAGACCATTGATAGAGGATGTCACGCGGCAGTGCTTGTTCCAATGGCACATGACGATCTGCTTCCGCAATACGAAGAGGATCAGCTTCTTGCTATTCGCGATGACGGTCTCTGCAGTCTGTTTGTGTCACGCACAATCGACTGGAGCATTAAAAAAATCAAGCTCGGCTCTACGCCTTTGAAAATGATATACTACGGGTACCACAACGTCTTTGTCGTACTGGTAGGTGGCCCTGAAAAGCTACTTTTCGTTGATCACAAAACCAAAAGAGTGGTTGCAACAGAGCAGGAAGAACAAGTCTTTGCTGAACACGAGCAGCCCTTATCAATATCCGAATGGCATGTGAAGTCTCGTAGAGTGGAAGAATACACACATAAACACCTACTTGTTGGATGCGTCGACAAAAGAGACGGGTCAGGACTTGTCAAAATCATTGAACTCAAAAAAGACAGAGATACGGTCTTACTAAAGGTACTGTACTCGTGGACCCAATCCGCCCCGGTCGCCGCAGTAGCACAGCTTCCAGACTCCGTTATTATTTATTCTGATCGCAATTCGGTGCGTCTTCGGAAATACAAGCCTTTGGAAAGTAAGCTCAGTGATACCTTTGGCCAACAGTCATTTCCATCCGAGGTCAAAGAAATTAATTGCGTTGGTAACCACGTCGCTGTGGTGACCGCTAAAGACTCGGTGTACACTTTTCATTACCTTAAAGAGTCGAATGGATCCCTTTCGCCTCATCTTAGTGATCCTGTCAGTCGCGATCTCATGGGCCACTGCATTATAAAAGATCATTTTATCATTGCTGCAGACAGGCAGCAGCAGACAATCTTGGTGATTCCAAATAACACGGACTATTATGCTAGCCTTACAACACAGGAAGTTTATGAATGGAAAACACCATTTATTCCCCGGCTGTATCAGTGCGAGTTCGAGCCCTTATGGAGGGTCTCCCAAAATGGTACAAAATTCCTGGCCATGGGACTCAATGGAGAAATCCGCATGTACTCCGAAATTACGAGAGGAACCTTCGAAAAAATACTCGAACTCAAGGCCCAACAAGCACAGAAGAATAAAGAGCGATCACCATTGCTATTGAGCGACATTGCATCTCTATGCCCAGAAGATTCTCCAATTGTCAATGTGGACTCGATTTCCGATAAATATGGAGAGATAGGCAATTTCGAGCTGGACACTTTGATTCATAGCACCATAATATAAATAGAGCCTATTTTTCAACCTCTTTTTTGATTTTGTCGAGAAGATCATTGATTCTTGGAGCCATCAAAGGTTGTCCTGTTCTTGTCTTTGCATTCTTGAGGCTCTTTGTCTTCTGTTCTCTTTGTTTCTCCTTCTCTTTCATATGCTGTAACTTTTGCCTTGTCCTCTCTATCTTTTGCAACCTACTACGTTCCTTGCGTTCCTGCTTTATTTTGATCCGTTCTTGATATGTGAGTGGTTTGGGTGGCTTCGGTTCTTCGGATTGTGTTTTTTCTTGATTTACCAACTTGAAATAGCTTCTCCTCAGATTTGCTCTGTGAGCAAGAGCCTTTTTGATTTCACGAGCTAAATGTTAGTCTACCTTTGCAAAAATACGTACTCTTTGTTTCTCTGTCATACTTCTTAGACATGATTGTAGCTATTCAGAAGTGTGAATTTAATTTTTTTTTTCTGCGGCTGAAGACTTTCTACCAACAAATTTTACGAAAAAACAGGCTCTTTTATCTGACATGAGCAACCTTAAGCTCGCACTGCAGCGATGTATAGAGCTGCAGTCTGCTACGAAGAGAGAGCTTGCTTTGCAATGGTGTCTTGATCTGACCACATCATTGTCCCGAGATAAGTTTCGCTATAATGGTCTTGTCCCCACGCTTTCAAGAGATCGACTGCGCTACGTCATCATCCAGTTACAGCAGTTCAAACGCAACATATCCATGACAAATACCAAGTTTTTTGAACATAATTTGAAGATTATGGCAGAGCAGCCATCCTCTTCCAAATCATTTAAAGAAGCTCACGATAAAGTGGAACAATATATAGAGCTAAAAAACTCATCTAGCGAAAAAGAGCACGAGAACGAGAAAGCCGAACTTTTTGACTACTTATACAAAAACCGCTACGAAAGCCTAATTGTGAAACTGTTTAGAGATTCAGTCGATAAATTCGCAGGTTTCAAAGAGTCACAATTTTATCAGCTTACCAAAATCATTGACCAGTATGGAACTCTAGAGGATCTGAACTCTTTTCTTGAGCAATACAGCACCAAAAAGACAAGCCATCTGCTTCGAAGGCTCGAAAACATGAAGAACATGCGCGAAATAAAAGCGATACTACAGTTTCAAGAATCTATCGATCCCAACTTACTGAATCATATTAAAAACTACCGAGGATTATCTTTAGCTCTCACTAAATACCTTAGACACCAGATATGGACTTCAAAGTCCCTAGAAAAGAAACAATCTATGGCCAAGTCGGCACTGGACATTCTGGGTCCTGAGAACTGCGATGTTCAATTCCTGGCAGAGGCGTATCGTGTGCTTCGCTCTGGGGATCTGAAAACTAGGTATAAGTTGGCAAAACAGCTAATCGATCCACAAAGAAAAAATGACATTGTATTTGCTATGCTCTCCAGCACTAGTCCGACTGAAAGCTGCTACTTATGGGTGAACGAATTTCCCGACGTAAAGTTAGCAGATCAAGTTCCCAAGGAGCTTTACATTCTTAAACACCGGTACCTTTTCGCTGGAAGGCTCCCCAAAAATTTTGCTCGTCATCTTGATCTCGACCGCGCTCAATTAGAGAAACTCATCAGTTGCCTCATTTTTGGGTACTCGCGCTGGGGTGACCATCAATATGTGTTTGACCTTGTCAAACTGAAGGGTCAGTTGGGGCTTGAGATTTCAGTAATCGATCAAGTTGGGATTTTTTTAGCCACGCTGCAGCTTGACAAAAATGAAGCATACAATGCTTTCAAAAGTCTCCCCCAGGAAGCGCACCGTTACGTTGTCAAAGAGGTGATAGAGATGCTCGGCAAGGCTAATAGGTGGGATGAATTAAATGCATTTTTTTCTGGTTTGTCCCGACTGAACTACACCCCAACTGTGGAAGATTACACTATGATGTTCGAGGCTCTCGCGAGTCGTGGAGCTACGGACCAGATTATGGAGCTGTGGGAAATGTTCCTAAGAAGGGGATTGATTCCAACTGATAGGGTACTGCAGGCGATTATTAAGTCACACATAAGGAAACAGGCATACGCTGACTGTTTGCAATGGTTTGCTGCCTATTCGCATTTTAAGATTCCTTTATCACCGAAAGCTTATGGGCTCATGTTACAAGCGCTTTCAGGAACGAACGAGTTGGTGGCCTGTTTCCAGCTATTGGATGAGCTAACCAAGATAAAAAATGCTACATTAAAGAGAAACAATTTCTCAGGGTTCGCGAGTAATTGTGCAATAGGAGGGGATCACAAGAGCATTGAGACGTTATTGAGCGTGTACTACCCCAAGTTTGGACTCACGCCAGAGGCACCTGATTTTACATGGATTTTGAAAGCCCATTTCAACTCACAAAGGTACAACACTGTGATTGATATTTTCAGAAAGCTGCAAGCTGATAAATTGGACTGTTATGGCAGTTACGAGGTGGCTTTGTTATCGGCATCAAGATTAGGTACCTTGCGCACCTTCGACATTCTGTGGGACGAGTTTTCTCGCAAATTCAAGGACGAGTTGAAGATCGAGTCGTATGAACCATTCTTGATTGCGTACTGCCGTCGTCACAAGTTCAACCGCGTAGTGAAGTTTATGGATGGTTTGAGGGAACACTACAAAAGGTTCCCTTCAAAGTTGCTCAACCAGGTTTTTTTCCAATACATGCGAATGGGAAACTTGAAGAACGCCTTCAGTCTCATTGGAATTGCACTCTCCAGGGGTATCGAAATAAGCTCCAAGACATATTCCTTGGTTCTCCAAGCTGGAACGGATTTGGTGAGTAACTTTAATGCTTCGCTTATGGAGGAACTCTTGAATAACAAAACGAAAGACTCTCTGGGATTCGCAGAAAAGGATTTGAGTCCAGCGGCTTTTAAAACGGCCATAAAGTGTTTGCTAAATGAGAACCAGACTCGGAAGGCTCGTTTCTTATTTGAAACGTACATCGAAACGTCTAGTTCATACTTTTTGGACAACGTTCATATCTTAGCCCTAGAGTTGATGATTCTTGGTAAGGAAAACCGGTGGCAGGAATTTGACAGCTGCTTTAACAGATATTATTCCATTGTACGACAGAAAATTGTTCACGCTCGTCTGAAAAACACGCAGGTGTACGACAAGATGGACGATCTCAATTTCCGTTTGCATACAGGCTCTACCTTGCAAACTCTAGACGAAATCAGACTGCGAGATAGATCGCTGAAACCCGGAGCGATTGCCCGATATTTGAGGGAAGCAGTTGTTGACGTGTGGCCTTACCGTTTGAAGCAATTGGATAACCAAGGCCAGCTGAGAACCATTCCGCAAGCCGTCGAGCAGATGTTGGCCGACGGTTTCGTGCTGAGCAGCTTGAACGTTAACGAAACAGCACTGAAGTTAAGTACGGATCCATCTCTGGTTCGTGAGACCGTCGAATTCATTGAGCGTTACCTGTTAGGTGACCTCATGAGACGCGGTAGATTGCGTTTCTTGCGGTTGCAATTCAAAAGCTCAGCTACGGTGCCGCCTGTTCCGTTTCGTTCGAGCCCCCTTCACTTCCAACTAATAACAATGAATCTCAAAAAGCATCTCAAAGCAATGCCGCGATCGGAAGCTCTGGAAGTGTTACGGTCACCGGTTCTGGCCAAGAGAAATATCGTTTTGCGTCACAGGTCACATATACAAGAGAACTTTAACAAACTCAGGGCCAAAGCTATGTTACAAACCAGTATCGCCAACAAACACATGCGCATTGAAGCTTATAGAGAAATCCGCACAAGGCGCCGCGGGTACATTCGCTCTCGAATGAATGAGATCAACGAGTACTCGAGGCTGCTCAATATGCTACTGCAGAAGATTTCAATTTCTGCACGCAAGGCGAAGGGGCAAGAGTTGCAAGATCTACGGGAACACATCAAGGCTTACAAGGAGAAACTTAATTCACTGCAACAAGCCAAAGCGGGGCTGCTTAAGGAGGCCAAAAATATCGTGATTGACGTTCGGACGAAATATGACAAAAAGCACATGTACAATAAGATGGTCAAAATCCACCAGCAGCAAACATAGTCTGTATATAAATCAATTGCATTAGTTAACGTCTGGGAATTGTAGCTGTGTAAATGCGTCTGCTGTGCCCCAAATTAGTGGCCCAACATGCGGTTGAATGTTATACTCTAGCTTGAGGGTGGCCGTTTTATTGTGGAGATCAGGGTAGTAGTCCCACACAGAATACTTTGAACGTACATCGGTCAGATCTAAAACGCTATCTTTTTTCGTCGGTATGATTTTGTCCCAAAACACAACTTTGGACAGCTCGTTCTTTTTTCCAGGGTACTCTCCAATTAAATACACAAACACCTGCTTAGTGTTCCAATTAAACAGTGACGACATGTCTGTTGTGAGATCAAATGCCAGTCTGATATTTTCTTTCCCAGAGTTTGGACGGCCTCCAAAGTTCCTTGAATACTTCATCGTGTTCACAGCCTTGTTGACCGAAATGTGGGCCGGAATCGACCCGTGTTCACTAACGTGTAGCTGAATTAGCCACGAAACAGAGATGACTGCAGCCATCGTCATCACAAGTGTCAGAACATAGTTCGATACGGTCTGTACCCGTTGGAACAGAGAGAACATATTTTGAGTAAAATAATTTAGGAGCCGGGTAATAATTAGCCAGACCATGCTCGTACCTCTGCTTCTAGCGTTGACAGCTGTAGTGTGCGTCCTACTCTTTGGTGATCTTCCAGTGTTTCGAAACACCTTCATCTTTGTATTGCACTCAAAGATTACCCACATTTTGGGTAACAGTGTCTCAACGCTAAGATTCCTCGATTCGCACTATTGCAACGGAAACCTGCGTTGCATAGCTCGTTTTGCAAGATGGACTATACCGGCCTTCTACATCATAGTCTACTCCTCAGCTCTGTGGCTTTTTGCGAAGAACACGTTGCCGCTATTACAAAACAGACATCTCATTGTCGTCATTCCCTCTGTCCTAATAAATTACTACACGTTTTTCATGGCTGTGCTGCTCGATCCGGGGTCAAAACCAACATGCGTTTTTCCATTTGACGAGTTGATATACACTCCTTCGACTTGTCGGACATGCAAAACCCTGAAACCAGCACGAAGCAAACACTGTTCCACTTGCAACCGCTGTGTCCAGCTATTTGATCATCACTGCGTTTGGCTGAACAATGATGTTGGCTACTACACCTATCGCTACTTTCTGGCCTTCCTGTTATCAAAGGTCTGGACGTTCGCATATGGGGCATATTTGTGCTGGAGCGCACTAGCTACCACTCCACGCATGTTTTGGCATACAGTAACGAAAACGAACCCCACCAATAAAGTTTCCGGAGCTCTATTTTTATTGTGCATTTTATTGCTGCCATTGGTAGCAATATTTTTAGCAGAACATCTGCGGTACATTTACTTGGGGGTCACCACCAACGAGACTGCTAAATGGGACTATATTCGGTACTTATTTGAACATCGCCTATTGTACAGAGCTGACACTGAAGATGGTTGTAAATACATCATCGCCAATGAGACAGGATACACCACTTTGAGCGGCGCTCAAATTTATGCCCTTGAACCTAAATTGGTCCGTTCCTGGAACGACCTACAAAATGTTTACGACAATGGGTTCATTTTGAACCTCGTTGAACGAGTTTTTCCAAAAGCTTTATAATTGTACATAGAATGAATCATTTTCTTTCATACTCTCTTGAAAGACGCCCTATCAAGTTCTCAGCTGTCGTCACACCAGGAATTTCTAGGCTTGAACGCAAACGTTGGGGTGAGGATTCGCGGCCTTCAAATTCATCCATTTCGTGTCTTGCTGAATCTAAAGACCTCTGCCTATTCGCGTCCAGAGAGTTCCCGCTGATTCGACTTCTGAGACGGGCCATTCGGTCAGCATCCGTCATAATTCTAGGGTCTCTTTTCACGGTCATAGAAGGTCTCCGCAAACCATCCTGGTTGTAACCATCCGTGAATTCCATTTCAATTTCTTCTGTAGCTAGAGTATCCACAGATTCAGAAATTGGGATTGGAGACGCAGTTGAGTCCCTGTGTTTTTTGAAGAACCGTTGGAAGACTGAAGCACGTTTTCCACCAGTTCCATTGATCGAATCTCTGAAAGGAGAAACAGGAGTGTCAGGTAGATGAATAGGCGCCTCTGCAAGATGTTCCTTGGTGTAATTCGAGATTTTTGCTCTATCCGGATCCGTGGGGTCGTAATCCTCATGGTATTGGTCAAAGTCTCCTTTGGCAACGGCTTCCCTAATAATGTCAATATCCTTCGGATACCAGAGTTTGCAAGTGAAGTCATACGCGAACCTTGGTAAAATGCAAGTCAACACGCTGGGGAAATAACATGCCCAGAAAGACGGAGTGCCATACATGCGGGCAGCGGACTTGTAAAACTCTCCCGAATAGGTAGATGAAGACCAAATACCGGTCCATCCAAACACGACAAGGATCGATAAAGAAATGATAAGAACGGTCAGCCAGTCCCATCTGTGAATATGGAACAGAACATATAAGTCACATGAAGTCGTGGCAATGGTGGCGACCAGTGCACCAACCAGGTATCTGTGGTCCAAACTCAATCCGTTGAAAGTGACAACACTATTCTTATAGTAAAGGAAGTAAGGGTAGAAAAATGAAATCAAAGACTGGTAAAACCCATCCGTCATATACCACCAAAACTTTTCCATTGTCCATTCGCTCCTTAAAATGCCAGTTTGATAGAGCTGAGGCACCAACAAGGATATATGGGCAGGAACATCTTGGTCGAAAATACCCATGAAGATGACTGGCAGCGAGGTATAAGCCAAATTGTAGAACATCAAGTACGTGTACTCGAACAAGTATGCTCCGTCGAAATCATCATAAATTCCGTACCAAAAGAGTGCCAACGTAAACACCACATTCTTGTAGAAAAAACTTGGAATCATTTCTGCAAGCCGTTTATAAGACCATCTTCCGTGGACTAAAACCAATCTCGCCAGATATCTGAATTGACCAAGAGCATAATCTGCTGACATCACAGCTTGCGTTCCTTCCTCACCAGCAATACCAACGCCGACGTCGGCGGCCTGAATCATAGCGACGTCATTGGATCCGTCCCCAATAGACAAAGTCATGACGTCCAAACTTTCCTTAACAAGCTTCACCACTGCAGCCTTCTGTGCGGGAGAAACACGACAACAAAGGACAGCCTTGCACTGTTTGCACAAAAGCAGGAATTTATACTTTGTTTTTTCGTTTAATGCTAACTTCAAGGCTTCACCGTCAATGACCAAGCCAAAGTTTCCAGAGGGCAAAGAATGATTCTTCTTGGCAAGTTGAAGCTCATCCAATGAACCTTGCATGTCAAAATGTGTACTCAAGTACTTCTGGATAAGCGCCAAAACCAGTTCCGCCTTGTTCCCAGCCAAAGACTTCATCTCACTTTCGGTGAATAACGATTCAATGTCGTCTCCGGATGTCTTAATGACAAGCAAATCCATACCGTTCTCCAACATATTGCAAGAAAAGCCAATGTTGATAGCAGTTTCAACCTTGTCACCAGTCAGAACCCAAAGCTTGATACCTGCATTTGCCAGAAGTTGAATGGAATCAGGGACGCCATCCTGAAGACGATCCTCAATAGCAGTTCCTCCGAGAAGAGTCAAATCTTGTTCAATGGAAGAAGCAACCTCTTCCATTTTTTCTTCTCTTTGATCCAAAGCAGAAGATGCAACATTGTGTCTCGCCTGCCATTCTTCATATTCAGACCATGTTAGCTCTCTCTGAGCAATGCATAGGGTTCTCAATCCCTCGGTTGCAAATCCCTCTAGGTGAATCGCGGTTTTGTCTAGCAGCTGCTGATCGTTTGATTCGCCCAATCGAGAATAAATAATGGAGTCGGCACCTTTACATATCAAAAGAACAGTTGGCTCTTTGTTTTTATCGGTTGGAGGAATCTTTATCATAACACTCATTCTTTTTCTGGTCGAGTTAAACTCCAAAATGTTCAAAATCTGATATTCCTTCTCAACACCTTGAACGTTCAAAACTAGACCCTTCTTAGTTCTTCTCACAAACTCAAAACCGACATCTTTCGCTGTGGCCACAAGTGCGGCTTCGTCCGGACTTTGTGCCTTCAGCTCCATTTTTCCTGGGTACTTTTCCGATGGCTCAGTCAAAACACTGTGACACAGTGCTAGCGCAAGCATGAAATGCTCCAATGCTTGCTTTTGGGCAATTCCAGAATCTCCTTTCAAATCTTCCGCGAATGGCTTCGAAACGAAAGTCAGTTCATCTTGGATATCTGGTGATAATTTGCCTTGATTGATGACTCGCAGCATACTAATCATTTCGACTTTATCCTTGGCAATCTCTTCTTTCTCCCTCGCAGCCTCTTCTTCGACATCAATTCCTTGACGTCTCCTGATACCCGCATAAGCTTCAGTATATGCCCGTCCATACGTGACACCATTTATTGTACATTTTTTGAACTCCATCACATTCTGTGTTAAAGTCCCTGTTTTGTCACTGAAAATGTACTCAATCTGACCGAGATCATCCGAGATATTCCAAGACTTTGGAGTACATGGATAATCCAACCTCTCATAGTACATGTGAACATCTGAATAAATGAAAAATGCCTGTGCTGTTTTGATGATCTCAATAGAGATGTAAAGAGAGATTGGAACCAGAGATTGGTACAGAATCAGGGCAACGAAAAACCCAAGAATACCATTTGCAGCTGGCGAACCTGCAATCGTTCCAAACTCAAAATAGTCCCTGATGGTATTCCGTTTGTGGTAGTAAATTCCATTAACCAAACCACTGACAAAACATAAAAGGAAGAGCAAAACGAAGTTGATTATAACACAAGCATTCAATTCACGTGATATTCTTGATCTTTTGGAAGGTGTCACTCCAGCATTCATCATAATTTTAGTATCATCGCCGGTAAAAACAACTAATCCAACAACCCATTTAGTATTTCTCAATGTACAGCCACGAAGGAGCATGTTATTGATTGTGACAGGCTCGTTGGATATTTTGCCGGCGGAATCGTCACCAGCAACGTAGTACTTTAGGTTTCCTTGATAATTGTACAAGTTGGCTTTTGGTCCCTCGCTCTCCAGCCAGAATTTGCATCTGGCTAAGTCATTAACGGATTTGATTGATGTTGATGAACACTTAAGAGCCTGTTTGACTTTCAGGTTAGTTTCACCGTCCAAATTCTTGGTCTCAGTATAACAAGCGCCGTCTGCATCAGAAGTCGACAATATTAAAAGATCAACTGGGATTGACTCATTAGCTTTGATCTTAACGATATCACCAACGTGGACATTCTTCCAGTAATCTTTCTTGAAAGTTGGGTTTAAACTATTGTGACTGGTAGATGAGGGAGGGGCTGTAAATGGTTCAATTCTGGTAGAAAACAAATCCCCTCCAACATCCTCATTCTTATCCGAGAATGGATCTGCTGCTGCATCACTCGTCAGCGATGTGGAGCTTGCAGCTTGGTCGCCCTGAAAACTTTTTCTATAATCAAAGCTATCTATTGACTTTCTAGTTCCGGCTGCATCCTCTCTAAGAGGGTCTATAGTCTTCTTGCCTTTGATTTTATGGATCAAATCCAGCATACGGTGAGAAGAAAATTTCTTTATTCTTCTCCACAAACTGATATGCTCCCCATTAAAATTAGGATTATCCATGCCCTTCAAAATGTGGGTGACTTGGTTGTTGACTTCAAGATCTAAGCCTGTACGTCTAGAATCTTCAAGTGCATCTTTGAATGCAGTGATAGCCACGATAACGATCAGTGGAACTGCTGATAACGCAGGACTGGGAACTCCGAAAATCTCAAAGGCTCCCATTATAATCATGGCCAAAAAGTAGATGTTAGCGACGTTCTCAAATTGGTAATACAGGTTCTTAGGGATGAATGACAGCGGTGTATACTTAGTGGTCCGGATTTTGTTTCTTGTGTATTCTGGAGGATTGCCATCACTGTCCTTTTCGTTGTCCGGCAAAGCAAGGTTCCAATAGATGTTCCTCTTTTCTGACGATCGATCTTGACTTCCATCATCGTTGTCGTCGTCCCGGTCTGCAGAATCTCCACCGCTGAACATTCTCCGGCCCGGCATTTTCTTCGAGATACTCCGCTTGAATGTCTTATTTCTGGACAACGGTTTTCCGTCCTTGCGTCTCTGTGTACCCCATCTGTGTCTCTTGATGGCCGTGCTATTTGACCGTGGCAAGTCACCCACGTAATCATCGTCTTCTTCATCGTCTTCACTTCCCTCACCTTCAAATCTAACATGTGCATCCTGCAAATTGACCGTGGAAAACTTCTTTGAATCGGACTTTGTCATTCCAAACACATCCTCTTCAAACTCATCCGCGGTGTCAAATGATGTGTCCTGGAACTGCGAGTGTTGCGATCTTTTGGAGGCTGACCTCCCACTAGGAGGGGCTGTAGAACGTGGTGTATTTGTGATAGAGCTCCCTGGGACAAACCTAAAATCTGAATCATCACCCGTAAACTCATAGCTGTCCTCAAAGGGACTTCCCACGCTGATATCCGGATCCTGCGACATGGCTTGTTTATCAAGACAATTGTTGGATCACGTTGATCTGTCCTTATCGACACCTGAATTTGCCCGATACCTTGAAGTTTGACAGTTATTCAAAAGTTGTTCAATTCCAATCTTTGAAATGGTTGGATAAGTAACAGAGCTTCTTCGCCGAACAATAACCAATATTCGGGCCTTTGAACAAGGATTTCCTAAAAGCAAAGTGGCCCTTGCAAAAAAAAATTTGGACCTCCTAGGGATCCGCACCTACTTTATCCGGGCCGAGCGAAAAAAAGAAAGTCAGCCCGTATATTTGTAATGAATAAAATATAGCTAGCTTTCACGGACAATCTACGTATTTCATGCGAATCTAATAGCATGAGTTAGTAACTAGGACGCTCCAAATCCAGCATGATACTGGTGAATTTTCATCATTCTTTTGCTTGCAACGTCTTTTGCAAATAACCGAGCAACTGTGTATGTGTATGCGTTCCTAGTACATCTTAGTCATCACTTTTGAAGCCTAATAGACCATTTTTCTCACGCTATTTGATTCCATCTCTTCCGAAGTACTAATCAGCGTGATGTGAACGTACAGGGTGTCTCATGGGGAATCCTATCATTCGACGCGTCGGTAGTCGCTTTTGAGATTTTCTGGTGCCCTCGTTTTTCTAGGGGATAATAATAATTGTGCTTAAGCGATTTGGCGTCGTTTCCAAATTTTATGGAGTTCGGATTGTAGCCAAGTTGCATATGAATGGAAATACTCAGAGGAAAGAAGGCTCTTCAATAGATATTCCGTGTTACTCTTTTACGGCGTTCAAACTCCGATATGGTACCGCCAACAGATTGAATAGAACGACAACCATAATCTCGCTTGGACCAATTCCTAGATCATGGTTATTCTATAAACAATCTGCCCTGCTATCAACTTTGCACAAGATAGGTGAGAAGACTGACGGCTCTTTTGCAAGATCTACTGAAATGTTCGACAACGTTGCTCGTAATTTTGGATTTAGGTCCAGTCGACAGGCCTCAGGCAGAACCTCCTCTGGTATGTCCAGTGATTTCTCCGATTCAACGCAGTTGATAGACAATGCTAGCACCATGAGTTCAGATTCAGTGACGATCCATGATCATCCAGAGGGAAATTTGACGGTCTCGTCCCGAGAACAGGAGCAAAGGAACAGAAATCATGGTGTCATTCGTCGCCATCCAGATGGCACTTCTGGTTCCCTCCTTGGCAGATCTCGTACCCGGAAACCCAATAGTCACAGAGATCCCACCAAAACTCTTGGGTGGTCCAATGATGACTTCTTAGCATTCAATCAGAAACTTTCTTCCCGTTCCAACCTGGGGAATGATGGGGCAAAGAATGCCACAAACAATTTGTACTCACACAAGCATTTATATCGTGATATCGCGAAAGCGCGTATCATGGGTAAAGAAGTTCGAAATGCAGAAGATGTTTCCTCCAATGCCTCTTTCGTTACCGCTAATGAGTTCATCTACTCCACACCCCAGGCTAGACAACCACAAGATTCCAGCTCCCACAGTGGTATTAATGACACTTCTCTTGGTTCGTATGATACAATAATGGCATCTCAAAGGGAAACTGGTACAGAAAAAGCTGCTGCCCCAACGACAATGGTGAAGTCCGTGACTTTTTCTACATCAGCCAAAAAAAACCACTCTCCCAAAAAGAAGAAACTCATGGAGGTAGAGCTGCTGAATCCTGAGGAGCATGTTGGAGTTTTAGATACAAACGATCAACAGCAAAGTCACTCCCACTTTAGAGACCTCTATGAGCAGTTGAATGAGGAAATGATCACCATTTTTGACAAACTCCAGCATAGAACTGTCGGTGCTCGCCATAGAATCAATAATGAATACTCCAAGATTGAACAACGGCGAAAGCTGAGAAGAATGTTTCAAGAATTTTCTGCCGGCAATATAGTTAAGATGGAGAAGATGCTTGTTACAGTCATCATGAAGGAGACAAGATATGAAGCTGAAGGTCCCTCAAGGCTAGTTGAGAAATGGAAAGAGTATATTGTTGTGGCACGCTCTACAGGTAATCATGAATATCCTATCGTGCTCCAATTCTTCAAAAAGCGAAACATCCGTTTTGTGGACATAGAAGGGCTTACTCAATTTGATGATGAAGAATCAGTGTTTGAGGATGTTTATCAAAAGAAGTCCGCGAGAACTTCGCGTTCACATCTGGAATTTGACGTCCTTTTATCGATCTCTGATACGAGAATCAGATTTCGAAACGTCTTGGATAAAACCATTTCGATCTCAAAAGTGATGAGAAAGCACAGGGATTTTGAGTACATCCTTCTTCCTCAAACTCAATCATCGGCCACTCGGTGGCTTAGTTTTTTCAACACTGTCTTAAAAAGTCAATCAAGAGAGGAGCAGAAGACTCTTTTACTCAAGATTCCAGATCTTGATTTGTCGCTGACAATCAAAAATTTATCCAGGCATTTGCGCCCTGAAGATTATTGTATCAAGGAGGATAATTTCAAAATTGAAATGCTAGAGAACGGGTATAGTGTTCCTCGCTCAAATGCATTCAATAAATTAGTGGATACAATAGTTGCTCAGTTGCTGATCTTGAACGATAAAGGATGCCTTCCGCCAAGAGGAAACAAATTTATAAGTAATTTACCCTACAGGAAACATCTTTTGGCTTTCGCTGCCAAGAAATACGATCGTTTGGAATGGATGGTTGGTGAGTCGGAGAAGTTACTTCAAGCTACATGGCTGATTCTCAGTAATACGCATGACATAGAATTGAGAGAGTTAAAACACGAACCACTGGCCCTGATGAATGAACCCTTGGTGGAACCGAGACCAGTGGAAGGCTTTTTAGTTCTCCTATCCAACAGGAGGGGAACGCTCAAGTCTTCTTTTGGTCGAAATTACTTTAAGCTGCACTATTTTAGCAGCTTTGATAATCTTCTCATGTTTCAAGACTTTCATACTGCAGTTCCTCCTTTCGAGGATTCCATGACTGATATAATGAGCCCTTTGGGGAGAGTTTTAGATGAGAAAGAACTGACAGAAAAAGTGCATTCTAGAAACTTATATTTTGAGAAAAGTCCATTTCCTTTAGCTCCTTCTAATCCTTCTCATATATCTTGGTTGAGGCCTGGTATCTCAAAAGAAGAATTTGACAAACGAGACATGGATGCCTTATATGAGGCAGAAAGACGAGCGTCCATTATTGTCAATTGCAAAGGAACGATTGACCTGTGCAACGTTTCTGAAATCAATTGTATCCCTACTTCCGAGGTCCCAAATGTTATCCGGTTGGCTGGGTCGCTTGCATGGGGTTATCAGCAAAGCCGATTGGATGACGAGAGTTATGTTGACTCTGTTTTCGAACTGATACTAAAGTCTGGCTGTCGAATCCGGCTTCAGGCTTGTAATAGAAAAGTTAGAGACCAATGGGTTTTCAACCTTCTTCAGCTTCGTGAATATTGGGTCAAGAAGAAGCAGGAAGAGTTGAAACGTATCATCAATCTACGGGAGAAAAATATCATAGCTACACATCTTCCGGATGACAAATACGAGTCTATTTTAACTGTTGATGACAACCCGAACAAATGGGAGCTTTCCAAAGCGCACACGGATCCATATGTTCATAATATATCATCTCTGTCGGTAGAAAAGCCTTTGATGATGAGTGGAGTGCTATACCAAAAAAGAAAGAAGCACAAAAGCTTCAAAACGTTTCTTGTTCTACTATGTCCAGGATTTCTTGTGCTTTACGATATGTTCAACAGAAGTTTCAAGTCAGGAACTATCAAGCAAACTGCATACTATAAGCACTATACAACAATCAGCCTAGGGAACTGTTACGTTTTTTGCGATTCCACAAATGACTTGGATGTTTCGATTCGCGATTCCACATTGAGTGAAGTTTCGCCTGGAAGCCACCAGGTTCCGCGAATCTACTCAGATGGATGGAAAAGCAGCGAGGACGAGCACTGTCGCCGATTTACGATATGGTTTGGATCAAAAAGAGTCATGATGAGAAAAAACAATTCAAAAAGAGTGATTTTGAATGACCAGCACCTTGATTACTCCTCTGACGATGATGAGGAGACAGAGTCCGAAAGCGATAGAATGAGTTTGCATGACCGGGGTAAAATGCTGAAGACCGTATCTCGTCTAGGAGTGACCGGTCATAGTATGGTATTTTTGGCTAGATCGCGGGTTGAACGTGATCTGTGGGTGACTAAGCTTCTCAACGAGGTTGAGCGCTTCAGAATTGTTGACGACGAAGAAGTCCAATTGTCTTAATAAATATTGCTACGAGTTAATGATCGCATATTATACAGCCTTCCAAATGTAACACATTTCATCCCATCCCACGCTAGCAGCGAAACCGGATCCCCACAGGGACCAGTCGCAGCCAATGGCAAACTCCCTGTGCTTATCGAATGTCTTGATTAAAGACCGGCCATGCCATAATCTGTTATTCATGAATCGTGCACTACTGTCAGTCTGATCTTTCCAAACACGACACGTCATATCATACGAACAGCTGAGCAAAGTGTCTGAGTAGTGTGGTGACCAGCTGACTTTGCGAACAGCAAAATCGTGTCCTATGAATCTATTGACAGGCGACGGCCCAGTCTTGTTTGCTGTGCCGAGAACATGATGCTGGACATTTGGAATCATGCGGAGATCCCAAACTTTTATCGACTTGTCCACAGAGGCTGTCGCAATAACTGTTGGTCTGTATTTGTTGTAATCACAAGATAGCACTTCCATGCCGTTATGAGCTATGAAATCTATCTGCAAAGGTTGCGGGGCCCTGATATCCCAAACCTGGCAGTGTGAAGATGAGCTCACAGAAACCAGCTGTGACGGATTGTGTGGAGAAAAGGTAGCTTGGTACATGCAATCTGTGGGATGCTTTTCTGTTTGCTTGGTGGAAAGTGGGACGAAAGGTCTGTCCACCACTAGGGAAGAATCCGTGGACGAGACGAGTGTGAGCATGGACTGCTGTCGATTTGGCGACCAGACTTTGATTGTACCGTCCCATGACGAGGAGCAGAAGATTCCCTTGTCCACCATGTTCCAATAAACCGAAAAGATTTCTCTCGTGTGTTCCTGGTATCTTTGAATAGGGAATCTTTGCAGCGAAATGTCGAACAGAGAGATGGATCCGTCACCGGCACACGTTAAAACCTGGTTCTCGTGAATTTCAGACCACGCAACGTCGAACAAGCCGTCTTGTGTCTCAAACTCTGTATCTTGTACCACCGTGCCATTGTCCTGAATAGACAAGATGACAAGCTTTCCGTTCCCTACAAGCCCGTAGTTGGCTGCAGTGGCTACTGCCAGCTTGTTGTCGTAGAAAGGCGAATACTTGCAGGCATAACCATTATATCCAGTGGTCCTGTATTGGAACATGAACCGTTTTTGTATTAAAAATATTTAGCTCAGTTAAGTAATGACTACTTCTCGTTAGACGTGACAGAGGTGGTAGGCGACGACCCGCTATTCCAGACGGAGCTTATTTTTTCTGTGCGTGAGCTGTCTCCGTCACCTGATTTGCCGTCATCCTGATGCATTGAAAAGAATGGTGAGCTAGGCATCATGAGACCGTGTCTACGATCGTCGGGCTGTGCAATCCTATCTTTTGATTTATCAGCTTCGTGCGACTCATTGGCCAGAATCTGTGTCAGCAGACCAGTCAAGTGATCTCCGCCGTCAATGCATTGTGTCTGGACAGTGTCCGCATCCTTTGGAGTCGATTCGAATTTATCCTTGGGAGTCTTGTCAAATTTAAAGTTCAGAGGAGAGCTCGTTTTGGATCCTCCCTTCAAAATGTTGTAGACCTCAGGATCGTCATCAAACTGACCATCAACCGGCTCTTCTTCTTCGTCATGGGTAAACAGGTTGCTGATCCATTCGTTGCTGGGCGACGTTTTGGTCGGAGATCCCGGTTGCTCCACATTGGAAAACGATTCTATGAGGCGGTGCAGACTGGGAGAGATGTCGTGGACCATGAGAGATTGCGGTTCGTCTCCCTGTGTCTCGTCCGCAGGCGGGTTATTTTCCTTATCATCGTCGTCGAGAGGAATCAGAGTGGTGTTTAGTTTGGTGGCATTAATCGGCGAATCGTTGTCGCTGGATTCCGGCGACTCTTTTTTGGAATCGTAGAGCGGGTCGAGGTCAGTGAGCGGATTCTGGGCCGGCGATGACCTGTCGGACTCCAACTTGTCGTATTTTCTCGTGCTCGTGGCCAGTGAGGATGATATAGTTTCGTCGCTGGCTCTGGCTTTGTTCACCTTCTGTCGTTTGCGTGCTGCAGTGGCAAGATTATCTGCTGCTGGCGACATCTTTGCATAAGGGCTGTCCACGAGACCTTTTACTCCCAAGTCGCCACGCTCGCGAAGCTTCTTTGTGTCATTTTTTGCGTGCAAAGTTGAACAGATGTTGCAAAGCAAGCCAGAGTTACCGAACTCAAATATACCGTCTTTGTGAAACCGGTACGGGGGGTTAGACGTGGACGTGCAATTGACGCAGCGTTGGACTGCGAGGGGTTTCGAGAATTTGGAGTGGTTGCCCGTACTCACGTCGCCTATCTTGACCACGCTACTGATGAAACTTTTGTTTTTCTTGGCTTTGGTCGGAGGATCCGTAGCTTTCATGAGTTTCTCAAAATTAGAGAACCTTGATGCAATAGCATCTTCGCGTGACTCTAGGGAGGTATTGTTCTGATCGGACATCATGATGCGGTGCGCAAGACTATTTTGGCTAATAAAGGGGAGCGACTGAGTTCTGGTGGCTAATTGCGGAATGCTGGCGAGAGAATTAAAGGGCCTTTTTCGAGTCTCGCTATTAGAATCTGACGACTCGCTAGGCAAGAACATGGGACTGCTGCTTTCGGAGGGATTGGCGTTCGACGTTTCGAGTTTGGAATATGAGAAAGATGTTGCATGCTTGTTCACCACGTTGAATCGTAATTTCACCTCCAAGGTATCGGCGCCCACACCAGAGCCATTGATAATGTTGACAAAATTTTTGCACACGCGTCCGGTGATGATCACGGGCGTCCGTCTCTCCATGAGCTTGGAATAAAGCCCGAAACCCACAAATGGTTCGTCCACCTCGACGACGTCTTTGGAATAGATCGAGTAGTCCAAACCTTCTCGAAAGCATTCCGGAGACATGTTGTGAATGAGTTCTAAACATTTGCGTATGTCAATACACCCTATAACGGCGCCATTGTGCGGAGGCTGTTGCGGAAGTTGAATGATCTTCGATGAAAGAGGCCGTTTAGATCTCACGAGGAACTGCGTTGTGTTGTCGAATGTGTAAAGAACCTTGAGTATTACGCTTTGAGTATAGGTTTGTACCTGGCTGTTACTCATAGTGAGCAATACAGTAAGTTGCTAAATTATAAACAATCTCCAATTCCCTTGAACACAAGACGAACCTGCAAATGACATAAGCACAGATCTGAAAGGACTTGTCTGCTAAATTTCAAACAACCGTTCTTGGTCGTACCGTGTTTTTTCCTATTTTGGGACGCGTATTGCAGGTATAATTTTTTCCGGTCGCGTCTTATAAAGAAAGGCCTAAAACACGAGGTTAGCAAAGGTTTAGGGATCGAATTTAATGATCGGCCAAAGCAAAGCAAGAAGATGTGGCTAACGCCTCCTAGCACTCTAAGCCACTTTTGTGACTGTAGCGAACGGAGGATGAGAAAGACTTTTGATTGGCTCTTTGTATCTCTTATTGATCTCCTCGTCGCTGATCTTCTTCAGTTGCATCGTTTCTGCGTCCTCGAGAATCAGCGTTTTGTAGTAGCTCCATTTGAAAATTGTCCACCAAGTGTGGTAAAACTTAAAGTTCGGCCAGAGCGTGCTGGAGAACTCAATCACGCTATCTTGATGACACTGCCATAACATGTAGTCGCTGAGACGTGTGTGACCTGATGTTCTCACCAAGATGTCCACTTTCTCCGCTTCTCCACAATAGTAAAAGTTCTCCTCTAATGTGCGTGTATCAATGCTGTCCACACTCAGCTCGTTACGCTTTACCTTCTGGACGATCTCCGACATCGAATGGACAATGTCATCCCTGGAGGTGTAGGGAAACGCAATGAATAGATTATGGCTACCATGCGAAGCAGTTAATTCCTCAATTTTTTCTAGATCTGCCAAAACGTCAGAGGGCACGAGACTACGATTTCCCACTATTTTGATGGCGACATCGTAGTTCCTGAAATCCGTGTCTTCATTGGCAATGTACGCAAGTCTGCTTTTCAGAAGAGAGAAAATGGTATCTATCTCATTCTGAGGTCTGTTAAAATTCTCGATTGAAAAAGCATAAACTGTGACATCCTTGACCCCCAACTTGAAGCAGCAATTAAGTACTTTGGCCAATGATTCGGCACCTGCTCTGTGGCCTTCTTTCAGTGGAAGACCAGCATTCTTGGCATATCGCCTGTTCCCGTCCATCACAAAGGACAGATGGTTAGGGACCGGTCCTTAAGATTAGTGGGAGACTTTTCCTTACTCACCTGTTTTTAGCACCGACAATAGAAAGTCCTGGAAGAAGCCGTTGACGTAGTCGACGCCTGGTAATCTAGATAGTACTGAAGTGATCAAAGAAGACATAAGAACTGAGTTGCAACCAAAATCAAATCTATGTAAATGCAAGTTGTGATTTATCGATCCCTTTTTCCAATTATATTCACACAAAAAGCACACCGGCTTAGAATCTGACAGATCCAAGATGCCCGTTAGGAAAACATACAAAACTCAAAGCTTTTGGAACCTTGATCTTTCTAGAAGAGAGCCATGGTAGCGGGAACTTCAAGAGCACCTCCAGTGATGAGATAAGGTAAGCTTGAAGTTTGTCTGCTCCAGATCCACTGGAGGTGCTGCTGGACGAGGAGCTGCTGCCGGCAGATGAAACATCATATGAATCTCCAGATCCAGAGGCCGTGTGAGTGCCCCCATAGCCCCCCTGAAGCGCCTCCTCTGGGTCTGACACCGCTAGCTGCTCCGGAACCTAACCCTCCAAAGTAGCTAGAAGCTTTGCCAATTGCAGGAGAGACACCGGAGGTAGCACCGGGTGCGGCTCCAGAAACAGAACTGCTAGCTGAATCTACTTTTGAAGCTGCTTCGGAGGAATCTCCGGCGAAACTTGCGGCATCTGCGTTCGGGCCAAGAGCAGCCAGAATCGAAATCGATGTAGCGTATGTGAGATTCATTCCAGCAACTGCTATAGAAATTCAGGACAGGCAAGTCGGTCGGAAATATTTCTAGCTTCAACACTACAAGTGCAAGGCACGTTGACGGTTGCTAATCATAGGAGATGCCTTGCGCATGTTCGGAACCGCACCACGCTCCTGATATGGTTAGAACAGTTCTAGCTCGGGTAGCAAGCAGCATTGTCTCAAGTTATACGATCCACGCGTTTCACAAGCCTCCAAATAGTCAAACACACAATTCTGATCTTTCCTTTTGACAATGCTGACAGGGTTAGAGCATCGGTTGCTATTTTTGTAACGTTCCAGAGAGTGGTCCTCAAAAGTCCTGCCAAAAGTACCTGCTAGGCACAATTCCTATGGTGTAACACTCAACCGTAGTTGCTCGTTGAACAGATTCTAGTTGTGAGCTTGAATACCACATTGAAGGTCTCAGGTGTACACTTTCCGAATATATCAAATAATTTTGCCATCCAAATAAGAACAAAATGTTTTTGACGAGAAGCGAGTACGATCGTGGAGTGTCCACTTTCTCCCCAGAAGGCCGCTTATTTCAAGTGGAATACTCTTTGGAGGCCATCAAGCTCGGTTCGACAGCCATTGGAATCTGTACCGGCGAGGGAGTAATTTTGGGAGTCGAAAAGAGGGTTACCTCATCTTTGCTCGAGAGCGACAGTATCGAGAAGATCATGGAGATCGACAGACACATTGGATGTGCGATGTCTGGGCTGACTGCAGATGCGCGGTCGATGATCGACCATGCTCGAGTTGCGTCTGTGCAGCACGATTTATATTACCACGAGAAAATAGGCGTTGAATCGCTGACGCAATCTGTGTGTGATTTGGCTCTACGTTTCGGCGAAGGAGCATCTGGCGAAAAAAGATTAATGTCTAGACCATTCGGGGTGGCTTTGCTCATTGCCGGCTACGATGACGACAAAGGCCCTCAGTTATACCACGCGGAACCATCAGGAACGTTCTATAGATACGACGCAAAGGCCATTGGATCCGGATCGGAGGGGGCTCAAGCGGAGTTGCAAAACGAGTATCACAAATCGCTGACGCTGGCAGATGCCGAAGTTTTGGCATTGAAAATTCTGAAGCAGGTCATGGAGGAAAAATTAGACTCTACAAATGCGCAGCTGGCAAGTGTGACTAAAGATCACGGATTCCGAATTTATGAAGATAAAGAGGTCGCCAGAATCATTGATATTCTCAAAGACCAAGAACAAGCAGAGGAGCAAATCTAATATAAGGTATTATAACATAGCTGCTTCTATTATACATATTTAACTCTGCAACATGTCGATATACTGAGAGTATTCGGGAAAGTCTTTCAGCTTTGTGACTACAGCTTTTTCCAGCTTATTCGCGTTCTTGTAGAAAGTGGTGTTTTCACCGTTGTATTGCCTGCAATTGTTGAAAATTAGTTTGCAATCGTATATGAAATCGTCAAAGGTTTCATATGCGTCATTCTCCAACTTCACCTCCATAGTGCTGAGATCCATCGGCTCCTTGATTACCTCGTAGTAGTCAGAAACCTCGTCTTTGTTAACAGGTTGTAGGAACGGCCAATTTGAAGGATGGTTTTGCATTTCGGTAAACAGTGTTAGCATCACGACGTGATGTGGACCGCGTTTAGGTTTTTGTGCTAGTTCGTCCATTTCGGCCGTCCATCCGGCCTCTTTGACTCCAGGAATTGTAATCGGGTCTAATGGTTTAGCATTTGGCTTTGAGAAGTGTTTCAGACCCGGTCTAACCACGTGCGACTGGCTGATGGATCTGATCTTGGAGAGAATGGCAGCCTTTTGCAACATCAGGATCTTGGCACTATCCAAATATCGTATTCTGGGGAGAAGTGAGCATTGCATCAATGTTCCCCCTTCATAGTCCTTTATGTAGCCCATCCACACTTTTTTCGGTAACGTTATTTCTTTGGTAAAGCCCTGCTTTTTGAAGTATCCAATAGCATAATTATCAGCGTACGTTAGAAAGTACTTGATTTTTGTGGTCGATGTCACATAATCCTTCAGATGATTCATCATATGGGCGCCGTAACCTCTCACCTGTTCAGTAGACGAGATGGCACAAAAAACAATCTCTGCAAACTCGTGGCTTTCAAAAGGACGATATGTGACTCCTCCGACAACATGAAGCGGCTTGCGCACCACAGCAATTGACACGTGCGATCTATCGTAAACAAGCCGAGCAATATATGCTTTGGGCATCTCGGGAAGCTGTTTTTGAAACACATTTTTCAACCCCGTCAAGATCATCATGTTTTCCTTCGTGTTGTCATTATTGACGACCCGCAACTCAATCTTGCCTTCCCGTTCTTCAATGACGCCTGCTTTTTCCTTGTATGTATACGTGTGGCCGTCAAATTCGAAAGGAACCAATCGCTTTTTGTCATCATCATCTGCGGTCTCTTGCTCGCCATCTTGGTCGGCATTTGCATCTCTTCCAGCCTCCGGACTGAGATCCAGGTTGTGCTCAGGCTCCTCGGATTTGACCTTTTTCAGATATCGCCCATCTTGATCCTCAGCCTTCCTTTTAAGGTCCTCTGTCATGGCTATAATCACAGGATGCTGGACCTCCGATAATTTCTCCAACGAAAAGAGACGGTTCGGGCCGATCGACGTTTTCGTCCAAGTCAAAAAAAAGTGATAAAAAAATACTCTATTTAATTTAATTTAATTTAATTTTCAGACACTTACAATGGCTCATCCGAAAATGGTCGTTTTGCCAGGACCCCAGGCCCTGTCGAGCTTTAGAGTGGCCACTTTGGTGAATAACATCAACACGTTGGTGAATTCGTCCGTTGTTATGAGTGTTAAATCGTGCCAGATTCACTATATTCATTGCAAAGATGATCTTGATCCTACTTCTTTTGAAAAGTTGGTGACATTGCTCAAATATGACAATGAGCTCGACTTCAGCGACCCACTTGTGTCCAAGCTGAGTAAGCTAGTTCAGGTGACTGACAGAGGAGAGGATTTCAGTCTGCTTCTATCGCAAGACCAGAACTCTGATTTGTACCTTATAAGAGTCCTCCCGAGACCGGGGACCATTTCGTCGTGGTCCTCTAAGGCTACCAACATCGTTGAAGTATGTGGCCTGGGTGACAAGGTCGACAGAGTGGAAAGAGGTTTGGCTATTCTTTTACAGATGAGACCAGGCTTTCCGATTTTGCAGTACTTTGCGAGCGACAAGTATGCCTGTTTGAGTTCCATCTATGACAGAATGACGCAGTCCCTTTACATCAACGAGAATGTGCCGACGTACGACGATCTTTTCATGGAGCATGAACCGAAACCGCTGAAGTACGTGGATTTGATTTCTTCCAAGGACAATCTGCTTTCAGCTAACAAGGAGCTTGGACTGGCTCTTGATGAGGGCGAGATTGCGTACTTGATGAACGCGTTCAAAGATACATTGGGAAGAAACCCAACTGACGTTGAGTTGTTCATGTTCGCTCAGGTTAATTCGGAACACTGCAGACACAAGATTTTCAATGCAGACTGGCGTATCGACGGACAAAAGAAAGACATGTCTTTGTTCCAAATGATCAGAAACACGCACAAGCTGAATCCTAAGTATACCGTTAGCGCTTACAGCGATAATGCGGCAATTTTCCAGGGACCAGAGGCCTACTTCTACGCTCCAGATGCGTCCAACGGAAATAAGTGGAGCTCCAAGAAGGAGACTGTTCACACTCTCATCAAGGTGGAGACCCACAACCACCCTACAGCAGTGTCGCCTTTCCCGGGTGCTGCTACTGGGTCCGGTGGGGAGATCAGAGACGAAGCTGCTGTCGGCAGAGGTTCCAAGTCGAAGTGCGGACTGTCTGGATTTTCGGTGTCCGATCTAATTATTCCAACTCTTCGCCAGCCGTGGGAGCTCGATATTGGGAAGCCTGGACACATTGCATCGTCCTTTGACATTATGATCGAGGCGCCCTTGGGATCTGCTGCTTTCAACAACGAGTTTGGAAGACCATGTATCAACGGGTACTTTAGAACCTTGACCACGAAAGTTGTTAACGGCGACGGCAAGGAGGAGATTCGCGGGTTCCACAAGCCTATCATGATCGCTGGAGGTATGGGGGCTGTGAGGCCGGAATTAGCGCTGAAATCGGAACACAAGATCACTCCAGGCTCTGCCATTATCGTTCTTGGAGGTCAATCAATGCTAATTGGTCTGGGTGGAGGTGCTGCTTCCTCGGTCGCGTCTGGCGAGGGCAGTGCAGACTTAGACTTTGCTTCGGTCCAAAGGGGCAACCCAGAGATGCAAAGAAGAGCACAGCAGGTTATTGATGCATGTAATGCTTTTGGCTCCAACTCTCCTATCCAGTGTATCCATGACGTGGGAGCAGGAGGATTATCTAATGCGCTGCCTGAGCTAGTTCACGACAATGACCTTGGTGCCAAGTTTGAACTCAGAGAAATCCTCTCTCTGGAACCAGGGATGTCGCCTCTTGAGATCTGGTGTAACGAGTCTCAGGAGAGATTTGTCTTGGGAGTCAGCCAGCAGGATTTGCAGTTGTTCAAAAGCATTTGCGAGAGAGAGAGATGTCCTTACTCCGTTGTTGGCGTTGCAACCAACGAGAAGAGACTGGTTCTGACAGACAGGCTGCTGGGAACCACTCCCATTGATTTGGACATGAGTCTGTTGTTTGGTAAACCTCCAAAGATGTCTCGTGAAGATGTTTCGAAGACACCAAAGCTCGAGCCCGTGTCTATCCCCTCGGACACTTCTCTCGATGAGGCTTTGAGCAGAGTGTTGCAGCTGCCCTCTGTGGGATCCAAGTCGTTCCTGATAACCATTGGTGACAGAACGGTCACGGGTTTGGTTGACAGAGACCAGTTCGTTGGTCCATGGCAGGTACCTGTGGCAGACGTGGGTGTCACAGCCACTTCCCTTGGCGACGAGGTGGTTTCTACGGGTGAGGCGCTAGCAATGGGCGAAAAGCCTACTTTAGCTCTCATTTCTGCTGCTGCTTCGGCCAAGATGTGTGTCGCAGAGTCTCTTTTGAACCTCCTCGCCGCAGATATTAAGGATCTTGATTTCGTCAAGCTTTCGGCTAACTGGATGGCCCCTGCAAGCCACCCTGGAGATGGCGCTGCACTGTATGAAGCTGTTCAAGCCATCGGATTGGAACTCTGTCCTGAACTTGGCTTGTCGGTCCCTGTGGGTAAAGACTCTATGTCGATGAAGATGTCTTGGGATAAGAAAGAAGTGATCGCACCTATGTCGCTGATCATTACTGCCTTTGGCGGTGTCGAGAACACCTCTAACACATGGACACCTGTGCTGCAGAAGGTCGACAACTCTGTGCTTGTGCAGGTGGACCTGGCTGCTCTGGCAACGGCCTCGCTTGGTGGCTCTGCTTTGGCTCAGGTGTATAACCAAGTTGGTGATTCGTGTCCAACGGTTCATGATGCTCGGCTTCTGAGAAACTTCATCCATGCGCTCTTGGCCCTGCACAAGAAGTTTGAGGTTCTTGCCTATCACGACAAGTCCGACGGCGGGTTAGTCGTCACTTTACTAGAAATGGCCTTTGCTGCTAGATGCGGCTTGGAAATCGATATTGCTGACCCCAAGAGAGATATTTTTACTTCTCTTTTCAACGAGGAGCTTGGAGCTGTTTTCCAAATCAAGAGCGAAGATTACGCAGAGTTTGTGCAAATTCTTGCCTCCACTGGTGTTCCAGAGTCGACTGTGTCTATTGTTGGAAAGCCTGTGTTTGGTGCTGAGCAGCAAATCAGCGTTATTTACAATGGATCGACTGTACTAAAGAAGTCTCGAGGCGCACTGCAACAAACATGGTCTTTGACCTCGTACCACATGCAAAGACTGAGAGACAACCCGCAAACTGCCGACCAGGAGTTCCAATCAATTCTGGACAACCAGGACCCGGGTCTCACTTATAAGCTGACTTTCGATCCCGCGGACGATCTCATGCTTTCCTCTGTGACCAGTCGTCCAAAAGTGGCCATCTTGAGAGAACAGGGTGTTAACGGTCAACAAGAAATGGCCTGGTGCTTCCAGCAGGCCGGCTTCGACTCAATAGACCTTCACATGACCGATATCATTTCCGGAAGAGTGACCTTGGACAGCTTTGTAGGAATTGCTGCCTGCGGAGGATTCTCGTACGGTGATGTCCTGGGAGCTGGTAACGGTTGGGCTACATCTGTCCTTTACAACGAGCATGCGAGAGCCGAGTTCTACAAATTTTTCCAGGAGAGAACTGACACTTTTGCTTTCGGAGCGTGTAACGGTTGCCAATTCCTGTCCAAGATCAAGGAACTTATTCCAGGCACTGAATATTGGCCATCTTTTGAAAGAAACAAGTCTGAGCAGTACGAAGCCAGAGTTTGCACGATTGAGATTATAGAAGAGAATACCGAAAACCCACTGATATTCTTTGATGGCATGCGTGGATCGAGGATTCCGATTGCCGTTGCTCACGGAGAGGGACGGGCTTACTTTGGTAATGCAGAGGCAAACCTAGGAAAATTTGTCGATCAGGGTCTGGTTGCCGCAAGATACGTCGATAATTATGGCCTTCCGACCGAGAAGTATCCGTTCAATCCAAACGGTTCGCCAAACGGAATTACTGGTGTCCGCACTCCAAACGGCAGAGTTCTGGCTATGATGCCTCATCCAGAAAGAGTTTGCAGACTAGAAGCGAACTCATACTATCCAGCCGCTGAAGCTGCCAGCTGGGGGGGTTATGGGCCATGGATAAGAATCTTCAGGAACGCCAGAAGATGGGTTGCTAGTAATGAATAGCTAATGTATAGATAATGCAATATTGAGAATTTAGGACATTATAGTTTTGCAAGCGAAATAAGAACTCCGTCCTCAATTCTTGTGCCCAGTGGTATTTCCAATATACAGTCCATCATTTGTGTGGCCTCGGTGACCCCTTCAATGGTTTCAAATTTGAATGCTTTTTGAATGTCGTTCCATTTGGCCACAACCAGCAAAAGTCTTTTGTCCGTTTCTTTCTTGTAGCTTGGAAGTCCAGTTACAGGCTGTTCATTAGAAAAATAGTCGCCGCTACTCGCGTAAATGCACCGATCATATCCTTCGGTGTATCCTGGCTCAGTGAATAGGCTACTAAACTTGGTAGCCACTCGAACGTGATAGCCGAAAGTTTTCAAGGCGCCTGCTTTCCCATAAGCCTCGTCTGGGGACACCACTCTTTTGGTCTTTGTATTCACGGTAACTCTTGTATTGATAGGTATTTCCTTCTCGAGCTCCAGCATCTCGCGCTCTCCTGTTTGGACGTACTTGGTAGTGGCGGGCTTTTTCTTTTTCACCACCTTGCCTTCGGCATTTTTCTTCACTATTGACTTTCTTGGAATCGAGATTCCTTCTCTGAAGCAAGAAGCGGCTTCATTTTGCATATATGGAAGGTTGGGAATCTTGGGCAATTTCTTGGCTATCTTGAAGTATTCTGTAACGGATGCTTGAAACATGGTTTTCACAAGATACGAAGGGGTCGTAAAGAACTGAAGTAGAGCAGCAAGAAGCCGAGATGAGTCACTTGCGGTAGTACTCTTCTCCTCAAATGTGATCTTCTTCGATTCCTCAGGTTCTATGTTTTCTGGCACATCAAGAATCACTATCTCGCCAACATTGTAAGTACAAGCTGCTCTGGCAATTTGATAGGCAGTGAACGTAGCTTGTTCCAAGTTTTTACAGCTGCGGCGTGAAATACATGACGATGGTATACAAAGTGTAATCGAAGATGTCATCCTAGGAATTTTTTTTTCCTTGGTCGAGTTTATTTTTCCGCGGCTGTGCGCGATCTTCAAAACTAAAGATAAGAAAATGGTCCTTGTCGCTGCCGGACAACTCTGTGCTTCCAATGTTCTGAAAGACAATGCTGCTGCTGCTATCAATTTGATTACAAAGGCTGCAAGCCTCAAATGTAAGGTTTTGTTTTTACCGGAAGCTTCAGACTACATTGCACGGAACGCACAACAAAGCAAGGAGATTGTAAAGTCCGTCTCAGAGTCACCTTTCGTGCTGGCCATCCAAAAAAAGCTGCAAGAGCTTCACGCTACCGGGAATTCCCTTTCTGTGTCCGTGGGTGTTCATGAGCCTTCTGAGACTTCTGACCGTGTTAAGAATACCTTGATATGGTTTGATGAAGCGGGTCAAATCGTTCAGAGATATCAGAAAATCCATCTGTTCGATGTGGACATCAAGAACGGACCGATTCTGAAAGAGTCGGAATCTGTTGAACCAGGATCCAAAGTTCTTCAGCCGTTCACGACCGCCATTGGCAACGTCGGATTAGGGATCTGCTACGATCTACGTTTTCCCGAGCTAGCCTTGAGATTGAGAAGTGAAGGAGCCCAAGTTCTAACTTATCCCTCTGCCTGGACAATGAAAACAGGTCCTCATTTTCAGATCTTGGCTCAATCGACTGCCATATTTACTCAATGCTATGTTGTGATGCCTGCACAAAAGGGAAAACACAAACTCGAGGATGGAACGGTGACAAACAGGGAGTCTTACGGCCACACTTGTATTATCGATCCGTCAGGAACTATTCTTGCTCAGTGCACAGACATCGACGACGTAGAAGATATTTGCATCGCCGATATTGATCTTGACAAATTGGAGGTTATTAGGAGAAATATGCCTCTCTGGAATCAGAGAAGACCGGATGTCTTCGGCTACAAAGTCTAAGATAGTAAGTAAAATTATGTAACCCTCTAAAAAAAAATAGGTAGCAACAGATAATACTATATCCTACCATGTCTATGCTGAAAAGTCTACAAAATATACAAGGAACCATTACTATATTGTAAGTAAACTCACTACGTGACTAACTTGTGGCCATTCACCGAAAATTGCGAGCTCAGTCAAGCTGCTGGGTATCTTACAGCAACACTCAACAAACAAGTCTCAGATTAGCGAGTCTAACAGATCGCAATCAAAACTTACCCAAATGCTTTTCGGGTCAAAAGGCTTGCGCTACAACTACCAGATAGATGTTTCTGAACGGTTTCCTACTCTTGACCAGCTCAGATTCATCAAGGATACGCTCTCTATGAATCCGCAGTGCAAAAAAGCATTTAAGGCGGCCTTTCCATCAATTGGATCAGCAAATGACCATGTGATTGACTTGCAATCCACTGACTCAACAGCATTAAAGGAACTGGAATCAAAAAGCATGGATGAATTGGTGGAGAAACATCTGTTCCAGCCACCACTTGTTGTAGACTGGGATCATCAATTGATAGCCTCTGAAGAATCTGAGTTGCTCAAAATATTGAAAAACTACGACAAGAACGAAGAGGGTCTCTAATACCCCATCCGTTTGATTATGTACGTTTGTGCAAGCACCCCAAACATCATATCCAGCCCTCTGTTGATCCAATCGGCTACCCACTCACTAGGATCAACCTCTTCACTTGCTTCGCCCTCTACGAATTTGCCGTCCAGCCAATTGCACCATTTGAGAGGAAACGGTTGCGATCTGTTGACTATGGTGATATCGTGAGTCTTATCGACCAGAATTGACGTAAATGAAAAGGATGATGGCTGGTACTCGTCAATATTCACTATTTCAGATTCTTCTGCCGGTGTGTCCTCCTTACTTATTGATATAGCTAGCAGGCCAATATAGATATTGGTTTTCTTAATCTCTGTAGCCTCTGTGTCTTTCTTGCTGGCGTTCGCTTTGATAACGCTCTCGATATTTGCATAAATGAGTTTTTCGCCGTCGGATAACTTACCAGCAAAAAGACCTAGACTCTTTGATTGATCTGCGGTCTCTGCCGACGAAGATAAAATGCCGCTTTCCGCAATCCTCACCTGAATGTCGCCGTCCACTTGTGCCCTCATGACAGTTTCAAAGTTACTCTTGACATATTTTGGGAGGGTTTTGTAATTCTTGAGGTCGTGAACTAGCTTGATGTCCAGTATCTCGTCTTTGTTAGCATCAATATCAAGCTGGATTTTTTCGAGAGCTGAAGTCAGTTGAGAAGACAACAAATTGAATCCCTTGTTCAAAGAATTCAGTGCCTGCTTGGTATCAGGCAATTTCAGTAGTTTCTGTTTTTCGTCGTCAGTCAATTCACGATCACCCTCTAACACTCCTGTGATGCCAATATCGTGAAATGCTTTTTTTAAGTTGTTCTCCAGTTTCTGCTCCTTCGCATAATTGATAGCGGACTCTGCCGTGCCCCAAAGAGAGGAAAATTGGGACGTCACTTTCGTACTGCCTTCTTTAGACCACCACGAAGAAAACGAAGTAATTGGGTCTCTTACTTCTTCAGTCGACGAATTTTCATTTGGTGCTAGTTTAGTAGTTTCTTCGGATTGCGCATGCCCGATCTGGGGCTTCTTTTCGGCTGTTTCATCAGGTTTCGTTTCTTCCCTGTCCTCCACTTTTGCTTCAGTCTTATTATGTTCTTGTTTCGTCTCGGGCGTCTTGATTTTCTCCTTGGCCTCTAGTTCGTCCAGAAAATCCAGAATATCCTCATCAGGCTTTTCGGCCGCCTTGTTTGGTTGACCATTGTTTTCAGGCAATGAATTTAAAAATTCAAAAACCTCTTCCTCCGTCTGTTGATTAGACATGGTTAATAAATAAAATTGATGCCAATTTTTTACAAGAAATTATAAGATCATAATGCATCCCGTGTTGGATAGAGACCAATTTATAAGTAAGTAGAGTGTCTATGTGGGTTTCCATCTATGGAACTAACTGGGAAGAATGCGAGGACTTGATAGACGCTCTCGAAGAATGTCACAGAACTAGTTTCTTGGAGAAGGCCTTCGGAAAATGTAATATTGTTAAACAAGACTTGACCAACTGTTTGCACGAAAACCGCCTTGCAGCTGAGCGAGAAAAGATAAAGGAAAAGCGGAAGAAGGCGAAAGAGTTTGAAATGAAGAAGAAGAAACTTGAAGAAGAAGAGTACGGCAAGAACGCATACCTCAAGAAGGTTATCGAGATTGAATACGAGAAAAGAACCAAAGCTGGTCACTAGTGGATCTTGTACATATAGTTTATACCATCTACTCCATTTTTATTAATCTTGTCTCGATTTAAGATATCTTTTGATCACCTTGTCTTTTGTGATCACATACACTACAGCTCCCCATCCAGAGAGAGCATCCCTATCGGCAGCGTTCAACAGTGCTTGTGAAATGGTTTCAAATAAATCTTCTGGTTCGAGATCTGGCTCGTATAGCGACTCGCACATTCCGTAGAGCTGGTCAGTTGCAGTGCCCGAAACAACGAAATCTTTAGCGTAATCTATGCATCCAATGAAGTCAAAACCACATATGAATGGTTTGCCAGTTTTGGAATTTATTCCTGCTACCAAAGGCCCCACGAACCATGGGCCAAAGCGATGTTCGTATAAGGATGATGACACAAGGTTAGCGAAGCTTTCTGGTTCAATTTCTCTTTCTTCTCTCATTTTATACAAGTTGGTCTTCATTCTGAAATTCTCGTACACAGTGGTCACATCTGTCGCCAGCCCTGTTAGACCAAGGAAGACATGACCCAGCTGGAAGATCTTCTCAAAGTTGTTGGCAACTCCCAATGATTGGTTACCAAGTCTCAGATCGCAGGCAATTGCAACGCAATCTTTGCCGACCATTGCCACTGCAGTTCCACCTGATTGGTTAGCTCATTGTCTCACCCATCCCACACTTACCATTTATCGATGAAGGGTCAGACATGTCTAGTATAACTTATTTCCCGATGTTTTACAGTTTATTTCGCCACCAGAAAGAAGATTTGAAAAAAAGTCGCGTCGATCGAGGTAGAAATTTAAGTCGCTCCTATTACTACAATAGCATTATACATTTTGGTCGTTAAACTTCTTGCCTCGTAATGTGATTGCTTTCTCAAGAATATCAGCATAACATTTGAGTCTGGCAAGCTCGTTATCAAGGTGATTGAGCTTGTTCGTGTAATTGACTCTCATTACATTTACATTTCTCACCACCAACTGCTTATCTGTCTTATCTGACCCATGGAAAACTTTAGACAATATACTGGCCCCGACGTTTCTTGAAGTCATCAAATCTAGCTGCGGAATCAGTTTTTCCATTTCTCTGTGTTGTTCTAAAGCCAAGCGGAGCTCCTTGTGGTGTCCCTTAATTTTGGCAAGTTGTTCAGACATATTAAGGTTGGTTGGCACAAGACCATTAGTGATGGGTATCCAGCTTGCAACCTTGAACTTAGAGAGGTACTTCTCACTTTCACGCACATTGCATGCACTCAAAGCTGTTACTGTCTTCTCTGACCAACCAAAGTCTAAGGACGACAGAGTCTCTAGTGGAGGGATAGCAGACGACCTGCCTGCCCAGAAATTGCATGTATCAACAAATTCCTGAGCAGTCTCTGGGGTTCCGGCGCAGAAGTAAGTACTGTAGTAACCATGGCAGTGATCAGCACTTGTTACTATATCTGGGAGAGGAATATTCAAAACCCAGTAAGTTTCAAGTCCGGTTCTTTTGCGAGCAATTCCGTGCCGTTTGATCATCGAAGGGTAAAAACGGGACTTTCTATCAAGAACTTGGGCAAAGCAAGAGCAGAGATTGATTGTATCCACACAAGTTGCAAACTTCCACCATTGACCGTCACCAAAGTTTCCAGCGTTGGAACCAGACTGATCAAATTTGAAGAACCTCAGCTCACCTTCGAAAACGACAACAAAAAGGCTTTGCCAATCAGGCTTGAATGCCGGCAAAGAGAGCTTTCCAGTATAGCTGCTAAGAGTTTTCTCTGGCAGAACAACACTTTGGATGCCTTCCTTAGTCCAAGGTGGTCCTACGAGCTCTAATTGTAGGTCGCCTTCTTTTTCAATAATAGGACTGCCTGTCGGACCAGACTCCAATCTTTGGTCTTCGTTAAGAGGCTCATCAGAATGCGGCGAATTGGAGCTAAATGAAAGCTTGCTGTTGTTATTTGTCTTAGTTTTCAGATTGTCTTCCATCATTATCACTTTTGCAAAACCGAACGACTTTGTAGCATCTTCCGGACTTGCTGGACTGTTTTTGTCTGTATCGGAATTATAGACAGAAGTCTGGTCACTCTGTGATGATCTGTTTTGAGATGTTGTGAATTCTGTATCATAGGAGGCAATGGAGTCGGTTCTGGAGTGTAAATTTGAAAGTTGGAATAGGCTTAGCTTTCGCTCTGAGATTCTGTCGTAGAAATTCTTGAGCTCATAGCGCAACCCATCAGGTTCTTCAATTGGAACTTGATTTTGTTGTAATGCTTCAAAGGTATTTTTGACAAATTTGGAGCGGCTGATCTTTTTCAGTTTTGCAATTTCCTCGGTGTGAAGATCGGTGTTCAGCAGGATCAAGGAATAGGTAGTCAAGTACACTCCATTTGAGTTTCCGTATATCTTTTTTGGTTTACTGCTGCTCGCACTGTAAAACCAACTATCAGCAAAAGAGTCAAGAATCTTGTCAATGAATTGTGACTCACCCTTGAAAAATAGTTTGCGGCATAAGACTCGTAAAGAGCCCAACAGGTCTGTATTCCATGTGAACATGCTCATGTAGAAACATCGAACTATGTCGATATCCGTCTCTGACTCGTCCTGGTCCCTGAAAGCTCCCCCCAGAAATGCAAGGTAGTGTTCGTTTTGAACCTTGTGGTAGTTGAGCTCAAAAAGCTCTTTAGCGACATCATACAGTTCCGCAAGCCGCTCTTCAGATACAGTGCGTAACAATTTATTTTTCGTGAGAATGATGTTAAGGGAACAAGACGGGTCGCGTAATTTGGACATTAATAAAGGGTCGCTCTCTTTGGTGTCGGGCTGAACAGTGCTAAGACGACTTCCCTGGGACTTTTCGGCAACCCCCGTTACGCTTTTCGGCGGGTCACGGTTAAGCTGCTGTCTCGCAATCTCGCAGTCTAAACTCATAAATGTCGGAAAACCAAAGAAAAGTTGAAAAAGAAGACAGGTTCAAAATGGGTTCAAATCGTGAGTTTCACTCTGCTATTTCCCTTCTTGGACATAACTGCCTGCATCGATTACTTGGAGGAGATGCTGCTAATGCAAGGTAAATGCAGATAAACAGCGTTTACGAAGATTGTGCCGACGGCAAAGGTTCAGTTTTTACCCGATCGAGATAAATAAATTGCATTATTTTTTGTCGATAGGGGTTAAATTAATACAGTAGGAAATACGCAGTTGTGCGGACAATTGCCTCCTTGAATCAGCAAGAGTATTTCCGGATTGTGATCTTATATGCAAGTAGCAAAGATCCTTCAAATTAGCTCTTTTGCGATCTTCAGGGCAGAGGTTTGCTGGATTTGTTCGCGAATGAAATAACATGCGCGTGATTTGGCGACGCGAAAAATGCACAAATTTGAAGATCACAGCCACATTGAAAAAAGCTTCTCCCACATTGAAAAAAGCTTCTTTTTCAATGCCTTTGAATTTTGATAATTGTGTTTTATTGTACAGACAAAATACACGTATATTTGTGCATAGATCATAAGCACTACGAGTAAAAAGAAGTCACCTCATCATTTTTGGCATATTACGAAGATTGTTATGAAGCCGGAGGCCATGTATAGCTCAATCAGAAATCCTTGCACATAGCTGGCTCCTGTGGTTAACAGCGCCGTTGCGAAATCGACCCATACGGCGATTCTTCAATGCTACGTTGAGGCCTCCCTCCTCTGTTTGTGGCACAAGCTAGACCTCCCAATGCTGTATTGTAAGCAGAATGTGCATTCGGATTATTTGTGTGAACACGCGTAGTCCGCTGACTAAGTGATTTTTCTCAAATTTTTATCGACGCGCCGATCGCCGCGTGTGCATTTTCGCGTTGTTTATTTTTCGCTGAGGGAAAATTAGGTTCGCAATGACCCAAGTCGCTGAAGTTAACCACACTATATCCAACGAGCAGCAGACTAGCGTTGGCGAACAAGAGCTGGCCGCGGAAAGCCATGAGGACATGGTCGTCGAATATGATGAAGACTACTCTGCTGGACCGGTTCCGATCCAGCAACTGGTAGGCAATGGGATCACGCCCCAAGACATCAAGAAGCTGAAGGAGGCGGGTTTTCATACAGTTGAGTCCATTGCATACACTCCCAAGCGACACATCGTTACCGTCAAGGGAATTTCTGAGCAGAAAGCTGACAAGCTGCTCATGGAAGCCTCGAAGCTGGTGCCCCTGGGCTTCACTACCGCAACAGAGTTTCATCAAAGAAGATCAGAGTTGATTTGCCTCACGACTGGCTCCAAACAGCTGGATACCCTTTTGGGAGGTGGTATTGAGACAGGAGCTATCACGGAGGTATTCGGGGAATTTAGAACTGGAAAGTCTCAGCTTTGCCACACGCTTGCCGTCACATGCCAACTCCCTATTGATAATGGAGGAGGAGAGGGTAAATGTTTGTACATTGACACCGAAGGCACCTTTAGACCTATCCGTCTGGTTGCCATAGCTAGACGGTTTGGGCTTGACGAGAATGAGACCTTGGATAATGTCGCCTATGCTAGGGCTTACAACGCAGACCATCAATTGCAGCTTCTGCACCAGGCTGCCAGCATGATGACCGAGTCGCGCTTTTCCTTGCTGATTGTGGACTCTATAATGGCGCTCTACAGAACCGATTATAGTGGAAGAGGGGAATTAAGTGCCAGACAGATGCACGTGGCCAAGTTCATGCGTACGCTTCAGAGACTTGCCGACGAGTTTGGTATTGCGGTCGTGATTACAAACCAGGTTGTTGCGCAGGTTGACGGAGGGGCGATCTTCAATCCAGACCCTAAGAAGCCTATTGGGGGAAATATTGTCGCCCATTCGTCAACAACAAGATTGTACTTCAAAAAAGCCAAGGGTGCAAACCGAATTTGCAAGATTTACGATAGTCCATGTCTGGCAGAAAGCGAGACTGTGTTTGCATTGGGCCAGGGTGGAGTCATCGATCCTTCAGACGAGACTGAGGCCGCGGATGATGAATAAATTTATTATGAATATACCTTTTAGCTATTACGAACGTGCTTACCTTTAGAACTCGGGAGCCATATTTATATCAAACCACCCCAAGAAATCATCCGTGTTGTCCATCCAGTTCGCACCACCTTGTTGTTGAAATATGGAATCAATGAATAGATTGTTGTTTAGCGCATCAGAGTTTGGCGATTGCTCATTCGAGTTGCTTCTGGAGTTGGAAGCGGAAGGTGTCTGTGAAGTTAGCTGTTGTGGAATCTGGGTCATCATTGAGGCGTCTATAGGAGGTCCAAAAAGCGATTGTTCCATTGGCAGAGGGGTTCCAGACTGTGTTCTAGGAGGAGCTGGAGCTATAGGCCTTGCGGAGACAGTAACAGCATTTGTGCTTTTGCTCTTCTTCCGCGACTTCGTGGCCATCTTATTATGTGGCTGAACTTTTGGAGGGTCCATTGAATCAGATTGCGTGCCATTTCCAGCGTGTTTGTTTTTGCCAGGCAGAGAGCCAGTGGCCTCAAGCATCGCCAGAGGAATCCCGTTGATTTCGGTAGGGTCTGAGAGTCCAGCAGCAGATGCGTTCGCCCGCGCATTCGATATAGCCTGGTGAGTAGGCACGAGTGTGGTGACTGTAGTTCCATTAGGTGTTGTGGTAGTAATTGCCCTGAAATCGTCTTTCGTGATCTGGTTGTAAAAAGGTAATGGGAGCACTTTGCGACTGCTCTTTGGTTTGCTGTCTTTGACAGGAGAGTTTTGTTCAGCGATCAATCTCCTTCGCGCCTCATGGATGCACCAAACTAAGTCATAGAACAACGAGCCTGTCAGATGCGACCGCATTCTCGCAATGATACCATCCGTCTCTGTGAAAAGCTCTGGGTGTGTGATGATGACAAAGTTTAGTTTCTCGAGCACAGTGGCAGTTCGACTGATATCATTCTCAACGTCTTTCCAAGCTGCGAGCATGTTACGGAACAAGCGGTGGACGGTGACTATGGATTGTCTGGCAGAGTCGATGTACTTGGGTAATAAATATGGTGTCAAATGGAGTCTGAATAATACAAAAGCAGCCATGGAAACCGACTGTCGCACATAGATAGGATATTCAGTGAGTTGCCTTGACTCAGTCAGTTTTGAAACGATTGTAACAATTCTGGTTGCCGAAAGGTAAGCTTGCGTGACGTATTTCGTTTGATCTTCGCTGGGCGTCTCCGGAAGAAAAGCGAAGCAGCACACCATTAGCTGAACATAAAGATAGTAGCTTTCCACCACTATATCGTTAATTTGTAGTTTGTACGCCAATCGTTCGAGCTCTCTCTCCAAAATTGCCAGAGCCCCTGCTCTGTTTCGCGGATCCATGAGCCCGTCAGGACTTGTCACACTCGACCCCATCACATTCACAAGTTTTGCCTGAAAAATTGCCAACGAAATCAGGCACCTGAAATTCTTCGGGAGCGACTGGTCAATACGGGCCTGTTCAAGCAGAAAGTCTGTCTGCATGGAGGATGGGAGACCCAAGTTTGAGGCCCAGAACTGGTCAGCAAAAAATACAGCCAACCATGTTCTTGTGCGCCACTTTTCCGCATCAGGGAGAGCCACCTGGGTTCTCGAAAACTCGCTGATGAACTTACCTCTGTGTAGCCCCAGCTGAAGAGACAAACTTTTTGCTAGTCCCACGAATCTGTAGGAACAGTCGTCCAAGACTTTCTGGTTCGGTAATGGCCAGGTCCCAAGTATCAGGAGCGCCTGTACAATGTGAGTACTTCTGGGAGTCTTGATCCAACATGTCTCGATGGCAAGCTGCTTGATGAGGGACGCCAAAGAAATGTACAAAGATGGCTCAGGGTCAGAAAGACATGCGGTAAGCATCACAGTCCAGAATAGAAGCTGTGATTGTTGGTAGAGCTGAACACAATCGTTTGATATCATAATAGGGAGATAAGGCAGATAGTGGACGATAAATCTCTGATGTAGTTCTTTCGCTTTTTCATGCGGGATTTTCACGTCGCCCAGTATGAACTCGGATACCGAGCCGTTGCTCTTCACAGAGTTGGTTTGGGACACAGGAAGAGGGTTTAGCTCTGTCACTGCGGGTCTTGGAGGGCCCTGATTCTGTTCAACGACCGGCGCTGCCTGCGAGGTCTGGAAATTCTGTATTGGCTTCTTTTCCTTCAGTTGCTGTAAAAGATCTGGGTTTGAAGACTGGAGCACATTGGAAATCAGCGATTCATTCTTGGTCAAAAACTCAATTTTTTTCCGTAACTCGTCGACATCATTACGAAGAGACTGGAGCTGGGAACCTTTTTTGGGCCTGAACTGGGGGTCTATCTCGCATTTGAGGTCCATGCGCTCACAACGGGAACAAGGAACGGGGAAACGTTCGGAAGCGTTACATTTGATTTTGTGCTGGCGACAGTGAGTACATGAAGTCACTGGGCGGTGGCCAGCGGCGTGACCGGAACAGGAGGGTGAATTTTCCTCATCTTTTGTCCTTTTCGAGTTGCGCGCGCTATCTGCTGACGAAAACGCTCTTTTCAGTCTCGGAGCATATGGAGAGTCAGCGAGTACTGATTCGTCGTCGGTTTCAACTTTTGGTGCGATCATGGGCACCTCTGGCCTCTCGACTGATCCACTTATCGAAATATTGGACATGATTTGAATAATAGGTTTAGCGCATCGAATCGAGATTCAACAAACCAATGAATAGCGAAATATAACTCTAGATAACCGTGAACAGGTTTTGAAACTGAATATTCACGCTGAAGCAGATGAACAGTAGACGATTATGTTGTAAGCAAAGTCTTCAAAAAAAAAAACTGTCTGTCTCAAGCTTCTTTACACCAAATTACGTCGAGAATGATACTTTTTCCCCCACAAAATGTACGTAAGCCTATGTAACGCCAAACCTGTGCTAGATAATTAGGTAACTCTAATTGGCCGGTTCTACCGGATATATATTATTTGGTGTGGGACACGATTAGGGTTATGCGCAAGTAAATTGTTAGATAATCTCGGAACGGAGTAAAAAACCAATTGGGAACCAGTACAAAAAATGTCACAATAAATGGTGGTGTACGGGTGATTTGTATAGTAGACGTTCGTTCCGGACCGGTGTATTGAATATTGTATACACACTTAGACCTTGGTGAATCTCAAGTATGGCTTGACCTCCTTGAAGTCACCAAACTTCTCCTTGGCAGCCTCGTTAGAAACGGAAGGAGGAATGATCACGTCTTGGCCAACAGTCCAGTCAATAGGAGTAACGACACCGTTCTTGTCGCCCGTTTGCAAAGCATCAATGACTCTCAAAACCTCAGCACTGTTTCTACCGCAAGAAGCAGGATAGGTCATAATGAGTCTGACCTTCTTAGCAGGGTCGATGATGAAAACTGATCTGATGGTCTGCACAGGACCGTTGCCTAAATTCTTAAAGCCTTCCTCGTCAACCATGTCGAACAAGTAAGCAACTTCCTTGGACTCGTCGCCGATGATTGGGTAGGAGAAAGGCTTGTTATCCAAAGCAACCTCTTCAATGTCCTTGACCCAAGACTTGTGCTTCTCAACACCCTCAGCTGACAGACCAATGAGTTTAACGTTTCTAGCATCGAACTCTGGCTTCAATTTGGCAAATGCACCCAACTCAGTAGTACACACTGGGGTGAAGTCAGCTGGATGGGAGAACAACACGGTCCAAGAGTTACCAATGTATTGGTGGAAGTCAATGTCACCGTGAGTTGTTGGAGCTGTGAAATTTGGAACAGTGGAGCCAATTCTGATTCTTGGCTGGCTTGCAGCATCGAAAGTGATGAACCGTCTGAAAGCTGGAGTAGCTTTAGTAGTAAATCTCAGCAACTGTCTGGAAAACATGGTGTTAGAATTGATTGGAACTTTTTCCACGCTCTGGCAGCAGTATTTAAGATTAGAAGAGCAACTACGCTATCTCACGTGACCGCGGTCAGTTCCTCGAATCCTGGCCAATTTTTGTTTTTCTTATTCATCGTCTTTTTTCTTCGTTTTTGCCTTAACCGTGCACGGGTGTTTCTCGGCTGATTGGTTGGCAATATTACAGCAGTAGCGGCTCAGTGCACAAAACAGGGCAGCCAAATTTTGCAAAGCGGTCCTCCAACCATACAACACAGCATATATATGTCATTTGCGGTGTCCTCCAGATTTGGGATTCGAAGTACATACTAAGAGCGAGTTGCCACCACAACCCCGGTTTTTAGCCCCACATTGCACAGCCTTGTCCGCGCCGAAAAAAAGATTGAAACGGACCTGTAGATCTGTTTTTTCCCCATTCTGCACTTCCAACGGTTTCCGCCATGTTGATGCCAATTAGCTGTGTTGAGTGCCGGAGGCGGAAGGTCAAGTGCAACAAGCAGGTGCCTTGCAACCAGTGTTTAGTACGGAATCGGCAATGTTCTTATCCAGAAAAGTTCCGCTCCATTCGCGTTGACCAGTTCATCGTAGATGCTCCAGAAAATGAGAACGCGGACACTCCCGGCTCGGGCTTGGTGCTGCCTACCACTGGTGCTGTCAAGTCGGAGCCTCCGACTATCCCTGCGAAACGAGGAGCCGAAGATGGCCCCGAGATAGTCGGAGACGCAGGAAACGACAAAGACGAGATAATACAAAGCCTGCGCAAGGACAACGAGGCTTTGAAGTTGAAAATTAAAGAACTTAAACTGAAGTACAAACGCGATAAACTGAAAGAGTACGATGAGGACAACGGTGCAGAGGATTGCGGTAGTCCCAAACCAGCCGGCGCCATGTACTGCGGTCCTAATTCGACACGGTTTATGATTTCGAGAGCTTTATCGAATGCGGACGTCGGAGAGTTTGACGACTTTATCAATGTCAAGAGACAGATGAAGCAAAAGCGCCAGCTACCACTTCTGTACGAGATCAACCCGGAAAAGGCCAAGTCAATGACCGCTAAACAAAAAATGCAAGAAAACATCTCACTGATTCGCAGGCTTGTGTGCAAGTTTTTCCACCTTCGATTCCACTATTTAAACTACCTTGAAGAAGCCCCGTTGTTGGCCTTCCTCGATAATTACAGGAACGCCAAAACCTGGAAGGACGATGATGACACTTTGCTACTCATTATCATGGTGCTGATTGTTGTGCTGCGCTCAGTGCCCGCGAGCGATACGCTCTTCCAAGAGTACAACCTCACTTACGAGCGCACGAGGCCGCTGCTGTACAAGCAGTACAGGAACTTGAAATGCGGCATTCAAATAGAAACCACCACCAGTTTGCGCGCTTACATTCTTGAATGTGAAGATCTTTATTTCAACAACCAGATAGAAAGGTCATGGAGTCTGCTCTTCCGAATTGTTAGTGCTGCGTACTCACTTGGGTTACATGTGTACGATGAGACCATTGCCGATACACTCAAAAAGGAAAATAGCGAAACTGCTCTCGACATTGTGAAAAAAAACCAACGGGCATCTCTGTGGTTCGTTATCAATTTTGTATCTGCCACTCTTTGCTCTGTCTTGGGCCGCCCGAATCCCGTCACATTCACGTTCCAGCCCTTGCTAAGAAACTATGAGATTAGGCTAAATTACAAAATAGGGCTGGCAGAGTTGGTGAAGAAGTCTACCAACATCCTAATTGACTCATACAAAGTCAACATTAATTTTGACACCATCATGGAAATAGATGAGGCATTTGTTAGCGAGGCCTTAATTTACGAAAAAATCCTAGCCGATACACGAGAGGTCCGAAATTTCAAAGGACGAGACAAATCCAAGCCCAGCTATATCACATTGCCCATCATTGACAAGAAAGCGAGAAGGAAAAATTCGTTCAAGTCACTGAGTCAGCTGAACCTAAACCAGCTTCTCAATAGCTGTCCTTTGGACATCCGTTTCACGATTTTGCGGCCATGCACAACTGAACCTGAAGAAAGATTCTGCCTCCTGGATACCGATTGCGATACACTCAATGATCTCATCATGCTGTATGGTAATAGAGCTAAATTTCACCAGCATTTCATGTCGAGCTACCCAAAATCGTTAGAGAGCTGTTTAGACTCAGTTTTGAAGGTTTTGGATCACGCTCGGTTGCTCGTTGAGTTACACAACAATTTTTTCCACAGACCATTATTCCATGACATATACCCATTCTTCTACACCTTTTTCTACCAAACCCTGGTCGTGATGTATACTGTGATGCATCTTGGGTACAACAAGTTATGCGCGTACTCTGATACCATCGGTGCTATACGCCAACAGCTTCTACATCTTTTTGAGATTGTGGAACTCAACTACTGGAGGCCTAATGTCGTGCGAATTATGCAGTACATCAATGAAATGTGCGACAACTACTTCAAAATGCACGCAGATGTGCAAAAACAAAACCCCTCACTGAACGCTAGGAACTCTGAACAGAAAGCTGAAATGGGGTCTCAATCTCGAGCCTCTGGACTGTACCAGCTCGCAATGACGCCAATCCAGGAAGACGGTCTCCCTCTTTCCTCAAACTCAAAAATACAAGTTCACAACGTGCCTGAGCATCTTTCGCAGAACCCTACTAGAATGGACAACGTTGCAAGTCAAAACTCTCCAGAACGTATTCCATTTTACATGTGCAATAGTGGCAACTCATTATCTCAAATCAGTCTTGGAAATTGTACTCTAGATTACTATGATCCTAAACAGCAACTGTTTCCGTTGCCACCGCAAACCAAAAGCACGGATTGCCAAACGTCGGGCGTTGACCAGCTCGACTCATCGATAACGGTCGATCCGCTGTTGGGCTTCGATCTCAGCGACCCCTTTTGTATTCAGAATCCTTCCAACTTCAACTACTCAGCTGCTATAGATCAGGACAATGACTCGGACAGCGACGCACCACTGACCGTACGGCCCAAAAATACGAGATTCAATTCCAACGATTCTAACGACTTCACCAACTACCTCTCGGCTAGTCATAATAGTCGTGGAAATACTCTCTGAACGGTTGATGACGTCATATGATAAGCAACATACGGCGCTATGCAGCGCAAAACGATTTAGGTCATTATCTCCAAAAGTACAGCCTTTATTTTGCACAGCCGAGAGTCGTGGGTACTTTATTTGTAAGCTATATAAGAACAATATTCTGCCCCTTTGTGGATAAACATGACGTCTAATTTCGAACCGACCCAAACGGGATCTAATGACTATGAAAGCAATTACCCTGACACTGTCGACCTGAAGAAACCTTCTGGTCCAGACACCTCGAGGCCTATCATCACTCAGCAACCAAAAGCAAGAGAGGACTTCCAGATGTCGTATGCCTTTGAATGGGACACGCCCGACAATGGCTGGTACGGTTCATTCATCAACGGGCTTGGATCCTGTTTTGGAGCCCTAGGAACGATTCCGTGCTGCTTCTGCTTCCCTAATCCATACAAGGATGTCGACCAAGGACACGTCGGATTGATTACTAAGTTTGGTCAATTGTACAAAGCAGTGGACCCTGGTCTAGTGAAAGTCAATCCATTAAGCGAAAAGCTCCATCACTCTAACGTGATGCTCAAGACGATGCAGATCCCTACGCTCTCGTGCTACACCAAAGATAATGTTTCCATCACGCTGTCGAGTGTTTTGTATTACCAAGTGGTTGAGCCTCACACCGCATTTTTCACTGTCTATGACATTGAAGATTCGCTGAGAGAACGAACGCAAACTACATTACGTCAAGTTTTAGGTGCCAGAAACTTGCAGGACGCCATCGAAAGACGGGAAGAAATTGCGCAGTCGATCGAAGAGATCATCGCAGAGCCTGCAGCCAACTGGGGTGTTAAGGTGGAGAGTCTGCTTATCAAGGACTTCAGTTTGCCATCAGGGGTCTCCAACTCGCTTTCCATGGCTGCAGAGGCAAAGAGAATTGGAGAGTCCAAGATTATCCAGGCCAGGGCTGAGGTCGAGAGTGCTAAACTTATGCGAAAGGCTGCAGATGTTTTGGCTTCCAAAGCTGCTATGCAAATCAGGTACCTGGACGCAATGCAAAAAATGGCCGAGAGCTCAAATGCCAAAGTGATCTTTATGCCTAGTCAAAGCGCCATTGAGCGAACGGCACAATTTACTGGAGGAGGCGACCCTCCGGCCACAGAATCTGGTCCTGACGATTCGCAGCATCTTTCTCGAATTATCAGTCTTCAGGAAGCCACCTAATTTATGTAACGATTGTCACAATATTAGTTTTTATTTCCGTACCTTGAAAACCGTTTATCAGGCAGTGTGAGCATTTTCACACCTTATATTTTTGAAACACACATCATTATCAATTGTTTCATACGCTTATCAATATATCGGATGGCTCCAACCTTATCCAAGCGATATGAGTAAGGTAGGAGACTCAAACAAGAAGTTCCACGTGAACTCAAGCGGCTTGCTGGGGGCAGAGTCGCTGGAAAATTTGACTAGTTCACTGGAGAAGTCTTTCTTGGCTTCACCACGTACCTCCCCATCAAGACCACGTAAAACTCGCAAAGAAACACAAATATCGCCCTCTCTAAGGATAAATCCTCAATCCCAAACTCCAGCGGGGTTCAGTCCTGCAGCATACGAAATATCCAAGAAGTTTGGCAAGTTCACAGAGAAATTCAGCTTCGGCTCGCCCCGAAGCGCGGTCAGTAACTCGGGCAGCTCACTTGCCTCTCGAAAGGATCAATCCAGGCTCTTGCAGAGCGGGTATGTGACCTCTCCCAGGTTCCAAGAATCATCGAAATCGCCCAATATATGGGTTACGCCAACATCGTCGCATCAAGGCTCACCCGAATCAAAACGCAAGAACTCAATACCGGACTCGTGTATTTTTTGTGATCTGCCTCTGCAATCTATGCTGCTATATAAATCAGAGAACATGGACCCTGAAGGTATCATAGAACTTAAGTGTCAACATAGCTGCCATGAGAAATGTCTCCTGCTGGAGATGGAATTCGCCAATATTTCCAAGTTGCAATCGACAGCTTCAGTGGCACCTGTGTATTTCCCTCATTGTTCCAAATGTCATCAAAACGTGCGGGCAGTTCCTGCATCCCAGGTAGTTGCCGACCAAATGATCACCAATATCTTGACAGTGCCTTTCAGAAAACCGGAGCCTGTACATAGTGTTCATTATCGGCAGACAAACTCTCAACCGAGCTCGAATGGATCTTCTCCAAGGGTAACACAGCGCAACAGGGCCGAACAATGGGCGCCCCAAAGACACTCAAAAAAGCTTTCGCGCGGCTCATCTATCTCCGCTGTATCCTCGGTCATATCATCGGTTTCCGTACAAGCAGTTCCGGAACTAGGCAGCACGACAACTTTGCCTTTGGATTCCTCAAGGATGAAGAGCTCATGGACGAGCGATTTCCCAATATATCTTTTGCGGTCGAAATTCGTCAGGGAGTTGATTATGCTACAATCCCAGAAATTCGGTACGGTTAGGCTTAATAAGTTGGCGATAGACTCATTGGGTGATCTACGTCTTGTTGACAAGTTGCAGGTAAGTGAAGACCTTGTGATGTGGGATGAGTGCTACTGCTACCTGTTTGAGCGCATGTTCGTACTTGTGGATCTATGCGCTAGCAAGATCAAGACTTATTCCGTGGACCACTCTCTGAAATCTCAAATACCTTCGCCAACAGTGGTGAAGGTTCAGTTCGACTTCCAGGTGCTTTATTTGACTTGTTCGGAGGAGGAGGTTCTGGAAAAATGGGGAGTGGCGTTGGCCAACCTCAACACGGAATTTCCTAGCGGTTTGATTACCACCACAGTGAAAGAGGACGAATTTTACGAAATACTCAAATTTAACGAAACCGAAACACCCCAGCAGCTTCCGCCAGGCGTGAACCCAAAATTCTACGAAGCTACCATCAACTCGCTGGCGTTCAGTCGTAAGCCGAAGGCAATGGTCATCGTAATCAACCAACTAATTCCGTCGCCCCATTCCTTGGTATCCATTAAAAACATTGTGCGCAGTTTATTAATGGTCAAGATTCAGATTTACATGATATTCACTTCTTCTTTGCAGTTGTCTCCCGAGTCGCAGGTGTTGACCACGCTGAGCTTTGACAGCAGGGTGGATGATGAAGAGAAGGAGGCTCTTTTCAGTAAGATCGACGAGTACCAGAAGTTGCTAAACGATGTGACTCCGACTGCAGACGAGAATAAGGTCCACTGGGCAATGGACGATACGCTCTCAGCAAAATTACAGAACTTAAGAGACAAGTGTCCTGATCCTGAGCTTGACGACCTCGCTACCGTGGTGTTGTCGGTTACTCCGCTGAGCGAACTGAACCGGCTCCCCACGTCGAAAAACATTTTTGTTGAAATAAGCACGCCCCCAAATCTGAACGTATCGCATAGAAGGTCGAGTGTTTTCAACGTCGCTGGTTGGGAGGATGCCATGGAAGCCATATGCAGCTATATTGGTCTAGAATTTGACGACAGTGACTTCGAATATACCTCTGACGAAAATGACGATGATGAGCGCGAGAAGCCAGCAGAAATTGGCGTTGGCTTGGCCTCTAACCAGGCCAAGGAGGGACCAAGATGGAGCACATTATTACGAGATTTAGATAAGGCATTGGAGGAAACAAAAAGTCGCTCCAGTAGATAGCAATAAATGTATTATAATTCACACAATACGACTGAAATATTTTAGGGTAAAAGTTGATCCCCTTTTCCCCTTTACCAGGTTGTATTTATATTATACTCGACGTCAACATAATTGCACCGCGATGAAGCTTCAATTCCTATTCGCTTACTTAGCCCTAACTCGGCTTACTTCTGGGTACACTACTAGAGTAAGTAGATACTTACCAATTGATGAATACCTTTTGTATCAAACTAACCCCTTTTAGTGGAACCCAGATTTCTCATGCGATGGCTGTATCCTAATCACTACCCCTTCGTCTTTGCAAGGAACTATCAACACTGATACATTTGAGCCTACCTCTACTACCTCTTCCTTCCTGACTACCTCTTCACCCACCACACAAGAGACAACAACAGTTGCAGAATCTACGCCATCAACTATTTCAGCCCCACCGTCTTCAACCATTACATCTGCTGTTGAACCTACTACAGCGTATACCTCCATTACAACCACGAGCTCCTTGCAGACAACTCTAGCCACCACACAGCTCACCGAAAGTTTCTCTACGGCCACCCCAACAAGCACAAATGAGGTAGTCACAACTGTGATTGGCAAGTTATCAACTAATACATATGTTATATCCACCAGCTCAGCTATTGTGTTGCTCGTGACCCATACAGAAACACTTACGTATGTGAACTCTCAGGTTTCCACTTTAACACAAACTATACCTGGGTCATCTTTGATTGTTGAGCCAACAGCGACATCAGTTTACACAATTCCTGTGTCCACAACAAGTTTCCTCGGCTATTTTAATCACTCCACCAATAGTATTGAGTATGAGACCGTGACATCCATCTTTTATGGTTCTTCCTACTCTCTTTACACAGACTATAGCGAGCACTACTTTACCACCTACGACACTACAATTACAGAAACGGTGGTGACAGGAACCTATATTGCCTGGGACACCAGAATTATCGAATCATATAGCCTGACAACTGGCTACCAGACGCTGGTTTCAACTTTATATCCAACCACAGTGGTTTCCACCGTTGCATCTCCTGCTCCATCCACTGCTCAGACAACTGCACAACCTAGCGTTGCTCAATCTACTTCTGCTACCGTTCTGCCTACCATTACTGAGTCTTCTTACTTTACGGTCACCTCGCTGATCACTGCTACTGAAAGTTCATGCCTTGTTTGGGCCAATAGTGCATCTTCATGGACTGTGGGTTCCATTGATATGGGAACTCAGAGCTCGCCCACTGTTCAAGCTTTAGCCAACGAGGCAAGAAAAATTAAAAATATACCCGGGATGGCTCTTTGGACCACTTTGATTGCTTGGGTTGCAATTGCCTTATTCGTTTAATGAGTAGTAGTGCTGTTCTAGGAATGTGTCCTCTGGATGATGGCAACTTTGCTCGACTTCGTTCTAAAACTCATGCATTGCATAATCAAATACTTCGTATAATTAAAAATCAAGCAACTTTATTTTCGTAGCACGGATTAATTGTGAAAGCAAGTTTCATTCATACAGCTGAGAATGAGAAAAGTTCCTCATCGCTGAGAATATCTGGTAGCAGCCAATTGAATCTATAAACAAAGTGGACTTGGGGTCCTGGCGTTTCCGATGCCTCGTTTTCACTCCTTTCTGGTTTAGCTTGGATTGTTTTGGTAGCTTGTTCTTGTTGCTTTCGGTATTGGTTGACAAAAGAAACAGCGCTCGAGGCCAGAAAAGTGCTACTGAAAAGGTAAGTTGCAAAAATAATGATGGAAAGAGCCATAGAGGATTTTTTCAGCTGGCAATTGGTTGCAAGTTTAAGTAACAGAGTCGATTGCTTCTCCAAGGTAGTGAGATTATTGGAATCATAAGAGTCAAGCAAGCTGGAAAGAGATCCCGAGAAATCGGAGGAATTTGATCTAAAGAACAAGTTTTCAATGTCGTCGTAAAGCTCACTGTCAGTCGATGTCGAGTTGTTAGGTTCGTCCTCATTGTAGTAATTAGACAATATCAACTCGGAAAGATCAGAAGTAAGGTTATAGCTGCTGATCAAGCCTTCGACACTGGAGCAGGATTGAGAACCATATTGACTGATTTGCATAATTACATTGGTTATCCACAATGCTTGCGAAATCACCTCGGATCCAAACAATGATGATGCATAACCAGCTTGCTTCAGGGAAACTCCTAATGCCGTCTTAGAAACAAAATCTGTAGCGCTTGTTGACAAGGTTCTAAAGGCAGAAGATTTCCACAAGAGGGATTGCGTGTTTGAATTTGTACTTTTCTTAGTGAACATTTTTGGCAAAACATAGTTCACGGAGTTGGAGCTAATACTAGTACAAGCTGAAGAAATCACAACTGCGGATTTCTTCCAAGAGGGGTCAATGTAAAGGGATCGTTTACTTACATCCCTTTTAGACAATGAAGATGAAGTTCCGGATGAAGTGCTGTTATAAATTTCCATTAATTCATCTGCCAGAGAAGTCAAAGAGCCTCGGTCATTAATGATTTTTGCTGACAAGCCAAGGAGGATCACCCCAAGGATCAGTTGAGCATATCTTGCCGCGGAAGAGGAAGAGGATAGAGAAACCATTAGAAATGAGGGAGTAATGTTTGAAATTGATGTGAAAAAAAGGGGGAGACTGTGCTATATACCCCCGCGCATGTTATAAGAACAAGAAAAAAGGGCTACAATCCCACAACAAAAAACACGTCGCAATGTAGGGATGTAGATATTATAAAATATATGCAACTTCTTAAAATGTCGCAAGGGAATATAATGAGTTTTGCTCGCGGCGATATCATTACTCCTTCTACAAACCTTCAATTGGACACACCCTCGAAAATCAATGAGCTGCGACATACCATTAGCACCAGTCATCTGATGAATTCTGCACATAACTTGCACGAGTTAATCGATCAATTATTTACTTTCGTCAAAAACAGGCGAAATACCGACTCAGCTAGCATTCAAGACCTTCTGGAGAGTGGCAAGGAAATCAAGATATTCAAGGGATGTCCCTGGTCCAAATACAAGACGCTCAAAACATTGGACTGGACTGCTTATGATGAAATTGTAGCTTCGTCGATTTCGATCATGCAGATCTATTATGTTTTAACATTGGAAGCACTTGAAAAACAATACAGTTCGGACGATCTCGCTGACGACGTATGGAAAAAAATAACTAATATCCTTAAGAGCGCATTTGGGCTTGCAAACGAGATCCAAGGTCAGGTGTCCAAGTTACATCGACCCAACTTCGATTACATTTATCATCTGAATCAGATACTGGTGCAACTTCTGATCGTATTCAAGAATATCCACGTTACACATAGAGAGATCGAGGTAAAATTTGGCGACTTTGAAAAGGTTCCGGAAAAACTCAATACTTACGTTCGTATACTGATATTTGTCTACAACGAATGTGCGGTTCTGGAACAACTGAAGAAATCTTCGCAAGTTGCAACTTTGAAGAGATTTGTGGAGATTCTGTTTTCATACTACAGAAGTCTCTTCTATTACCACAAAAATGAGCTGGGAATAGCGCTCGCTATCAACAAATATGGCCTTGCCAACAGCATCGATCAATCCAAAATTAGGTCGAAGTTGCACATTAAGGCCGTAAAATCCAACGTTAAGGACAAACATCTTTGGAGGGAGGAAATCAGGTTTATGAGAGAATTTCAAGATTCAACGTTCCCAGCCGCATTTCGACAGAATGTTGCCACTGTCGTTGATATATTGCGCATTCTTAATTCCAAGTATGAGAAACTCAACAATAGCATCAATTTTCAGAAAGTGCCTTCCCTTGAAGAAGTGAGGCATAAATACCTGTTTGACTCTCCAGACTTGCCGTCTGGACTTCAGGTACCACTGGCAGATATCAATCGTTTTGTTCCAGCATGCCTGGTCGAGAGCACCAACGTACAAGATGTTTACTTTTGAAGCAACTCAACCATATAAAAATCCTATACCGTTGCACCAATTAGACAATTTTCCATAGAATCCCTGCAGACTCTTACCTTGAGGCACGAAAAATTGACGCACACCTCCCCCTGTTCCGCCAAGCATCGGGCTCGATTTTTTATTGGTCAGAATCTGAATAGCATCAACCCACGCTCCACAGCGTATGGTGAACCCAATTATCGTTTCATCTCCTTCCAGGAAAAAATCTGTGTGATGACTTTTAAAGTTTCCAAAGTCCAGATAGGTTCGATCAATGAAAAGAACTCTGATACCGTCCAATGCCAAACCGTGTGTAACCTGTAGCCCAGTGATTCGCTTATCCGGAAACGTAACCAACAAATCACGGCCTTGACCTCCTCCGTACACTTCGCTTTTTGTAAGAGATAATGTGCCACCATTCACCAGGATGGGAGAGCTTAGCTCACTAATAAATTTTCGCAAATCATGAATGTCCTTTTGAACAAACCCACGCGCAAGAACCCGAACATTGATGGGCTTCTTAGTTTTTAATTGAGACTCAAGTTGGAAGACGGACAAGCGAACGACAGGACGGCAGCCCGAACCTTTCAAGAACACAGGCAAGAACTCGTATTGCAGGTCTGGAAACTCACCAGTCATGAACTCAACAAGATAGATTCCAGAAGGTGCCACCAAATCCAAGGTATCTTTGTCGATCGCCAAAACGGAGATTTCACAGACCGCATCTGCAGGTAGCTTCATTCCCTGGTTGCATCTAAATGCAGTCGGTCTAAATGATTCCACATAGAAGTCAGCAGGAACAGCAAAGGCTGGATGATACAGAAACCTTATTTTGTCCAATCTGTGCCATCCAGGCTCTGCACCCGTATACACAGGACCCCATTCTGATTTATTTGTTCGCTGACAATATGCCTCTTTCGCTAGGAACTTGCGGTTCATTGTTAGGTAATCACGAAGCATAACTCCATTTCTTTGATGTGGACAGCCAAGCAAGTGTCCTATTTCATGCATAAAGGCCCCCAAAGTCAAGGTAAAACACTCCCAAGCGGTGCCACATTGGTTGCAATCATTTGCCACTTCATTGGTGCTAATCGGTGTGGTGTCGGTCAATGCCATATGCAGGGACTCCATATTCATTGGCCAAGAGTGAAGTCCGTGGGACCCAAAAATAGCAAGCTTGATCCTATCATTTCCGCCACCGAGTGCGGCATGCCCCAAGATTAAATTCTGTGCCTTGTCCCAATGAGCATCTAAAATCATGACAGCCGCCATAGCTGGTACGCGGGAAGTTGCTGACTCTGCAAATGGGCCACCGTATCTAGTCAAAGAATCCATTGCAATTCCGAATAGCTCGCCAGCTTTCTTTGCTTTAGGATTCTGTTGCGCATAATCGGGGTTTCGGAGTTCAGCAACGGTGCGGTTGGACCGAATAACATGTATTTTAATTTCGTTGCGCAGAACTCCTTTTCGCTCTTCAATGTAGCTGGTGGTGCATCGGGTTTTTTCTTCAACGAATCGGAAGCTCCTTGATCCAAACTTCTCTAGATACATATCATCCTGCGTGAACGCCTGCATCAATCTTCCACCCATGCGCAACTTGCGTACTGCCGCATCAAGACCGTTTCCCTCGTATCTTTTAGCCTGCGGACAATCAAATAATTGAGGTGAGTCCTTGCCAACCAAAACACACAGATGTATTTTTGGAACAAGAGATTCGTCTTTTATCGGGTTGTAGTTCAATTTGATCTGTGTTTGATCGAAAACAGTTGGCCCATCTCTGGGAAATGCAGGCTGTCCGTTCATCCATATGCCATCCACATGCTGCAAAGTGAGACAATTTAGCCCATCTCCGAGATGGACCATTGCTTTGAAGTAGCCATCTACTACCTCGTAATATTGCACGCTAAATTTGTCATTGAACACTGCAAGCAATCCCTTGCGGCGTGAAAACGTTTGCCCTTTTAAGATGTAAACAGGTACCTGCAGCTCCAGCTCTTCTGGAGGCAGGTTTTCGAATTGAAAAGGCATGAAAACAAAAAAGTTAGGACGTTTTTAAAATCGATTTTGAACGAGGCATGCGGATTAAAATAAGGAGATATCATGTGGGTTGAAATGGCACAGACCGAAAGAATAATAGACACTCCTATTGATATTCTTAATAGAGAAATGTTATTCTTTTTTTGTAAGGAACTGTGCATACTCCTATTATCGTAACTGCAGATTTACAAAGCTGTTTAGTTCGCTGAGTTACATATGTTTCTTATTTACCGTAAAACTCTTGCTGCAATCTTCAATAGAAAATAATGCGGGATCTGCTAGGAACCCCTAGATCCAGGGGATGCAACAATCAGGGCCAATCGAAACTCTTCTGCAATAGTGGTAAGATATCCTTCCAGTTATTTTTAGAATAATTCAGCTTTTTGCAGTCTTACAATCACAAACTCTACGCGAGGATTGTAAACTTTTAGTGGAGATCAATAGGGCGGCTCTGTAGTGTGTCGTCATAGGCCCTAATTATTTATAGAAGAGACCGGCAGAAGCCTTATATAAACGTTGTTCTTACTCGGTTAATATTTAGTGAACCCTGTAAGTGTGCATCACACCAACGGTAAAAACAATTTTCCTTTCAAGCAAAAAATTGAAGTCTTCGGATTGTCGACCCGAGCTTCGACGCGACTACCCGTAGAGGATTGAAATTTGCCAGGTTGGAAAAAATATACAAAAAATCGCAAGCAGTCAAAATTTGGTGAGCTTAGCTGAGGTGATTCAAGTGCGAATACAAAGGTCCCAGTTAAAAAAGATCCCAGAAATACGTTCCGGCTCATTCCCTCATCTTATTATTCTACTCGGCGGACCATATCCAGCTAACGTAAAGCCTAACGACCAAAAATACAGTGACATCCGCCACTCCAACCCGAACTGTTCAAATCAAGCGTTGTCTCGCGACATACCGAGTTTGGACATTCAGAGCTCCAAGACCTACATTCCTTACATCTGATTCACATTTTACAAGATGGGAGACAATAGCGACCTATCTTCAAAATTACAAGATCTTAGCATTCATAATCGAGGCCTTAATCCTAACGCACAGGCGAAGCTTCTGGCCTTTCAGGCCAAGAGGCAACAACAACACTCAAGTGAAGAGCTTTTCAGCCCAGCAAAAAATGCATCGCCAATCTTGAGCTCGCCGTCGACTCCGCGCACCGAGGATGCTGGCGACCTGGGAACACCAAATCCTGATGTAGAAGAGAAGACCGATGCTCAGTCCTCAGAAGGCCTGATGAGGCGAACGTCTTTTAGAATTCCAAAGAAACAGCCTGAAACTGATGAGAAAGCCTTGTCAGATTCGAGAAGTCGCAGCCATAGCTTCAAAACCATCAAGGACTCCGTGGAGCGCCCATTCGGCGGACATGCTTCCAAATCTTCGGAAGCTGTTCCCAGTCAGGATAAGCCTTTACCTGAATTACCTGACCTTAGTTTGTCTGATAAGTTGGATGCCATCGTCCGAAACGAACTTAATCAAGCGCCTTCTACAGAGGCCAAACCCCCTCAAAGAAAACAGTCATTATCTCAAAGACGAGGAATGAAACTTGATTTCAACTCCTTGACGGAGTCTCAAAGTCAAACATCCTCCAACGATACAATGAATAAGCTCAAACTCAATATGCTGCCTCAGAGAGGAGTTCCAAGTGTTCCGCAGAGTAGCGCGCCTGCTCCTATCGGAGGAGCAAGAACTAAACCAAATCTTCGTCTTCCACAGGCACAACCCAAACCTTCAGGCATGTTTGCTAACTATGCGAAATATGTGGACATCAAGTCGGGTTCTTTGAACTTTGCTGGTAAGGCATCTGTGCATTCGAAAGGTGTTGACTTTTCAAATGGCTCCTCTTTTAGAATATCACATGACGATTTACAGTTTCTAGAGGAATTAGGACGTGGAAACTACGGAATAGTATCCAAAGTATTGCATAGACCTACGGGGATTATTATGGCAATGAAGGAAGTCCGGCTGGAGCTGGACGACTCCAAGTTCAGACAAATCCTAATGGAGCTCGAGGTGCTCCATAGCTGTGTGAGTGATTGCATTGTGGACTTCTACGGCGCATTTTTCGTTGAAGGTGCAGTTTATATGTGCATGGAATACATGCAGGGTGGTTCACTTGACAAAATATATGGAAATGGGCTGAATGAGCCTGAGTTGGCATATGTTACTAAATGCGTTGTCAAGGGTCTCAAGCAGTTGAAAGACGAGCACAACATAATCCACAGAGACGTCAAGCCGACAAACATCTTGGTCGGAGACTCTGGGAAAGTGAAGCTATGTGATTTTGGTGTTAGTGGTAATTTAGTTGCTTCGTTAGCCAGAACCAACATTGGATGCCAGTCATATATGGCCCCAGAACGAATCAAATCTTCAACGCCAGACGACGCTACCTATACAGTCCAATCGGACATTTGGTCATTGGGATTATCAATACTTGAGATTGCAAAGGGCAGCTACCCTTATCCACAGGAAACCTACGACAACATATTTTCGCAACTGAGTGCAATTGTTGATGGCGAACCACCAACATTGCCCGACGATCGCTTTTCCAAAGAGGCACGTGATTTCGTGAATCTGTGCCTTAACAAGAATCCAAATAAACGTCCTGTCTATGCTGAGCTTTTGTCGCATCCATGGCTGAACAAGTATGACGATGCTAAATGCCAACAACTCATGGCGGAAGTTGTTGCGGACGCTTTAGAGAAGAAACGCGAACAAAGCGAAAATTCTCCCGATACTTCAAAGCCTCATGTCATGCCGCCATTGCATAAAACACAGCTAAATAGGTAGAAACTGTTACATACTATCATTATCGCTGATTATATCAGCATTTTCTAATGTTTTTACCCAGTAGTCAAGTCGGACTCGAATTTTTTGCCCGGACGATAAATGTCCAATGAAGGCCCGATTACATAATCAAAGAGAGAGAGAGTGCCAGGTAAAAAAATACGTTAGAGCCGACTGATATACCAACTATGGTTTTGTGTAAGAATTTGATCTTTTCTCATCTCAGGCCTGGTATTGTTGGGTTCAGAGGACTTGCATCAGTTTCAAACAATGGTCATGTGGGAGAGCAACGTGCGGAAAAGAGTCTTGCTCCCAAGCCTAGAAGAAGACGAAAAGTTACCCAGTTCACTGACAAGCTGAATAAAGGGCCTTCTTTCGAAGATTTTGTCAGCGGCAAGGCTAAAGATTTATTGGTGGATCCTCTAGAGTTGGCGCGCAAAGACCCTGATGCCAGGTTGCCCTCGTGGCTCAAAGTTCCAATTCCTAAAGGTAAATCATTTCATTCGCTGAAGAAAGATGTCCGGGAGTTGAAACTGGCAACTGTGTGCGAGGAAGCCAAGTGCCCAAATATCGGAGAGTGTTGGGGAGGTAAGAAGTCAGAAGCAACTGCCACAATCATGTTGATGGGAGATACTTGTACCAGAGGGTGTCGTTTTTGCTCGGTGAAGACGAACAGAAATCCTGGGCCGTTGGATCCCAACGAGCCCGAAAACACAGCAGAGGCAATAAGCAGATGGGGGCTCGGATACGTGGTCTTGACTACTGTGGACAGAGACGATCTGCCCGATGGAGGCTCCTACCACTTGCGCTCTACAGTCGAGAAAATCAAAGAAAAGGCTCCTCAGATTTTAGTTGAATGTTTGTCAGGAGATTTCCGTGGCGACCTGGAGATGGTTAAGGTCCTCGCATCTTCACCCCTAGATGTTTTTGCTCACAACCTAGAAACGGTGGAAGATCTGACGCCACATATCCGAGACAGGCGTGCCACGTACAGGCAGTCACTTTCTGTGTTACGCACGGCAAAAGAAACGAATAGTGATCTGGTTACCAAGACTTCCCTGATGCTTGGATTTGGAGAAACTGATGAACAAATATTGCAGACTTTGAAAGATCTGAGAGAGAATAACGTGGACGTGGTGACTTTCGGGCAATATATGAGACCTACGAAGAGGCATATGAAGGTTGTCGAATATGTTACTCCAGAGAAATTTGAGCACTGGAAGAACGTTGCCCTGGATATGGGATTCCTTTATTGTGCATCGGGACCGCTGGTGAGGTCATCGTATAAGGCTGGAGAGGCATTTATCGAGAACGTGATTAGAAAACGGAGACGTAACGTGGGTGTTTCTCGCGAAGTGGAGGTTGGAGACGATGTTTTCGTGTCCAAGGAAATTATAAGTAATATATAACTCACGCGATAAACGATAAAGGTAAAGAGTACATTATTATGGAAAGTTAACGCCCATCAATCAAGGAAGTAAATCTTTCTATTAACCAGCAGTTCAGTGAATATAGGAACATGTTTGCCTGTTGGGTCGTAGGAAATGTTCGCACTAAATAGCATCGCCAAACTCTCAATCGAGTTTTTGTTCTGATCTCGGTATTCAAGAACCTTATCAAGATAGATAAATAAACATTTTAACATTTGGTAGTTCTCCGACGGGAGCGATTTAAGAACAGAATCAAACTCGCGAATTCTAATGGGAACATTTGAAAGTTGAAGTAGTAAACCAAGTTGTGTGCAGTCCTCCTCATTCAGAATCCTCTCTCCAGAACGAAGCCATCGTTTGAACAGTGTCGTGACGGCATGTATGCTAGGTTTCGGTTTCAAGTTTAACAGGTCCACATCGCCTAAACTGTTAAACATTTCCTCCAATTTGTTGATCTCGGATTTCACAGACGATAACCGGAAAATTCCAACTTTGTTATACCCTAACTCATGATCCAAATATGTGAAACACCTATACATCATTATCGGGACCTTCAATCCATCGTAGTAGAAGTTTGACATCTGTGAGGATTCCTTGATCGTGAGACCAAAACATTTTGATCTAGGTTCTAAAAATTCACTTGCTTTCGCCTGATAATCATCTGGTAACTGAGTGGTTTCAGACTCCTCAGGAGAGTCAAGGGATAGCGCGGGCTTATCAAAATGTCCTCTACTCGAAGGAGACCGCAATACTTGTGAGTGGTGTCCATCGATAATGATTTCTCGACTGTCTTCGCCCATAGAATATATGTGAAATTATGTTCAATGTCGAAATTCTAAACCAATGTTGCAGGTAATGGGATATACCCAATAACCTCAATGACACCGCTAGAGAAGAGTCTACCAGGTTCAATGTGAAATTTTGAGTTTTATAATTTTGAAACAGACCGTGCTCCCAGTTAAGGTTCACACCCCCAGGTGATATTATATTGTGTAATGATGAAGTACAATCGAAACAAATCTGACGTTCATCCAAACTGGCGTGAGATTTGTTGGTGAGTACAAGCTTATCTTATTTTTTTCTTTTTCCTTTTTGTTGAAGGGCTAGAGTTGATTTCGTACTAAGTGGAGCTTGACACAGCCTGATTCTACGTTTTTTTTTTTTGTTTTTTTTTCCTAGATGAGTTTTGAAATTTCATCTGGCAGAATTTCCAAATGTCCGTATTTACGTTTCGATCTAATCTGATTTAAATGGATCTATTTTGTATAAAGAGGAAAAGCTTGCTAATTACTGACCATTAACGATTATTCGGCCTCCTCACTCGCCTTCACGACTTTGGTTTTTGCCTCCTCCTCGATCTCTGCATCAATCTTAGCAATCTCAGCTTCAAGATCGGCTGCCCTCTCGTCAGCCTTGGCAATGTTCTCCTTGGTCTGTTCCTCTTGCTTCGACTTGTACTCCTCCAGCTTGGCCTTCAGGCTGCTAATCGTATTTGGAATCTCGTCAGCTTTCGATGGCAATGAGATGGACAGTTCAGATAGTTGAGCGATGACATTAGGCTCGATGACAAACGCGGAAGAATGTTTCTTCTGTGTCTTTTTTCCCTTCTTGGCCTTATTCCCGGCAAAGAAGTTTTCCTTCTCCTTCTTGATAATGACAGCATCCGCAGGCATTTCAATCTTACGACCATTAGAAGTAGTGTTCGAAGGAACTTTTGATTCTTCCAGTGGCTCCTTGTCGGTTCTCACATAGGTAGGATCGAAGTAGCCAAGTAAAGTCTCAACTAAGGTGATCTCGCGAGTGAAAGCAGGTCTCTTTGAAGTCTCCTTCAGAAGTTCAATTTCAGCTTGCAAGTCTTGCTTTTTCAAAGTGAGGTTGTAAATCCTCTCCTCTTCTTCTCTTCTTTTACGCTCAGCCTCCATGTCGGCAACAAACTTCTTGTGCTGGGCATCAAACTCAGATCTCACCTTGTTGATCTCCGCGTAAATTCCATCCTTCTTGGAGTACAGAGCCTTTCTCTTGTCGAACAGTGACTGTCTCTTGTCCTGAATGCCCTTGTTCTTCAAGCTCAGTGAGTCCAAGCTCTTGGTAACTTCTTCGAATTTGGCTTGGATTTCCTTGTTAGAAACAGAAGATTGCTTTTTCTTCAGCTCTTGGATCTTGAGCTTGTCATTGTCTATGGACTTCTGAAGTTGCTCAATAGAGCCGAAGTCCTTTTTCAACTTTCTCAGAGAAGTGATCTCCTTGACATACCTTCTCTCATCGACAAGCTTCAAAGTACCAGAACCAATGAGATCTTCCAATTGGTTGATCTTCTTATCAATTTCCTCGACATTCTTGAAGCTGTTCTTGGAGTTTTGGGCCTGCAATTCACCAATTTTTTTCTTCATTTGGCCATCAATAGCTCTGATCTGCTCACTCAACAAATTTCTCTTGTTCTTGATCTCACTCTGCTGCTTGATGATCGTGTTGAGCTCAGAAGTCAATCTCTTTCTTTCTTCCAAAACATCTTTTGGAGTAACAGTGACCTCGATCTGCTTGTTCAAGTCAGCAATCTCTTTGTTGTACTTGTCCAACTCCTTATTGAGCTCAGCAAGCTTAGCATTTCTTGCTTTGACGTCAGGCTTTTTGATAAACCGTCTGTTTCTAGGAGCTTTGATCGCTGGCACTTCGTCAGACATTTTTCTACTTATCAGTTCTTTTGGATATCAAATATTCACACAGATAACAAATCTAAGTCCAACAACAAAGTCTATGAAATCGATGATGGTAAACTTGCAACACTTGGTACTCAAAGTCTCTGAGGGAGATTGAAAACCAGTCGACCTTTAATTTTTCAACACTTCAACGATTTTCAATCTCGAGGTTTTTGTGGTTGGTACACGACCATATAGCACTAGGATCTAAGTAGAAACTTATTTGGAGACCCGATGCTAGTACGGAATAGCAGACACCTATTTTCATACAGTAATAAAATTAGACAAACCATGGAATTTCGTAGCCCTCTATAAGTCCCCAAAGAAACATATCTTCACTCCCAAAGAGAAACCCACATGGGCTAAAATCAAGAGGCCAAGAACCAGCACGGAAAGCTTTTTGTCTTCCTGACCAAAAATAGTTCCAAAATACTGGGATATTTTGACTGTAATACTCCATCCACTTAAGATTGCCCCTATACCAATGCATGTCCATTTTAGAGCATTGTCCAAAAGGTGATGATTGATAAGTAATCCACGGAATATACTCAAAAGCGTAGCAGGAATCCACATGATGTTTGAGTATGAGTAGATCGAAATGAGCTTGGTCAAGGGAATAAGCACGACGACTTTAAAATAGAAGCGTAGAACTAAATATAAGAGCGTTGGGATTATTGCGATGTATCCGTAGAGCAAGTTGATGGATGTGATGATCATTTTGAAATAGTTGACGCCTAATGTATCATTGTGAAGAAACCACTCACTTATTAGCTCAGCAAATGAGTTACAAAAGAATAAAAGGTAAACCAAAGTCGCGGTGATCCAAACTGATCCGTAGAGGTCTCCAACCTCCCTGAACTCCTCCTCGGGAAGCTTCACCAAAGGATTCAAGCTTCTGTAGCAATTGCGGAAGAACTCACTTGACTCAAGATCAAAGAATTGCCGGTAATAATTGAGGGTGAATATCCCACCGGAATAGGTCTTTTTGGACTTTGAACCCGTAAATGTTGTATTTGCTGTTGACGGTGCGGGCGCTGGTTCTGGATCTAACGGAGAACCTAAATCTGCTTCGTGCGCTTCTGACACACCGCTATCCGGCTGGATAAACACATCGTCGTCCTCAAAGGGCTCAGGAACTGGTGGCTGAGATTTCAGAGAGGTGTACTTTGACATGTCTAGTGCCTACCACGTATGAATTAATTTTGGAGATTTCGACGCGTCGACCGACGGACGGTTCGTCCAACGGCAAAATTCAGTTGGTTTCGCCCTTATTGAAAACTTCCGTGAAACTGTTTTTTATCGTGCACTGAATTTTAATTGATCGTGCCAAGAACGAAAATCAACTCGGAATGTTCAAGACGCGTTATTCAGTCAAATAAGGGGTTTGATTTATATAAATTATTTTGTTGGCGCGTTGACTTACGCGAATTTTATTCGAGTAAACTTGCCTGCAATAGTGTATAAAGTATATCTATGCCGATAGCAAGGATACTGCTTCTTCAATCTTTGTTTCATATCTTGATTCCGCCATACGAACACGCCATAATTTTAGATCTGATACAGCACTTTCGTGTACTAACCAAACTATTTGAGGCAATAAGATCAGCAAAAAGGCACCTGGGCTTTGAGGCGTGTAGACTCAAAGGCAAATTCCATGGTTTAGCCATCAGGATACTGCATTACAAGCTGTATCTATGCGTGGACGCAGACTACGGAATACGTTAGTGACTTTCGAGATCTTGCTCTCATGCAACCAATGCTATTTTTGGCAATTTTTTCTACTACGATAATAATCTACTTGCACGTTTGAAAATTTTACGACAACAAAGGGACACTGTGTAATCCACGACCACCCACCGGGCAGTTCCCAAAGGTAGTCAAACTTGTAAATGCTTTTGAGTTCTGTTTAGAGATTTCTTGCCTTGCAATTTGAGGAGGTTTCTTTGAAAGAAACAGCTTTTCGAATCCAGAGGATCTGCGTGCATGGACAGTAGTCACGCACACTTCTCCTATATCAAATAAATACGCTCTGCTCCAAATACAGGCTCTTTCGAAGCAAGAAAACAGCTACAGTTTTGTCATTCACTAGTATATCACAACACACTTGATACCCTTCCACTCGTTTGAAAAGTATCCAGACACGCTTCTAAACCCCACCAATGGGTAACTTCAATAAACTCATCCTTCTCAGTTTGGTGTCCACCATGGTGGATGGTTTATACCTTCCTTCGATGTTTCCTCACCTGGAGATGAAGAAAGTTATAAAACGAGAAAACTTTGATCATGAGAGAATAGCTGGCGATAGTTTATATTCAAACTTGAGTCTATCTGAGGCGGAGAGTTCGTCAGCGTTATCAGCGTCCATATCATCAACCTCAACGCCCTCCGCAGACTTTGAAGATCTATTAGATCCAACGAGTTGGTTGTTCTCGCCTACGTCAGATTCGCTAAGCTCTTCCACTGAACCTTCAGAATTCAACTTGGCTCCGTCATCTTTCGCTACATCGAAATCTACTCCATCATCCTCCTTTGACATCGAAACAGATATTTCTCCAAGCTCCAATTCGCAGGATACGATGTCTTCTTCCACAGATTCTCATAATTCCAACTCAGAAGTCTCCATCGACAACTCTGAAAGCGCGGAGAACATGAGTAATCTGGGAAGCTCCTCATCCGACAGTTCAACTATAATTTCTCCCGACCTCTTCTCAAGCTCGTTACGAACTTCTTCAGCCTCGTCGAGCGCGAGGGACATTGGCGCTACGCAAGCAAAAGCTACGTTTTACGCATCAAACTCACAGCAGGAATCCGACTCATCGGCTTCAACTCTCTCATCTGTTTTTTCAACCGACTCTTCCAGACTCTCATCAAGCGAAGTTTGGGGTGGTTCAGACGGTACAAGCTTTAGCTCCACTACCACAACATCATCGAGTGAAATAGCAGATGCATCTAGCTCCACATCATTCTCGGATTCTTCAGATAGTACCATAGGCTCCTCGCTGAGCTCTTCATCACCAGCTTCGGCAATAGGTTCGTTAAGTATATCGAGCAGTTCTGATTTGATCCTAAAGGCTGTTAGCAGTACTACTTCGGCAACAATTTCTAGTGAATCTTCCTTATCGTCATCTTCAAGTGGCACGGAGTCCACAGTATCGGAAACGGGTTCGCCCCTGCCTTCTTCAACGAGTCCTGAGTCCCCCGACCCCGAAACAGAAGCGCCTCAACCATCAGGTACTACAAGCTTATCAACATCTCAATACGGTTTTGAAACTTTCTCTCCGGATGATTTGGAATCTTCATCTTCTGTGGTGGAATCTCAATTCACCTCTGCGATCACGATAGGCTATGAAACCTTTCCTGCTTCTGCGTCATCATCACCTGATCAGCTCGGAGGAAATTTGTTGGCAGATTCCCCACCGCCATCAGGAATATCTCCCAATTTAGAGTTATCGGATTCTACAAAAAGGACGTCTAGTTCTTATGGAGGATACTCAGGATTTGCAAAAGTTACCACTAGTCAGAGCTCGGGCTCTACAAGCATCACGACTGTCACCCCGTCACTAGAAAATACATCTGCAGGAACTTTGTGGACCTTGTCATCGACGAGCGCAGAAATTACTCCAACTCCATCTACGGGTACAACTTCAAGCAGCACTTCATCTACGAGTACACCATCGAGCAGCACTTCATCTACGAGTACGCCATCGAGCAGCACTTCATCTACGGGTACAACTTCAAGTAGAACTTCATCTACGAGTAAACCATCAAGCTCTTCTACCGGAAATGCAGCCACAACCACCTCTGAAGCCAAAAGCACAGGTACGAGCGTATCAGTTACCGAGTCAGCATCCTCTCCATCAGGGCAATCGAGTTCAGAAAATACATCTTCGGAGACTTCATCATCAACTTCTGATAGCACTCCGGGACTCAGTGCTATCAACTCTGCTTCACAAGTGCCTTCTGAATCATCAACTAGCTCAGCTGGGAATGCTGCTACGACATTGTCAGGTGTCACTTCAACTGCAGATACATCATATTCGGCTTTTTCTCCGTCAAATTCTATTGGTATTGTTTCCTCGACCGTGAGTCTGTCAAGTAGTTTGAATTCAGTCAGCTCAACTTCGAACACGGCAAGTACTGTTGAAGGATCATCATTTACTAGTTCCCCAGTCTTTACAGGCGTCAGTTCTTCCACTACTAACCAAGAATCATCTGGCATGACTACTCAGCAGGTTCTTACTTCATCGCTATCTTCGACGCAATCTACCTTCCAACATGTCTCTTCGATTAGTACTGACATTCAATCATCCCAGGTCTCACAATCGTCCGATTCGGCAGCTGACCACGAGACAAGCTCCACTGGAATTACTACTGCGTCTATTGCTCAGTCTACGTATCCTCTTGGCTCTGCCAGCTCCACGGAATTGCCTGCAAATTCCTATGACACAGATACTTCATTTTCAGTGAGTTTGTCTGGAACAATTCCTGAAAATACCGAGCACTCATTCACCGAATATTCGAGCACCACTTCGGGCCTGAGTACCACTAGTCCTGTGACCTACCAATCACAACGACCAAAAAATACTGCATTTGAAGCTACCTCCTCTGTGCCTACAGCTCCAAACTGGCTCCCTACTACTATTGTGTACCAAAATCCGTCGACTGCATCTGGAATATCACAGTCGAGCACCTCATCAATCGCAGAATCGGCATTACCAAAAGCGATTGCCCCTGTTGAGACTTCAGCAGTGTCTCCGAACTATAAATTGATTACTGTGGGATTCAACGAAAAGCTGAATTATCCATTTGTTTGTGAAAACTCATACTCTTCCAATCAAATCTTTGAGTATCTGCCCAAGGTGCTCACATATCCAAATCCTGAAGTGAACGAGTCTGCTGTTTTTGTCAAACAATTGGTCCCTTACTCTTCTGAGAACGTTGACTACCTCATCACTGTTGCAGAAGTTTATTTTGACCAAGACTACATTACTGAATTGCAAAACGAAATCAGTAATTCGTCGTCATCGCTGTACAAGAATCCAGATGCAATTGAAAACTCTCTTGCCAGCTTCATTGACAGTCGAGTTCCTTTGAACGTTCTATTGGATGCAACTTCGATGGGGTCTGCAACTGTTGGAGGTGATCTTTTGGGCACAGGAGGCGATGAGGATAATGACGGGAGCGACTCGCATTCTTTAGGATCTATGGATTCCGCCACTATACAATCTTCCGGATCAACAAAGGTACAAGGTGGCAGAATAGCTGGTATTGTTGCCGGATCTGCCGCAGGTGCTACAGCTTATGCGGGGGTCATGGCACTGATCTACAAAAGAAGAAAGAAGAAGCTTCAAAGGCAACTCGAATCGGAGAAACATCCAAATGTTGGCGGCTATGGTGAATTCCGCTCGTCAATGTCGTCCAGTGGCTCACAAGTTGGTGCCGAGCAATATCATTCTGACTATTCAGGCGAAGGCGCCGTTCGCCTCACGAATTCTTCTTCAGGCGCATCCTTTACACGAATATTCACAAGAAATTCTAACTCCAATGTGGAGCTGGGATCAACCAGATATATGCCTTCCATTTCCAACCCTACGAATGTCAAAAACTCCTTGGGTTGGTGATCGCCGGTTTAAGGTCGCTTTCAATTTTAAATTGATTAATAGAAAAACGGAATTACATAGAAATCTTTTCAATTTAAGTTCCAGTTTTCATTTCAAAATGCTATAGAGCTAGGCTTGCCGACTCATTGAGCATTTCTTTGTTTCTTTCAAAACGAAAAACCCCAAACAATGTTTCGTCTAATAGATCTTTTTTCGTCGGCGAATCGAACTCTGGTTCAGCAACCATAGAATCCCGTGATTTCTGCAACCATGAATACCAGTTGGGAGGTAGTTTGGGATTGACTTCAATGGCTTTTGCAGTCGATAGTAACTCACTGAAAGCGCGTATTGAATATAATCCGGCAAGTTCGCCTTTGAAATTATATTTAGATGATTCGTGTTGCAGGATTCCACGTAGAATGCGAAACTCTATGTTCTCCTCGGTGTGCGGTTCTGAGCATGCATTAGAGACAAAATTTATTGTGTTAATTAATCTGGAACTCAATTGTTCGGTGGTCAATTTGTCTGGAACATTGATTAGCAAATTGCGCTTATATTCGTAATCTTCTCTGAACCTCATCTGAATATAGAGCGTGTATACTCGTTTGAAATGGCCTGGAAGCTTTAGGTAAGGCAGAAGCCTAATCAGGTTTCGATAGATTATTTTGCATTGCTCATCCTGAGTAAAGTTTGAAAGATAGGAAGCGGTCAAACCATTAGCGCCATATATATGACTCAATACCGATTTTCTGTAAATCAATAGATGATTTCTCAAATGCACGTTTGATCTCAAATGCAAAGATTTGAGCATTCTTCGATCTACAGATTTTGTTTTTATCGTGATTTTTAGTAGCATTTTCTTTATTTAAACAATACCCGTTAGACTAATCATGAATATTTGTAATACTACAAATTCGTAAGCTTCTCGTCAAACCAGCGCATGATATATTTGCCCTTGATGATTCCTGTCTTCATGTCATAGATTGAGTTAGAAATTTTAGCGTATTGCAGTGGTCCCGGAGTTAGAGCTTCAACAATATACTTCTCCTGGAACTCATTGAAGGGAAGTGGATCGAAAACTACATCCAAGAATTCCAATTCAGGGAAGTTCTGAATGAATGAAACAAAATGGGCCAGTTCAATTGGTTTGACACAGAACTTGAGACCTTTCGAATTTTTCATGTGTGACAAGTATAGTTCGAGCAACGGGAGATCTATTGGCGGCGATTCAATGACTAGATGACGGAGATTTGCATGCAAAGAGATACTTTGTAAATATGCCCGAATTCGAGCGTCGGGGTCATAATCCACACAATTTTGCCATGGAATTGTGACAACTAGTTTCCTCAAGTCTGCAATAGATGAGATAAATTGGGGACCGCGGTCAGCTAAAAAGTTGCATACTTGCAACTCCAGTACCTTCAGCCCTTTGACTTGTGGTCTCAGTGCTTCTAGCAGCATTTCCCCTGTCTCAAGAAGCCGATTGCGGTCTGACAATCGAGACATCCATTGCCGAAAATCTGAGACGCGCAATTCCTCCCACTTAATGTCTGTCTCCGGCAAACTCAAAGTGGGATATTCAAACACGTCTATGAGACGAAGAACTTGAAGCTTCGAGAAATCCACTGCCTGAAGTAGGATTTGTGATTCTTGAGGATAGATCAATGCTGATTTAATGGTAAGCGCATGCAACTTGAGTTTGTAGCCATCTGTGATGAAGAGCGATGATAATGTAACTCGATATTGCTTCAGGCTAGTGCTGGTGATACCAGTCACGGAGAGTTTCTTGAGGCGCTTAAAGTCGGAGAAAGTTAACTTACAGCTCTGGGTCAGCTCCAGCTCATGAAGATCATGATTGAAGCCTTCTAATTTTTTTGTTCTTAGTGACCGCAAACCCGGCGCATCTAATACGCCCGACTCTGGCAGCTGAGCGCATTTTAGATTTGTCATTCTAGGTATACATTCCCTCAGAAGGCCAAGATCTTGGTTAACTTCAATTCTTTGTATTAAGGAAACCATGTCACTTTCTGTAAGTGTTTTGATCAATTGTTTCAGGCCATATGAGGATTTCACTCTGCTAGAATACACTTTGACACCACATATATCACGAAGGTAATAACTATCCTCCAAAAGTTCGTCAAGATAGAGGCTTTCATCATCCACTATGATTGACTGATATAATCTTTTACGACAGCACCGGCTCAAGAACTTGTTGCATAGCATCAAATGAAAGCAATCCGACTGATGCAAGTTTTGACAAACCTGAAGGACAAGTTCAATGGGTAAAGCCTCGATCATTTGGCAAAATTGTAGATTTGACTAAAAGTAAAAAGTTTTAGCCAAGGTCTTTTCGGCCTGTTCGTTTACTGGCTTTCCAAGAAACAAAACCCCATCACTAGTCTCGGATTTCAATTATGCACTGCATTGTGTGATTATTGTGCCTCGAGGCACTTTTTCACAGAATTCCCCATTTAGTCTGATTTTCGAGATTCTCGTAATTATCGGTCGAAAATCGCGTCTGTTTTTTATTTTTCATTTTTATCTTAGTACACAACCAAAACTTTGTTGTTCTCAGCCAACAAACGGTCCATCACCTCTTCACATCCTTCTTGATAAATAATAATCGACAGATCATTCGCTGATTTGCTGATGTGTTCATCCTTAAGCTCGTGATCAAATTCCCCAGTGATTATACTGACCTTAGGGTTTTTTGCTAATGTAGCGTCCTCTTGTATGGTAGCAAGAATCGCGTTGTCTTTGTGAACAACTATACGTGAGCCCTCAATTCCTTTGTGCTGAACAAATATACTGAACAGTTTGAGCGCTATGAGGTCTTGATGCGAAACAGTAGAATTTGATATAGTGAGTGTGAGCGTACGGATTTCAAAGGAATTTGGGCTCAAAAAGGTACCGGCCGAATATTGGGATTCAGTATCAATCATGGCTCCTTGAATATCACTTTTGAGGGTCATATCTAGATTATTGCTAACAAACAAGCATCTGTAGATGTCCTTGTTGTCAAGTCTGCTCATTTCGCTAATCAATGGCATGTTTCTATGAAATTCTTTGAAGTTCATTGTCAGTATGAGCAGGTCATGCTTGAAATATGATAAGCTGTAAAGCAGCGTTTTGAACAAATCCTGTGGCAGACTATACAGGATCTCAGATGTGAACTGGAGCGAGTTCAATTCGCTGAAAATTTTGAGAATGTTGAGAATTGCATTCAGTTGGAAGCTATCATCAGTTTGTTCCCCCTTCAGCATCGAAGCGTAAAGCAAATCTGCCGTCCGCTCAGTTAACGACTTAACATTCACAGCATGGACAGGAATATGCTCTGGAATAGCCAGGTGATCGAGGAAAACCAAGTCAGTGGATATATTTTCAACATTGTTGGCATTCAACACTAACCTTCTAAATATGATCTCTTCATAGTCATTGGTAGTCGATGGTTTTGTTGTCGAAGAAGCCGATCTTTCTTCCTGTTCGGCCAGCCTTCGTTGCACTGAGTCCCTATACGATTGGGGATAGCACAACAGAGTTAATGGAGTTGTAACAAAGGTTGTCACCAATGCCATAACAATGAACATCGAAAATGTTTTCTGAGATATTATTCCTGCATTCAGGCCTGTATTGAGCACCACGATCTCAACAATTCCTTTACAGGACATCAGAACACCAACGCTAAGACTTTCTCTCTTGAAGAGTCCGAAGAAACGAGCAGCCACAAATCCTCCAAAAATTTTACCGAACATTGCTACCACAATTATGCATATGATATATGCCCAGTCAATTCCCCTGTTGAGCAAACCCAGATTCACACTAAGGCCAGCAAGTGCAAAATAGAGTGGGACGAAAACGATATTCACAAGATCTTCGATCTTTTCTGTCAAAATGATGACATAGTTGTTCTCCCTAGGTACAATGGTTCCCACGACGAATGCTCCAAAAATGGGATGAACACCAATTATATCTGTGAAGAATGCTGATGCAAACATGAGCATGAGGATGATTGTGGTGCCCAGTTGCGATGGTCCACTTGAGATGTCGTCAAAGTAAAATAGTACCTTTCTCAAAGCATAACGAACCGGGTACACCACGAATAAACACCACCCGATTGTGACCAGACATATGTATGCTGTAACTTCTGATTTTGTAGAGTTTGCCAATGTGATACTCAGAGCAAGAAGTATCCACCCTACCAAGTCGTTTGTGATTCCCGCAGCTAGCACTAAGACACCCACACGGTCCTTGACCAGTCCAAGCTCAGTAATAATACGTGCAAGCACAGGAAATGCAGTAATACAAGTTGCAACGGCAATGAAAACCATGAAGGTTGTGAATTTGATCGGTTGCAAGCTATCATCATGAACTCTGTATTCATTCCAGAGACCGACAGCGACGGCACACCCGAGGCCAAAGGGTACCGCCATATTGAATAGGCCAACAGAAACTGCGATCTTGAGATTCTTTTTAATGAATACAACATCAACTTCACATCCGACCATAAATAGCAAAAGGCAGACACCGACATTGGCGACCAATGTCAAACCAGGAATAGACTCTGTTGGAAACACCGTCTTAGTGAAATTCGGAATACGCCCCATCACGCTTGGTCCAAGCAAAATACCAGTTATCACTTCCGCAATAACTTTGGGCTGTTTGATGAGACATAAGGGGCGGTAAACTAGCTGAGCTAGGATCACAATGAGTATCGTCTGGAATATGAACAAAGTATACGGCTGCGACTTCGAATACTCCAAGGGATTCGCGCCACCAATAATGCCGGCAGTTGAAGAAGTGCTCACCGCCATTTAGCAATATGGAACTATGATAAATGAATTTTGTGTTTAATTCTTTTTGTACAGCTAGTCAGTTAAATTGAAGCCCTTTTTGACCATCCATTTCGGAATAGCGAATGAGAAGAGGAAGTAGGATTGATTTCCCACTAACACCTACAAAGTGTCGTCTCAAACTACGCGCTAACTCAGCTTATGTCCTGAATCCGCTACTTTACTGATCAAATTGATTATCAGCCCCGAAAGCCTAATTAGGCCGATCGACTATAAAACCTTAAGGCTGTGCAGGTCGGATCATTTTTCAATCAAAGAAGTTAGTCACTTTATACAATGTTGCCGCAACCTATCAACATCCCTAAATGGATTGCTGAGAATGAACATCTGCTTCAACCGCCTGTGAATAACTACTGCCTGCACAGAGGAGGTTTTACGGTGATGATTGTGGGTGGTCCGAACGAGAGAACTGATTACCATATTAATCAAACTCCGGAGTGGTTTTACATGTACAAAGGAGATATGTTGCTGAAGGTAGTGGATGACGGGGAATTCAAAGATATTCCTATCAAGGAGGGTGAATCATTTTTATTGCCTCCGAACACCCCTCACAATCCCGTCAGATTTGCGAACACCATTGGCCTGGTTTTGGAGCAAGATAGGCCCGAAGACGTGGTTGACAAAATGAGGTGGTATTGCTGGAACTGCAAAGCTATCTGTCATGAGGCTCAATTCCATTGTGTTGACCTTGGGACACAGGTCAAAGAGGCGATCCTCGCATTTGACAAAGACAAGGATCTCAGACTTTGCAAGAACTGCGGTTCTCTAAACTACTCAAAACCTCAGTGATACGAGTTAGGATTGATTGCGATTTATGCACTTTATGTAGTAATGAGCATAGACGATCAAAAGTTCACCCATTTCTTCTCAAAAGCTGCTTCCAACCATTTGAAGAGCTTATCATAAACAATCTTATTGGCGTTATTATGATTGATATTATGGTTCGAATCTGGAAAGACATGCATATCGTAGTTCTCAACCCCTTTTTTATCGAACGCATCAAGAAGTTGCAGCGTATTTTGGAAATGCACGTTATCGTCGGCTGTACCGTGCATGATGAGGAATCTAGTGACTTGCTTGAACTTGTCCACATCACTAATTTTCGACATGCTCTGGTAGTTCTCATTGTCTGCGGGTTTGCCCATGTACCGCTCTGTGTAGATCGAGTCGTAGAGCAACCAGTTGGTCACAGGCGCAACGGCCATACCGTATTTGAAAGTGGTGCCAGAGTCGTACTCCAGCGTCTTCAAAGTGGTGAAGCCACCATATGACCATCCCCAGATGGCTGTCAAATCCATATCTATGTAATCAGTTGTCTCAATGAGTCGTTGGGTGGCTTCGACAATGTCCCGCGGTTCCCAATAGCCTATTTTGTCTTTTGCGAATGATTTGTATTTCCATCCTCTGCCTCCTGTTCCCCTAGGATCAATGTACCAGACAACAACTTCCAGATTTGAAACTAGCACCTCCTCAAAGCCATAGTTGAAGAGCGATGACAGTTTTTGCGCCCCAGGGCCTCCGTAAACACTAACAAGCAACGGATACTTGTTTTCCGGGTTGAAGTCGAATGGTTTGACTTCTATAACATCTATTTTGGTACCATCCTCAAGAGTAACAGTCTTGTACTCCTTGGATGGCACCTGATAGCGCTTCAGAGCTTCTTCGACCATACTTGCTGTGTTTAAATTCTTGGATTGAGCATACTCTTCTTTATCCTCTGTGAAGTTTTCCATTTCAATGATTTTATCTGTTGGCAGAGCAGGTCCTTTGTACTGCACAAAACCATATTTTCCTCCACTTGAGACGGAAAGTCGATAAGTGCTGACATTCTCGGTATTGGTGAGATTTTTGAGGTCCTCGCCATCAAGCTTGACCGAAAAAATATGTCTTTCGAGAGCATTTCCCGCTGTACCAATAAAGTAAAGTAGTTTGTTCGTTGGGTTGTAACCGGCTACACCGTCAATAACATCCCAGTCACCCTTGGTTATCATTTTAGGCTCAGAATCTATGGCAGACCTAAAGTAAGCTAGATGATCGTGGTGGTTATAAACCACAGTATCAATGTAACCCCCTCCTGGCACAACAAATATATCTCCGTTGTTGGTGTACCATCCATCATACTCCTTTGTATCAAATGAGCGTACAACTGTGGACTTTTTGTTCTCGCTATCATAAACTCTGATGTCAACAAGTCTGCTGGTCCTGTCAGTTTCTTTGATTAGAAGTTTTTCTCCGTCACTCCAGGCCATCTGGTACACCACGTAATCAGAGCCGAGACGAGAATTATCATGTGAAACCTCCTGCGTACTTTTGTCTTTCAATGAATAAACGTACACAGACACAATTGGATTATTGTATCCTGGTTTTGGATATTTCAACTTCTCAGTCACAGGATACGTACTGTCCCTGAAAAATTCAAGGTCATGAACAGGAACATCCGTATCATCAAACTTGATAAAGGAGAAATGGCTTTCATCTTGACACCAGGAAATTGCACGGTCACTGGAAAGAACTTCTTCCTCATACACCCAATCGGGTTTACCGTTCAAAATTGAAGAGCTGCCATCATTTGTGATCTGTGTTTGTTCCCTTGTTTTGAGATCCAATAAATAGATGTTGTTTTCGAACACAAATATCACATACCTACCTCGTGGAGAAAACTCAGCAAAACTGATTTTTGGAAGCTTATTGTCCTTTTCAAACACAGGAGTGATGGCTCCCGAATCAGTGTCCAGAATCCAATAAACACCATAGCTTGAATATCTCCATTGTGGCTCAGCTTCGGACACCAGCAGGGCTTTGTTGAGGTCCGAATTTAAGGATACAAGAGAGAATCTATACGATCGGCCATTGTATTCAACCTCCGGCTTATCGTACAGCTTCTTGTTGAATTCACTATCAGACGCCTTTTTGAGGAAATGGTACGAGCCTGAGCGATGCAAGTAGTATCCTTGGTCTTCCTCATAGCTCAAACCTGGGATACCAACAAACTCAAGATCATAAGAAAAAACTGAGAAAGTCCCAGTCCTGCTATCTTGTAATGTCATCGGTATGCGTTCCTGCGGGTCTTTTAGCGCAGATTCGTCTGTTGACTCAGACGAGGTCGAATTTTGACCAGGATAAACCGTCTTATTACCATTTTGAAAAGCTCCACTGTGCGCGAAAGTGACCAAGAGCACAATCCACACGATGAAAAGTATTATACCAAGAATTGATATCTTTCTTCTAGTCTTGGGTTGACTCAGAAAATGATGAATTCTATGATAAAAGGATATCCCCGATAAGTCACCAGTGACATTGTTCAATCGATTATGGGAATTTGGATGATATACAAGATCTGCATCATCATCGTCGATAGCAAAGTTGTTCAATTCTTCTAATTGGAACGAGTTCCTTCTTGATGTTTGATTTTGAAGCTCTATATCGGCATCTAGCCGATCCATATCCGTGCTCCTTGCCATATAGTATAGTGCGTGCTGCTCAATCACACGCAAACCTGAGAAATCGGACCACTTAAAAAGTATTCGAAAATATCACTATCGCTGTCTAAATTAGAACAGAAAGTACAATTCAGATCAACTTCAAAGCCATTTTACCCGGACCTATAACAAAATTAAAATAATATCAAAAATATCAAAAATTTTCAAGATCTTGAGTTAATTCGCATTTGAAGAGTATGTCGAGCACTCTTTTCGATGATATTTTCAGTGTCCAGTCGTTGGATAGCGCTAGATATGACAAAGTGTCAAGAATAATTGCAAACTCCACCAGCTCAGCAGATACTAAACTTACTCTTGATATCAATACAGAATTATTTCCAGTTTCCACAGGCGATTCACTATCCGTGACTCTGGCAAAAAGTCTTGCTCTTGAAGGGGCAGAAGACGATCAAGGTATGTTTTCCACCAATGGCTCTTGGAGACCCCCAAAGCCTGGTCAAAGGTCTTTGATGGACGAATACGATTACGTCATGCATGGAGCGGTCTATAAGTTTGAAGAAGGGAAAGATGATAATATCTCCGTCTACGTTTCGTTTGGTGGACTCTTAATGTGTTTAGAAGGAAACTACAGATCTCTTTCGTCGCTCAAACAGGAAAATCTGTACATTCTCATCAGACATTGATCGTCACATTGTATAATACGCAAAAGTTTAGAATATTCACTTGATGTTCTTATATGCAACTTTTCCTCACAGACCTTGCCGTAGATCTATCTCGCTGAGGCCAATTCCACCACCCAATCTATAATAGTTCTCGATGTAAATGCCTCGTTTTTTATTTCGAAGTTCTACCATTTCAGGCCAATAGTCGTCATGAACATATTCGAAATTAACATCTCCACCATAATTAACGGCCAGTTGTTCTGGTGGTATAAATTCCCTAAAAGGCTCGTCGAATTTGCATTTTTGTTTGGTAAAGCTATCCACAAACGGCCAGCATATTTTTAAGAAACCCCAAACAATTATAGGGATATTAATGAAAAGAGCTCTGCCTAGCCTTTCGGGATAGTGATACTGTAGAATATGCAGTACCTGCTTGCCCACAGAAACTGCCGGTACTCTTGGCTCCACAAGTGAAGCTTCTGGGTATTTTTTGAAGTCCACACACAGTGCCAGTTTGTCTTGTCCTTGAGGCATGAAGTCGATGCTAGTTTCCAACATGTATATCAGATGTTGAATCTGTCTGAAAGACGTTTTAGTATTTTGGCGACCATTTAACAGTATTAGGCAAGGTCTACCCTCAGTGTCAAAACCATAAACCAGATGTTTTCCAGTTTCGTTTTCCTCCTTTACTAGGTCCTCCGTGACCTTTTCGAAATTTCCTCCTGCAATTCCAAATTCACGTCTCCACGCAATTGAATTAGTCAATCGTCTAATCGTTTCGTCAACATTCCAATTACAGGCGCGAAGGTACCTTAAAAGACATTCCTTACTCAGCCATGCTTTTTCAAAGTCATTAAGCTCCACATAATCACTAGCATTGCAATTTTTTTCTAGCACAGGATACTTCTCTGTGGATTGAAAATGCTTCAGCACTATGTTATATTTTGTTTTCTGGTCTTCGGTCTCTGCGTCTTGCAAGCTGGGCTTCTCAATAGAGTCTGATGGAGCCTCAAACGGCTTAGTCGAAATGGGTCTATCATTGTCAACTATCCATTCTTTTTGCGGGCCTTTAGACTTCCTACCGAAGCCGAACATACCAAGATCTGTTGAAGTTTTTATTTTTTTTGGCTAGATTTCTGGTGCACAGATGACTTTACATACCACTATTTGGAGCTCAAGCTCTTGTATGCCTGCTCAAAAATGTAATGCGTAGCACGCTCGACAGGTTCATCAAAAAGGTAAGGAAGTAATGGGACGACAGCTAAACCAATTCCGACAGGTCCATAAGTCTTGAGTGATTTGTTCGAAGTACTCTTAAACAGAAGAGAGGAGTACCTGACTGTTGAATGGATAGTAAATGCAGGCAATCCCATTGATGCAATGGACTGGAAAACACCTCTTTCAATTCCAACCCATTTCCAGTCCATTCCCGTGTAGGAGGCAGCTGCTATAGGATCTGCTTCCGGTAGCTTGTGCCAAGGAAGTAATCCCGGAGTATATCTTCCTTCTTGCCTCATTTTGGCCTTCCAAGCTTCAAGAGACACGTCACCAAGAACATAGGACCATGAGATACCGTAGCACATTCTCACAAAGTTTGGGTTGACCACCGGACGGAAGGACTCTCCAATGTCAGAAGTATATGCGACATATCTATGAGAAGCTAGCGCAATAGTTCTAAATCTATTCGCATATGCAGCATATCGCAAGGAGCTGTCAGTGGTTGTGTCATCCTGTTCCGGATTGATAGATTCGGAAACTTTCTCAACAGTGCTCATCGTGCGTGGATTATTAAATTCCAGCAAATATTTCTTCTCCCTATTGCCTTTAATATCTGGTATCGCGAATTCAGCCAGTGAATTATCGAGATATGAAAATTATGACCATGCCTTAACAAAGCCAAAACTTAAATTCACAAAAACCCCCGCAAAAACAGCCATTTTCGTCCGCTTATTCAGTATACCCCCAACCTCCAGCTTGATCAAAAACAATGCGAAAATACCTAAGAAATACCCTATAGCTACCCCAATTAAAAGATCCTTATGTGCATCCCCATCTCGTGACATAGCGCCCATGCCTCCAGTTCCTCCTCCCCCTATTGGTCCTATATTCGCCGGAAACTCATCAATCTCATTGTTGACTGTACTATCGATCCATCTGTCCTCTAATTCCCGAAGAGCCTCTGGTGATTGATTATCTAAGTTTGCTCCATGTATTTGCTGAAATTGTTGACGCAATTCTTGAATGTCCTGAGCAGAAAACCCTTGGGAAAGCAGTCTGTCGAATCCCTTTGGAGCTTCTGATGTGCTTCTCTCCGGTTGGCGATCGAGCGCTTCCTCCTGGGCTAGTTCTTTCTGGGACAGCTCTTCTCCAACTATGCAATGTACATAGATCTTTACGGGCTCTGATCCTTCTGACTCTTCATTGAGTAGGTAGTGCATTTTCCTCTTAAAATCAGTATGATTCAAGAGAACTTTTCCGTTGTGAATCAGTTTTAGACGCTTATTGGCAAGAGATTTGTCTTTCAGCCTGATCTGCTGTCGTATATACTTTGTGGATATATCTCCCATATTAGCGACCGTGCCTGCCGGAACGACGACATCTGGTGCGCCATTTGCAAACCTTATAATAAAATGAACCGGCCTTGAAGCGCTCTTAAGATCGGAGTTGCTTAGAGGGAGGATATTAGACATGGCCATAGAAATAATTATAATTACGATCTCGTATTTTTAAATAACGTGTTACCCGGCCCTCCACTAGATTTATCATATTTAAAGTAGAGCCGAAGTCAAAAGTTTTTTTTTTTAGTGCGGACAACCAGTACTAACAAACCGTGTTGCTTAATTATCTCAGTCGAGAGATAGCTAGGCGTCAAGTACTTGGTGAGATTGACTCTACGGATCATCTTAATGCCCTTTCGGTCAATAGTGATTGTTTTCTATTGAGCGGGGCTGGTAGATCCTACAGCTGTAATTCTATGGGAAACCAGTAGTATATGTAACTTACATCGTTTTCTTGGTAGGAACGGTAGCAGCAATTAGCACTCCAGGCAGCTCCTCATTACCACAGCTGATAAGCAGCTTGACACCAGCAGCAAACACAAAAAGAAGGACGACTGTTGTCCACAAGAACAGGTTCGTTTCTGCGCTGACGTCCTTTTTCTGGCATGAAGCGCCCGTCCATTTGGTAGTTCTACCTGTTGATGAGTCTTGAGTAGCAGAACAAACGCATTTCCAGCACTTGCCCACTTTTGAGCACAAACCATGTCCAGAGCACGTCGAAGTAGAGTCTAGACAGTCTTCTTGGGAACTGAAACATCCATTTGCGCTAGCGAACACAGAGTACGAGTCTCTTTTTGCCACAGAAAGCTCTTGTTTTGAGTCATCATTGATCTTCATAGTTATGAGTTGTTGTTGCAACGGCATCACCACAACTGTTGAGTCATATTTCGCGCTGTTCTCCACCAGAGAAATTATCAGCTTGCCCAAGAGTTTCTTGCATGTTTGGTAAGCCTGCGAATGCTCTCCTGTTTTCTCGTAAATGGTTGTCAAAGATTGAAGATTGACAATGATCTTGTCGTTTGATGTCACGAGCTCATTTTTAAGCAGGAACTCTAGTTGAGTTAGCTCGTTAATGAATTCTTCATCACTTATGATTTCCAACGACCTCTTGGAAAAATGTGAGCCTTCGTAATTGCTAGATATCTCCCCCCAAAACAATGATATTGAATCGTGTTCCTTGTCGTGGAATACCTTGGACCACGTTTCAAAAAGCGCCCTGTTGGTGTTCTGGCCAAGAATAGATATGTGACTTGACAGCTTGCTTAGGTTGAGATTGGGGTTGAGTTCTTTCATCTGAGATGGCAGTCTGGAGAGAAAACTTCTGAACTTGTATGATGAACGATCATCCTTGCTCTCCACCAAAATGACTGGTTTTATATGCTCAAAGAATGCCTGTGGTTCGTCGACTCCGTTTACTATAATCACCAATTGGTTATTATCCTTTCTGTCGCAGGCCTTGCTTTTTCCAACGCCCAAAGCTTCAACATTGTCCAATTTGTCCAACTCATAGAAATCAGACACATCGAATTCATCTGCAAGGTTATATATGGAGTCCATTTGAGAAAGCAAGACTGCTTGACTTTGGGTGTTTCGCTCGCCAAACCGATACACTGCGGCATTTTCAAGAGCTGTGGCACATATAGCAGCCACGCTTGCCAATGTGGCAAAATGAATGAAACTCACCATCGAAAGTCTAAGCTCTAAATAGCGGCCTATACCTCTTCTGCAACACTAATATAATCTGCTGTAAAAAAATGGAGGTTCTGGTATTGACACGGTATTATTTTGACAGCCAGTCGATAGAGATCAGGTAGCTAGCTGGCCAGGCAGTTGACCTGGAAGAGACAACTTCGAAGCTTGCGTGCCCTCTTCTCAATGGTGATATTAAACTTAAAAGTAGACAACACCAGGGGCTAGAAATTGTTGAATGTTGCAGCTTCATCAGTAAAATAGCTACTCTTCTACGCTTCTTGACCGCTCCCAAAACATAGTCATTACTGTATTGCACAAAGCATTCGCAACCAAGTAACTATCTACGTACCCGTTTTCCGATATTTCTCTCCTTCGCGTTCTTTGAAGAATTTGTAGTTGGGAGAGATAGTTACTACCTCGTTGGTCACTGACCAACTGCGCTTCATGTCCTCAAATTTCGTAGAAGGTTGCGACATTATTTAGCGTTCTTTTCAACTTCTCTCCTTGTTCCCTTAATTATCTCCAAATGCCCCACTCTAGCGGCAATAAGCTTTTCTGTGTTTGAGACAAGATTTGCAGTATGCTTCTGAGATAGCTTATAAAGATTTTTCTCGTTACGGCTCACCTTTTTCGGCTTGTGAATCTTTGGAGCAGCTGCCTTAGGATTTTTCTTTAGCTTTGTGACTCTAGCAGGCTTTTTTTTGGATAATTTCAAATTACCTTGAGCCATGATCTAAAGGTAAAATTTATACTATTTTTCAAGATATATTATGTCAGCTCCAAATTTGAAATTCAAGGAAGAATATAATCCGATAGTATTTGTTTGAACCGAACTAACATGGTTAACGTCCATTCTTACGCCGATTCCCAAGATGTTGCGGATGCGGTTGCGAGATATGTGATTCAGCATCAAAATGCGGCTTTGGAGAAAGGCAACACATTCAAAATAGCTATTAGTGGTGGATCTTTGGGCAAAGTTCTTAATAAAGGTTTGATAGCCAACAAGGAAAACTTTGCCAATGTCAAATGGTCCAATTGGGAAGTTTATTTCAGCGATGAAAGATTGGTTCCCTTGAATCATGAAGACTCCAATTATGGGCTTTTCAATGAAATGGTTCTCAACTCATTGAGAGACAATAGCGTTGATTTACCAAAGGTGATCACCATTGAGGAATCCCTTCTTACCCCCGACGGCTCCACAGATGACAAAATTGCTTCTGATTATGAGGCTAAGCTCCCTGAATCTCTGGATTTGATCCTACTTGGATGTGGTCCTGATGGACATACTTGCTCACTCTTCCCAGGCCACAAGCTTTTGACTGAGAATAGGAGAAGAATTGCCTACCTTCAAGACTCTCCAAAGCCTCCACCAAGAAGAGTTACATTTACAATTCCTGTTTTGTTCAATAGCAAAAACATAGCTTTCGTTGCAGAGGGTGCAGGAAAAGCTGCGGTTCTATCTCGGATCTTTGATGAGAAAGATTCTGGATTACCATGTGAGCTCGTTAACAAGGGACCTGTTCCAGTAACATGGTTTGTCAATGATCCTGCAATTCAAGGCGTGCCTGTTACTGCTACTAAATACTAATTTGTATGCAATGCAATATATTCATGACCATGCTAAAAGTATTATGAGCTAATATCCGACACCTCATCTTCCAAATCGATATTCACGGCATCTTCCAAATCAAGGTTTTGAACTTCCCAATTGCCAAGACTCTCAGAAGAGTCCCCAATTGGTTTTCCAGTGAGGGTTCTGATGATGCGCAATCTTGTCTCCTCTGGCTCTTTGTCCAAATCTGTATGTTCACGTGGAAACTCTTTAATCTCAGGTGTGTGTCCAATGGACATACCAACCCGAATTAGTGTTTCCGTCGAATTTTCAGAGTTAGTTACCAGATCTGAGTCAAAAACAATTCTACCCCTTTGAAACAACAATAGTACTGTAGATCCTCCAAATTTGAAGTATCCAACTTCGTCTCCTCTTTTCAACACGTCTCCTACTTTTCGCGTCAGCACAATGGAACCAACCATCATGGCTCCTACACAAATCATGATGACTTTCCCAAATTCAGGAGAGTCTATCTCGATGTTGACTCTTGAATTTTCTCCATAAACATCCAATTTTGATCGAATGGCCATCGGATTCACAGTGTAATACTCGCCGTCAATTTTCTCTGTTTTTGTAATGGTGCCATTGATAGAGCTATGAAAGCGATGATAGTCTTGAGGAGCTAATCTAAATATAACAATTGACCCATTTTCATATAGGGTGTGGTCAAATTTTGAGCCAAGCAGCTTTTGGAGCGTGAAATCTCTTCCTTTGATCCAAATTTCCTTCGATTTTTCAACGGTTGGAAAAACACAGCAACGACAGTCTGCGCCGCTGACCGCGTACCGAGAGTCGGCGCCTTCGAGAGGCCTTAAGTTTGGTTTGAGTTTTCGATAGAAAAATTCGTTGAATGTGCGATACTTCGTATAGTCTTCAATCAGATACTCGGACATATCTATACTGTGGAACTTAATGAAAGATTCAATTTTGTTTCTTGAGGAGGGGCTGTCAAATTTGGCTCCTTGCTTTATGCTTAGGTTCCTGAGAATTCTTTTGATTCGATCACTATTTCTTTTCCCTTTGAACGACCTGTAAAGAAGTCTTATGCCTAACCGCACATAAACATTCATTCTCTCCTCTATTATCAGACCGGTATTTCTATCTTGCACCAAAATGTTGGCGTTGTTTTTCCCTAACTCTATTTTCCCGTATGCAATTTTGATAAGGGCTTTAGTATACCATCTTCTGGTTGCCGACGAAGGAGTAGTAAAAGAAGGTTTCAGCATTCGCGTAACTGAGGACCAATCTTTAGAACAGCAGATAGCCAGATGTTTTATTATATCAGAATCGCCATGAACTCTTGCCTGTTTTAGGCAAGACGGGCACCTGGCAATTTGGATGATGTGCTTGCATGAGTTGGATCCATGTTGCTCCATTCTCTCAAAAGTTGTCTCAAAGTCTTCGATAATTTCGTCGAAAGTTAGTTTGTCACCATGCCAAGCTTTTTTCCCGTGTCTGTCAAAACACTCTATCACGTCTTCTTCCTCGATATTGGATCCTATGGAGTCGAGGAAAGATCCAAGCTCAATTATGTCCATCTCTGAAGAACCATCAGTCTGATATTCTTTGAGAAGAAGTCTGAACAAATGCTGTCTCAAATTGGCATAGGATTCAAACTTTACTCTAATCTTCAACTTTGGGTCAACATTTTGAATTTTGCCATATTTTTCCTTCCAATGTGGATACAGATTCATTTTGACTTCCAAAGTCTTCAAGCTCTCATCGTAGATGTTACTCAAGTTTCTTTTTGGGTTTCGACCAAACAGTTTTTTCTTGTACTTCAGGTCTTCCTCCTCCTCCTTCTTTATCAATTTGATGTCCGAAGTGGACAGCGGTTCGGTCATGAGAAGTTTCACGGGAACAGATCCTTCGCAGACTGGATCATTGAGAGTCCAGTAGTCTTTGTCCAAAATGTTAAAATTTATATTGAAGGTTTTTTCATGCTCTAAAATGTCAAATGCCAATCTTTCGTTGAAAATGGGCTTCAGTGTGTGCTTTCTCCAAGACGTTCGATAAACTTTCGTACCAAAAGAAATAACCACAAATGGGTCCATGTCATAGCCTGTTCTAGTTGAGTTGTGTAAGGGTGGCAATCCTGATGCAGAAATAATCTCGACAAAAAGCATCCCAACGAAATTCTTGCCGGCTGTGAATTCATAGTTTGGCTTTGACCGCTCTCCTCGTAGCTTTCGAAACCTATATCTCCTTTCCGATGCCAAGGAAGAAGAAGTGGGTGGTGTTAACGGCAAATCAGAAAAGGAAGCAGGAGATGTGTAATTGCTCAGATCTTCCATTGAGGAATAAATCGAGCTATTTGATTCCGAGGCACGTAGGTTTTGTCTGGAAAATTTCAGTTCCTGCTGTTCCTCATCACTAGATTCGTCTTGTAAATCTAAACCGGCAAACCCCTCGGGTGAAGGAAGAATTAGACCGGAGGAATAGTCGGTATAGAAATTTTGCTCGCTGATCCTAATCAGTTTGAGAGGGTCCTTTCCAAACGTCTTCAATTTGTCATAGAAGTTCTGTAGCTCTCTAATATACTTGACAAGTTCCTCATTGGTCTGCGAGGGGGAAGATTCTGGTAGTGGAGTGGGAGGTACCAATTCGTCATCAGACTCATCATACTCTTCTTCGGAATCAACTTCATTTGAGTTAAGTTCCGACTCAGTCACAACTTTTGGGGAACTCTGTGATTTCCTGCTAAGCCTTTTGCGTTGGCTGGACAACGTGAACTTGCATCGTACAGATCCCGTGACAAAAGTCTGCTCTCGTTCAGAGGAATAAAGCTTATACCACTTAGGTCCGATCTCGAGTTTGTTTTTCAATTGTTCCAATAAGTCAATAAGAGACAGTCGAAGCTCTCCAAAATAACTTCTTTTAGATCCCTTGCTGTCCACTATTTCCAAAACTAGTATCAAGAAAGCCGTCGCTGGTAATTTTCCCAAATCCTTTTCAGTCACATTCGATGGAGGAGTCCTGAGCTTTAACTTTTGTGTGGAATTCCAATGTGGGTTGGATACATCCTTACTTCGAGCTGTTTTGAAAGATGCAAATGGCGGCAACTTGACATAGCACCTCGGATTGCAGCGAAACACGGTTGGCAGGAGTTGTGACTGTGGTAACAGATCTTTTGCTTCATATATCGTAATACTGAGGACCAATTTCTGATGCTTTTTCTTCCTAAGGGAAACCATAGTGGCCCATATCAACGGCTATTTAAGGCAGATAGGTAAACTTCTCAAAATACTCAGCAGAATATTGCGTCTATAGACGCGACTAACGGGGGATTAAATTTTTTCCCCAAGGTCAAAAGGATAGCCAATTGTTGGGTCACGAACGTCAGCAACGAGTAGGTATATTTATGCCAAAGCATCGGATTTGATTCATCAGTCCTGGATTTGACAGAGTGCCACAATCGTACAAAATAAAGTAAATCTGTCGTCACATCTGCATTATCAACATTCTCCTTATCACTCTGCTATCGCCTTTATGTTACAGGTCAGTGGTATACAAAAGCAAAGATCTGGATCACCAACGGGGAGCATTTATGTGCATAACCATTGTAAGAATCCAAAACCGCTAAATGCTTTGGGATCTTACATAGTGCATGATGAGACGGAGTACAAAGGTGGGCTTTTACCAGAAACTCGAGACATCGCGCTCCCCAATCACACCGAGACAGTGAACGAAGTCTCAATCGATATTGGGGGATCGTTGTCAAAACTGGTTTACTTCTCTAAAGATGAGAAAGAGGAAGGCGGAAGACTAAATTTCTACAAGATTGAAACCTCGAGAATCGACGAGTTCATTGAGTACCTTAAAACCATCCTGAAAAAATATTACCATCATGACGGCAAGAATCTTATCAATCCAAACTTGACGCTGATTGCGACAGGAGGTGGATCGTATAAGTTTTATGACAAATTGAAAGAGTCTCTTAATTGCAAAGTGCAAAAAGAGGATGAAATGCAGTGTCTAATTATTGGACTCGATTTTTTTATCAGCCAAATTCAGAACGAGATATTCTATTTTGACGAGAAGAATCACAAATATGTGGAGGTGGACTCGGGAGAGTTAGAACTTGACAGCATATATCCTTACTTACTGGTCAATATTGGCTCCGGTGTTTCCATTATCAAAGTGACCGGCCCCGGCCCAGATAGCTTTATCCGTGTGGGTGGCTCTTCGCTTGGCGGAGGAACATTATGGGGCTTGTTATCAGTGCTCACGAGCTGTAAAGACTTTGATGAAATGCTGGAAATGGCATCTCACGGAAATAACGAGAACGTCGACCTTTTGGTCGGTGACATATATGGAAAGGGGTATAACAAGATTGGCCTCAAGTCCAACCACATTGCATCTTCCATGGGAAAGGTATTCAAAAAAGTGTTCGAAAAAGATGAAGAGCACGAGAAAACGGGTTCTGATGTTCGTCTCGACAGGTTGGAAAAACTAAACCAGGAAGACATAGCCCGCTCGCTCTTATACGCTGTTTCCAATAACATCGGTCAAATCGCTTATCTGCAAGCCCAGAGACACGATCTGAAGAAGATATATTTCGCAGGTTCTTACATTAGAAATCACTATCAGACAATCAGAACACTGAGCTATGCCATAAACTTCTGGTCTGAAGGCTCGAAAAAGGCTTACTTTCTGAGGCATGAAGGATACCTTGGAAGTATGGGGGCTTTTCTCAAAAAAGAACTCGATATATAACGAAAGCGCGTAATGGTCACATATCTTTTGCTTAATCGCTGGCTAAAGATTTCCATATTTCGATGAGTTGTAGCGTATGCTTGTAGTCCCTATCTAGATTAGGATCCACTTCAGCCTGTTGGCGTTTTTCAACGGACTGTGATAGTATTGCCTTATTACTCTTGATAGAAGCTTCAGTAGTTTGCAGGTCACTTTCCAACTGCCTCAAATGCTCGCTTCTGCTTTCTTTGAAAAGTTTCAATTGCTCCAATTCCTCCTGTAGTTGTGTGCTTTCCTCTAGTATCTGGCTTTCAAGCTGCTCCAACTGCTCGTATGAGTGGTATTGACGAGAACCAACTTTGATTGTGCTATTCATTTCGAGGTCATTGACCTCTTGTTGTAAGTTATCGTTAGTATTATTAAGCTCGTTGATGCTCTTATTAAGCCGATTGACCTCCGCAAGTGATTTTAGCACTTTCCTACTCCCCACGTGAATCTCTGTTCGGAGTCTTGCTATATTTGCTTCCATCTCTTCGTATCGTTGTTTAGATTCGGCGATCATCTGGTTGGTAGAGTCCATCTCTTCTGCAGTCAACTTGTGTCCCTCATTCAAAAACCCGAGAAATATCTGTTTGGACTCGGTCTCAAGAAATTGGTATGTGAGCTTATTGAGGTAATTCTCGTTATTCTTGGTCAGGTTGGCCAATGCTTCAGGGTTCTCCTTCAGCATATCCGGGTCGAGCTTTAGACCCCTGACTGAAGTCGACTCGTCAACATACTGTTTAAACGTGTCATCTGAGCGCAAGATAGGAATCTTGTCTGCTAAGTCCTGAATCGAAGACGCGTTGGCCATCGACGAAGTCATAATATCTATCAAAAATTCGTAAACAAACAAACGGCACAGCCGTAACTTTTGATAACGAGACGGAAGAGAATATGCCAAACAAAGTTCATACTCGGGCCCCACCAAAAAACACATGGTAATAACCCCACTTTCAAGCCTTTATCTTTCAATACTATAGAAATTACATCTATCAAAAAGTGTCCCCGTCCGATAGGGAGCACGAAATAACGTAATTGATGTCCAACATAAAGCGAAGTTTTTATTTTAGGGTTGGAACTTTTCAGATTGCACTACCGCGTAAATAAGAGCCCAAGTTTTTCCAAGTCGTTTCACTTAGGGCAGGGACGTTCGAGGAATTTAGGTCGACTTTTCATCTCGAAAAAAAAAACAGAGATCAGGGATTTGTTTTCGTTATATTATTGGGAAAAATATTCATAGTTGCAATTTGCGACAAACACCTCGTTTAAGCATAACGGTGCCTACAACTCACACTCTTAATGTCGTTTCTCCGAAGACCACATAAAAAAACTAAGACCGGATGTCTCTCCTGCAAAAGAAGAAGGTTGAAAGTAAGTAATCATCGTGCCAAATTAACTGACTCTTTTAGTGTGATGAAGATAAGCCTGAATGTTTGCGCTGCCGGAAAAGAGGGCTTGTTTGCGTTTATGGGCCCCATTCGGGCATTGAAACACAATCTTTGTCTGCGGCGGACAATTTCAGAAATCCTTCCTGCGAAGATAATGCAGTTTCACAGGTAGGCGAGGTGGGTAGCGTGTCCCCATCCGGGCAAAGAGGCAAACACATGACCGTTTCGGTTCCTGATGATGGAAACTTTTCGACATCGTCAGAAAACACTAATACCTCGCAGCCCAAGAGCATAGAGCCTCGTCCTGGGTCTTCTGTTTCGTCGGGGACGATGTCGGAACCACATGGGAAGTTTGAGTTCTCATGTCCGGTCAAGCAATGGGACGAGTATCATAAGACAGAATCCGAAACAAGATTCAATTTCGTGTCGCCGGAATTCTTGTCACCTAAAACCGCTTTTTCGCATCTCGCTGACTTGGACATCCCCAAAGAGATCTCCAACTACACGTTTTATAGTGAATTCTTGCTCAAGCTTCAATTTCACACTATGAATACACTGCCGTTCAGGATTTGTGAGGATTCGATCAATAGAGACATGCTAATTTCGGCATTCAAAATTTCGCCGCTATACGATTTTTGTTGGCATGCGTTTATGGCCACCAGTTGCATTGATCTTTACTTCCAACAAGTGATGTATGGTCACGATGATGTTTTGAATCTTAATAAGGTCACCTACTTGAAACTTGGAGATTACCATTTCACCAAGTCCATGTATTCCATGAGTGAGGAAGTCAAAGTGCAAGAAGACATAAAAAAAAGCGTTGCACTCATGACCACTACAATGTTGCATATATTTTATGCCACTGCCAGTCCTAATCAGGATGTCTGTTCGCGAGGCTATTTTGGTTTAGGGCGAAATTTAGGGCTGCTTTTCACAGACTATGTGCTACTCTATAGAAATGACCCTTTATTCAACGACGCATGTGCACGCTACTGCATCAATTCTTGGTCACAAGATGCAAGTTACTACTTCCCAGAGTTCCTTTACGACCTTGTCAACGTGGAATATCCGACGGCTAATGAACCAAATAAAAAGAGAGTACAGCCTTTGGATCAAGACTTGCAAGCTCTAATAATTGCAATGGTTGATAGGCTGAAGAAGGAATATAGAGCTCACGCAAACCTTACTTCTCCTGCAGAACCAAAAAATACACCGCGACATATTCCGATTGAATCCGTCGCTACTGGCGTGTCATCTACTTCATCTCTTGCAACCGGCGAAAATGTTGCAAGAAGTTTCAAACCTTCGTATGAGCTGGAGTATGACATGTATGGTACTCTTTCGCGCTACACAGTGGAAGTTCCTGAACGCTACATTGATCTTCTTGATGAAGGAGATCCTCGCGCTTTGATCATCACCGCCTATAATATCATTGCCTTAGCTACAAAAAGATACAAATATTGGCCTGTTTCAGTTTTTAAGAAGGAAATTGCTGTAATTGAGGGAAAGCTAGACAAACTGGAAAACAGCACTTTGTGGAAGAGTTGGATCTTTGTTGCAAAGCAGACGCTTGATGGTTTAGAGTCTTTGTAAGCTTCGTGGCTTGTTGTTTTATAAAACGAGGTATATCTGTGGCGGTGCTATTTAACGATTTTTATTTTTTATTATATAGGCTTCTTGATAAATTGTTTTCATTCACATAGTATGGTGCCCAGGTGTAAAAACTGTGGAAGCACTGAGTTTGAGCGCGATCACAAGACTGCTTCATCAGATTTAGCATGTGCCAGATGTGGAACTGTTATTGAGGAAAACCCGATCGTGCTTGAGGTCACGTTTGGGGAAGCTCCGTCAGGAGCTGCCATGCTTCAAGGATCCATAGTTGGTGCAGACCAGACTAGAGCAAATTTTGGTAATAATCGTGGATCTCTTGATTCGCGTGAACAAACCTTACAAAATGGCAAGAAGCGGATACGGAACGTCGCTGCGGCTCTCAAGATCAAAGATTATATAGCCGATGCGGCTTGCCAGTGGTTTCAACTGGCTCTCACCAACAACTTTGTGCAAGGGCGACGTTCACAAAATGTTGTTGCAGCATGCTTGTATATTGCGTGCAGAAAGGAAAAGACTCATCACATGTTGATAGATTTCTCTTCTCGTTTGCAGATATCAGTGTACGCAGTCGGTGCTACCTTTTTGAAGATGGTCAAAGCTCTCCATATCACATCGTTGCCTCTGGTTGACCCGTCGCTGTTCATCCAGAACTTCGCAGAGAAATTAGATTTTGGTCGTATGCTGCCAAAGGTGATAAATGATGCCATAAAGCTTGCACACCGAATGAGCGAAGATTGGATACATGAGGGAAGAAGACCTGCAGGTATCGCAGGTGCATGTATTCTTTTGGCTGCGCGAATGAATAACTTCAGGAGAACGCATTCTGAAATTGTTGCGGTTACGCATATCGGTGAATCTACGATCCAAAAGAGGCTTAATGAGTTCAAAAACACAAATGCATCGGGATTGACTGTGGAGGAGTTTCGTGAGCGCGGCCAAGTCAAATCCACCCTTCCGCCCTCGTTTCAGAAAAATCGGAAAAGCGAAAAGAAACTGAAAAGCCAGATAGAGAAAACGGGCACCGAGGATGTTACCAGCGATCCTGTACTTGCTGCAATTCTGGAAGACTCCAAACTTTCTGAGAAGGAAATCCAGGAACACGTTAAAAGAGTTCTACAGCGGCAGAAGAGAGATAAAATGCGCAAATTGAATTCCATCTTAGGGGACGAGAACGAAGAGGAGGAAGAAGCCACCTCATTACAGGATCTGGAATTTGAACGAATGATTGAGCGAAATCGGCCGCGAAATCTCCTGAAGGCGCTGCCCAAGACGGAGACATTACTGTCTAAAATTCCTGATGACCCAGACAATCTCGACGACGCTGACGATGATGAAATCAACAATATTCTTTTGACAGAGGAAGAAAGTAAGCTGAAGGAGCGTTTATGGGTGGGATCCAATCAGGAGTTTTTGTTGGCTCAAGAAACAAAGCGTCTCAAAGAAGATGCAGACAGAATAGCAGGCCACAACCAACATCCCAAGAGAAGAAAACGTATTACGAAAGCAGAAGATAAGGGCAACGATCTCAAGAGCGAATATGGGGAGTACTTATCGGGTGCATCATCACACCTGGGTTTGACGGCCGCCTTGAACCAGGAGCTCTCAGCTGCTGATAGCGCAAAAAGCATGCTGAAGAACAAGTCTCTGAGTAAGAAAATCAACTATGAGGCAGTGAACGAGCTGTTTGACGATAACTAGAATATCAGATAATTAATAGACTTGCTCAACCGCTAGACCATCACATCTTACTTGTTTTCTTCCAGTTTCACCATACCGTTGGCGGGTGCCGCCAGCTAAATCATCACTTAGTATACCCTGTTTCTTACACTGCGGACACAAAACACCACTAGACATGGAATCCCGGGGAGAAGTTACCATGTCTTTTTCTTTTCGATATCTTATCAATTGCGTAGCCGACAGCTAATCCGATGAGTCCCACACGGCGAGGCCGCTCATAGACCATACGATCGTTAAAGTTCCTACAAAAACCTCTGTTGGAGCCTCTTCGAGCGTTCTTGCATCGGCATTGCCTGGAAATTATCACTTGCGTAGGTCTTTCTCTTCGAACGCTCGGGGTTGTAGCAGCGGGCTCGTCGCCAACGACTTCAAGATAAGGAGGGGTGTGTGTTTTTTTCGATATCAAGACTCATGATGGACTCGGTTTTGCTTCTACTTTGCCAAGAAAGGGGCATTATATTCTGGCTGTTTATACACGTCTATGCATAGAAGCTGTGCCATTAATGGCAGTGCGCGCATGACTTGTTTTTATTTGCAGAGGCTGTGTAAACTTTTTTTTCCCCTAGTTTAAAAAAATCATATTTATCTGATATGATTTGGCTGACCGAAGTACAAAGTGAGTTTTAAATCAAAAATTGCTGACATGCAGAGTTCGGCGTTGGATTCACTGCAGGTGGCGTCCTGCTTTTTTTCCTGGGCGTTGTCACTTTCTTTGATTCAGCTCTTCTTGCCATGAGTAACCTACTGTTCATCATTGGATTGGTGCTCATTATTGGTCCACAGAAAACCGTGTATTTTTTCACTAGACCACAAAAGATAAGAGGGTCCATATGCTTTCTGTTTGGGGTTCTTCTCATACTGATGAGATATTCGTTCTGGGGATTTTTAGTGGAAAGTTTTGGCATTTTGGGATTATTTGGAGAGTTTTTTGCTACAGTGGTGCAATTCCTTAGATCTCTTCCTTACATTGGCCCAATCCTCTCGAGCCCGGTTATTGGCCCTGTTCTGGACAAGCTGGCAGGCGTTCGAGTTTTGCCAGTGTGACTGTACTATAGAAACTAATAAAGACACACTCATCTTATCTGCAACTCATCTATCATTTGCGCGAACTTCAAAACTTTATAATCGTGGCCTAATTGTCCGGCCACTTGGAAACCTACCGATCTTCCAAGTGGGATGTTAATTGCAGGAAGTCCAGCAAGAGAAAATGGGACGGTCAGGATATCGTTCATATATGACTCCACGGGAGTGACTTTTTGGTATTGCGACACAAGAGGAGGCAAAGAGGTAGCAGTTGGGCACAAAATGAAGTCAATGCCATCAGGATTGTGGTTTTTATTCAGCATGTGTGGCTCTTTGAAAACTCTATTGAACTCTTGAATCAGCTTAGACCTTACATTGGTAGCATTCATGAAATGACTTTTGTAACCATAAGAGGACAAAGAATACGACCCCAGAATTATCCGACGCTTAACTTCAACACCGAATCCCTCGGATCGGGTTTTGGCAAACTCTGGCTCGACACTGGTATATTCGCCGGTGCGATATCCGTATCTTATTCCATCGTATCTGGCTAAATTAGAAGATGCCTCAGAAGTCACCAGAGTGTAATATGCAGGGAGGCTCTTCGAAAGTGAAGGCAGAGATATCAGAAAGAGCTCAAATTTGGGGGATTTTTGCAGCTGTTTGAGCATCTTCCTCCATTTTTCTTTCACATCATCTTCCAGGTTCCCCAAGCTCATCTCGGCAGGGATACCTATTTTAATTTTGGAGTTCAGATTGTCGTCATATATTCTGTTCTCTTGTGAGACTGACGTGGGGTCTGAGCTATCGTACTTGTCTAATACACCAAATACTCTCCTGACCAACTTTATGTCTTTAGACATAATGCCAATTGTGTCCAGCGATTGAGCGTATGGTATCAACCCCCATCTTGAGATTCTTCCGTAAGATGGCTTGAAACCGAATATGGATGTGTAGCATGATGGTAATCTGACTGACCCTCCAGTATCTGTTCCTACAGCATAGTCTACTAAATCAGCTGCAACCGCCGCAGCAGATCCTCCTGACGATCCACCAACAATCCTCATTTCAGGGTCAACTTTGTAATCCGATTTGAGTTCAGAAACTAGGTAATTTCGATGCAAATAAGTGTCTGTGTGTGGATTCTCGAAGGTAAGGTCCTCGGTTATTTTTTCACCTCTGGTCCAGAACTCCTTTTCCTTAAGATCTACTATGTCTGATTTTTGTTCGTACAAAGGATTCAGGGTGGGCCCAAAATGCGAATTCAAACAGGAGTTCCCCATGCCAAATTCGTCCATGTTTGTCTTCCCCACTAGATGCGAACCCTCCTCGGCCAATAGTCTGCTTACGGTAGATTCAAATGGAGAGACATAATTGGTAAGAATTCTCGAGGAGCATGTTGTAGGCGCGTCACGAGTAACGATATTGTCCTTCAAGGCATAGGAAGTATTTGCCAGTGTGCCCACTGAATTGCTTTCTGACTTTGTGAGAGCTATACTCGTAAATATATTGTATTTGAGACTCAACTGTCGTAACATCATAAAAAAAAAATATTTATTGGGTTGTACATTTCACGATGGGTCAAATCAAAGTGGTGCCTCGGCTAAAACCATTACCTTATTCATCCCAGGATTTGCAGCTGGAGCTTCGAAGACCAATTTTGAATAAACAAGCGGCTTTCGAAGACATCGAATTCCACTCTAATGATGACAATCCAAATAATAAAAGAGCATTCAAATATAAACCATGTCGTCCAAACCCTGCATTCACGTCAATGATGTACTCTACAACGGATTTTCCACCATTCTATTGCCGACTTTCGTATTTTGATAAGTCTCCAGGAATTTTAGTCGACGAGAATTTGACCACTGCTACTGCTCTTCAAGGATGGAGAAGCGCGAGAGCGAATGCCGTAATCAGAGAGGGAACTTGGTATATCGAGTTTAGACTCATCAAGTCTAATGATGGAGAAAGCCATGTTAGATTTGGAGTTGCTAGAAGAGAGGCTAGCCTTGAAGCCCCTGTAGGGTTCGATGGATACGGCTATGGATTTAGAGACAAGTACGGACAGACGGTTCATTTAAGCAAGCAAGGCAGCTTCTTGCAGAACGACCAATTCCAGACCGGTGATGTTGTTGGACTGCTCATCAAATTACCTCATATGGAGACGCAAAGGCGGTTGGCAAGACAGCAAATCCACCAACAAACAGTTGGGCAACCCAATATTGATATTCCTGTTCAGGAGCTCGTTGAATTTGACGTTGTGCGGGATCAAATTCCGATCAAATATAAAAACCAGCTTTACTTTGAGCAATATGATTATACTGCATCAAAAGAGATGGAGCATCTTTTGAACCCTGTGACGGTGTTTGGAGAAAAAGCGGTGAGAGACACGGTAAAATTCGAGCCCTGCAAACTTCCCAATTCTTCAATAACAGTGTACAAAAATGGGAAGTGTTGTGGAGTTGCTTTCAAGGATCTGAATGCATTTCTGCCGCCTTCCTCCGAACAGAAACAAGGCAAGGAAGTGAAAGGCAAGATTCCTGAAACTAAAGATGATGGCACGCTAGGTTATTATCCAATGGTCAGTTGCTACAATCGGGGAGTGATCCAATTGAACACTACCTCCAACATTCTTGTTCCTGACGATCTCAAAGACGCAATCTCCAGGAAAGAAGTCAAATTATACAATGAGAGATATGAGGAGCGTGTTTTAGAGGAATATGTGTACGATCTTGTGGACGAGGTGACCAACGAGTATTTAGACGAGATAGAGCGCATGAGCATACTTCAAAATTAATAGAAGCTGAGCATATTTTCAAGAGAAGAATCACAGTCGTCAGCGGGGCAGGTCTGGGTTCGATGCGATTCGGTATACAAGTCGCGACAGTGTTCGTGAAAACGGATATAACATCGTGACCTGGAACACCGATACCCCATTGTTATGATCTCGTTACAGCCATGACACCATGACACTGCTCCATCTGGGTTCTCAGCCGACTTGATCTCGAATTTGGCAATTAGATATGACTTCAGCTCAGCAAGAGCACGCGCGCTGAGAGTGTATTTTCCTTTCGCAGTTTCGAGCCATCCTGAGGATTCCAATTTGTTGATGAATTTTTGCGCGTCGGTAATAGTTTGGATGTTTCGTTTCGCAACATTGAGTGCTTGTGTGTAAGAAAGAGAATATGTTAAATTATCCTCATCGTCTAATGGGCTTTCGAACATTTGATCGATCAGCTGATTGATCACACTAATCTCTTTTTCCGTGTAGCTCGTAGACAACTTAATAGACGGCGACGATTTGGTGTTCACAAAGCTGACATTGATGTTTTTTTCGTTATCTTGGGCCAGGGTCTCGACTATTTCGAGATCAAGCGCCGCGAGTTCTCGGTTGATTAGTGCAAGAGTTTTGACTAAACTTTCAGAAGTAAGCGTTGGTAGCTCAGGTCGGGTCTGCTCGAGCAATTCGCGTAAATACCTCTCTTGATCTGAGTTTGATGGTTCAGGATGATTCTTCTCAAGCAAACACTGTATGACAAGCTTCACAAAAATGGTGTGCAATACTTCGAATTCTACACTTTTCACAGCCATTAGGAACTGGAGTAGTGAGCGATGTAGGTCTCCGTACTCCTCCAATATGTGGGTCACCAAAGACTCCATCGTGAAATCTGTGCAAAGATGTGGGAAAAAGTTGTGAGCATACATATTTTTTTCGGAATTGTTTGTTGGCGACATTAGCAGACGTCCAAGATGTCCTACTACCAGCAGCCAAATCTCGGCTTTTACAATGGTCAATCACAGCAAAGTCTATACAATGGATCAATTCCTACAGGGCCTATGCAAACAAGCTACTCCTATGCTGGAGGAGACCAAGATCAACCACCTTTGAGCAAAGGTGTTCTCGCAGCTTTCTCCACCAGTGGCTACCCGGGGGAACCTCCATTGCTAGAGGAACTGGGGATCAACTTCAATCACATCAAATCTAAAACATTAGCTGTTTTGAACTTCAAATCCAGTAGTTTGAGTGAAGATATCATTCAGGACTCAGATTTGGCTGGACCACTCATATTCTGTCTGCTGTTTGGTACCCTGCTTCTGCTTTCAGGAAAAACACATTTTGGATATATATACGGTGTGGCGTTATTTGGAACAGTCTCGCTACACTGGTTGTTCAAACTCATGTCGAACAGCACCTCGGACAATAATCTCGACTTCCTCAGAACCGCGTCGGTTATAGGATACTGTCTGCTTCCGCTTGTTATTCTCAGTGGCATCGCGGTCCTCATGCGGTTGGACAATACTGTTGGTTATGTTTTAGCGTGCTTGGCTATTTTTTGGTGCACGTTCTCTTCATCGGGTTTTTTCGTTCGTGTGCTCAATCTGAGTAATGCCAGACCTTTGGTAGCTTACCCTTTGGCGATGTTCTACTCTGTGTTTGCCCTGATGGCTATATTCGTGGAGAAAAAAGAATAATTATCTTACAAGTGCGCAATACATAGAAATAGTACAGTATAATCTACTTGAGGCCGACGTCTCTCAAATCGTAAGTCCCTTCCAATCGAGGAATCAAAACCTCGTAGTCATAAGTTCGAGAGTTTGTGTCCCTCATGTCGACCTCGAAATGGAAGGTGGTCACGAGAGAATCTGGACCCATAGGATAGCCGATCTTTTGGGGGGAGTAGCTACCATCGCCAATGCTTTCTGCTTTCTCTAATGCATCAGATGGCCCTGGATGGATCAAATCTCCTGGGCGGAACTTGCTGTAACGCTCTGTGTTCTTGATATTCTTGAACGGAATAAGATCTGCGTAGTTCCGTTTATTCAAAAACAGGCAGTTGTCTCTGGCAGAGCCATCCGTGTCCCTTACAAATAAATCCACGACGTCTTCGTCACAACTAGAGTCAAAGTGGTGAATTTTGGATCTCTTCTCAAGCAGGGTTGCCATGCCATTAGGCGGCGGAGTGTTAACAATAGCAGAGGAAATGACATTGAAGATAAGTCTTGGATCGTGTTCTGGATGCGCCAAGATCTCCTTGCGATTCTCGTCTATTCTGCTGCTGAAGATGTGGTGTTTGTGCATTTTCGTCATCATTCGTGAAAGACAGCCAAGGTGAACGTCACCGGAAAGAATGGTGATTCTGACACCGTGTGTCCCGGCGAATTTTGTCAATTCTCCCATCAGCCAGTTGCGTTCTTTCTTATGGTGAACAGCACACCAATGATCGTTCAAATCGTCCAGTAATTCGACACTACCGTCAAACTCGTTGACCAGGCCCTTGGCAAATATTCCTTTTCTGGCCAACCACTTGATAGGACCCATAGCAGCAGACCCCAAAATGGACTCGATCCACACCATTCTAGGGTAGCAAATCGGAACACCAAGCAAGACAAGAAGGTGTTTGATGTCACCTTTAGATGCGGTTATTTCTTGTCTTAATCTCTCAAACACACGAGCATAGGTTTCTCTTGTAACAACTTGTTTTTTCGTTCTTTCCGTTCTACAATCCACTCCAACTAGGGCCATCTCTTTTCCTAACCTTGTATAAATAGATCTGGACAGCTGTTTAATGTAAGGACCAACAGAAGCTCCCACAATCCAAGAAGGTTCGGACTTGTAGTCTTCTATAGGAGAGGTGTGATGCTGGAATAATAAATAATATTGGAATGCAATGTTACCAACGCCTTTGAAAATATCCTGAGTCATGGTACGATGGCTGTAAGAGCCAAAACCATCAATGATGTCATGGTCGTCAAAAATGTTAATTTGAGGAATTTGTTGCAAGGCCAAAGGGTAGATGCACTGCAAAGTCGCACCCGCCGTTCCTTCCCAATACCCTTTACCAAACCACTGTATGTAATTAGACAGGTAATAATTCTTCAGAGAGTCAACAATATCATCAGTGAGCTTGTCGTTAGAATGCAGTTTCTTATGTTTCAGCCATTTTTCAAAAGGTTTGGAGGATTTCTTCACAGAGTCACAATAGATTTGATCACCCCCTCCAACCATGACATGATATGGCAACTCATTGTGTCTGCGCATAACATCGTACCACAAGGAGCTCTTGAATTTTGCAGTTTTGACACTCAGTGAAAAGCCGTTACATGAATAAGACATAACATTCATGGATTGTTCGACAGAAGGCAGATAGAATTGAAAGTTCTCGTTGTACTCGCCATTGACAGAATACTTCACTTTCTGTTCATAATCTTGCAATTGCAATTCCATGCTAAATCTCCAGAAGCTAAAACCCTGTTCCTGGTGAAATAAAATTCCCGGAAACTCACCCTTGCTCAACTGGGGAGAGCCAGTAGAATTGGTAGCAGGCCCAATATAATACTCAATAAAAGGCTCCACCCTTTCAGTCTCCGTGGCGTCGCGCAGAACAAGCAAGATAGTTCCCCTGTAATTGGTTTTGCCGTTTTCAAGGCAACCCAATAATCTCAGGTTCGGTCCGCAAGCCACCTGCACTGCAGGGTTACCCACTGTTTTATCTGGAGGACAGCCAGAAAGATTTTCAGGGATAGATTTCATCACTAAATCCTGGTATTTTTGCAACGGCAGGGGCTCGAACCACCCATTTTCAATTGCATCGACAGTCATCAGAGGCGTGTGTATAAATTTCAAGTTCAAAAGCTTTCATGCCCAAATAAAGTTTTTTCGCGAGGCTGTGCATGACTAGGAAGGTGCATGAAACAGAAACACCAGAATAATCAATGTTGTACTTACTACACGCAGTAATTGTAGTCGCTGGTAAGGCCACCTTTGGATATCACCTCGGCCATATTGCGAGGTTCGTGAATTATCTAGTGCAATAGATATATAAACTAGGAAATGATAGGTTTAAGTAACCAACTCATGATAAGAAGCTATCTCCGAAGATAATAAAGTACACTACATGGTGAAAGTGACGTAAGAAATTTTTCCCTATAAAGACCCATGAAATACTAATCGAAAAGACCCGATATTCGTGTAGCACAGCCATGATAAATTGAAGATAAATTTGCACCCCCTAAAAACCTAGCGCAAAAAAGTATATCAAAAATGTCGCAAGCTATCAAAGGAACGATTCTATGTTTGCATGGCTACGCCCAAAATGGACCAACTTTTTCTGTTAAAGCTTCAGGTATCAGGAAAGCCTTGAAGAAAATTGGATACCACACTGTCTTCGTTCAGGGGTCTCTAAAGATTCAAAAAGCTGACTTGCCATTTGAGGTCCCCCCAAGCGAGAATGCCGAGGACGAATTTGATTATCGCGGATGGTGGCAACCCCTTGGCGACTATGATATCCAACCAGCTCTAGATGCAGTGAGGAAACATTACAAAGAACATGGACCGTTCGTTGGTATCATGGGGTTCTCTCAAGGTGCCGGTTTGGCTGCTGTTGTGTGTAGTAAATACGCTGAAATTGTTGGACAGCCAAAGGCAAGCAAGGAGCTCAAGTTTGCGATATTCTATGCCGGATTCAAGCTCAAACCTCAAAAATACCAAAAATATTACGAGAACAAAATCAAGCTTCCAACCCTTCATATTTTCGGAGAACTTGATACTGTGGTTTCTCCTGACAGAGCTGAAGCCCTTGTTGAAAGCTGCGAGAACGCTACTGTCTTAAAACACCCTGGAGGACATTTTGTTCCAAATACTAAGGATTTGATTAGAAAAGAGATTGCTTGGGTGGAGAACGTTTTAAGCGAGTCAAATAAAGAAAAGCTCGACTCTAACAAGGACGAGGAAAAAGAGCTTGAGGAGTTGAGTGAAGAGATTGGAAAGATGGGTGTCGCATAAATAAATCGCACTTAGATAAGCAGGCTTATTTCCTCCCTTTATCAAGTAGTTTCAAAAATAATTTGTTGGCTGCTAGGTAAAATTGTTAGTTTTCTTAGTCTTTTTCCTGGTTCGTGCAAATATTTAGCCATGCCTGATGAGGAAGAAACTCCCTTAATTCCTGTTGCAACAAATCCTGTTAAGGAATCTCTCCCTCCTTTGAGGGTTAGACTGTTCCAGGTTGGGTGCGCATTGACGTGGTGCTTGTTTGCCGCAGGCCCTATTTTCGGATTTGCTGCATTAAAACCTATCTTGATCGACCAAGGCATTTACCGCGAGTACTGTAAAGAAAACGTCGATACCGGAAATAACAACATGTGTGCAGAGCGTGACCTGAAACTCAACTTTATGTTTACTATCGCGGCAGTTGTCACCAACGCTACAGCTTTCGTAGTTGGACGAGTGCTTGACACTTTCGGACCAAGAGTGACAGGAATTATTGGTGCAATTGTGATATTCTTTGCAGCAATAAGTCTTTCGCAAGGACAATCGATTAGTATCTTTGATCCTTATCTTGCAGGCTACATAGGGCTTGCTTTTGGTGGTCCGTTCGTCTTCATCAGCTCGTTCCAGTTAGCCAACTCGTTCCCTGGAAGATCGGGTACCGTGCTAGCTTTCCTCACTGGAGCATTCGATTCCAGTTCAGCAGTGTTTCTCATGTACAGACTTGTGTACCAGAACAATTGGATTCGGGACTTGAGTCTCAAGAAGTTTTTCACTGCTTATCTGATCGTGCCGATTTTCATACTGGTGTGTCAGCTCACAGTGATGCCTAAAAAGTCCTATAAAACAGTGGAAACTTTGGCTAAGATAGGCGAAACAGGAATCGACGAAACCGGTCTCCCGATGGATCCTGAAGATCTCAGATATTCTCAGGCCCAGGTTGATGCTCAGAGATCGCGTAGGCCATCTATTAAATCCGTGAGATCTAATAGATCGGCCAAGTCAGTTTATGAAGAGGTTGCTGAGAACCGTCTGTATGAAAAATCAGGAGGTGTTTCTGGAGTGCTGCATAATAAACCCTTGAAGGAACAAATGACTTCACCATGGTTTATCCTTATGGTTTGTTTTGCCACCATTCAAATGCTCAGGGTCAACTATTTTGTGGCAACTATAAGGTCTCAAATGGAGTACTATTTCCAGGACGAGGCAATTGCGGTTCAAATTAACAAGTTCTTCGATGTTGCTCTTCCTGTTGGAGGCGTGTTTGCCATTCCTTTCATTGGAATTTTACTGGACAACTTTAAAATTGTGACAGTGCTTTCGGTCTTGCTTCAAATCTCACTTTTGATAGGAATTTTTGGAATGATTCCTTTGCAGATGGTGCAATACCTGGGCATCGTGATGCTCGTGTTTTATCGCCCATTTTACTACACAGCCGTCTCTGATTACTGCGCCAAAGTGTTCGGCTATCAAACTTTTGGAACCGTTTATGGGTCCATCAATTGTATCTCTGGATTATTCAATGTGCTTCAGGCCCCTCTTGACAATGCTACGCATACCATATTCAAAATGAATCCCAATCCCGCGAACACGCTACTTGTTGGACTGACATTCATAGCCGGTCTTGCGCTTATCAGTTACATCAAAGGGCAAGAAATCGAACTGAAAAAGAGAAACATAATACATGAAGCTATGCACAGTGAAGTTGTGGAAATAGGAGATTAAGGTGGGACCCCACGTAAAAATGAAAATAAAAATTGCACCGCCGCGGAGGCTGGTTATCATGTCAAAAAATTTAATTGTAGCATGAATATTTATACTACAATCTAAAAGGTGGCGAATATACACTCTTCATTTATTAGTTGAAGTTTGATCCAGTAGACTTGAACCATAAAATCCTTTTCAGGAGTTCAACGCATATTTGCAAAAAATGGCGCCTCAATGGATGCCTCAAAACATACAGAAGAGGTTACTGAAATACATCCTTCAGCAGCTCTCCTTATTTTCCGAGATTGATCTACCTAATTTGGATGTCTCCCTGGGCACAAGCTCCAAAATAAATCTCCGGAATCTGGAGTTAGACATTGACAAGTTCAGCATACCAGGAATGTACATGAGAAGCGGGTCGATCGAAACGCTTGCTCTCTCCCTTACGATTAGCGATGGTGTCAACGTCGATTGCGTCGGGGTAAATATTACCCTCACTCCATCGTTAACTCCTGGAAAACCAAATAGCACAGATCAATTCTCCCTTGCGAAAAGCACAGCCGATCTCGCGAACAGCGTTATGTTTGAAGACAATGTTGTGGAGGACGAAGATATCAAAGAGACCGCTTCACTTGATTCTAATTCGATTCCAACAGAAACGAAAGACTATAAAATGAGCAATATGATGGCAAAGGCTGCAGATATGGCTTTGTCAAGGCTACAACTATCGATACGCGACATAAAAATTACCATGGTACTCGAGGCTTCTGTTATGGAAGTGTGCATTGATACGGTCACCTTGGTATCAAAAGAGGGGACTAGGTACATCACAGTTGAGGGAATGAAGTTGAACGCCATCAAACCGGAAGTTTATCCGGGAGAGGGAGTGGATAATGATAACGAATCAAAAGAAAAGGACAAAAGCGAGTCTGACGAGAGCGATTCTGAGGACTATGACGATGAATTATTGCAAACCTCGTTTATGGCAGAAAACAAGGAAGATATTCAGAAATCTTTGATGGAGAGCATGATGTTTGCAAGTCAGACATCTGAGTCCGTGTACATGAGTGCGACATCTAATGTATTCTCTTCGATTCCAAATGGGGCTTCTACCTACGAACCTCCCCAACCATCAGCTGTTTGTGTTGCCCATATCAGTGAATGCAGCTTCCAGTTTGATGGACTTCAAAACATAGAGAATGTGCAAGTGGACGTGGGGCATGTTAAAGTCGCGGCCTCTCCAATTCCTGAATGTTTATCGTCAGTCTTACAATCAATCAGAAATCTTGTGAGGCTTTCAGCAATTAGTACTACTGATAGATCTGAAGACACTGATAAGGAAAGCGAGCCTACTAGCATGACTCCGTTGAATACCTTAAAGATTGATGAGATAAGTGTTAGTTTTGAATCAGCACTATTGAGTAACGGACAGTTTGCTCTTGACAATAGCATTTGCTTATCATTCAGTGATATACGCTTTGAACAGAAAAATGCTTCTTTCTCCTTTGGTTCCATCGCAAAAATACGACTATCAAGGAATGACAGCGGAGCAGATCTCTTTAGCTTTGATAACTCTCGCGCATCGAACGTTGCGGACCTCGGTCTTGAAATGCTGAATAACGATGCTTCTCGAATCACTTTGATATGCCCGAAGGCTGCCAATCTTGTTGTCGATGAACGACTATTAACTTTGGCAGCACGTTACTACTCATTGATGGAACCTGTTGTAGAGGCTCTTGTCTCAGCTACATCTATGAAGGCTCCTAATGCATACTCAAACATGTATACATCCCGCTTCTCTTTACCGGATACAACAAATAACGGAAGATCTAGCGAGTTTCACGCACAGATTTCATCTATTCACATCAAGCTTCAACTCAATGACTTTGACATCACAACTACTATTCTTCCGATAACTTACGATTCTCAGGAGGGTCGCTTTGATACTAGCAACATTCTTTTTGAATACAGCGATGCAACGGTAGAAGAACAATATGCCTCTAACCAGTTCTTGATGATATCCAATATTGAAACATCTACGACAGGTGTTAAGAAAATACGATCTTTTGATTCCAGCTCGCTTCAGGAAATATGGCTCAAAAGCAAATCGAAAACTATAATTGAAAATGTTACTCTGAAGCTTGATTTTGACGTCATGATGAAACTGATAAATGGCTTTGGAAGACTTGTTGACTTAGTGTACAAATCCATGGTGATTTCACCTCCAGTAACAAGGCAGAAAAAAGTAAGAATGGGTAGTAGTTTGTTTCTCAACGCTACCAAAATGCTCAAATACTGCGTTGAAATCAAACAATGCTCAGGAACATTCTCCAATATTTGTCCCAATTTTGGGGATTTGAAAATCTTCCTGAAAGATATATTTGTGAACTTTCTGCAAGATGCAACTTTACACGCCTATGTTATGAATGGGCTCATACAAAGAGTATGTGAATCAATACATGAGTCATTGTTGGAAGCAGCAGATCCCAAAAACAAGGGGTATCCGATGATCTTTGCAAAATTCAAAGATAACCTGGGGGTGCACTTCAAAAACTGCTCATTCAATTATTATGGAGAATGGATCACTCTTCTAGAATCCAGAGAGAAGAGTCGAGATGAAACTGATCGGGGCTCATCGGCATCCTCTTCTACCGGCAAAAAACGTCAGGTTAATTTTACCTTTGCTGATGTTTCGATAGGTCTTGTTCCAGTCAGCTTAAAATCAAAAATTGAGCTTGTTATTAAAAAAGGGATTGCCGACCTCTTGATTGATATTGATGGGCGCTCGAAACTGCAATCTTCATTTAGCTCCCTAACTCTGCTACTAATTGATGATGTGGCCAATATTCTCAGCGACAAAGAAAGTAAATCATTGAGGCACTGGATTAAAGCGAACAGCAATCATGCTGTCTGGACGCTCAATGCTATTTTGAAAAGCAAGGGTTTTGTCCCTGTGGGTTATATTTCATCTCTGTTTCTGAATTCAACATTTGAAAGTGAAAGTCATTTGGAAGAGAGTATGCCACAGGCATTTTCCGGTCGAAAGATCTTTCCTTTAGTCGATATAAAAATACATACTGATGCATTGACCATGGACGTTTGTGCAGACTCGTCCCAGTGTTTGATCCAGACTTTAAAAGACCTGACGCAGCCTGTGCAATTCTCATTCACTGAAAAGTATAAACCGATGACAGATGAAATGGAAGTTTTTAAAGACATTGATGAAACAATGTTCTCAGCGCCGGTAAGTGGACATGTTGGCAATCTGGAGGAATCTGAGATTGCTGACAACGAAAAGTTGGAAATCGTCGAAGACTTTTACAACAAGAATTTAAATGCCGATTCAGGGGAGCAATCAGCCACACGCTCTGGTAGCTTGGCTAATAGCAGTACCAAATCAGGTGCCATGTCCAAAATCATTTTTGATGATAATCATTTCGAACATTCTGGTGAAGAGTTCACGACGAAGGTTATACCAATGGCTATTGGAATCAGTATCTCCAATGTTACAATCAAGCTTTATGATGGCTATGACTGGAAAGAGACGCAGACCACAATCAAGAACGCTATTCGACGTGTTGAGGATAAAGCTGCGAAGCTAGGGGACAACATTAATGAAGTGACCGAGGGTTCCATCAACCAAAATGTCCCCTCGGCTTCTGATGATTCCAATGAGTTAGATGCGGAGGCCGTGAATGAAGTACTATACGAGTCGATCCATGTGGGACTCTTTGCTGGTCAGGATCCTCAGTCATTTTACGATAATATCAATAAGTCGATCAGCAATGGTACCGATCCAGAGAACGTAAGCGAGCGTAATATGTTGTCTCCAGGCTCTTCGTCGCCTGCGTCAATCAGCACTACTAATAGCACTCGCTCTGCAGCGCCCTCTCATAATATCGAACTAGGCAAGGGCTCAAATAGGAGAGTGCGTTTGAAAAGATCTATATATCATAAGGTTCTAGTTGAGCTAGAAAACCTTGATCTATCGATCCTGACCATGGCTAATAATGAACCACATCCAACCAAGAACTCTATAGACTTCAGTGACGACGAAAACAAAGATGACTCGGAACTCGTCAGCAGAATTGATCTGAGTGTCGGATCCTTCAGAGTGGCAGATAATGTGCCCACGTCAAGCTGGAATATGTTTGTGGGTTATCTGCGTGAAGCTGGAGATAAAGAACTTGGCTCCAGTATGATTCATGCTGTGATCGACACTGTTCGCCCTGTGTCGTCACTGGCGGCTTCTGAATTGGTTATTTCTGTATCCGTGCTTCCGCTGAGACTTTATGTGGACCAAGATACTCTTGATTTCTTGACCAGATTTGGTGAGTTCAAAGATGACCGTTTCACTCCCCCAACTTTAGATGAGGAGGAGGTCTTCATTGAAAAGTTTCAAGTCAACTCCGTGAGGATCAAACTTGATTACAAGCCTAAAAAGGTTGACTATGCTGGAATTAGGTCTGGTCATACTACAGAGTTTATGAACTTTTTCATTCTTGACGAGTCGGAGATGATTTTGAAGAAACTGGTGCTTTATGGAGTGCCGGGATTCACTCGTTTGCACAAGATGCTTAATGACTTGTGGATGCCAGACATCAAAAGAAATCAGCTTAGTGGGGTTCTTTCAGGTCTTGCTCCTGTGAAATCAATTGTGAAAATTGGATCTGGCTTTAGAGAATTGGTAGCTGTGCCTTTGAAAGAATATGAGAGAGATGGCCGTGTGGTAAGAGGTCTGCAAAAAGGTGCACTTTCATTTGCCAAAATAACTGGTGGCGAACTGCTCAAATTCGGCGTTAAACTTGCTGCTGGAACCCAAAATATACTGGAGTCTACCGAAGGTGCTTTGGGAGGAGACGGCTCCGCTGTCAGACTACCAGGATACAAAAAAAACCAAAAGTCCCGAAGACGAACATCACCAAACGAGGTCATCTACGCGACTCCAGGGGACAAGTCTTTATTACGTCGCAATACCATGGGTGGCTCAGCGTTCCATCGAAACTCGTTTGATTCCTATGGTGAGGAGGAAGAACTCTTAGAAGAAGGTTCAACACTGGATGAAGCTGGGACACAGGATGCTGAGCAATACCAGAAATCTAGGTTTCTTGTCCCTGCTGTATTCAAGAGTACTGCTGAGCTTCCTGATGTGTTGGAGAGCGATAGTGATCTAGATGACTATTATGACGAGTCTGACAATGAAGGTCAGAAAATTGTTAGTCTGTACTCAAATCAGCCGGAAAATTTAAACAAGGGTTTGCAAACGGCTTATACTTCGCTGGGAAGGAACTTAAGCACTGCTCGTGAAGCAATAGTGACCGCAAGCACGCGTGCTGCACGGAGCGGTAGTGCACAGATTGCGGCCCGGGAGTTGGCCAAAGCCACTCCTATCATGGTTATTCGTCCAATTATTGGAACTACAGAAGCGATATCCCGGACACTTCAAGGAGGCATTAATATTCTTGATCCAGAAGAGAAACGCAGGTCGGAAGAAAAGTACAAGAATACGAAGAACGAAGCTAGCTGAGTTTTTGCAACCTTATGTAACAAAGAACAGGTATGAGGAATAAAGACTACTCTGATGTCAGAACAACCTTGATTGCCTTGCTTTTTCCAGGGTTTGAGAAAACTTCATAAGCTTTCTCAAATTCATCGAGCTTGAAATGGTGGGTTGCCAGAGATTCAGGATGGATCTTACCATCAACGATTTTCTGCAACAAGTCGGCAGTGGAATAAGCTGAAACCAATCCGGTGGACAAGGTCACGTTTTTCCCCCACAATTCCTGCAATTTCAACTGAACTGCGCTTCCGTGAACACCAACGTTCGAGATATGGCCTCCGGGACCGATCAGATCTTCGCACATTTCAAAAGTTTGTGGGATACCAACACACTCCATTGCAACGTCAACACCTGAGTTTTTGTACTCGGAAGCTGTAAGCTCATGGACCTTTTCCTTGGCGTCCGTCTTTGAAGGGTTGATTATTTCGTCTGCTCCCATTCTTTTCGCAACCTCAAGTCTTGAGTCGTCCATGTCGATTGCGATGATCTTGGCTGGATTCATTGACTTAGTTGAAATCAAAGCGGAAAGTCCAATCGGACCTAGCCCGACAATTGCCACACTATCGCCTTCCTTAACTTTACCGTTGAGCACACCGACTTCATAGGCTGTTGGAAGAATATCGCTCAGCATGATCAGGGCGTCGTAAGAGATCCCTTTCGGGACCTTGTACAAGCCATGATCAGCAAATGGAACACGAACATACTCTGCCTGTGTTCCGTCAATAGCATGACCTAAAATCCAGCCACAGTGAGTATCGGTTTCTCTGCAGTGAGCTTGAATGTTCCTCTTACAGTAATAACATTCACCGCATGGTGAAATGCAGGACACGATGCAAATGTCTCCTTTCTTGAATTTGGAGACTTTGGAACCTGTCTCTTCAATCTCAATGATACCTTCGTGACCTAAGATCAAGCCCCGTCCTGGTTGCGACTCAGCACATTCTGTGCATTCAGGCACATGTCCTTTGACGATATGCAGATCGGTGCCACAAATGGTGGTTGCAAGTATCTTACCCACCACATCTGTTGGGAGCCTGATCTTCGGTTTAGGAACTGATTGCCAGCAGATTCCTTTATTGTGTCCTAAGTAACAAAGTGCTTTCATCATTGTTTATAGTGTTGGGAGCTACCCACAAGAAAACTAGGAGTTTATATTTCCAGTAGGTTAAATTGGAGTGGTCTGAACGTCACTTGTGGATGACCTGTCGTTTCCCTAGATGCGGCAAGATTGAACGAATCAGAGTTTTTTATAAAATGGCGCTACCCTCCCCAGTACATATCGGAGTGGTGTAATACCCATATTCAGTACAAACTCCGGGCATATCATACGTCGAACATGCGGGGCACTGACAATAGATTAAACGAGAAGCTGCTGATTACCGTAAAGTCACGAATTGAGTACCAATTCTTCGTATGCAGCCGCGAAGAATACAATAGGGATGCATTTTCAGATGCATTTATCACATCAGCTGTTCCACTGCAAGAAATTTCAGGTGCAATGATTACTTTGTCTATGCTCAGCATAGTCCCCTGAGAGAGGGAGATAAGAGAAGATGGCAGTCTGGCCGAGTGGTCTAAGGCGTCAGGTTAAGGTCCTGATCTCTTCGGAGGCGTGGGTTCGAACCCCACGGCTGTCATTTGTTTTTTTTCTAAAACTTTTTCGCTAGTCAATATGTCCAGCCAGGCAGTGCAGCTGGGAGTCAGCAACAGCCGTGATGCTACATTTTAGCTTGTTGCATTGTCCCAATTTCAAGGTCGTAGATTACAAAATTACACACCTTCTTTTCTTCTTCTTTTTGGCATCAGCAGCTGGTGTTGGCTTAGCGGCGGCCGGCGTAGGCTTTTTCTTACCCTCAGATGGCTTTCGAGCTGAAACGGGTGAAGGCACGTCTTCTTTCTGACGAGAACCAGATCCTGATGTTCCACTCGACGCTTGGACTTCCTTTCTGATTATTTGCCGCACAACATCAATGAATGCGTCTTCTACATTCATTTTGTACATTGCTGAGGCCTCATAAAACGGCGTTCTATTCCATTTCTTGGACACCTCGATTCCATCTTCGGGTGTGACTTCCCGCTCATTCGTGAGATCGCACTTATTCCCCACAAGAACCATGGGAACATTAGACGATTCCTTGATGCGCATGACTTGTTCGCGTATTGCCATGAGCTCTTCCAGAGAGCTTTTGTCGGTGACCGAGTAAACCAAAATAAACCCCTGTCCTGACTTAATATACAGTTCTCTCATTGCCGTGAACTGGGCCACACCTGCGGTGTCTAATATCTCTAGATTACAAGCTCGGCCATCAACCTCAATATCCTTTGTGTAAGAGTCCTCTATGGTGGGATCGTAAGATTCGATGTAAACTCCTTGAACAAATTGAACCGTTAGTGAAGACTTTCCAACACCTCCAGCTCCTAAAACAACTAATTTGTAGTCTTGCATGTTAGTCCTATCTTCTTCATGATACACACATACCTCTCATACTGAAGAAATATGAATTTAGTTGCAAACAGGTATTCTGAAATGGCGCAACGATCTAGCGTTCCTGTTGATGTCCCTTTTCGGAAAAATAAAATTTATTACAGTATTTTTTAAATTTCACTGAAAACTAAATAGATCATTGAGCTTCATTTTATAATATACAAACAAAAATACATCGAGTATATAAGTTGCTTTCTACGATACAAGTTTCCGTGGTCTCCCTCTTGGACGCTTGAGGTAATCATGATTGCCATTTTTGGCCCCGTCAAGCGATGAGGCCAGTCTTTTAGAGGTTGCAGGATCAGCATCTAGGGACTCGGAGGACTCTGAATCTCTGAATTTCACACGCTCAGATTTCACCAGTATATCATTCCCTGTGATAACCTTTTGCTCGATATTACCAGGGAAGTCTTGGTCCGAGTTAGGTTGCAAATTCTCTTCAAATGCTTTTCCTCTCTCTTTTTTCACGCTTGTTACAATACCGTTTTTCTTGTATCTCCATTGTTCCATAGGCGTGTTGAGAGCACAGTCGTCTACGTGCTCAATGAAAGCCTTGCTGCTGGCAAAGTATTTGCTACATGAAAGACATGTACCTGCATCTTGTCTTCTGACCAACCCGTCTCTTCCTTGTTCTTTAATCTCTGGATCAAAGTGGACAAGACGCAAATGTCTTTTCAGGACATCCAATCTATTAAAAGATCCCTGGTTTCTATGTGGGCACGTAGCATATTCAGGATGCCAGTAGGGACAGTGGTATTCTGGGTTTCCGTGAGATCTCGTGTGGCGGCGAAGGTCGCTGTGTCGAATAAAAGCCCAATCACATTGAGAGCACTTGTAAGGCTTTGTTTCGTTCTCGGGGTCAATAGACTGCAAACTTCTTTTGGTAGCTTCTGAGTTACCGTAGGGATTAGGTTTGAGGGAAGCGCCAGATTCGGAACCTTCTATATACGGGTTGGAAGCGATTATATTTTGTGGCGGTGTCTCAATGCCCGTTGAGGCCTGTGCTAACTGGCTGCCCTTTTGATAATATGGACTGTTTCCCGAAAAAGTTGGAAGTTTCAAAGCACCATTTGGTGACATCGCACTCGGCTGAACGTTGGAGGAAAATCTTTGCTGAGATATCTGCTGCTGCTGCTGCTGGGACGGATTGTAATAGGGGTTTGGAAAGAAAGGAATATAGTAGGCCTGCTGCATGTTCATTGGGTTCGGAGGAGGCAAAAAACTGGCACCGTATTGTTGGGGAGCTTGCTGTTGTTGTTGTTGCATGGAATAATATTGTCCGGCGCCAGTTTGTATGTTGGCCTGCTGAGCCGCTTGCTGATTCTGAAGACCGTTGGAAGAAAATGACGAGGATGAAGAGGCTGGTGTAGGCGCTGTGAACTGATTCGATGGATCCGGCTTCACATGCCCTCCCTGTGCCTGCTCGGAAGCAACTGCTCCTGGGTCAACGAGTTTGGCGATGGATGAATTTTTAACTGGCTTTGACATTGTTATTTATTTATTGAGCGGCAAGACGGTTCGGCCCAAAATAGTTGCTAATCTTCCAATAAGATACTGTTTCAGGTGAATTAGCCCAGGAGGTCAAAAAGCTGCTCGCTCTCAGTATTTTGCGAATTAGTATGAGAGATATATCGATTGAAAAAAGGGACTAATGTATTTATCAACAACAAAATTTTCTACTTTTAGTGTGTGGCGTTTTTCTTCCACTCTCGGAGTCACCGAATTTTAAACATGTCTCCGATTACAGTGAATTTACCAGTGAGAAGGACCATAAAACCAGGGCAATCAGTTCATGTGTTCAAATCGCTAGCTCTCGCTTTGGCAAGAGCATATTTGAAACTACTGGTATGCTCGGATGAAATTTTTTCTGGGCATCGCCGCAAACACACATTGCCATCTAAAAAAAGGAGATTGATATAATGTAAATTTCGATTTCATATATAGGGATGTGTGGTCAGTTAACCGGCACAGCACAACCAGGTAGCATTATGGTCATACTATTAATTACTATGCTTTATGGATTCCGATCTCATAATTTCGAAGCCGATATAGCCATGTACCTGATCCACATCGAGCCGCAGCCGTTACAAACAAAATATAAGGCTGTGTATATTGTAGCACCAGTCCTTACAGACATTTCAGTGAACTTTGCAATTAGTCAACGTTTGAACAGTACAAGGATCATCGTTTATTTCGCTACGCAACAATGAAGGCCGCTCATTCCCGAATACCACATTGCCGTTCGAGTCTGTATGAAGGTTTTCGGCAATACTTTTCCATTGGGAAAAGCTCAACCTTGCGAAACTCTCATGCTCATTTTTATGCCCTTCAAAATACAGCAAGGTGCCTAACGGAACACCTTCTGGAGCATCAACTATTTCAGCCTCGGAATTGTCAGCATTTGTGGCTGCTAGGAGCATTGCCTCTGACATTACACCACGCATTTTGCTGGGTTTCAAATTGGTCACCAGACAAACTCTTGAATGAAGCATGGTCTCAATGGGTATATAATCCACAAGTCCGCTGCAAACTTGAACAAATTTGGGGCTTTGTGGGTGCTCGGCTAATTGAACTTTTGAGACATATAGACGATCCGCATTTTCGTGTTTTCTCACTTCTATTATTTTCCCCACACGAAGCTCCGCTAACTGGGGAGAAACGCCGAAAGAGGATCCCGCTTTAGTAGAGTTTTGGCGAACCAAATGGAAAATCTTGCTTCTCCAAATGTTTGACATCTTCTATGCGAAATATAATGATTTGTGAGACAATAATATTCAGAAAATACGTACATACAAAAAACTATTTGAATTGGCCGAGTGGCACAATATTTGGAAGTGGCCCGAGAGGTGTGATGTGATGAGGATTAATTTCAATATGCGATTTGGTGTAATGGAATTTGATGTGACTAAAGTTGGTCGTATCCTTGAAAGATGGAATTGTCCAATATAGCTCTCTCAACCACTGATGAATGTGGGGATAATCATACCGAATCATTTTCAGGTTACATTTGAAATGTTGAACGTAGACCGGGTCAAAGCGAATCATAGTGGTGAATAACCTGACATCCGCCTCCGTTAAAATATTTCCCGTAAGGTAATGCTCGCCATTGCGATACCTGTGTCCCAAGATTTCTTCAACTTTGTCAAGATGCTCAAAGAGTGCCTTGACTTCTTTTTCATAAGGTTCTTGTTTAGTCGCAAAACCAGCCTTGTAAACTCCATTATTGATGTTTGGGTATATCCAGTCATTCAGGTCGTCAATCTGCTGCTGAAGGTCCGAGGGATATAGATCAATTTTTGCGTGATGCTCATCAAGAAGAGAGTTGAACTCAGAATTCAACATTCTGATGACCTCCGAGGATTCGTTGTTTACAATGGTCTGAGTCTTAGTGTCCCAAAGAACAGGAACAGTGATTCTACCATTGTAGTTTTTATCTGCTTTGAGATAGATTTCCTTTAGTCTTTTGACTCCATAAAGCTTGTCTGGAGTAGCACCCTCGCATGGGTCGTCTTCGGATGGAAATCTCCATCCTTTATCATCCATATGCCAATGGACAACGGAGACTCCAATTAGCGCTGTCAATCCTTTCAAAGCTCTAACAATCAAGGTTCTGTGGGCCCATGGACATGCAAAGGAGACATATAAATGATATCTTCCAGCCTCTGGTGGAAATTTAGCGCCAGCTTTGGAAGAGATGAAGTCTCTGAAAACGCTTGGCTTACGTTTGTATTCGCCGTCTTTGTCCGCAAATTTGAGGATGTCCACTTTAGTCTCACTCATACTGATCAATTGCTGGTCAGAAGAAATTGTTATACCTTAAATAGATTATTTAGTAGCAAACGTTGCTATTCAAAGAGGGAGAGGAATTTGTTTCATTTTATATCAATGATTCCGTAGCAAACGTTTGGTAGAATTTCAGGGGATTAGGTAATTATGACTAAACCTGGGGTAGCGCAATGGATATATCAGAAGAGTCTCCGAGGACCACACAGGTACACAAGCATGCTACTACTAGCGGCTCAATCATAGACCAGAGGCTAGATCGATTATCATGAGTGAATTTCTCTTGGCACAAAATTCATAGCAAAAAAACCGAAGTCGTACTTAAATTATTTCATAGAAATCAAATGGATCTAGTGATTGGTGAACCATTGTACATTCTAGGCAGAGATTGTGGATACTGTCATGGGAAGAAAGACAAAAGTAAGAAATCATACAGTTTGCAGTCATACGAGGAGGCTTACCGGGCGGGTGCAAGACCTTTTGATGAGTATCCCAACTCCAGCACTATATGCTGCCACGTCTATTCGTGCACCCCAGAAATTTATGAATTGATGTTGAACCGAGGATTCAGACGATCAGGAAGCTTTCTATACCGTCCAGACCTGCTCCGAAATTGCTGCAGATTGTACACAATTAGATCAAACTCAAATCTTTTGAAAGTCAATAAGGAACATAGACACAACGTGAATAGATTTGTCAGATTCATTACAGGGCAGGAAGCCAGAAATAAAAATAAACCGTTTGATCTGAAGACCGTATTGCTTTCAGCAGAAACAAGAACAACGTCATTCAGAACAATAATTGGCCCACCTAATTTCCACCCTGAAAAGTATGCACTGTACAAGAAATACCAAACAACGATACACAATGATGATCCCTGTGAAGTTTCGCAAAATGGGTTCAAGAGATTTTTATGCCAGTCCTTCTTTCCAGAGCAATACTCGGACTCTCGCTCCCCAGAGTACTGGACAAAGCTGAATCGCTGGCGGGAATCTCTACTTACAGAAATTGACGGCGAACAAGTGGAAGGTCCAGTTCATGAATGCTACTACATTGAGGACAAGCTAGTGGCTATAGCAGTCTTGGATATTTTGCCTAATTCTGTGTCTTCTGTGTATTTCATCTGGGACCCAGACTATGCTCATCTGGGACTTGGCACACTTAGTGCTTTGCGGGAACTCGTTCTGACGGAACAGCTAGGAAAAGAGTATTATTATTTAGGGTACTACGCCGATGACTGCCACAAGATGAAATACAAAGCCAAGTTTGGGGGTGAAATATTGGATCTGACTACTCTCACTTTCTACAGGATTGATGAGCTTAAGACAGTCACTGATTGCAGTGGACTTATCTCTTTGAGCGAGTCAGAGTCGGCATCTTCAGAGCCAGCCGTCTCTCTAACGATAAAGCGTAGCCCCGTTAATCACATGATAAATGTCGCAGAGAATATTTACGGGGTGCAGGGTGGGAGTTTCTCGGCCAGTAGAAAAGTGGCCCAAGAAATTAGTGGAATTCTCGGACTCAGTGAGTTTGGAGATCAGACTGACGAGGAACTGTGGAAGCGAGCTGAAGGATCAACCATTTATGCCCTGCCGCTTGTTTCACCTGGATTGATTCCTCTTTGGCAGATTAGGGATTGGGTGGCGAATGGAGCCATGCGTGACATTTTTTCTTACTGCCTCGTTTTAGATCACACGAAGTCGCAACATGGCCAATTGTTCGATTTCTCAAATAAGAAGTCTGCAGATTTTAGGAAGTCATTTATCGATCTTTTGCGCATGTTCGGGGCGAAATTGTTCGAGAATGCTAAAATCGTGTTGCTCGTGTGACGTAAATGCGTGGGGCACTTGGGCGGCTCATGCGGGAATTTTAGTGTTTTGGCCGGCGGACAGCTTGCTTTATTGTGCTGCTACATTTTGCCACCGAGGAGTGACGTGGCTGCTAGGAGTGGCACAATTTCCACAGTTTTCTGGGTCAATATATAAGCTCTCAAATCTTGTTAAAGTTTAAATTACTTTTTGACTAAAAATGGCAAGAACCGAGAAATGGAATGACAAGGGCTCCCACACAGAGCCAAAATACTTTACCCACACTGGACACTTTGATCAGGACCCTAATCATGTGAAGAAAGATGGTTTTGGTAAGGGCAATTGGGGCAAAGATGGCGACGAATTAGAGGACTTGATTAATGCGGGAGAGATTCCGCCTGTTTTTAAGAAAGAGAGACGTGGCTCCAATCATTCGCAAAACGAAGAAAGATTTCACAAAGTCCAGATGCAGACTCTAGATGAGTAACTGCAAGCAGTTCCCACGGTTGAGGCAGCAGTGTATACCATGTCTCACTCATGACGCATTGGTTTTATGACGCATTGATTTAACGACTATAAATAAGTAATGAATAGTATTACAATTGGTTCATATATCAAAACTCCAACTTCTTGTCATCGTTCTTTTCTTCGTCCTCGACAGGAATACTCCACTCTTCAATCTCGAAGCGTCTTCGTCCATTCTTAAAGCTGTATTCCATTTCTTGGACGCACATGAGGCCAGACTCGCTCAGAACAGGTAACTTGTAAACGTTCAGGTGTCCATGCTTTATTTTTGCCGGCTGGTTTCTGTAGACTCGCTCCATTAGATCGTGCAGCTGAGGGTCAAATGGACGCAGTTCAATGACAGAGTCAAATAGCAGCTCAATATAGACGATAAGGGGGTTGTTTCGGGGGTATAAATCCAGATTGATAGTCATAAGTAGGGCAACCTGATTCGCATGTTTCTTGAGTATCTGTTTCAGACCATGGGCAAACCTCATGATTTCTGGTGCGCTACTCTCGTTTTGATAAATTAGAGGATTTAGAAACAACGGCACTGCAATTCTGACTATTTTGTTGGGGTGCCTGATCACAATATCTTCGATTCGTTTTAATGCTCTTGACAAATCATCATTAGGAATACAGGTTAGCTCGTGAGGTCCAGGAGCGACTGTTATCACGGAGGTGATATCGAACTGGCTATTGTAATGTGGATATTGATCTATTGTATCATCATCGCTCTCGTTTTTTCTTTGATTCAGCCCGTAGCGCCATGCTATTTTCAAATCATTCGTTTGATTCACAATGTTGGAGACACTAACTTTGGACTCATTCTGCTGCACCTTTTCTCTTTTCCTTTCTTTACTCCTCTTGTATACTCCGGGAAGGCTTTTGGCCCAATTCTGGTCTAAGCCCACCACGATATCATGGGTGTTGGGCTGGGATGGGTTGATTCGGTTGTGAACAATGCCTTGAGCCAGAAACAGTTTTGACAAAGTAGATGAGAAATCTGTGGTTCCAGTTTCTTCAATCAGTATCGAGGACCCTATAGGTAATCCCTGATGACCTAGTATGCTATCAATGTCACTGGAACCAGTGGATATGCATGGCTGCGATGTAAGAATCGATGGCTTCACGCCGACATGATCAGCAAAAGCATTTTCTAAATTCCGCTTGGGTGTACCTCCCGCAAATGCTGTTCGGGAGACATATTGACTAGTCCCTCTAGTGGAAGCAGCACTAGGAATTACAGGTCTGGGGACTCCAGCTGACTGAGAGGTTCGTCCGCTAACAATCTCTCCCCTTCTTCTGAAGGACATATGTAGACTTCAGTTACTGAAAAAAAAGAAAAATCTGACGTAATACGGGGAAATAACAACAATTTTGTACCAAGGCCGTTTTGCCCTGAACACTGGAACGAGTTTTGACATCCTCAAGTATCTCAGTTTATCACACCAAGGGAAAAATGTTACAAAACAAGTGCGAAAAAGATAATAATGCAACCGAGGACTCTCTAGGTGAGTCCGACCAGGATGATAACGCCACCCTTTTTGGATCAAATGGAGACGCTCAAGCTCCTGCAGTAGCAAATTTTAACGTAAGGCAAGGCACGCTTGATGGTCAGACCCTTGTAAATGGTGAGCAAGGAATTAGGACTGAGAATAATATCTCAGTATTGAACGGAAACTCTGCGCAAGCAACGGATTTGGCGAGGTCTCAATTATCGCAACTACAATACAACGAGAATAGGATATCGTTAGACCGCTCTATCAATACTGCATCAAGTATTTTGAGTAACCTACAAAGAGAGAATAGCGAGCGTCCCATATACTACCCAACCAATATACAGGATGAGACGTTAGACTCTAAGTTGAACTCAAAAAGCTCTAAGCTTGCTCTCATCAGACATAACTCAGTGGGGAACTCTCAGCATTTATTGACGGAGCCTAGAGGCTCTTCGGAAACGTCCAATTTCGAGCTATTGAAAATCAATCTAAAAATAGGACCAGGCTCCGAAAACTTACTTCAAACTCTGGACAAAGCTGCACTCTCTCAGCTTTTGAACGAGAAGTTCTCGCATATAAAAAGACATTTGAGATCTTTAAGAGACAGAATTGATGACACTTCCTCGAAGGTTCTGGTAACCGGGGATTTGAACTCTGGAAAGTCTGCATTTTGTAATGCTCTTTTGAGAAGGAAAGTGATGCCCGAGGACCAACAGCCATGCACAAATGTATTTTGTGAAATAATCGATGCACGCGATAACAACAACGGCATCGAAGAAGTTCACGCGGTTCCTATTGGATCCGTGTATCTGAAGAACGATGAGCGAACATATAAAATATTTCCTCTAGAAGAGCTAGAACATCTGGTTTATCAAAGTGAACACTACTCGCTTCTGATAGTGTATGTGACAGATAACCGGCCTTCGAATCAGTCGCTTCTCAAAAATGGAGTCATTGATATCAAGCTCATAGATGCACCAGGGCTCAATTTGGATTCATATCATACTACGCAAGTATTTTCCAGGCAAGAGGAAATTGACTTGGTTGTTTTTGTGGTCAATGCCGAAAACCACTTCACGCTGTCTGGCAGAGAATTCATCTCAAGTGCAACGAATGACAAAAACCTAATTTTCATCGTTGTCAACAAGTTTGACAACATCAGAGACCAAGACAAGTGCAAACGCAAGGTGATGGACCAGGTTCACAGTTTGTCTCCAGAAACATATAAAAATTCAAGTAATTTCGTGCATTTCGTTTCCTCCAAGGAAATGATCAATCAGAATCCTGGTGGCGACGGCCCAGACGGTAATCCTGATGAAGGTGATGGCCCTCGTTCTCCCGATTTTGACCATCTGGAAGCCTCCTTACGGAAGTTCCTTGTCGAAAAAAGATCTCTGTCTAAGCTTCTTCCTGCGAAGAACTACCTCGTTAAGCTATATTCTGATCTCATTGAATTATCTCAGATCAACGAAAAGCTATACAATGAAAGCATGGTAGAGGCAGAGAATGAGCTAAAGAAACTCGGACCTCAATACGATGATATTCTTCAGTCGTCAGCTAAAACAAACGAAAAGATATCAAGGCTAATCGAGTCTGTGTCTTCTGAAGTTTACGCAAATTCGCGCGATCAAATCAATCGAATCATCAACGAAGTGGATCATTTGAGCCTTGGCATCAGGTTTGAAGGATATTCCAATATCACTGAATTTGCTCGACAGGTTCAGGAAAGAATCATAGGGAAGATACTGGAGGTCGTTAGCTCTGTTGAGGAACATGCTCGTCACGAGACCAGTTCTGCTATCGATGAAATCAAAAGGCTAGGAGTCCAGGTCCTTGGAGAAGGCAGTCTACCTAACACGAAATTTATCCCAAGTTCGATGTACTCGAAGAAAAGAGACAACTTGCAGCGGCATATTGAGAATGAAGTTTCCTTGTTTGATTTTGTTGACCCAAATTTCGAAAGTTTTTGCAAGATCTGTGGTATCACTATTCCTGATTCTAGAACGAACCTACTGATAGGTCTGACTGCCAATAAACTCTGGGCGGGTGGCTTATCGAGTATGGCTATTTTATATGGACCTCGGGTTATCTCGACTGTCACGGGAATTGCTTCCATATCCAGCTACATCCCACGATTCGTCGTTACCAAGGTCGTCCCAGGCACCTTAATCGGTGTAGCAATTGGACTGCCGCTTTACTATCTCTATAAAGATGCTCCTCACGCGTACCAAAGAAACGTTGTGAAGAAAATTAAAAAGAAAATCGAGCATGAAGATTACCAACATTTGAACTCGCTGCGTATATCGAAGGAGGTGCGCAAAGTCTTGAACTATCCTGCAAAAGACATCTCAAACGCGTTTGCAACTACAATTGAGAAGCAGTCGTCAAGACGTTCGAAAATCTTGAGCGATCTGAAAACCAGTGAGATCAGTTTATCTTTCTATCGGGAATTGACGAAGCAGGTAAAAGAACAATATCAAATTGTGCAGTCTTTTGATTTGGAATCTGTTCATACGGTTAACTAGCTTGTATATACACAAAATCGCCTTGTATTCAGGGTTTATCCGAAGGTAGTGCGACAAGCTAGATTTTCAGTTTCTGGGGTTTATAGAATTTATTTTCGTTTCGCCAGAAGTCAACATTTAAACGGCAAATTGATCTGTTGTCAAAAATCTCGAAGTTTCAAATTGGGCTTTTTTGGTAGTAGACTACACAAAAAGGATTTAGTTGAGTAATTGTAAGTCCCCAGTCGAGCCTTTCAGCCGGACACTGGATCTTTCGTCTTCAGGAAGCTGATCCAAACGGGAGTCGTTGGCAATTTTATTTCGTCTTAGAATCCTAACAAAATCTAGCGTCATGCAATTCAGAGGCTCACAATTCCCCGGCGGTAGGAATGATTCGTTTGGGGCCCATCCACGATCTCAACGCCAATCGTCTTTTGGAACATCTACATCATCAGCCCTGGATTCGATTGCTCAAATGATTCCCTCTGAGAATCCGTATGTGATGAAGTTTGAAAGGTTTACCAAGCAGGTAGAGGAATTGATTGATGGATACCTCTCACCAGCCAAACCGTATGTGCCTTTCATTGGAAGATTTCTGATTGTGGCCACATTTTTTGAGGACTCACTGAGAATAATGTCCCAATGGAAGGAGCAGGTTTACTATCTGGCAACTTTCAGACATCTCTACGAATGGTTCGTCAAACTGTTCCTGCTATTTAACATAGTTTGCATGATGACAGGAGCAGTTCTTGTTATCCTAAGAAGAAAGCCAGAAATCGCTACTGGACTCCTATCCTCCATTGTTTTACTTCAGGGATTCGTCTACGGTCTTTTCTTTGAGCCGGTGTTCTTCTTCCGAAACGTTTCTGTCATTGGCGGTTTGCTTCTCGCCTTGTCCGATTCGCTTGTCGTCGACAAGAGATCTCTGCTGATGCCTGGCCTACCAATGATGGAGTCGAAAGACAACAAGAAATACTTTTTGTTGGTGGGCCGCATTATGCTCATAGTTTTATTTTTGGCTTTCACTATGACTATCAAATGGACGATCATCAACTTCCTCATTATCTTGATTGGTCTTGTGTCCTGTATCTCGATTGTGGTTGGATACAAAACAAAGTTCAGTGCATCGTTCTTGACTCTTCTTCTCACAGTTAACAACATGTTGACCAACCACTACTGGACCTACGGTTACAAAGACACCAGAAGAGACTATTTGAGATATGAGTTTTTCCAGACCCTCAGTATCGTCGGTGGATTATTACTGATCGTCGACACTGGAGCCGGAGAACTCTCTGTTGACGAGAAAAAGAAGATCTACTAAGTATTTGAAATACAAGATCGGTAGTCGCATTTTCAAAATCTCACCTCTGGTCTAAATAAATCTAAATAGAGAATGGCATATTCAAAAAATGTAGGCAATCAAGAAGAGAAGTCACAAGTAAGATCGTACTTTTGCGATCTGTCGGCATTCCAGACACCCCAGTGTCTCTCAGAAGAGGATCCAGAGCTGTCTGGTTTCCAGGACTCATCAAAGGCCTCAAAGACGTAGGTGTTGACACCCCAACCTCTCATAGCACAGATGGCCTCCTTCCAGAACTGCTCAGCGTTAGAAGTAGATGGGGTGGCAGACCCATAGTTGTCACCCTCGGTTGGCCATCCGGTCTCGCCAATCCAGAAGTCGATGTCAGAAGAACCCTTGGCGGTTTGAATGGTTTGCAAAGCTTGCATGATATCATCGAAGAAAGAAAACGAGGCGTTGTTCATGGTTTGTCCCTGCCAGTAGGAGAATGCATTGGCGTAGACGACGTCCGCAGTCTTGATGACATCGGCGTTAGCACCGTCAACCAAGACATTCCAGGAGTCAACAGTTCCAACCGGCACATCTCCATAAGAATCACCATTTTTGTCCTTGATACCAGACAAAAGCTCCTTGATCTCAGAAATATCGCTGGCCAACTGAGAAGCACTCATGTCATTTCTGTACAGAGCCTCGGAACCAACCAAAAATGCCTGAATGGTCTTTTTGGAGATGTTAGGCAAGTACGAAGACAGAGCCTCTTTCTCCGCAGAGAAGGTGGAATCTGGGGTTGGCCAAATTCCAAGAGCAATGGTGAAGCCTTTGTCTTCGGCAACGGGTCCCAAAATCTGGAGAGTGTTGCAAGAAGACACAGAATAAACCTTCACAGTGGAAGCTTGCGAGGAGATCGTGTCCAAATCAGACTCGTAGTCCTCGGCGGTCTTGCAGGAACCGTCGGTAGCTTTCACACCCAGGTCAAAACCTAACTATAATGCTTGTTAGTACTAGGTACAAAACATCCGGACCGGATATAATTGATGCTGTATACTTACGCTAGCCTCAGCGTTAGAGTTGGCTATCAAAAATGCAAGACTTGTCAAAACAGCTGTCGTAAACTTCATTTCAATACGGTATCACAGAGACCAAACGATCGGAAGATGTTTTCAAGAAAAACTGGAAGTCTGAGAAAATCAGTTTGAGGAAAACAACTAGAAATAATATATACACTCCACTATTGTTTTGAAAATAAACAGTTCTTTACGAAAATGTCGTGCTTACATCAGCTTTTCTATTAATAGCTTGCGCCCGAAATTGTTCGAGCCCGCTGGAAAAGAAATTTAATACCAGGCACTTAAGCGTTTCTAGACCGAAAGAGACAGTGTAAAGGTTTTCCTGTGAGAGACCTGAGCTTGACAAAAAAATTCCTATGACCGGGTAAGTCGCTGTTCTATAGGATGCCCCGATCTTGGCGGTGCAACAAAAAAATTCATAAAAATTCTTGCATAACTACGAAAGATACTATAAGATGCCAGAGAAACGAAAGGTTGCAGAACTCGAGGAGCTGGAAATCAAATTAGATGAAAAAGCACCTCTATCAAAAAAGGAGGCAAGATTGCTCAAGAAGGGGAAAAAGTCTATTGATGAAATACAAGCGAAAAAAGCTATCGTTGTTCCTGTGGAGGAACCTAAGACAGCAAAGAAAGAGCCTGAAAACAAGACCAAAATAGGTGTTTGGATTGGTAACCTTGCTTATGATACGACCAAAGATGATGTTATTAGTTTTTTGGTGGCAAAGAGTGAGAAAATGGAATCAGCTATTACAGAAAGCGATATTACTCGAGTGAATATCCCCAAGAAGACCGCACATAAAATCAAAGGTTTTGCCTACATTGACTTTAAATCACAACAGCATGTGGAAACAGCCATTGCTTTATCTGAACAAGAGTTGAATGGACGCAGATTGCTTATTAAGGATGCCAACTCGTTTGAAGGAAGACCTCAGAAGACTGAAGAGTCGCTTTCCAAAAATCCACCTTCTAGAGTTCTATTTGTTGGAAACCTCTCATTTGATACGACTGAAGAGCTTTTAGAGGAGCATTTCAGACACTGCGGAGAAATCGTTCGAATTCGTATGGCTACCTTTGAGGATTCAGGAAAGTGTAAAGGATTTTGCTTCATAGACTTCAAGGACGTCGAAGGACCAACTAATGCTTTGAAAGACAAGTCAGTGCGCAAACTAATCAACAGACCCCTAAGACTGGAATACGGCGAAGACAGGTCTGCTAGAAAAGTTGGTAAAAGAGTTACAGTTAAACCGGCAGTAACAGAGGACAGAGGAAAGATGGAAGTGCCTCAAAGTCAAACAGAACACAAGATCATTGCAAGAGAGAGGGACACGGGTTTCCAAACCAAGAAACTCAGCTTCGAGAAAAATAATAGATATAGCTCGCATCATGACTCGTCCAAAAGAGTTGCTTCTTCAGTGGTACTGGCGAACGCCCCGAGACAGAGCGCAGCAATAGTCGAGCCCAAGGGCAAGAAGATTAAGTTTGATTAAATAGATGTATAGTACGCTATTATTGAGATATTTATGATTATCCGTACCACATTTTGATGAGTTCTTCGGAAACTGCTGACGGAGTTAAAACCCCCAAGTCGGAAATAAGAGCAGTAACATACTGATGAGGGGTGAAGTCCACGTGATGGTGGCCATTGAAGCCGTCATTAGTGTCAGTGGAGAAGGTCAATGCATTATCTGGTGGCACAGGCAGGTCATCAGGAGCAAGTGGAAACATTCTGACAAACTTATGTGACTCAGAAACAACATATAGAGGCTTGTTTGCGTTGTGTGCTAAAACTCCAATTTGATAAGAGCCTATTCTATTAATTATTCCTCCACTTTCTGAAACACCTTCTGCTCCCATAAACACTTTATCCACCTTATTGAGCACATAGCCCACCTGTGAGTCGTTGATCATGCAAACAGGTATCCCTTCGAGTTTTAATGCGTCCGCCATTCTTATTCCATCGTTTGTGCTTCGATCCACCCTCGCTTCAGTAACAAATACGCGAAATCGCACAAATTTCTGTTTTGCGTGAACCAGTAGATGGTGAACCACTCTAGAATAACCATGAACAAGAACTGTGTCATCGTCTTGAATGAACTTGAGACCCACTTGCGCGATCATCTCCCTGCTTTCCTTGGCTCTTTGCAGAAACAGCTGTCCGTTCTCGACCAGATGGGTGCGACATGCTTCCCAGTCCGAATATAGATGTGTGTTTCGCAGAACAAATCTTGTAAACAGGTCGCAGCCTGCAGAGAGAGAAATTGCATTTGGTATGGATGTTTTTAGCTGCGTTGTAGCGTCCGACAGAAGGTTTATGAGTTCCGAAGAGGTGGAAGGCTGCTTGATTTTCAGCATGGTAAGCAAACTTTCAATGGCAGCCACTGGCATGGTAATCTCAGGATCCTCCTCAAGAAACTTGAGATAGGCTTCCTTTATGTCAAAGTCATTACATGTCATGACAAGAAATGTTCAGTGAATTATTTTTTTTCCATCCATGATTTTACGAGGTCTCAAGCTGGAGCCGTCTTTAGCAGGATATGGACGGCGGCTTTTTCACGTTTCTCCGCAACGGAAGGCCACCGAGGAATACAAGACTGTCCTCTTAAAGACACCATTGAACAGGGTGCGCAACATTGGAATCATAGCCCACATCGATGCTGGAAAGACAACTACAACGGAAAGAATGCTATACTATAGTGGTGTCACAGGACGTATCGGAAATGTCGACGAGGGAGATACAGTGACAGACTACATGACTCAGGAAAAAGATCGTGGCATCACAATTCAATCAGCAGCCGTGACCATTCCTTGGAATAAGCACAAAATCAATCTCATAGATACCCCAGGTCATGCTGATTTCACCTTCGAGGTAATAAGATCTTTGAGGGTTCTTGATGGAGCAGTGACCATCCTGGATGCTGTGGCAGGTGTTGAAGCTCAGACTGAGAAAGTCTGGAGACAAGCTAAAGACTTAGCTATTCCAATAGTGGCTTACGTGAACAAGATGGATAGAGAAGGTGCGGGTTTTGGGCGCACAGTGAAGGAGATTGTCAGTAGATTAGGGACAAGAGTGGTGATTGTGAACGCGCCCTACTTCGTCAAAGACCAATCGACGGGCCAGAGTATTTTCGAGGGAGTTATAGACGTGTTTGACAAAAAGCTGCTTCTATGGAACGGTCCAGGCGGGGCCTCTGATGGAAGCCAAGTTGAAGTGATAGACATTGCTGAGGATTCCAAGTATCCAGAGGCTTACGAAGAGGTGCTTAGATGCAGGGAAGCTGCGGTGGAACAATTGGGAGAGTTTGACGAAGATGTGATGAACTCATTCTTTGAGACCGAAGATTACATGAAGGTCCCAAGTTCGACGCTGAAAAAAGCTTTGAGAAAAGCATGTATTGCAGGATATGCGACTCCTGTGCTTTGCGGCGCAAGCTTTAGAAACATCGGCGTGCAGCCTTTACTTGATGCAGTCAACGACTATCTTCCGTCTCCTCTCGAAATCAAGCCTCCAGAGGTGACTTCCTTTGTTATCCAAAGTGCTAGGTCAAGGAATAAAAAACAGACAGCAGAACAGGATAATTCGCTTCCTGTTAAGGTGGATCCATCTGAAGGACTAGTCATCAACAATAACCGCAATCTGATGACGGCTCTTGCTTTCAAAGTGATTTCTCACCCTGTTAGAGGAATTATGGTGTTTGTAAGAGTTTACAGCGGAAAGTTACAACCGCACTCCACCGTTTTGAACAGTCGTACCGGAGAGAAAGTGCGTGTTGGCAAAGTGTGGCTTATGAATGCGGACATGCCTCAGGAAGTGAGACATCTTTCAAGTGGTAGCATTGGGGTGATAACGGGGACCGACATGATAGTCACGGGAGACACCTTGATCTGCCACTCTGTATCCAAGAACCCAAATCAGTTGCCTCCGAAGGAGAAATCTGCACGTCTTCTGCCGATCAAGATTCCTCCTCCTGTGTTCTCAGTTTCAATAGAGCCGGCTGCTGTTTCAGAAAACAGAAAGCTCGAAGCGTGTTTGAAAACTTTGCTGCTGGAAGATCCGAGCTTGCATCTGAGCTACGATGAAGAAACAGGTCAAAATATTCTTTCTGGAATGGGTGAGCTGCATCTGGAAATCACCAAAGATAGACTGATAAACGACATGAAGGTGAATGCCGAGGTGGGAGAAGTCAGAGTTACGTATAAGGAAACCATAACTGCCCCAACAGGGTATTTCACGGGGTGTTTGCCGGATGGCTACGAAATTGAGCTCTCTTTGGAATCATTTGAAGGCCCATTTGAAGAATTGGATATAACAGAGGAAGGGGTTTTCTATCTAGAGCAAGATGACAGTGTCGTGATTATCGAACCAGATGGAATCCCAAGCGTCGTCCAGAAAGCTTTAAATGCAGAGATATGGTCTTTACCGGTCTCTTATGAAACGCTTATTAACGGTATTTTGTCCGGTGTCACTGGTGCGTTGCAGACAGGTGGTAGGCATGCAAGGCTTCCATTGCATTCGATGATTGTCCGGGTCCGTAGATGGATGATTCATCAAGATGCGAACAACGTATCTCCACTTATCAGTGTTACGAGAAAGACAATCCTGGATGCGCTAGCTTCTCTCGATGACAAAGCTACGACCTTATTGGAGCCGATAATGAAAGTCTCCGTTTACGTTAGTGACGAAGATTTGGGACCCGTTTCCCAAGATTTGATGAGCGCGAGAAACGCAAAGATTACAGGAATTGACGACGAAGCAAGCTCGTCGACCGCCGATGCAATTCATTGGGCCAAAGAACAAGCCGAAAAAACATATGTTCCTCACGACCCTACTCTGCGCTACATCAAGAAAACGAATGTCTCGGGTAATAAAATCATCAAGGCTGAGGCACCTCTGAGAGAGATGATAGGTTATCTAACCAAGTTGAGATCGCTTACCAGAGGCCGCGCTACTTATGACATGGAGTTTGTCGGTATGCAGAGAACACCACCCGACCGACTACGCAAAATTTTGGAACATTAATCGACGGGTCGACTTGGTGCGCGTCGCGGAAATTCTCAAGACGCGTAATGCACCAATATTTTTGGCAAATAATTTTGCCTCCATTTAATATTGTAAATAGATAAAAAGTGCGTGTTCAACATGAGCGGATACCAACCGTACAACAATTACACCTCTGATGGTACCGGGTACGGCAACTACAATGGAAATGAGACGTCCAGCTCTCAGACACGTTCTGCTGTCACTCAGTCGCTCATCCCGGTCACCATAAAAGAAATCAACGATGCCACCCAGTCCGGGCCAGACACACCATTTCAGACGCATGGGCTAGAATTGTATTACGTTTCTTTTGTGGGTATCATTAGGGAGCTCGACGCTTCTCAAGCTCAATCGACCATGCTGAAGATCGAAGACGGAACAGGAATGGTTTCGGTGAGAAAGTGGAATGACGAAGAAGGAAATGATTCGGACTCGTTTTTGACTGGTGAGTACGTTAAGGTGGTGGCTACGATCAGGGAGTTCTCGGGCAAGAAACAGATTCAGACACAAACAGTGCAAAAGATCCATGACTTCAATGAGATTCCCTACCATTTCCTCAGTGCCATCAAAATATACCTTGACAACTCAGGATCAACAATGGTTGGAAAACATTCCAACGCCACCAATGGCGACAGCTCTCTTTTTGTTAGCAATGGAACCGCGGACAACTCAAGCTCTCCTCTCGAAAAGATTTTCGAGTTTGTCCAAGAAAACAGCGCTGTGATGACTGACGGTGTTCCTCTGCAACTCATTGCACAAAACTTCAACATCTCCATCGAAGACGCAGAATCCAAGATTGCCACCTTGGTTGATGACGGCAGAATCTACAACGGTTCCGATGACACTAATTTCTTGGCTGTGTAAGATACTCTTCTAGGTTCGCCATACGGTTTATTACAATTACTCGCTTTTCTTTTATCTGTTTGTCATGTCATGTAGTCACTCTGGATGCGCCACAATAGAGTCCACCAAATCGCCAGATTTGGCCGCAAAGAAACTTGCCCATAACTCATCATTGGAAACAACCTCTCCGCCGCTGACTTTTTTATCTACAAGACCGGTTAAAGTCTTGGATAACTCTGTAGCATCCACCAAATCATCGTCCAGATCTTCAATCGTGGATTCTGAATGACTGCTCTTGCGCACAAGTTCCATTCTCTTTTTGGTTGAGAGAATAGCAATAGATTCCTCAACGGAATTTTCAATGACGAAGTTCCAAACTTTAGTATCTTGAGACTGGCCAATTCGATGGATTCTACTGATAGCTTGCAGCTCCAAAGGCAGATTGACCAGCGGCTCGCACAAAAACACGTGCGATGCGTTCGTGAGAGTAAGCCCGGCAGCCTGCGCTTTAGCGTTCAGAAGGAAACACGTGATTCGCGGATCTCTCTTAAACTTGTCAATCTCCTTGCTGCCAAAAGTGCTTCTTCCTTTCTTAGTATTAGGTTCACCGTGAGTGACATCTGACGAGGAGAGAAAACTGATGCCATTTTGACGCAACGCCCTTCCCAAGAATTTAAGAAAGTCTGTCCATTGCGAATAAACAAGAATCTGAACGTCTGGCTCCATCTGCTTCAGATAAATTATTTGTCGAACAATCATGTCCACCTTGGAGCCATAGTTTTTCTTCAGTTCAATTGACGAGATCTCTTTAAGCATCGTCGGATCTAAAGAATGATAAAGTCGCGAAAGGTCCCTATTGACCTCGCTCATGGGTTTTGACTCTGCAGAATCTTGTGAGTCAGCCATCATTCCTCCTTTCAGTTCCTTCCGGGTCACTGTAAATGAGTACAGATCGGAAGCATGTAGACGTTTTTTGCACATTGGACAAGTAGGATGCAGTCTCATCCACTCTCCCAAACAGTCTTTGCAGAATTGATGACCACATGTAGTCAGGGTGCCCACTACGATGGACGATCGACAAATAACACATAACTTTTCGTTTTTGGATTCTTTTTCATGATCTTCGGAAGAATCATCGATGATACTATTCAAGTAAGTCAGTCTGACTTTACTTGCACGTACCGAATCTTGCAAAGCCTGAATCTCTAAATCTAAGCCGCTTAAATCCTGTTCTGCCTTTTCTGAAGGGGTCATATTAGGGGAAACAGCAGGTCTAACAGGAAGGTATCTAGCGACAATGTCAGACTTTATCTGCAAGGATTTGAAATAGGTGATCTTGGTGTTGAATGTATCATTTAGGGTTTCAAAGAGCTTCGTCCGGAGATGTACAATGTTTTTTCTTTGAGAATCAAATTCCTTCTTGATCATTGGACTCAAATTATTCAGGAACTCATAGTCACTTGAGAGCGCGTTGCCGCTTTCATCATATTTCTGAAAGTCCAGTACTAGGTTTTGGGCCTCTGTTGTAAGCGCCCGCAGGCAAAACTTTGAGTTGTACGCCCCTTCTGGAAGTACAGCTCTTCTTATTTTGTCCAGATGAACATGAAGATCATAATTTGTAGGTTGGTTCATATTTACAATGATCTTCTCCTTCACCGCCTTTCCTCTTTTCTGAGAAGAGTCGTCAAAAAATATCATCGCATTCTCCCGGTCCTCAAGGATCAACTGCAACTCTTCTAGGTAGGTATGGGCAAGCTCCTGATTTATGAGAGAAGCACCGTATTCTTCACCTGTAGTCTGATTATCGGCGTCCTTAGTAACCGGCTCCTTCAATAGTTGCACCAACTTGGAAATCCAAACATTGATAATGTGTCCCTGTATATTCAGGTCAGAGACTGTCTTGGAAAGTCTTTCATGATAGAGTTGTGCGTACATTGAGTGACCGTAATTCTCACCCACATCCACCGACTCGGTGTTACAAACCTTCCAAAGGTCATTTGGAATGTCGAGATCAAACTCTTTCAGGATAGAATATGTCTTCTGCGCGTTTCTGGGAAATTTGTATTTCGAATAGGTGCTGATTTTATCGACAAGTTTGGAAATCGCCTCATTGACTTTAGCTATCGGCTCTTGAAGAATCTGTGTGAGTAAATCATCCGCCTTTCTGTAATACTCGTTTTCAATCTGGTAATGCAATTTCTCATCTTCAGATAGAGTATTCAAGTCAACCTCTTCGACAGGATTTAACACATCCTCTTCAACATCAGGAACTTGCCCTTTGCTATCGAAGGCATCTGGCATTGGTCGCATTGGCCGATAGTGTTGATAATGTGAGGATGCATAAAGAAAGTAGGTTTGGTATAGCAGCTCCAACCACGACCGCAATTTGGCACTATTTTCTTCACCTGATTCTTGAAACTGTTTGACTTTGAGCTCAATTTTTGGCATTATCATTTCAAATATCTCCATGGACTTCTCCGGAAGTCTCATAAACTCGTATATCTTTCCTCGTCTCAAATGCAGACTGTAAATGTTTCTTTTTCCCGAAACATATTCGTCAAAAGTAGTTTTCTTGAGACTGGAAAGAACATCGTCCAAGGTTCCCAAAATCATACCTGATTTGTCGCTTCCGTTATCGTCGCTGAAAAATATCCCTCCTAATCTACGCCTATTGCTTGCGCTTGATCCTAGTTGAGCATGACAGCATACCTGTCGCAGCCTGATAAGCCAATGGCGCATTGTAGTGTAGTATCTGGCTGGATCGTAGTCATCAACTATTGGTTCGCCTTGTTCATTGAGTCCCACTTGGCGAAGAAAGTTTGCAAATAGATTATCGTAGTTATCACGCTCAATGACACTGAATGGCATACGAAGCAAGATTCTTCTTTGCGAGGGAAGTTTAATCTGGTCTGCCACCATTTTCTTTGTGTGGCGAAGACAAATCTTCTTAAAGAGCCTCTGAAACTGGAAATATGGAGCTTCGGATACTATACTGAGCCACGGAGAGGTCTCTCCCGTATTTGAATATAGGTCGATGGGGCTCAATCTCAAGAAACTTAGGAGAGAGTAAAGATCATTCAGGTTATTCTTTATCAGAGTTCCTGAAACACCCCAAGAGTGTACGCGGGGAATGATCCTCGCGAATTTCGAGGCATTTGCTGTCATGCTTGCAGTCATTTGCACTTCATCAAGAACAACTCTCCAGAATTCACATAGCATTAGAGGCGAGGAATAATCCGTCCTCTCGTATTGAGTGTCCTCGAATTCCACCTCATCAGGTTCCAGCTTGATTCCAGGAGTTTCCTTGTAATCACCGCCCCCCTGCGTGAGCTTAATCCTCTTAGCACATTTCCGTGTAGGTCTCGCAACAGGCTTGAAAATCGCCCTATGAAGTTCTCGCGAAACCGTATGATAAGATACGAGCACTATGTCATGTTCTCGAATCTTGGCGGCCATATCAGAAGGTGTGAGACTCGTATTTGAACTCTCTGCTTCCCTCTCGTAGTTGTATATACCCTCGTATATCATGACTTTCAACGTATTGGAGATATCCTCAATTTCCTGCCTCCACTGACCGATAATGGACTGTGGACATATAATTAAGGTAGTTTTGGCCTCTGTAATATATCTTCCTCCGTTGAAGCTGTCCATCTTCGTTTCCCCATAAGGCTCTGTTCTTGGATTGACTGATATGAGTGAGATGACTTCGACTGTCTTTCCTAGGCCCATCTCTTCGGAAAGCAATGCTTTGGCGCTCTTTGGATACTGGTCATACTGGGACAGATAAGCGATGGCCAAATCCGTGGAAAGGATATTACCGGTGTACGAATTATACCAAATGTATGAATCAGAGTCAACCATCTTCATGAATGACCAGCCAAAACTTATCTGGTCCAGTGCTTCAGAGATTGCGTTTGGATCATCAGGCGAATACTCAACAGGCGGCAATCTCTCAATTCTCTTCGAAGCCTCGTTGAAGCAGACACCCTCGTGGCGGAGCATCCAGCACAATGTCTGCTGCTGAAACTTCAGCAAGGTCTTGCGAACGCCAGGAATTTCCACTGTTTTGTTGTCGTAAGGCATTCTTTCCGTGTTTTTGGTTATCAGATCGTAAAATGAAGACTCTGTTGGTTTAGGAAACGGTTTGGAGGAATAAGCTCTTTGGTAGGGCGTCAATATCGGGGTGAAAATGAATGGACTGAGCTCGCGGATCTTTTTGATGGCATCCAGGGGGTACCTGTAATTCACCGTCTCCTGAATCTCTAACTTGAAATCAATGCCAATATATAGCGAAAACCCCCTATTCTCATGGTTAAGGGCAATTTGAAGGCTCAAAGTGGGCTTTTCAAGATGGATGGGGTCAATTTTCGGAGCCTTCTTAGCAAAGTTCATTTGTGCTGATAAGAAGGGTGCGTACTGGCTGTTGATTCGTAATTTGAACAATAGCAATGACTTATGTTTCCCGCGGGGTATCGTCCTTACTTCTAGTGTTTCGCCATGCAATTTGAGGGCCACTTCGAAAGGCGGAATATCAATCGGCCCTTTGGAAGCGCAATACAACGCTGCCAGATTTTCAAATGTCATGTCATCATGAGCATCTGTGAACTTACATACGAGATGTGTCTTGGTAAGCGTCATAAGACGCTCTGGCAATGTTATCTTTCTTGGGTCGCTTTCAGTCTCTTGTTTAGGATGAATTCCGTAATACTCATGGTGCTCTTTGAGAATATCAGCAATAGTGCGTTTTTTCGACGTTGCCTTTTTTTGAATCAGAGTTGGATCGCTGTCAATAAGGGCCAAATATCGAAGGAGAGATGGAGACTGGCCTCTCAAGAAAGACGCCTCGTCAAGAGAGCAGTCTATTACAGACATGTCTGGCATGAAACTTAGATCAAGCAGTTATATATATTGCACAGCCTTTTTTATTACTAAGCGATTTTGCAAAGGAACAAGGAAGAAAACAGAAGTAGCAAATAACTTACCGGTGTATGCAACGCAAATCGATCTTGGACTAATACCAATATTGTTTACTCGCTGTCGCAGATTTATCACTTATCGTCTTCCTTGATATAACTAGACTCTAGAATGTTTCTGGTAAGTATTTGCACCATTGGTGTTGTCTTAGGAGGAAGTTGACAGGAACTGCTGAGATCCGTTGTCCCCAGTGATGAGTACTATGGATTTGGATTTTGCGGTTCCGAAACGCCTTTGCCTGAGAGGAATCATCCATGGAAACTAACACTCAGAATTTCAAGCAGTTCATCAGGCATGGTAGAAATGCATATCCCACCGGTAATAAGGCGAACAGCCGGCCGATGAGCATGGAAAATATAAGTGTCCAAAGTCTAGATCCTTCAGAATCCCCTGCTTCGACATCCCCTGATCCCGCTGCCACTCAGCAATTGGGAGCCAGTAAGCGGCGTCACCGCAAGGATGAATACTCTAAGCTAGCTGCAGACCTAGTGAATGAAGAGAACGAACAGCGCAAGAAAGAGGAGGAAAGACAGGCTTTGGAGAGATATCAGATGATTGACAAGATTGGAGAAGGAGCTTTCTCCACCGTGTACAAGGCTTTGGATGTGCAAACAAACGAGGCCGTCGCAGTGAAGGTGATTAAAAAGTATCAACTGGATAAAAGCCAACAAGCATCAGTTCTGAAAGAAGTCAGGATTATGAGGCAACTGGATCATCCATGCATTGTGAAGTTTTATAACTTCATTGAAACTGAAGAGTTCTATTTCATCGTACAGGAACTTGTGTCGGGTGGCGAAATTTTCAACGAGATCGTCAAATACACATATTTTAGCGAGGACTTGTCTAGACATGTGATCACTCAGGTTGCACAGGCCATCAAGTATCTGCATGCAGAAAAGGGAGTTGTCCACCGTGATTTAAAGCCAGAAAATATCTTTTTCAACCCTATCAAGCATATTCCCTCAAAGTCTCCAAGATTTCGGAAGAGCGATGACCCCAACTCTAAATTGGATGAAGGCGAATTTATCCCCAACGTTGGTGGTGGCGGGATAGGTACGATTAAGATCGGTGATTTTGGTTTGTCGAAACAAATATATGCAGATGCTTCCTTGAAAACGCCTTGCGGAACAATTGGATACACCGCTCCAGAAATTGTGAAGGACATGAGATACTCTGAACAAGTTGACATGTGGGCTTTAGGATGTGTTCTGTACATTCTGCTTTGCGGTTTTCCACCATTTTTCAACGACCAAATCGATGTTTTGACGAAGAAAGTTGCCAAAGGAGAGTTCGAATTCTTATCTCCTTGGTGGGACGAGATAAGCGATGGGGCCAAGAACTGTGTTTCGAAGTTGCTGACAGTTGATCCGAGAGAAAGGTATACAATTGAAGACTTTTTGAATGATCCATGGATTTTAGACTTCTTGACTAGATGCCATCAAGCTCAACATTTCCAGGAACACCAGCAACAGCTTTTGCACCAGAAGAACTCGATATCATCCTCGGATTTGAGCTACAATTTTCAGAGCGCCTCTGTTGGATCGGATTCTTCTCAGGAGCCAATGGTGTATGCTCCATTGCCAATGGCTGCCAATTCAGGAGCCATTCCGTCTCAATTATCGAAACAAAATCCTACTTTATACTCCCCTGCGGCCATTGCTATGAGGGAGGCTTTTGATATCTCCACTGCAGTTCATAGAATGGGAGAAGCGGCAGCAATGAAGAAGTATTTGAGGCAGCATAAGAATGGAACATCAAAACTGGGAGCTCTTGCCGAAGACGACGAAATGGGTGAGCCCGATCCGAATGAGATACATCCAGAAGTGAAGAAAGCAAACCTCAAATTTGAAAAAGAATCGTCTAGGGGCGCTGTTATTGATGACAACTCGATTTTTGCATCAAACAACGAGCTGAGCTCAAGTGGTGATGGATTTTCGGACGTGGATACATCATCCAAGCCGTTTGAATTGAATCTCAACACGGCTACCATTTTATCGAGAAGAAAGAAAAAAGCGTTAATGGCTTACACGTGATCCAAACCAACCAACAAATGGTATATATTAGTGCGACCACTATGGCCCGTGGCCAATGCGGGAGGTATAACGGTAATTTTCTTAAGCTACGCTTAACGTGATCGTATTTTATTTCGAGCTAAATTCATATCAAGAAATAATGCCGATTAATTTTCAGATCGGCTGTCTCGTTCGTTATCTATCGCTCCTGTAAATTTATGTGTCGATAAAAAAAATCGTCGTAATATCATTAACTTCATTATGGTTAAATATGAGAGCTTGGTGCTTATTAGCACTTTCATGGTTATCTCCTCTGTTTCATTCATTCTTGGTGTGATCTTCAGCAATTGGCCATATGATTACTACACTTTGTGGGACACAACAAAGGGCCAAGAATATTTCGATGCTGCCTTGAACCACTACAAGGTCTGGGGACAACTTCCTCCTATCGTCAACTATACTCTCCACTTTGTGATTGCAATCGCGTTCATTGGATCCTTTATCAAGATATTCAAGCCTTCTGAAGACGTGCAATACTTTGAATATGGAACTTTGGGTGCTTTAGTGATTGCAGTTTGTGTCTATGTTAGTAACGTCAGGGTCGGCATCATGTCCTGTATTGCTGGCGAATGGGGTGAAGTCGACCAAAATACAGGCTTGGGAGTTATCGCAGCATCAGAAACCATGATTGTCTTCGTCCTTCTCGGAATTGTTCTATTGCAAGGAGGGCTATTCTATGCCTTTTTCGAAGACGCCAGACTCAAACAGGAGTTCTATTTGAAAGAGTTGAAGGAGAAGTACGAGGCTATTGGGGAAGATGCCACTTCCGTCGAAGCGAAGTCATCCGGAGTTGAAGCAAAGAAGACTAAATCTAAGGCGACCAAGAAGGCTTGAAGGCCCTGTGCAAGGATGGCGTAACTTTTTAATAGTGCTGTATTAATACATCTTCATGTCGGACTCCAGATCACATCTTCTTTCCCAAATTCCGCTTATTGTGATGCCAGGGAAGTACTCCAAGCCGCATCCTGTGACGCTGCCGTATGACTTCGAGCAATTACCGACCTCCACACAAGTATTCAGGCAGCAAGAATTAGATGCACTCATATCGCAATTAGACGACCTACGCGAGAATCAACAGCGTATGGCCGATCAAGTAAGAGAAAGATACGGCAAAACAGCATTGACTAGCCGATCGCAGCCATTCAATGACTGGGAGCAAAATATCCGACGGGTGGCACCAGGATATTTTGGGGCCGACGGCAAAGTGAGTATCATGACTCCGACTAGACACCATGGTGACGCTGGAAAAAGACAGCAGGAACGCGAACTGTATGCAGAAGTGTCTGCCTCAGGTACCACACAGAAATCTGCTGAGGACTGCGAGTCACAGCTGACGGGCGCAAACTACGACCTTGCTAATTTACGTATAGAATAGAATTTCGGCTACTAGGAACCACAGAGTGAAAGCACTATATTTTGATACTAGGCAGTAGCGAGCTTCTATGACCTTTTGAGTCGAGTTAGCTCGATAGCTGGACTCGTGAGGAACTACCATGGCGACGATCGACTTGAAAAATTTCTCGTCCAAAATACTCACTCCGAATAGTTGGAAGACAATCATACAGAATTAGTCATATCCATGTCTCTGCAGTTATTTGGTTCCCCTGACGGATCCGTGCTCTCGCTGGTTAGCAATCTCAAAGTTTCCATTGCTGCTGCTGTGTTTTCTCCGGGCTTGCAACTGGAAGTCGATACTGAAGGCAAATCACAGTTGGCTTTACAAGATAGCAAAAGTGGCTTCGAGCTTATTGAGCCCAACGCAATTGTGAAATACCTTGCTGCCACTAAGACCCAAAACAGTTCTGTTTTCGGAAACCATGAGCTCATTGATAAGGACGAAAAGATATTGTACCCTGCTTTGAAGTCGAATCAGATCGACCTCAGCATCCTGTCCCAGATTGGATCTATCCCCTCTGCCAACGCAGAGGATGTTTCACAAATCATCATCTTTTCTTCATTGTATCCTCTGTTGAGCAAACAAACTGACAGCAAGCTCTCTGGCTGGTTCAAGACGTTCTCTCAGATCCCAGCCGTGGCTAAGGGTGTCGACCTCGCCGTTAAGAAGTACAAACCTCAAAGAGTTCCAGAGAAGAACACTAACAAAGTGAATGTTGTTGAAGGATGTGCTGTTGTTCACTCGGAAGGAAAATTGAAGCCAAAACCAAATGAGAGAAATATCCTGATTACGTCTGCGCTTCCATATGTGAACAACGTGCCTCACTTGGGAAATATCGTGGGCTCTGTCTTGTCTGCTGATATATATGCCCGTTACTGCAAGCGTAGAAATTACAATGCGATATACATCTGTGGTACTGATGAGTACGGAACTGCTACCGAGACCAAGGCTTTGGAAGACAAGGTCACTCCCCAGGAGCTCTGTGACAAATACCATGCAGTTCATTCTGATGTCTACAAATGGTTCCAGATTGGGTTCGATCACTTCGGAAGGACAACTACGCCAAAGCAAACCGAAATTGCTCAAGAGATGTTTATGAAACTCTACAAGAATGGATACTTGGAAGAGAAAGTCATGAAACAGCTTTTCTGTCCTGTCCATAAAGGATTCCTAGCTGACAGGTATGTCGAAGGTGAATGCCCAAGGTGCCATTACGAAGATGCCAGAGGAGATCAATGTGACAAGTGCGGCAACCTGCTTGATCCATTTGATCTAATAAACCCTCGTTGCAAACTCGATGGCCACACTCCAGAACCTAGAGAATCCAACCATATTTTTATATCGCTAGACAAGCTGGAGCCAGAGGTTAGAAAATGGATTGCCGAGGCTTCGGAGAAGGGCAAGTGGTCCAAGAACTCCAAAACAATTACAAACTCATGGCTCAAAGAAGGACTGCAACCGAGATGTATTACTAGAGATTTGACCTGGGGAACACCTGTGCCACTCGAAGGATTTGAAAACAAAGTTCTTTACGTTTGGTTTGACGCTCCAATTGGCTATATCTCCATTACTGCGAACTACACTGATGAGTGGAGGGACTGGTGGCAAAACCCAGATCACGTCCAGCTATACCAGTTCATGGGCAAGGACAACGTGCCATTCCATACTGTTGTGTTCCCATCTACTGAAATTGGCACCAAGGAAAAGTGGACTATGCTGCACCATTTGAACACGACCGAATATCTGCAGTACGAGGGAGGCAAGTTCTCCAAATCTAGAGGTATTGGTGTCTTCGGTAATAATGCAGAGGCTACTGGTGTGTCTCCTTCTGTCTGGAGATACTATTTAGCATCTGTGAGACCAGAAAATCAAGACTCACAATTCTCCTGGTATGAATTTGTCACCAGAAACAACAGCGAGCTTTTAGCAAACCTGGGCAACTTCGTTAACAGATTGGCCAAGTTCGTTATTGCTAAATACAATGGAGTGGTGCCCTCTTTCAAAACTGAGGATTGCCCAGTGTACCCTGAGCTTTTGAAGGACTTGAACGCCCTTGTGAAAACGTATGTTGATGACATGGAGACAGTGCATTTAAGAAAAGGCTTGGAGACCGCTATGATGATCTCCGCTAGGGGAAACCTGTTTTTGCAAGAGAACAAACTAGACAACTCCTTATACAACGATTTCCCAGAGAAGAGTGATGCGGTTGTTGCTATCGGGTTAAACATCGTATATTTGGTTTCTGCTGTGATTGCTCCGTATATGCCTGAAACAAGCAAGCAAATAGAGGAAATTTTGAGAGTTCCCGAGCTGAAGATCCCTGACGAGTTCGGTTTGTGGATCCAGCCTGGACACTGTATTGGAAAGGCCCAATACCTGTTCAAGAGAATTGATGAGAAAAAGATTGATGAGTGGAGAAATCTGTACGGAGGCCAACAGCAAAAATGAAATAGTTCCGTTAATCGCCCGAATTATAATTTAGCGCGGTAGACAGATCGCAAATATTAGGTGGCTCTGGGGCTGGTGGCAAACGCATTTGCCACCATCTCAGATCTGGTAATGACCTGCTCTATTGACGTATAGTAATGGCAGCCTGTGCTGCACCAGGAACCTAAAGCCAACCTAGTTCTCCGAGAAATTACCTATTCGGGAAACAGACCACAAATTTACTCTCATAACCGTTGAGATTTAATCAGAGCTGCTGTTCGCCTTTCGTACCGGTTTGCCTTCAAGGAAGGTATAAGAGCACTATGCACTCCCATTTACGGACATCTTATCGAATCATCTTGACAACCTCATCATACTAATGCAGGATTTAGTGAATCTTGAGGAAATTGTCTGCCTTCCAGGTGGCTACCGAGACGACCACGAAGGTAAGGGAATGCAGTTTCATGTGTTAGATTTTCCATCTTCCTTTTCAAGTATGAATGATTCAGAATTTTCCCTCCTGGAGATGGAGTCGCAAAATGAGACTGCTGGTCAGGAAATGTTCGACATCATGGACAGTTTCACATCGTTTCCGCAAGCCTCACCACGAGAACATGATTCCATCCCTACTCCTGATAATCATATCTTTGAGTTTCAGACACTTAGAGACTTTGGAGAGTCCACTTTCTCACTGGAAATAACCCCTACTTCTAGCCTAGCTCAGGATAACGAATATATCTATTCTAAAGATGACCAGATTGAAGAGACTACAGCGATGCTGGTCTCAATGGCTAACGAAGAACCAAGAACGCTTTGCGAATGGGATTTGATGACCGCAGAGGTTTCGAAGATAGACTCGCCGGCATTGTATGAATCACAAAAAGAAGACAGTCTAAGTGGAGGATGTCACAAGGGCAGTAAGAAAACCAAGTACACAAATCTGCAAATTTCCTTCTACGAAACTATCCCAGAGAAGCTAAACCAATGGCTTAATCAGCATTTTTATCCCTATATTCAGCCCAATGGCATCACATATGCCAGATTTCACAAAATGCCTGAAAACGATGAATATATCTACAAGCGAAACCCCAAAGCAGAGATATTCCTTCCTCCACGGTACTCAAACTCCAGTGCCAACTACTACGAGCCACTTGTTGTGAGATATAGGAAATCACACCAGGAACGAGGTCAAGGAGACGGCGAGGGGCTGTGCCCATATTGCCAATCTGACGATTTGAGCGAGCTTTTTTTTGAAAGAAAAGACTCCAATTATCTCCACCATGTCACTAAACTGCATGGTGTCTATTCTAACGGAATGGAGATGCCATTTCCTCGAATGATTGGCGAAGCGTTGGAGATCAAGCATCTCAAAACTCGCGGGAGAACAGAGCGCAGGGTCCATAGCGTCGAGTGCGAGAAATGTCACGAAACTGTGAAGATCCAGCAGCTGGACTGCGACAAAGAAGGAAACAAGTTTCTGGCATATTTCCGTCACATGCTGGTTCACAACGAAAAGAAAAATGTGGGCAAGCGCTCTTCGAAATTTAGTTTATTCAATTAAATAGATTTTAAAAATTCGCACTTCAAATGAGCTCCGCAATCTTGGCTCAGGCTCACTCATACCTTTCGGGGATCCCGTTAGAAGTGATATCCCAAGGTGCTGAGGCTGTTGTCTTTATGACAACTGTGCACCCATATCTTTCAGAGTCCATGCATCCTTCAGACATACAGATCTCATCCAAATACATCATCAAATACAGACCATCAAAAACATATCGACATGAAATTCTAGACAAACAATTAACAAAATCTCGCACTGCTGCAGAAGCTAGACTTCTTAGCAAATTGTATAGCCTGAAAATCCCAGCTCCGAAACTGATCGCTCTCGACGCACCACACGGCATAATATGGATGGAATTTCTCGGCTTCCAACTTCCCAATGGGCATATCAGTTCCCTTAAAAACTGGTTGTGGTATTTAGAGAGACAACAGGAGGCTGATACTACTGCAACCATTGCTTTGTCAGACACTGTTAAGCAGGTCCTGACCCTAGTTGGACAGGCCATAGCAAAACTTCATTTGCAAGACATAGTTCATGGAGACCTCACAAGCTCCAACATACTGCTTGAGCAGAATATAGAAGAATTGCAACCCACCCTCATAGATTTTGGACTCTCTTCTTATTCGCCTCTAGCAGAGGACAAGGCTGTGGATCTTTACGTCCTAGAACGGGCCTTAACGTCTACTCACCCAGTCTACTCCGAAAAATACAATGATTGGCTGCTTCAAGGCTATGAGGAGACTTATGGCGGCAAAACTAACAACAAGCGTAAATATGCAGAAGTGAGCAAACGTCTTGAGGACGTTAGACTCAGAGGACGGAAGAGATCAATGCTTGGCTAGATTAATATATAGAGGTCGTGTGTATAGCCCAAAATCTCGATATCCAAAAAGTCTGGTCTTTTTATTTGTGTGTTGTACGAATAAAAGCATTTAGAGCTGGGCATTGCGCAGAAAAAGTTGCCAATAAATGACTATGGACCAGCCAATTGTTCTTGATCAGGGTACCGGCTTTGTTAAAATTGGAAGGGCTGGAAAGAACTTTCCGGACCATACCTTCCCTTCCATCGTTGGAAGACCAATTTTGAGGGCTGAGGAGCGCACGGGAGACATTGAAATCAAGGATATTATGTGCGGTGACGAAGCATCTGCTGTGAGATCTGCTTTGCAAATATCTTACCCAATGGAGAACGGAATCATCAGAAATTGGGAAGACATGGAACACCTATGGGATTATGCGTTTTACGAAAGAATGAAGATTGACACGACAGGACAGAAAGTGCTGTTAACCGAGCCACCAATGAACCCCCTGAAAAACAGAGAAACAATGTGTGACGTGATGTTTGAGAAGTACAACTTTGGCGGAGTCTACGTTGCTATTCAAGCTGTTCTTGCTCTTTATGCACAGGGTCTCTCTTCCGGAGTTGTGGTTGACTCAGGAGACGGTGTGACACACATTGTTCCCGTGTACGAGTCGGTTGTTCTGAACCATCTAACTAGACGCTTGGATGTTGCAGGCAGAGATGTCACCAGAAACCTGATTAACCTATTACTTAGAAGGGGATATGCATTCAACCGAACCGCAGATTTTGAAACTGTTAGACAGATCAAAGAAAAGCTTTGCTATGTCTCTTATGATTTGGATTTTGACACAAAACTGGCCAATGAGACCACGGTTCTAGTGGAGAATTTTGAATTGCCAGACGGAAGAGTGATCAAGATCGGTTCCGAGAGGTTTGAGGCCCCAGAGTGTTTGTTCCAACCATCTCTGACAGATATAGAGCAACCCGGTGTGGGAGAATGTTTGTTCAACACAATTCAGTCTTGTGACGTTGACATTAGATCTACACTGTTCAAATCTATTGTTCTCAGCGGAGGATCATCAATGTACCCCGGTCTTCCTTCAAGACTAGAGAAAGAATTAAAACAACAATGGTTTACGAAGGTTTTGAAAGGCGATGCCTCAAGACTCGACAAGTTCAAGGTTAGAATTGAAGATCCACCAAGAAGGAAACACATGGTCTTTATTGGTGGTGCCGTCTTGGCAAACATCATGGCAGATAAAGATCACATGTGGATCAGCAAACAGGAGTGGGAAGAACAAGGCCCTAGAATTTTGGAAAAACTGGGCCCAAGATAAAGGGTATGTTGTAAATTATTTCAAGAAAGGCGATTTTGTGATGCCGTAGTTATATTATACAATCAACTATACTCGTTAACCTTCTTCCACACGTCCTCAACAAGAATGTCAAGCTTGTGCTCCGAGACGTTCGGGTGCGTGCTCCCATATTTGACTGCGTTGCGAACCAAGTCATTGATGAACTTATGGGTAACCACCTTGGGTTTGAGAAAATCTGTTTCCAGCAACTGATCTGCATTGGCCCTCAACGACGGATTTCTTTTCAAACAACGCTGAATGGTATCGATCACCAGCCCATTAACTCTTGTTCCATCCGTAGTAACTCGCGGATACTGTATTTCAACCTTTGGATTCGTAATTGCCAGAATTCGTTTATTGCCAGTGTAGTTCGCGTACGGCGGCTTCCCGTAGACCATTTGGTAAATTATACATCCACATGACCAAATATCCGCAGGCTTGCCAACCTTCCATGTTCCGTTCAGACTATCCCCTTTTAGAGTATTATTGACCTCGATAAGAGTCTCAGGGGCCATATAATTTGGAGTACCTATTTGGCACTCACGATATATATTGACTGTATGATCAGAGAGCGAATTGGAAATTCCAAAGTCAATGAGTTTCAGTGTACCCTTGACAAACAGAAAATTGGCAGGTTTTAAATCGGAATGCACGATTCCGGCATCGTGAACTGCCTTCACACACTTGATCATCTCAACAGCATGATATCTGGTAAAACTTGGATCAAAGGGTAAATTAGAGCGATTCGCAAGGACATGGGCCAAATCTATATCACCACATTCCATAACGAGCATAAGCGAGCCATCTTTTAAGCTGTGATCTATTAGTTTGACGACTCTTTCTTGATCCCTAAGTTTCTTCAGAATTTCAATCTCTCCCTTGAAACTTGCAATTGCACCCTCATCAAATTGATCGAAAGTGACAACCTTGATCGCATAATCTCGTTTGCCATTAACAGCGCGGGCCTTGTAAACTCTAGATGAGCCTCCCTTACCAATTTGTTCTAGGCACTCAAAATCTTGCTTGTTGATTGTAAGAACATTACTTGGTTTCTCGATGGCAGGCGTACAATTTTGTTGATTTGTGCTCCGATATGAACCTCCCTCCCACGTTCTCTTAGATCCAGACGGTTCCTTGTGTTCATCGTATACACTGTTTCCAGACACTTTCATCTTATCATCCATTGCACTACTGTTTTCAAGCGAGTTCCTTGGTGGAGTAAGTCTTTTCTTCATTTCATGGAAGTTGAAAACACCATTCTTTTCTTGATTCCAGCGGGACTGCGAAAGTGGAGTCAGGACCTTTCGAGCTTGTTCCGGGGTTGCATAATGATTCACATGAGGCGATTTGGTAGGTGTGCGTTGATAGGCATCCGTATGCTGGTCATTTGCGGTTTTGGTTGCGTGCTTTATTTGAAGTGTGGATTTGTAAGGGGTTTCACTGAGATTATTCCTCTTTATCCTTGGAGAACATGATGAAACGGGTCTTCTTCTCATATGCTTCGGCGTTTGGACATACGTGTGTTTGCTTCCTATCCCCAGATTTTCCTCATTTTGTTCCGCATCATAGTGTGTGGGAGCAGTATTTGTCTTCAGGGAGGTAGTGAACATGTTGGTAGTTGTTGTATGTTTGGCCTCGTCATTTTGTGTCACATAATTCAACGTTGGAGAACCGCTCTCCTGATTTGGCGTTTGAGCAAGCTCGTTAAGCTCAGTTTCGGAAAGCCGTTTAGGGGCTCCAAGTCCAAATTTGGACAGCGATCGTGCCGATCTCAGCGACTGGCGAGCTTTAGTAGCGCTGGAGTCAGCGGCGTCCATTCCCGCTCCATAGCGCTTTGAATTGAAAAGCGAATAAGGCTGCTGGCTTGCATTGGAGTTGAAAGAACTAAATCGACGACTGGAAGGTCTACTTGTGTCAGGTTGCGATAGTTCACAGGTAGGTTCATTCGCTTGGATTTGCCGTTCATCAAATACGTTCTTGTAGTCAACAAAATCGCGCCTTTGTTCTATCGTATTGCCCTTGTTTGTGATTTGTTCCAGTAATGACATTGCGTATGAACTGAGCATAGGCGGATGCTCATTTATTCCGTCATCCGAGTCGTCGTCATCCACGAACGCATCATTATCATATGAGAGTTTCTGTTCCTCAGCGCTATTCGTGAAGATTTGGCTATTGAAGTGTCCTCGCGACGTGGGTGGAATCGTTGTTATATTTGAAGAGTTCGACAGTGTAAGTCTGTTTATTGAGGACGGCGATGAGAGATTGCTTATTTTTCGATGCAACTCAGCCATTGTGGTATAATTTTGCAAATCGGTCCGTGCTCAGGCCACATAAACAAACAGCAACACTCTAGAGTCGAGAATTGAACCGAAAACAGAGGAAAGAGGTATCGCTGTTCAGGCGGTGCGTAGCTATAAGCGTGAACTTAAATTATAACCAGGCGCAAAACTTTATTGGTCAGTGATAATCAAAGAATCAAATCTGAGCTGACAAGAAATAAAATCCAAATAACGGCAATGTGCCGCTGTCTATATTAGCCTGATGAATTAAAGTCTGGAAGCTCTAGACCTTGTTTTGTTTTAAATTGTAAACAAGAAAAAATTCGACCCTTCGAAATAATACCGGTTCGTGACGCGCGTCGATCGTCCAGAATATTAAACATGACTATTATACGATGTACAGAACATAGACGTTAACCAATAACTTCGAGATAGTTGCTTGGACACATGCCGATTTCACCTTTCGAGTTCTTACCTTGCCACCAATTTCCAATGGTGTCTTTGACACGGAATATATCGCCTTTTTTAAATGATAGCTCGTTGATATCGTCAGGGCTAGCATCATAGTCAAATAATCCTCTAACAGTTATAGGATAATCGTCTTCCGGTAATGCAGAAGCCCTGTTCATAGTGGAAGCGTTTTCAAGTCCATTGAGCTGCGCAGTGTAGTTTTGAATATTGAAAGGATTTTCATGTAAGCCCGAGTCATCATTGGAGAGGGAATTTCTCTCAACATATCCCATAGTCTCGTCCTTGTATGACTCATCAAGAGGTATTTGAGACTGCGCGGCGGCGTTTCTGGTGGATTTCGACCGTTTGGAGGACAGCATCACGTTTTCGCTGCTTCCAAACGAATCAATATAGGAAATAATTGGTGAGCTAGGTTCCGACCCAAAGTAAAATAGCCACAGAATGTTGACAATACACTGAATGATGAAGCCCGCACTTGCAGCTCCTGGGGCTGAGTCTGTGTCGTAAACTAAGTTGTTAGTTGCGTTGGAGTTGTAAACGAATGCTACACCGATGGCGCAAGTCAAGAAAAACCTGTGGTAATGGAAATTGTTTGTAATGTACAGAACAACAATGACGATCAAGAGCAATAATTGGAAAACCACCGCCCACCATGCGAACTTTGGGAAACCGCTATTTTGACTGTTTGTAGCAATACATCCTGCAAATGTGATTATCCATCCAATAGAGGAAATACCAAAAGTACTGAGAGCGAACGGGTTGAATAGTGACACTGGATTCGATCTTCCCATCCTGTTTTAATAACGAGCGTGTTTATTTTTTTTTTGATCCAGTATTTATTTCAAGGCCCAAAAATTTCTCAGGGGCAGTAGCGACCTGAAGTACAAATTCAAATCTAGTAGAACAAGGAGATTGATGTTTTTGTGAGTCTGGCTACCTTATCTACCTATTTCTTGACACGTTTTGATGGAGGTGCGGTTACCAATTGATCGACTACTGTTTCATGGACAGAGGTCAATAGTTTAGCCGATATGCCATCTAGTTTTCCGCTTATCTTGTTTGCTCTGTGGAGACACCATAGAGCTTCCTCAATTTTTTGAAGCTCGCGCGTATTGAACAGTAGTAGCTTGGGCAGGACAAGCTCAAAGTACTCTTTTGTGGAGTACTTGATCTTGCCATATTCGGGATTGAGAATGTCAAACACCTCATCTGAAAAAAAAGGAGTGTCCCGTAAGCTGGCATCGGGAGAATTCCTCAAAGCTGGACCCGCTAATGACAAAATCAATGTGGATGTAGCTGGACCCACTCCCCTTAGTTGGCAGACTAGGTCTATTGACTTTCTTACTGTAGTAGTGAATTCATTGTCGTCATCGTTGCTCGAGTCGCAGTAATCAATCATCACCTTGAATGCCTGCTCGCTATATTCTCGAACTTTGTCAGGATCATTGCTTTGAATCAGCTTTGATAGGGTGGGCCGGAATTTTCCCCTGGATAGTTTCCACTCCATGAGCTTCGCTAGTTCAGCCTTTTCGAGCCACATTGTCTGCTTTTCAGCGTGACGTGCCCTAAGGATCTCTGGCATACTCTCTCTCCGCCAAACATCGAGGTCTTCAAAACTCATGTTGTCAGAGTACACTTGTTTGCGACCATTACGAGACAGGTCTTTGACGCATGTTCCGTAGAGTCTCTCACGACAAGTTAGTACTGCCTCTTCGACCTTGGGATCCATACTGTTCCAGTCGCGCCCGTGCACCAAGACACGAAAAAAATACACGCGTTCTGAAAATTTAGCTATGGCAGATGCTACTTTTGACTGGAGTGAGACCACTCAGAGCTCACCCAAAGAGGTGGGGATGTCTGGCAGTGACCCTATAGGTGAAGAGAGGCGTGAGAGGTACTTCATATGGAAAAAGAATGCGCCCCTGCTGTATGACTATATTCAGACCACGTCTCTGTTGTGGCCCAGTCTTACAGTCCAGTGGTTTCCAGATTTGGAGGATGTTGCCGATACAGATTACCAGCAGCACCGTCTGTTACTCGGATCACATTCGAGCGGTTTTGCGAAATGCGAAAGTCTCAATTTGTTCGGACTGAAAACACTCAGAGAGACAACCAAGCTTGTAGATATCGCAGCAGACTACGATCCGCTGAAAAATGAGTTCATTGTCAAGCGCGATGACTGGCATGCCACTAAGATATCACTGGTACAGAAGATCCCTCATAGAGGGGAGATTAATAGGGCCCGATACATGCCGCAGAATCCAGACTTAATAGCGACTATCTCCAACAATGGAGATTTATATGTTTTTGATCGCACCAAGAAACCAAACAACTATACAGAGGATGAAATCAACGAAAGCGACGACTTCTCTGATATCAAGCTGGAGTTCCACCAAAGCGAGGGCTGGGGTCTTGATTGGAATAGACACAAAGAAGGAGAGTTGGCATCTGCTTCTTCAGACGGTACGGTAGCTTTATGGGACCTAACCAAGTTCAAGAAAAACACCTGTGATAAAAAGCCAGCCCAGACGACTACCACTGGAGTTGAGTTTCAAAAACGCAAATACAAGACTTCGACCCTTCAGCCTACCGAGACGGCCGCTGCCCACGATTACGGAGTCAACTGTTTAGAATACCTCTATTTTCACCAAAATCTGATAGGAACAGTAGGGGACGATAAAAAGCTGAAGATCTTCGATACCAGGGTTCGACTGAATTGCGTCAAGGAGGACAAGCTGTCCGACTCGGCCATCAATGTGGTATCCTTCAGTCAAGTGAATGAATTTGGCTGTGCTATAGGAACCGAAACAGGAGACATCTCTCTTCACGATCTACGACATATGGAGGCCCCGGTGAAAACTGTCAACAAGTCGCACAACGGAGCGCTCACTTGCGCGTCTTGGAACCCGGAAAATGGATCATTACTAGCAACTGGTTCGTCGGACGGTACTGTCAAACTATGGGATTGGTCTGGTGGCCCAGGTGAGGAACTGCGCTTTGTTCATGGGGGGCATATGCTTGGTGTCAATGATATTGACTGGAACCTGCACGACGCAAATATGCTAGTCAGTTGTTCCGACGACAATTCTGTCCAAGTTTGGAAACCAGCTTCAACTATTCTGTAACTTCTGGGTGCGACCAACCTGTGCGCAGATAATGAAATTTGGCAGAACACGTCTTTTTTCAAATTAGATCAAGAGCCGGGGTAATTTCATGTTTTGTTTCAAAGATGAGTTCACTTTTCAACCGGTCGAAAAACAAAGTTATAGTTCTTACGCTAGCCTGTCTGCTCCTCTTGGGTGTCATGTACATGATGCCTACAGATTCTAACGTTGGGGCCCATGGGATCAAACGTTTGACAGAATCAGATATTGGCATAGCCCCAGGCCGTAGCAACAACGAGGATACGGAGTCAGACTCCGAATTAGTTCTCGAAAGCATTCAACCAGGGTCCATCGGTTCACAGGAGATTGCTGGTGCGCAAAAGGAGGAACAAGAGATGGAGGATCGCGAGGAGATCAAGGCAATTTCAAAGGAGGTATCGAAATTAGATAATAAAGGCGCAGGCTCGTTGGAAGGGATCAAAGAAAAATCCCACTTTGGTGGTAAGTTGGAGAAGGACGGCGATGCACTTGATACCAAGAACAGAGAAGTCGTGGAAGAAGGGGAAACTAATCTCGTGGATGACCATATAAATGTGTCTGACGTGCCCGCTGAGGAAACACCGCAGTCGGCCCACGAAAAATCCGAAGATATCTCATTCACATTATCAGAAGAAAGTCGCGCTTTGAATGATAATAAGAAGAATTATCAAGCAGGCTCAAATCCCACGTCAAAGCTAGATCCTGCTAAAAAACAGGCCAAGACAGATTCGAGGCGGCCTAAAAATCTGGGCAAAATCAGCGACAACAGAGTTATAGGCACAGAAGACGGTCCATCAAGCTCAAAAAGATTGGCTCAAAGATCAAGGTGATATATTGTTTATGTTATATCTATACCGCATTTTTATTATCATTTTAAATAGTAATTTTTCTACACCTTTTCTGCACCACTCAGACGCACTGCTGCACCGTATTTTTGGAGTTTAGTCAACAAAGAGTCTCCGTTCTTGATAAGCGCATGATACTGGCTGTTCTTGTTGTCAGGCCTATTCGTTTCGACGATACCATTCACCTTGTCTATGATGCAGTTGATTTTTTTATTTGGAATAAACTTGCAGAGATCTTGATCCAGAAAGTCTTCAGAGACGCCAAAACTCTCGGCCATTGACTTGAGCGACAAAGACTTATAGCTTTCCAGCAACTGAGAATATGCCTTACATCTGATTTCCCTCATGTAAAAGTTGGTGTGAGGCCGCAAATACTTATTCTTCACCAAAATCTCGTCATGCGTCTTGATCAAATTTGGGAAGAAATCTTGATACTCACAGTAATACAGCGACTTGATCAGATTGTAAATCGAAGCTAGTTCCGGTGAGCTGGAATCGATGGTTAGGATTTCCGGTGACTCGATCAGTTTCTTACGCAAGTCTGGTCTTTCCAATGAGATAGCACCGCAAATTAGTGAATATTGAGCCACCTGCTCATATGTAGATATCTCAGTGGATGTGAAGGTGGCCAATGAATCAATCAAAAGTTTGGATGCTTCGTCAAATTTTCTAGTAGACATCAGGTAAATTCCCATATACGTTTTGTACCGGTTTCGCCTCTCCCAATCTCCACCTTTCTCAATTAAAATATTAGCTTCATCAAGGTATTTCTTCGTGAACAACTTATCGTCAAAGAAGAATCCGATTCTTGCAATGGTCAACACCAAATCAATTTTCGAGCCCGTTGAAGGCGCCAGCTCGAATGTTTTTTGATAAGTGGTGAGCGCGTTGGCTTTGTCGCCAATCGCGGCATAGTACTCCAAGAGGTCTGTCCAAACTTTAAGAATTTCCAACTCTCCTTCATCATCCTCTGCAAGCTTCTCTAGCTGCTTCTTTAGGTCAGCAACTTTCTGTGTGTTCTGTTGAGCCAATTTATCGTATAAGTCTTTGTCAAACTTGAGTCCTGGTATCTTCAATTCATTGGTTATGTAGTCATAGTATGGAGCCATTTGCTGTTCCTTGATCTGTTCAAGGATACGGTACACAAGCTCATCGCTGCCAAAGCCCTGTTGAACAAGGTAAACGTTTTGTGCAACCTCAAAGTCCGGAATTCTGCGAACTCCAGACGACAATGTGTCGATAATCATATCTTTCAGTATGCTTCTTTTTGTTCGCCACCGTTATTTATTTTTCGAAGTCCTTCACATCCTTACATTTTTTTGACACTCAAAATTCAATGGTCTTTGTTCGGCATGGGATTGGACTTGAATCGTGATCTCCACGACTTCCAGCACTGGCTCAATGAACTCCAAACTAGCATGTATGAGTTTAAGCATCTAAAGATAACAAATGACACAGACTTGGAGTTCGTGCGTCTGAGTACTCAGACTAAGACAACGGAATTGTATGAAAAGCTAGAAGAACTTGAAAATGTCATCAGCGTGAAACTTGATTGCGTATCTGGAGATGCTCAGAAAGACATAGAATACCAGTTTGCGCTACTCAAAGAGCGTTTTTTTGATGTTAGAGTAGATTTTAGAGAGTTATTACTGTCCTCTAAATCTTGGACGGTGCAAGAGGAAGAAGTGCAAAATGATGAGTTGACGAACGAGCCGATCCTAGATGATCATAATCTCGAAAAACTCACCAAGGAAGAACAGCTGCTGAACAAAAACTCGCTTCTCACGAATAAGCTACAAAGTGTGAATCAATTGCTACAGTCATCGCTTTTGGCCAGCGAGATGAATATTTCAGATCTTGCACATTCAACGAATTCCCTGACAGACTTATCGAATAAATACAGTTATTTCACAGATGTGCTTGTTCGCTCAAACAGGCTGGTGAGGACTATTAATGAGTCAAGTTCTAAAGAAAGAAAACAGATCTATACTTCCTTATATTTCTTTTGTACAGTCTGCATTTGGATACTCTACAAGAGAATCTTTCGAAAACCGATCAGACTATTCATCTGGCTACTATACAAATCCATAACTGTGATGTTTTGGGGCGCCTCTTCACTCACAGCAAAAGATCCAGTTGTGGAACTGACAGCATCTATGAGTGATACGATTAGAGCAGTCACTGCCACGGTTTCGGAACCCATCAAATCAACGGGATTTGAAACAGCCAAGTCAACCATCAAATCTATGCTCAAGGATGAGCTTTAATAGTCGTCACCTCTCGAAACAACCTCTTTTCTGGTTGGATGCAGCAGAATGGTATGCTCGTATTGTGCCGTATAACAACCTTTAACGTCAACAAGTGGAGGATGCTCTGTGATCAGCCCCGCCCTGCATAGCTGGTTCAATGCTAACAGATACTTCTCTTCGCCAATTCGATCAAGATATCTGCGACAGAATGGCAGAGAGCCGAAGTTCTTGTCAATAGCCTGCATCAACTTCTTCGCCCTGTCAAGTCTAATAGGAGCATTGGGAGGTGCATCCAGGTTCTTCATATAGTGCGAGCACTCGCCTCCATGAACGACATAGCCTTTTCCAGTAGATCCGAACGTCTCAATGGCAAATGTCTCTCCTTCTTCCATCTTAGTTGTATCACCGTTCTTCACAATTGGCACAGACTTTCCACCATGGATCTGGTACGGTTTAATGTTGTGCCCTTGCAAGTTTCGTATGCACTTAACAGGAAAAATTTTTCCGTCAAGTTCGACCTCGTAGCTCTCCATCACTTCTTCAACGGCCTCTCCAATATCTGTCATTCTCACATCAATTCCAGCGGTCTTGATACCGGTGTTTGTGGCCTCCTTCACTGCATTCAGAAGAGGATCGTATCTTTCGTTAAAAGTCTGAGTCCAGGCACAATCAATGATATGTCCGTTTACGTGAACACCAAAATCAACTTTCATGACATCGTCGTATTGAAGAACAACTTTGTCTCCAGCGTTAGGTGTGTAATGTGCAGCACAATGGTTGAGAGACACACCACAAGGAAATCCCATACCTCCTTTTAAACTATCATCTGTACCGCTGTAGGCTCTGACGCTATTTTCAATTGACTCCGCAACTTCAATCATTGTCATCCCGGGTTTGATGTTCTTTTGGGCAGTTTGTCTCACTCTTCTATGAATCTCTGCTCCTTTTCTGAACTCATTCCATTTGTTGTTAGCCTGACGGTCTAAATATCTTTTCTCCTCGTCAGTTACTCTCCTCAAATTCTCTTCGCTTCCGGTATATTCTTGCCACTCTCCTTCAGGGAACACTCCATCAGGGAAGAACTGGTTGATACCACCCTTCTTCTTTTTGTTATTCTTCTTCTTCTTCTTTTTCTTTTCCACACTGTTGCCCTCTACAGTTACCTCATTGGAGTTAGTCTCATCAGCTGGCTCCTCAAGAGCTACTTTTTCAATTTGCTCTGCTAAGTTATTCTCTGAACGCATAAGTCTCCAAAAAATCGTCCTGAAATATTTTCTATATGCTTGTTCTTGCTCGCACTACCAGCTTAGCTTTACTATACATACATAGTTTTAATCGAAAAAATTCCAACAATCTTCTTGCAGTGATGTTCAGTATTTTACGTCCAAGAATACTCGGAAGAGCACCTTGTTCTCTTAGATATAGCTCTTCAAATCCGAAGACAGATCCTTTGGCAATACTGAGCGGAATAAATAAAAACCAGCAAGCAGACTCTGGCATCAAAACGTCCTTCTTAGGAGAGAGCAATTTTTCCGTAAGCGGAGCTTTCAAAGAGCCTAACTGCCTTGAATATGCTACCAAACTTCCTCTTGATGGAATCCATGCAGGACGCTCCATCTTGGTGAGAAAAGGAGATCTCATGAGAAGTATCAAAAGATTGGAAACAATGACTAGATCTACGAAGCTGAAAAACGCGTACTACGAACAGAAATTCTACATGAAGCCAAGCAAGAGAAAGTTGCAGCAAAGAATCAAAAGCAAGAAAACACGCTTCGATGCCGGTATTAGAAAATTGTTGGGTGTGGTGCGGAACGCTGTTAGAAGAGGATATTAAAGTTTGTATGTACATAGGAAAAACTTTACTAAAATATCTATCTGATTATGGCGCAGGTGAATAGCTCAGAGGGGGGCGCTACTATACGTTCCGGTGTCATTAATCTCATGAACACTATCCTAGGAGCTGGTCTTCTTAGTGTGCCCTATGCCATCAGATGCGACGGCGTTTTGTTGGGAATACTGTTCGTCTTGTTTTCAGCATTCACATCTGGCCTTGGTCTATACCTCTTGGCGATATCAGCTTCATATACGATTCCAGGCCATGCATCATTTTTCTCTTTGTCGAAGCTCACGGTACCACAGCTTGGGATTGTCTTCGACCTTGCGATCGCTATCAAATGCTTTGGTGTAGCTTGTTCCTATTTGATTGTGGTAGGGGACCTCATGCCTCAAATTATGGATTCCCTTTGCTCTGACCGCGCGCTTCAGGATCACCCCTGGTTATTAAGCCGAACATTGTGGATCACCTTATTTCTGGCCGCCATATTGCCTCTGGTCTACAAAAGAAAACTGGATTCTCTCAAGACCGCATCGTTAGTCGCTCTCTCTTCAGTGGGGTACTTGGTGATATTAGTCGTGGTTCATTTTCTGCACATATGGAGTGGGGGTAAGGAAGATTTTGTCAAAGGGCCTGTTCATTTACTGAAGCCAAACTCAGTTGTTGCTATTCTGGCTTCCTTCCCAATTCTCGTCTTTGGATTTACCTGCCATCAAAATCAACTAGGCATTATCAACGAGCTCCACGATCGATCCTTGGCCAATGTTACCAAAATGAATATTGTATCAATTGGCACAGCGTGTGTTCTCTACATCATCGTCGGTCTTTCTGGCTATCTTACATTTGGGGACACTGTGTCTGGGAACATTATTGCCATGTACCCAAATTCACTTTCATCTACTATTGGAAGGATAGCCATAGTGATTCTAGTCACTCTAAGCTACCCGTTGCAATCCAATCCAGCTAGGGCTTCCATAAATCACGTCGCTTACTACATCAATGACTCAAACTTGGCAAATTCCATACGATCACTTTCGAGATCCACGACTAGTTCGACACTCATGACCCCAGAAGAGCATCGAAATTTGATATCGCAGGCTTCAACTCTCAATGGAACAGCCGTTTTCGATGATTCCTTTGCCGCAGACGAGGAAAATGAAGGTGAGCATTATGTGAAACTTACGAACACAAAACTAGTAGTGATCACAACAATTATCGTCGTGACATCCTACATTGTTGCCATCACAGTTAAATCACTTGCTCATGTGCTAGCGATTGTAGGATCTACAGGCTCGACGTCCATTTCATTTATTCTACCAGGATTTTTTGCGTACAGATTGATAGGATATGATAGCACCACGCTGTCTACGAGGGAATGGATTTTAAAGTACGCGGGATTGTTGTTGCTTATATGGGGATTCATCGTGATGATAATCTGCTTGTCTGCTACTCTTTTCTTGGGTGCGACTCACTAATCTAGTTGTACGCAATTACATTTTCGTGTTACATTAACTAATTCAACGCCTTTAGGAATCATGGCCAGTAGTGTCCACATCTTCCTCGTCTTCTAAGCTTTCCAGAGCTTCCTTAATCAAATGTGAGCCCTTAGGATCCAGATTCAAAGCTATAGTGAATTGCTTGATAGCATCGTTTTTGCGCCCGTAGATCCTGTAGAGCTTTCCGAGCAAGAAATGGACGGAAGCCTCATCCGGAGCCAAATTCTCAAGCTTCTCAAAATCCTTGAGAGCCATATCGTATCTTTTCATTGAAATCAATGCTTGAGCCTTTTTGAACAATGCCAGCATTGACAAAGGCTGCAGACGAGATGCGAAGATATATTGTCTTAAAGCTTGCTCTTTCTTGCCCAATTTCTCAAGAACCATCCCCACACAACATATAAGGATTACGTTCACAGGGTTTATCTCGACTGCTTTCCGGAAATGAAACTCTGCTTTTCGGAAATCACCTAATTTCAGATAAACCATCCCAATTCCGTAGAATGCATTATAGTGTCTCTTATCGAGGAGTATTGCATGTCTAAAACATTCCAGCGCGTTTTCAAACGCATCATTGGACAAATATTCATGTCCTTGTAAAGTATAAGAGTATGCAAAATTCTTGTCCACTTGATTAGCTTTCTGGAAACATTTTATTGCTTCATCTGGTTCCCGATTCAGTGAGAACAAATTTCCCACGGCAATCCAGGCCTCGGGCGAGTCTTTGGAGATTTCATGGAGCTCGTGCGAGAGGAAACTTAGATCCATTTCCTTATGTAAGTGCCATAATAATGTAGAGTAGTACTCCATTTCCTCGATCCGCGTTCTGTCAAGCTGCCGCAATTTGATAAAATAGTTCTCGGCTTCCTCATAATTTACAATCTCAAAATGTAAACGTCCTAGTTTTCCTAGGACCCAGGGAGTGTTCCGTTCATTTTCTGGGAGCGAGTCAAATATTCTGATTGCCTTGAAACAATCATAAAAGCACATTGCTTTGAAACCTTTAGCAAGCTTAGCGTAAGTTCCAAGAAGTTGTTGGTCATTTGATCTCTGAATACTATCTGATTTTGGCTCGTTTCCCACCACACCGGTATTCGAGAACGTCGAGCCAATGACTCGCTTAATCCCGGCTCCCTCACGTTTGGAATTCTGTGATGCTGTTGAAGATGCTCCGGTTACTCCACTCGTCGCGGTAAAATTCGAATCTGTAAGAGTATTCAGTGGATGCCCTAAAAGCCGTGATGTAATCGATGTTGAGCTTCTCGAAGACTTTCGGCGAATAGAGTCCGTTGGGGCTGATGGATGTTTGAATACCTCAAAATTGGAGCTCTTTGCGGCTTTTCGATTTGGTGCGTCTGGCATTTGCAGTTGTTTTACCCTGGGAGTCGCCATGATCGTATGATTTTGCTGTTCTGGTGTCTGTGCAATACTCCCGCCGTTTGCTGACCCAGTGCTTGAATGGGCTGGCGTCTTGAAAAAGGATTTGTTGTCGGATTTTTGATCAGAGAAACCAAAGCCTCCCTTTTTATCATCTGCAGAGATAGGCTGCACACTTTTGAATAGGGATCCCGATATTTCATCAATCGTATTCACCTTGTAAATGGAATTTACCTTAACTTTCACACCCATCTTGCACAATTCTTCAAACGCTTCGAACATGTAGGGATTGATCTTGAGGACCTGGGAGTAGTTCAGTGCACTGCGTCTCACATCTCCAACTGAGGCATAAAGTTTGCCCAAAAGAATGTAACAGGCAACGTTGTCTGGCATGTATCTGGAATCAGTGTCGTCCGCTCGAGTAAGCTGTGACCAGAGAGGCAGTGTTCTCGTCAGCGCCGATATGCCATCGGATTCGCACTTGAGTTCCAGGCAAGATTTCGCAAACAAATATGAGCAGCCAACATGTTGCACGCTATAACTGGCTGTCAGATTGTAAGCCGTTTTGTAGCGTTTGCGTCTGTACAGCACCAGCGCATACAGATGAATGCTGTCTAAATTATTTGGATTTTGAGCTATGAGCCGTTCGCACGTAAATTCAGCAGTTGATAGAAGGTCATAATCTAGCGAGTATAGTATGTTGGCTCGAAGTTGTCGTATTGTTTGATCCGCGACGCTCATTATCTCTGTATATTTGAATGACTAAGCAAGAGGCAACACCTTCGCTAGCTTTTTGGAAAGAGACGTAGTTCTGCTATTCCTAGAACGACTTGCTACCTATATGCAGGCACAAACCGTGAAGTCAACAAAAAACCACGGCAAATTAATGTCTGTAAACAGAGCGTTCCCGCAAAAAACAGATCCAAAAAAAATAATAAAGATCTTGGGTGAGGTCGATTTTACCGTCGATCGACTTTTGATCGGAGTGTGGTGGCATACTAGAATTAATCGTCTCCTAATCTACAAGTATCGTGTCAAGGATAGATGTATCCTGGTATTTTAGCAAATAACTGTAATACTACAGCCGTCGAAGTATAACAATTGGAGAAATATGCAGATTTCAAGGCGTCACATATTATTCTTCAGTCTGGCCAAGGTTTCAAACAAGTCGTTAGTCTGATCCTGATTATTGTTGCTCGAACCACCGGAATTGTTGGAATTACTAGGCTGAGAAGGCTGGTTTAGCGAGCCAGAGTATGATGGTGCAGGTGGGGCGTTACCCGGTGCAGAGTTCTGCAACTGATTCAAGAGGCCGGATAAAGCGTTTCCTTGCGGCATCGAGGTTTGTTGGTTACTTACAGGTTGTTGAGTTTGCATCTGCTGCATCAAGGACAAGACATTTTGCAGGGTTGTAGGGTCCATATTTTGCATGGTTTGTAATAGTTGTGCTTGGTTTCCTTGTTGCTGAGGTGGAGGAACTTGTGGCATACCCATCTGCTGATACAATTGCTGCTGATAACCTGGATAGGAAGGAGCGAATCCCACATTACTCGATATCCCATACGGTGCAGGTGGAGGAGTAGGCGTGCCGTACCCTGGGCGGGGCACAAAAGGTTGTGCATTACTGCCAGTGGCATACGCTGTAGGATACTGGTGGTTGTGTCTGGAATTGCCATACCTTCCAGCTCCAGAGTTTTGTTGATGTTGTTGTTTACCGTTGCGCGAGCTGTACAGAGCTTGGTTGCTTGTTTTTGATTGGCGGTTTTGGCCACCATTGTTTTGTCTCGAGCGGCCTCTTGATTGATGCTCCCGCGAGGTGGAAGCAAAACGCTTCGCTTTGGCACTTAAAATTAGCTCGATAGCCTCGTTTATGGAGATTTCGGCGTACTCATCGAATCTAATGCCACCGTCGGAAGTTTTTTCGTAGATCATCATGTCCAGCTTATCGTGATGAGGGATTACGACAGCAAGGACGCCCTTATATGCGGCAGACGTGCTTGCTTCTTGCGGAACTTCCGAGACGGGCAAATCGAAGTGTTCAGTTTCCAAAGATAGTCCATCCTGTTTGAGTCTTTTCAATATTTTGTTATTCAACTCAGGCGTGGAATCGTTTGAAGTGATGACCTTGACTTCCGTTTCGTTGATCGGAGACCTAGACCGATTTTTGTTGTGACCGCCATCTGGAGATCTAGATCTCCCCCTGTTACTCTTGGAGCCGGTATTCTTTCCTTGCTGCTCCATTGCTCGTTGGATCTGGTGTTTCGAAACCTGCAAGTGCATGAATCTGTTATGGAGTGGAACATTTTTTTCTCCTTCGATGGCCCGTGAACACTCTTCCGCCTTGGCGAATTGCACAAAGCCGAACCCTTGTTTGAGATTGACTTGTTTCACTTCTCCATAGGGGTGGAAAATTCTGTAGACATCCTCTTTGCTTAACGTATTAACAGCAAGATTTCCAATGAACAACCGCGACCCAATAGGAAAATTATCCCACTTACCACTGCTCAAGGCTGTATCTTCATCGCGCAAATATTGTTCGTAGCTTGACCGCTCTTCCGAGGACATTGGCTGAGTGATGTCAGGTCTTAGACAAAACGGATTGATAGGCACCAGCACCTGGAATGTCTCTCCAGGTCTCATCTGGGGTTTGTTATAAGACGTTGTCGCTCCAAAATTCACTCGAACATTCACATGCGAATTGTTGGCTTTGTTGTACTCAGCAAGTAATCTCCGCTCTTTCTCTGCAGGAGTCAGTTGTTGGAATCCAGCATCATTAAGCAACGAACTGTTCAAGAAAAATTTGATCACATCGTTAAACAGGGGAACGTCCACGTCTTCGCCATTTGCCGAAGTTGGCGGCGAATCCGGTGTAGCGTCTGCCGGTGAGTTCTCCGTCTTCGTTTCCGCTTCTTCAACTTGGTCTTGCTTTTCTTCGTCACTTGCTTTGTCTTCTGGTTGAGTGTCTTCCGTCGACTCTGCTGTCACAACTGGCTCGAAAATTTGTTTTTCGGTGTCCTCAGGAAGAGCAGTTTCGAGCGGAGTGCTAAGCTCCTTTGCGTCTTCCTCATCTATCAACTCCGGGTTGTACTCATCTTCCTCGGGTGAGTTTACGGACAGCTGTTCTGGTGCATCGGGCTCTTTTGCCGTCTGCACGTCCTCGTTTTCTTCCTTGTGACGTTCACTTGCTCCGTCATCTTCGGCGACGTTGGATACGTTGGATTCCTGATTCGAGTGCTCACTATCAGACCCATCGTGCAAGTTTGACTTCTCCTCAGAGGTTTCCGGGCCGTTTAAGTTAGCCTCCGGAGAATAATCCGATTGGGCTTCTTCGTCGCTCATCGATAAATAAATTAACGATTGTCTCCGAGAAAAAAAAAACTTTACACCTGAGAGAGCAGCTGGTAAGAGCTAGGGCAAAGAACGTGTAATGAATCTAATATACAATTCGCGATTATATACACAAACTGTCCATAATAGAGTTGCGAAGGATTGCAACCACCCATATTTAGTTTGGATCAGACCCACATCTGTTCCAGTTTATTGCAAAAACGATTTCTTCAAGCGGAATTTCCCAGAGGTAGGAATGTCGGCCAAATGTAGAGGGTAGAACTCACGATCTAGGTGGTGGCTGTGGTTTATAATGCCCGAAACCATACAACAATGAATCAGCGGTACCGCGTTACTGTCTATGAGGAACCAGTGTCACCGCTCCCCTGTTTGTGTTGTGCAGTGCCAATAAATAAAAGTGTTGCTTCTTTGTGATGCGGCAGATAGAACACGATCGTGTTTCTGGTTGAGCCTTATTGCTTTATCTCTTTCTGTTCTTTGAGCATCTGTTCTCTGAGATGACCCGGAATCTCGCTTTCACTATTCACGCTTCTGTCCACAGGGCACGACACAAGGCTATTGGCAGCAACGATGCTGAAAGCCACTAGAAATGTAGTCGAGAATATGGAGCGTGAGATTCTGGTCCTATTCGCGGCCCTGATATACATGGTGAAGAAACAGCGAATGTGTTGTGATGGAAAAACTATTTTATGCCCGTACACCACCCATCTAATTTTTTTTCGCTCAAGGAGCCAATGAGGTCTCTTGATTTGCAGATACTGTTTGGCATGAAAAACTGCTGACGAGGAAGCTGGCACATCTCTGCACCAAGGTTCTGCTTTAAAATTAGGGAAGAAAATCGTGAAAATTCAGCGATGCATTCACTCAAAACCAGTTGTAAAGGCTTGCGTCTTCCGCTGGTGAGGTTCAAATCTTCTGCAATACCTCCTAAATTGACACATGTTCCAAACAAGTACAACTCGAAATCATCCGCGTTCAATATCAAACCACAGCTTCCTGACGGTCTTTTCTACCATCCAGCACCATCGGCTTTAGATCCGGAGGTGACGCCTAAGGCTTTCCTTCCTGATACTGATCCACGAAAGAGCTCAGAGCTGTACTATCCAGAGGAAAAGTCGCGCATAAGCTCCAACCTGGACAACATGCCAATAATTTTCAAGGCAAGCACTCCAAAAAGTTACGCACTGAGCCGTGAAGAGATCCAGGAGATCCAGGAAATGAGAAACAGAGGAGTTCCAAGGCGCGAGATTAAAGCCAAGTTTAAAGTGTCAGATCATTTTATCAACATTTCGACGACGCCTAATCCAGAGACGATTGCGAAACATCAGAAGAAATTAGAACAAGCAGCGAGAAGATGGGACAGCAGAACAAAGAACGCAAAGCTGATCAGGCTGAAGCAAGAGATGTTGTGGAAAAGAGATATGTAATTACGATGTAGATAGGAAACATTATTATTCATTATGTTCGTAATTAGTCAGTTGGACACAAAATCACCAAATTCGTCATCCTCGTCGATATTAAATTTATTGGGAGATCCTTCAGACCGTTCCTCCTTTGCTGTCTTCGGCGACTCGTTGACAAAGTTGTCTTTGAATGCAAGCAGTTTTCTGAACCTCTCCTCGAAATCTTTGAGGTTTGACGTGAGTCGTAAATCATCGAAGAAATCCTGCAAAATCATCCCTATGGCTATCTTTTTGTCTTCCTCTGTTAGTATCACCACGTAGTGCTGATGTATTATCTTTTGAATTGTCATAAAAGGACTCGATTGCTTGTAATTAGTTACCGGAAGACCATCGTGGTACACTTTCTCGTAATAAGCGGTCCCCCAGCGGTCTATTCCGGGGGCATTAATGGTCAGACGACATTTCAGTTCTGACGAAAGGTCCCTTGAGGACTCCAACGCATCTAAGCTTTGTAGCTCATGTAACTCTATAGATCCTTTGAACAGGTAATTTGAGTGCTTCAGCCGCCAGTTTTCTGGTTGAAACCTGTATCGTACTACTTGACTCTCCTTGTATCCTTTTGAACCATTAGTTTCATCCACGCTGAATGCAGTGTCTGGGATTACCTCCGGCGGCGGAATCTTGTAAAACTTCGCTGTCTTGAATGTAGCCAGTTTTGTTTCCATGACGTTGGAGTCTGTATTTACCAATGTCATGATATGCTCGTTTTCTATACTTCGATTGTGCTAATATAAATCACCCATAAATTACTCTGCCAGATGGAAACAAGGCTGTCTATTGAACTTTGGAAAAAATTAGTGGGTAAATTGTTGTCGTTGTGAAAAGTGGTACAGGTATATGTTCAATGTCGCTTTCAGTAACAGAGTTGAATTACCTGATCTGGAGGTATCTTCAAGAGGGTGGATTGGAAGTGAGCGCGTATGCTTTGCAAGATGAGACTAAAATAAACGAGTATGACGAAAGATACAGCGATAGAATTCCTCTTGGGTGTTTGGTAGACCTCGTGCAGAAGGGCATTTTGTACTACAAAGTGAATGATATGATTCAAAAGGGTGGCGAGATCGCCCCTGAAGATATCATAAACATGAATTTCAATCTTTTGAGCTCAATATCCCAGCCATCTGATGGAGTTGAAAAACGCAGTATTGAACCTATGCCAGTCGTCGCTAATAGTACTTCACAGCCAATCTCATCAATGGGGCAAAATGGGAGAATGGAGGACGATAACGAGTTCACCGTGGTGCTTAGAAATAGCTTTGTTTTTCCTGCCAGTCTGGCCAGTAACTGGAACCCCCACGAGCCGAATGTGTTGGCTTGGGGACAGCGAGACGTTACATCCAATATATGCACTCTCTCCTGGGATGACTCCAGTAAAGCTTTTATTCCACAATCGCAACCGCTTCCGCATCCAATATCCTGCAAAGAAATTGTCGCTATATCCTGGAGTCCAAAGGGCCATACTTTGGTGACTGCGTCTGAAAATGGAGAGCTTCGTTTGTGGGACTCTAGTGGCTCGATAAGATTCATTATGGCGCTACATCATTCTCCAGTGCTGGCAATACAATGGTCGCCTAATTCCGCATACCTAGTAAGCCTCGATATCACCAATAAAGTAGTGGTGTGGGACTCTCAAACTGGACAATCAATTCAGCATATCGATAACTTGTCGACAGATAATACGGACAAATGTCTAGGGACCGATGCATGTTGGATAGACAATACTAAGTTCGTACTACCGGGCTCCGATTATTCATTACATGTTTACCAACTGGGAGACGGTCAGCCTATCGGTGTTCTTGCTGGACATACTGACACTATCTCTCTGATAATGTACAATAGTGAGCTTCGCCTATTATGTTCCGCATCCGACGACCAAACGGTAAGAATATGGAAAGGAAACTCAATAAATTCCTTACAAGTGTTGACGGGTCATTCGCAGCCACTCACTTATGTCAACTGGTGCAAACTGGGAGACGGGAATTGGTATATTATTACCTGTTCACTTGATGGCTCGCTCAAACTTTGGGACTTCTTAAAAAACAGGGTGTTGGATTCTCGGCTAGTTGACAACGGCTCTCCAATATTAGTCGCCTCTTTGTCCCCCGATAGCACGAAGCTGGCTACAGGGGACTCTGATGGTAATATAATGCTTTGGACTATTACCGCCACGAGGAAGTTCAAACAATTAAGTTATTATCAGCCTGGTAAGGTTGAAAATTCCAATTTCATATCTGCCATCGACTGGAACTCCACTAGCAACCTGATATCCGTCGGATATAGTGGAACCTCAAGTTGTGTTATTAAGATTGTATAACAGTCCGCCTTCTCCTGAGGGCATTGTAATATTTGAATGTACATAATGTCGTAACTTATGGTTTATGATTCATTATTTATACTTTGGTTGAATTTTCTCCTCTTCTCTGAGGCATATTTCCACGATCTGAGCACTCCAGCTGTTAGAACGCCCTTGAGGCTTTGAATCAACGCCGGTCTCAGAACGGTCTCCTTAACTGTGTGTTTGAGAGAATTGGTAAGTAGATCGTCATTTGCAATGTCTCGGATAAATGGCGAGTTCTTCACTTTGAATGTGTTGGGAAGATAATTCCAGTCCTCTACTGGTATCTGAGTTAGGCTTGCCTCTTCGGAAAGCCTTTGAAGATCCAAAAACGAAAGATCTGAAGCTGGCTTCACTGGTTTCAGATCTGGAAGCTGTTGAGTTGGAGCAATAATTCTTCTTGCGAATAAATCCGAAGCAAGGCTAGACTCGTACTTCGAGGTAAATTTCGACAGTAGACGTTTTCTAAACGTACTTGGCAAGTCTGCAATTATTTCGGCGATGCTTTGCGAGTCCAAATTCACTTTAAAGCGATGTTCAGCACTGTCTGGAGCACTGATCAGTTGGACAACTTTTGGAAAATAATTTGTGAGAAGCGGCAGGTACATTTCTCTGAATTGTTCGAACTGGTTGCTTACAATTTTGTCAACCTTGTGAATATCCTCACCCCTTGCCTTTACCCTTGGATCTCCCAAATAACTTAGCTCCGCAATTTGATGATACAAGTCATACTCTGAAATCTCACTTTTGTTGGTCAAGAGTAGTGACAACTTGATAGCATTCGTCAAATTATACTGATTCAAAAGACAAATTTTGGGAGTATTCCTTACCACAGCAACAGGCTTGTGCAATCTTCCGCTTAGATACATCGTGTCCCAATTTATGAGATCATTTATCAATGTGTCCATAGAAGTGACTCCGTATTTGAGCTCGAAATTTGTGTCTACCTTGCTTCTTTTGAAATTGAGCTTGACAAACGGATTGAAATACACTCCTGCTCCCAGTTCACCAATCTGGGATACTATGCTTGAACCTAAGTGCCTAAGACTGGAATAATGATCGGGATTTTGAGCGACGTTCAGCGAATGCCAGTGATCAGGATAAGAAACTGCATATATCATGTCAACTTGCGAATTTGAAGACTTCGTTGAACCTTGATCAAAAACCTTAGATCCGTACCCAAATGCGTACCTTATGGGTGCGTTAAATTCCCAGACAACCTTTCGTAATAGATCATTAACAGCTGAATCTTTCGAAACCAGTTGATTTGCACCAAACTTATATGGCAACTGATTAGCATTCTTCAAATCTTTCAGATTTCGTAAGTAGTAATTGAAGTTAATCGGCGTCGACTGTAACTTCAACAAATTTTCATCCAAGACCTTGAACTTATCCTTTTGCTGAATGTTCGCGAGTTGCTGTCGAAGCGCAAATGACCCATGTTGAGGTAAGATCGATTTCTGGGGCTTATTGTTCCGAAACAGTTTATCCAAAAGCACAGGATCAATTTCGCTAGTAGTAATATAGGAGTTGGAGTTAGAAGGCTTCCCATCAGGGCTCTTGGACGAATTAAAACGCACAAGTCCCTGATAGTACATGACTTTCGAGCTTCTTTTTAAAACCAGCATTTTTGATTTCGGTGGATATAATGAAAATGAAAGCACCCTAACCGCTCATGTGATAAATTCCGGAATTAAATACTGATATTTGGTTCTTCTACAAGAATCAGTGAACACCCTTTAATGCCTAACCGGATTTTGCGCCTTGTTATTGTAAATTTTCTCCGCAAGAAGCCAATGGAAATTTTAGCCACAATAGATTTTGAGCCACCTGAGGCGCGGGCCTGAATAATTTATTCTGTCTAGTTAGGTGCTTCAATTCAAGGCCGAGAATTCTCGCAATCAGCCGGTGAGGGCTACTTATTTTTTGATTATGTCATCTATTACATGTTTCAAGAATACTTGAAAGTGAAACTTTTCAACAATAGAGTTCTATCATGTCCGAGCAATTGCAAGAAGAAAAACCTGCTCCCCAGGAACAAGTTGAGGTCAAGGGAGAGACTGATAAGAAGGAAGAGTCATTCGAAATAGAAAGCAAGCCTGGAGATCCTGCAAAGCGGAAGAACGAGGATGAGAGTCAGGAGAAAAAGAAGAAGAGAAAGCACTCGAGGCGCAAGTACGACGATGTTCCACCTGCAGACGATAAAGATTCTGACGAAGAGGAGGAGGACGTTGACGATGACAACCTCGTTGTTGAAGAAGAGGAGGAAGATGACCTGCAAGAAATTGACACTGCCAACATCATCACGACTGGAAGAAGAACTCGAGGCAGGGTTGTGGACTACAGCAAAGTCAACGAGCAATTGAGCAAAGAGGAGAGCACTTCTCTCAATGACGATGATGGTGAGGAGGACGGAGATTTTAAAGAGCCTGAGGCAAAGGATCAATGAACAACCTGATGGTATTAACGAGTCAATCAGTATACATGACATTAGAATCAAGGGAGTTTTATGTTTGGCAGCAACCAGAGTTTTTCGAGATTTTCTGATCCTTAGGAGCAGGCGTGAGCGTAATAGTTTGTCCTCCAAGATTTTTGTTAGCAGATGAATCCATGCCATCCATATCGAATTTTCTTTTCGAAACCATTTCGTAGATGTTCTTAATAAGTTGATGGAAGGTAAGCTCAACGTTTTCGGCGTTCAATGCAGATGCTTCAGTAAATAGCAGGTTATTTTCGGCAGCGAAATCTTTAGCTTCTTCAGTAGGGACAGCTCTCAGATGATCCAAATCAGACTTGTTACCAACAAGAGCTATCACTATGTTTGCGTCGGCATGTTCTTTCATTTCCCTGAGCCATCTAGAGACCGATTCGTACGAGTTCGAGCTGGAGATGTCATAAACAACAAGCGCCCCCACCGCTCCTCTATAGTACGCAGCAGTGATTGCTCTGTATCTTTCCTGTCCCGCAGTATCCCAGATCTGAGCCTTAACCCTTTTACCATCGATCTCAACCGTTCTCGTGGCAAACTCAACACCTATAGTGGCCCTAGAGTCTGGGTTAAACTCATCTCTTGTGAATCTAGACAAAAGGTTGGTCTTTCCAACCGAAGAATCTCCAATGAGAACAACTATTTTGAGTTAGTAGAGAACCAATTTGCTGAAACTCACTTTTGAATAGGTATTCATAGTCGTATGAGTAATCCTCTGCAGTATCCGCCATGGTATCTTATTTTGTGTTTGAAAACCCTGAGCCTGTAATATGTTAAGATAGCTTTTCAGGTTTACCTGGTTTTGTTTTTACGTTTCACTTCTTGTTGACCGCTGTGAGAATCTTAAAAGTTACCCGGTACTCTTGAGCGTCGCGTCGCCGTCTCTTGTTCTGTTGGAAAAAAAACGCGTACGCCATTTCCTTAACTTGTTCTTCTTCATTGTACCATGTCCGAGGTTCAAATTGATCAGTCGGTGTTCCGCAAGAGACTCCATCTCTTGCAAAGGAACATTACCAATGCACCTCAATTTGGTTCCGTTGCTGGTCTATTGATCGCTGTTGGATCTAGTGACGATACGAATCCATACCAAAAGTCTACCGTTTTACACACCTGGCTTTTGGGATATGAGTTCCCCGCCACCTTAATCTTTATCACTGGAAAGAAAGTGACGGTTATGACCTCCGTTGGCAAATCGAAGTATTTGGAGCCCTTAAAGAGTTCCAGTGTCAATCTCAATATTCTTGCTCGTACGAAGGACCCCGAGCACAACAAAAGCCTGTTCGAGCAATTTGTGCAAGAGATGAAACAAAGCGGCAAGAGGGTTGGTGTGTTGACTAAAGACAAGTACGGTGGTAAATTCATGGACGAATGGAATGCAATTTGGGAGGAAGAGAAAAACAATTTCGAGCTCGTTGATTGCGCAGTTGGAGTTTCCTCTACACTTGAATCCAAGGATGAGGATGAACAAAGATGTCTGAGAACTGCCTCCAGGGCCTCAACAAATATGATGAGTTATTTTTCCGATGAGATGAGCAAGATCATTGATGAGGAGCTGGATGTTTCCAATTCCAAGCTGGTGGACCGAATCGAGAACAAGATCGATGATGCTAGATTTTTCAAAAATATGGAGACCGACAAATCGATGAAGAAGCTCGGCTCTGATTTTGATCTGAACAATCTGGATTGGTGCTACAAGCCTATTGTTCAAAGCAACGGAAAGTATGAGCTGAAGTTCTCGGTTGAGTCGACGGACGATAAGCTTGGAGGCTCTGTGATCATGGCATCGCTTGGTCTAAGGTACAGAAGCTATTGCTCCAACGTCACGCGTACTTTTCTGATCGGTCCATCCAAAGAGATGGAGCAAAATTACGACTTTTTGCTCAAAGTGCAAACCAAGGCACTTTCGCTTATGAAACATGGAGCAATTGCAAAGGATATCTACAGTAAAACTCTTGCTTTCATTGAGACCGAAAGACCAGATCTTGCGGAGAATTTTATGAAAAATATGGGTTCTTTGATGGGTATCGATTTCAGAGACTCTACTGGTATCCTTAATGCCAAGAATGAAAGATCGTTGAGCGAAAGTTCTGTTTACAACTTAGTTGTTGGGTTCAGCGGTCTATCAGATCCAAAACTTGGAAGTTACGCGCTGATGTTGGCAGACACCGTGAAAGTCACGGACGAAGATCCTATCGTTCTAACTGATTTTCCCAAGCTTAGGAAGGAGGTTGCATTTTATTTTGATGATGAAAATACCCAAGTAAAGAAAGAACTGGATGATGTTAGGGTGAAATCTGAAAAGCCCGAAAAGCCTGATTTGAAGATCAATAACAACGGTGTTAACACTCGTGTGCTCAAGGCGAAAATGAGGTCCGAACAAAAGAACTCCGACGAGGATCAAATGCAAATACAACAGGAAATTCAAAAGGAGCTTCATGCAAAAAGGCAAAGAGAGGGTTTGGATAGATTCAATCCAGAAGACGCACAGGATGGGTCTGACAAAAAGGTGATTTTCAAGAAGTACGAGTCTTATGTCCGCGAGTCGCAGATTCCAAGCAATGTTAGAGATCTCAAAATCCATATTGACTCTAAGAATCAAACAATCATACTTCCGATTTGTGGAAGACCGGTGCCTTTCCACATCAACGCTTTCAAAAATGGTCTGAAAACTGAGGAAGGAGAATACACACACCTGAAACTCAATTTTAACTCCCCAGGTGTCGCAGTCACAAAAAAGGAGGAGCTTCCTTATGAACCAGGTGAGGATAAGCAATTCATCAGGAGCTTGACTTTCCGCTCAAAGGATAACGAGAGAATGAGCGAAGTGTTGAAAAAGATTACCGAAATGAAGAAGGAGGCGGTCAAGAGAGAGGCGGAGAAGAGAGAGCAGGCGGATGTCGTGACTCAAGCTTCCCTTATCGAGGTCAATCGTCCAAAGAGGCTGGATAACGTTTTTGTCAGACCTACTCCAGACACTAAGAGATTGCCTGGAAACATCACTATCCACCAAAATGGTATCAGGTACCAATCTCTTGGCAGAAGCGATCAGAGAGTGGATATTCTTTTCTCCAACATCAAACATCTATTTTTCCAATCCTGTAAGGGAGAATTGTTGGTCATTATCCACTGTCATCTGAAAATACCAATCATGATTGGAAAGAAGAAGACGTACGATGTTCAGTTCTACAGGGAAGCTTCTGACATTACTGTTGACGAGACAGGCAATAGAAAGAGAAAATACCGTTATGGAGACGAAGACGAATTGGAACAGGAGCAGGAAGAAAGAAGAAGGAAGGCTGCTCTGGACAGGGAATTCAAAGGGTTTGCCGAACAAATTGCAGATGCATCCAATGGTTTGGTTGATCTCGATATTCCGTTTAGAGAGCTCGGATTCCAGGGTGTGCCTTCTAGATCTGCTGTGATGTGTCTTCCAACAAGAGATTGTTTGGTGCAATTGATCGATCTACCGTTTTTGGTCATTACTTTAGAGGAGATCGAAATTGCACACTTGGAGAGAGTTCAATTCGGGCTAAAGAACTTCGACCTAGTGTTCGTTTTCAAAGACTTTAGCAAACCCGTTGTTCATATTTCAACCATTCCAATGGAGTTGCTAGAAGACGTCAAGGCCTGGCTCACTGACGTGGATATTCCGTACAGCGAAGGTACCGTTAATTTGAACTGGACCACGATCATGAAAACTATCCAGGCTGACCCCTACCAATTCTTCGTGGACGGAGGATGGTCGTTCTTGACGGGAAGTGGTGATTCCGACAATGATAGCGAGGAAGAGGAACAAGAGTCTGACTTCAATCCTTCCGATGAAAATCCTGAAGACGAAGATGTCGATTCGGAGGAGGACTACAGTGCAGAAGAGGAAGGTGATAATGAGAGCGATTTCGATGATGATGATGATGAAAGTATTGCCGAAAGCGAGAACATTTCAGAAGAGGAGTTTAGCGATTAAGTAACATTAAATCAGTTCATTATTATGCGATCATAAAAATGGCATCCAGCCAATATACATTTGTGACAAATTTTCGACTGACGTTGCTTGTTGGATCACTGCGTCAACATGGGCCACCACCGAAACTGACAGCCCTCCGCTGTCTTTTGCGCCCGTGTCCAAATCCTTTGGATCAAGGATCCCTTTGATTTTCCTTCTGATGGTATCCATAGCCACCTGTGGTTGCAAGCCCTTTGAATCAGTCTCTTCTGTGGACCTCCGTTTCTTCTGCTTCACCTTCCAGTCCATGATTGGATCGTATAAGAAAGTTTCCAGGACGTTCATGAGGCTATTCTCGTTTTGTCGAATGATCTTCATTGTCACTTCGCAAGTCTTCCTAAACGTTCCTTCATAACCGGTGACTCCCATCGCCGCCGTCATATTCTGCGTAAGACGGAACGGCACACGCTCTGGAACGGCAAGCTTCTTTCCCTTATCGAACAAACAATCGAAATCCACATGCAAGATCTGTCCAGATAACTCGCTCAACATTATGTTGTCGCCATGTCGGTCACCCATTCCCACCAGGTATCCGACAATGGACATGACTGCACACGTTTTCACATAATCGTTGCGACATTGGTACCAATTCACGGGATTAGGGAACTGATCCTGGAACCAAATTTGGAGCACTGGTTGATACATGCGCAACAATTTCTGAAAATTGTGTATTTTCTCACCTATAGAAAGATCTTCGTTCAATAACTGCTTGATCTTTCCAAAGTCCACTGTTATTCCCTGTCTTTGAAGGTAGGTCAACATGATATCTCTCATAGTGCGCACGTTATCAACCCATTCGATCAGACCCATTGTCTCATTCAACGGCACAACTGCATAGTTTTTAATGGTCAGACTTCTTTTCTCTGCCTCAGCGTCCAGTTTCAACAATCTGTCCATCACGGTAGTAAACTCCATAAGTTTGGCGTCTTTTCGCAAGTCGTCATGAGGTTTGCAAAGAATGCTGTACCTGCGACCATCAGTACCCGTAATGTACAATCTTCTGGGTCGTTGCATGGAAGAGAGAATGCTCACTTTGGAGTCAAAATTATTAAATGCAATGAATTTGTCGACTTGGTAATTGTTTGACTTTCTCAGCACATTGCTATTCAGGCCTGTCGCAAGCAGTTTCTGGAAGTTCACTCTAATCGGAATTGCCAACGCTCTGCACTCCTGGTTTTCTGGGTATGAAAATCTTAGCTCTGAATACAGATGCATTTTTGTTCTTTTCTGTCTGCTGATGTCTGCCTGACATACTCCCTTGAGCGCCTCAAGAAGTTGGAATGCTGAGTGAACTTGCTTTGACAATGTTGCATTCTTGTTATTTTGTAGAGTTTCGCATATTTGTTTACCACGTTTCGCTCTTTCAGCTGAAGTAGATTGAACCTGTGCATAAACGGAGTATAGGACCACTTCTGGGTATGCTTTAGCCAATTGAGTGATGACATTCAAGATAACAAGTTCGGTTTCAGAGTCACCATGAACCATGCGAGAGATGAGCTGCGAAAGGACAGTATACCATTTGTAAATTGGTAGCTCATTCTTAGATGCCGCCGCTTTCACAAATTTTAGAATGCTTGAATAATTATCCCTCCTCCTAGCGTAGATTGTTTCATGAGAGTAGCCCGTCAGCTCACTTGCGTTTTGATACTTGGCAAAATAGTCCAGCCAAATTGTCACGGCCTTAGGAAGAACCTCGAACACATAATTGTTAGAAAGGGCAGCAGATCTTATATATGCTTTAATGATGTTGAATTCCAGGTCTCCATAGAAATCTTTTTCTGGTTTTTTCAACCCTGGGGTCTCCACAGCTTGAGCGTCGAGAAGTTTGTTATAGTAACGGCCCAAATAGTATTGTGGTTTTCCAGTAACATGATCTAGAGCAGCAGCAGCCTCATATCCTTTTATAATTTCATCCGAACTTCCATTAGCCGATTGCTCCAGCCAATCCGTGTATGTAAGTTGAATCTCCGGTGATTTACCAGGTTTCGCCAATTCTTGTAGGCTTTTGATTATTTTGAGTGCCTGACTGTGGTCGCCTTGGGCCCAAAGCAGTTTAGCAAATTCCAAGTTAACCATTAGCTCTGACGACGTACCAATGAATAATGCGTTCGTGATACTCTTCGTTGCAAGATCGTATTTTCCAGCTTGTCGTAGGAATTGGGATCCCTGCACCATCGTGTCGCCCAAAAATGCGCGAACAACATCCTGTGGATGCAATTTCTCTATCGACTTGCGAAGTGAGTGAATCTTCCAATTGATTTTGAAGTCCTTGGTGGAGTTTTTAGCTCTTAATTGCAGCAAATCCATACAGTTCTGTAGTCGTTGCTTGTTCTCCACAAAGACTAGTGATCTGAAGTCGTACAAGCAATGGAGCATAACCATGTAGTTTGAAATTTTCGACGGAGACATCTCGCGTGAAACTGACAGCGAAGCTCCGAGGTGAATGATGGCATTAGAGATATGCTCGTCGCAAGCCTTTAGGTTATTTTCACTTAGGGTTATCAAACCTCGAGCAAACTCGTAATAAATAGACAATGACGATCCAGGTGAGGTAATGGATGGGAATTCTTGTGAATGAGAGACCCATCTCTTGAGTTCCTCAAGCTGGCCGCTGAAGATTGAGGCCTGTAATCCGCATACAACCCAATCCTTTGTGGGCTCAAATTCTTGTGTCGACGACTCGAATTCACGGAGCTTGGAAAGCACCTGATCATATTCGCAATGATCATCGAGGCATCTCAGAAGAGATGTAACTGAATCTAGTTTGCGACCATTGTCCCCGTAATCAATTTCGGTCAGCGCAGCTAGGGATTCTTGCGTGACTCTCCAGTCTTCGGAATACTGAAATTGAAGAAGCTTATCGTTCAAACTCTCTGTTGAAAACTTTTTGAGAACTCCCTGTAAAGCATCTGTGTCATTGATTTCAGCATACATGTGTCGGATCGTGGTAAAAAACTCGTCCTTGTCCATTTTGTCGTGAGCATAACTTTGTTCCAAGTTGAATATTGCTCGCTCATAAGAGTTACACTGAGCAGTGCGTTTAGCCAAAAGCTCAGACGGGAGCAAAGAAAGAAAGCTTTCAATCTTTTTCCGCTCGTCCACAAAATTACTTTGGAGGTATTTCTTATCTCTCTTCCTTTCAGAAACCCACTCTCTGAAGTAGTCAACAATCGAAAACACTGTCCTGTAACATGATTTTAGGCTCTCAATGGCCGAATCGTTGGACAGAAGCTCCAGATCTTCATTCAACACGGTTATCATCTCGATTTCGATATCAGCCTTCATCCTATCATCGCCATAAACAATCATCATGAGAGCCGTATAAGGCAGCAGGAATTCAGCAATGGATAGATCCTGGTCTTTGATAATAATGGAACATGTAGCAAATATCGCCTTGGCATATTTGGGTAATTTTCGAACATCTTCAGATCTGTGAAGTAGATCCTCGGTGAACTCGCGAATCCAGAACGAATGTTTCTTTGTGTTCTTATAGCAAGGGTAAGTCAGCGCCATATAGCCATAAGAATTCTTCATGTAACGAGAAACCAGCAGCGGACGAAGAACTGTTTGAGATAGATTATTCAACTTGGCCCAAACAAGACTTTCAGGGGCTTCCTTGCTCTGAATGTTTTCAGGTGTGAAGTCAAGAATTTTCAGGTATTCTTGCATCGAGTATGCCAAAAATAGCTGCTTTTGGGGATCCGTAGAAGCAACAAATGCTTTGACAAGGATATTGTTCAAGAAATAGACAGAAAACTCGGCCATCTCTCTGTGATTGCCTAGATTGGACACTAAAATTATTCTCTTATACGCCCTGTTGAAATAATGTCCAACCTTCGTGAGATCAAGTGCACCCAAGCATGCCAAAACTTCAGCACATTTGCGTGGAATCTCAATATTTGTCATAGAGAATTTGTTGGAAACGGCCATGATATGTGCAAGAAGCGATGAAAACAAAGGCAGAAGCCGAGAGTCATTTAGATATGTTTTATGAATATCCAATTGATGAGAGTCGAGGAAGTTCTTGAAGTCGTCAAGCACCTGTAACACAACCCACTTGTTATCCGCCTGAAATCTCCTATCAAATTCGACAAGAATATTATGGTTCTTGATATCATATTTGTTTGTGATGTTGTCGAAATCGCTAATCAATGAAAGAGAATAAATATACGAAGGGTGTTCCTTCATTATCTTTGGATCCTTTTCGAGTATTGTCATAAGAATATTTCGTGCAATATCCTTACATTTGATGTTGAAGAACTGGTACTTCTGAATCAGGTATGAAATGAGCAAATCAACAATGATGGATAATGGTGAGTAACCCAGATTAGAAACAAGGACATGTAAGCACTCCAAACTTTCTAGTTGGAGTTCTGGAGACTCAAGAGCAATTTGCAAGCAAGTCATTATTTGAGAGAGGCAAGTTTGGAAACTTGTCGATATTTCTGCAATGCAACGGATTGCTCGGATTGCCTGAACTTTCAATAAGTAAGGCCTGCTACCCCTATGGTCATATATGATAGCTGAGAACGATTGAACAATACCCAAAATCATCAAATCCATTTCTCTGTTCAGAAATTCATCATCATCGCTGACAGACATGTCTCCAATGTGGCGAGACATGCAGGCATACAGTATGGCATTTCTGATACGCGGCTTCATTTGCTCAGAATTGTAGAGACTCAGCAACTCCCAGATCAGATCCATGACGCGACACTCGCTAATAAGTATTCGTAAATTCATTCCTTTGTATTTTGGATTTGACAAGGCCAAAATTTTGATGATCTTGCTAGCATCGATGTTCTGGTCCGCAGTCAGCAATATAGCCAAAACCTTTTCAATGTGGCTTGTTACAAGCTGTGATCTAGTTTTACCAACATGTCCAGCAATAAACCCTATGTGATCTTCGGAAAAGGACTGAATGAAAAGTGGAACAGTGAATTCCATCACCCTATTGAGAAATACATCGACGTCCATCTTGATACAATCGCAAAAGATTCTGAGCATGTTTGGGTGCGTGTTCCTCTTTTGGATTAATTCATAGCTAATCAATGGGATAAAAGGCTCAACCAATTTCCAAGCTGTCAATTTTTTGGTGGAAGCGACAAGGCGTAATTCATGAAAGGAAAGGTTTGATCTAAATTGGTCAGTGTCGCCCATGTACTGTATTAAGTGATTGAGCATAACATATTGCTTGCCCTCAAGACGGCTGATCATAATAAGCTCGCCCCAAGACATGATGATACCTTCGAAAAGATATGCCGTTTTTCTCGATATCTTGAACATGCTTAGATACTTCAACACGATGTCAAAGTCAGACTCATATTGGTTATCCTCAACGGATAAGAGAAGAAGCGGAAAGATTTTGACAGTAAGAAGACGAATCTCTCGAACAACGCTAATGAAGCAAGCTTCAAGAAATCTCCAAAGTTTGACTGAATTTTTCAGTGAAGGTGGGCGAAATGAACAAAATATACGGCGAAGGGCGATGAGTATGGACACGATCAACTGTTCATCATTCAATGATGTTAAATCCGATATAAAAGTGTCAATCAGTATGGTGAACGCAGAATTGATCTCAGGACGGGAATCAATTGAAGGCCTGTTAGGATGGACTGTATCAAGCAAGTAAACTGTTTTATCTGGAGCATAATCACACTTGCCGCATATTTTACTCTTGAAATCATAATCCTCAGCTACCAAGCAAGCATACCTTCCAATCGCAGAAACCATACAGATTTTCCCAAGCTGTGAGCTGCAAATGACATCGAACTGGCCATTCTTCTTCGCGCTCTTTAGCTCAGAAATCCAAGTTTTCAGCTTGGAATCTGAGATCGTCCGTTGCGAAAGGTTAGAGCTTGAAGTCAAATCAACAATTTCCGGTTTGTTCTCATAATCCAAAGCCAGAATCTCCTTGCCCTTCAAATTTCTGTCAGTCGAATCAACCAGATTGACCATTGACTTGGAGTTTGACAACGATAACAACATGTCCAGATCTGGCTCTAACAAATCTTCTAGGGCGCAAAGAAGAAGCTCGTTTCGTAATACTTCTAGACCCTCCGCCGAAAAGGGTCTGAACGCTATTTCATAGGAGTCTGAATAAAGGGTCGCAAATGTGGCGCGGCTTCCCATGTTGTCTATCTTCCCAACTTTCATATTCAAGATGAGGAATATGTTGATTACAATAATCAAGTCGAGACCTAAATTGGATGGCGCTTGGTTAACATGTGCCATCTTTTCAGTGGTGATCGCCAGCTTATTCCAAAAATAGCACAAAGTGTCCGTTTCTTTGCATTTGATAAATAGCTTCATCAAGGTTGCAGCAAGAGTCACTTGTAGTTTAGGGAACCGCGAGAGTAAGGGCCAGTTGAGTAGATCCTTACACTTGAATAGCAATTGCTCCACGCGAGTGTGTTGTATAAACGCATCATCGAAAGTGTAGTTTCCTGTAGATTGTAAAAGGGTGGTATAGAGTACATCAAACTTAGCAGCAATCATATCCACTGATGTCTGCGACAGGATATCTGATGTGTCTCCAGACTCCTCGCTGTTAAACTTGAGGTTCACAACCACATTATCCATACAGAACCAAAGGCGACCAATAAACGTCTCCATCGTGAACGTATTCTGCGAGTGAAGTAATAAAGCATCTTCAAGTGAGATATCAAGAAGAACTTGAAGAAGGCGCGTGGAAATGCTTAATCTGGAAAACCTGTAATCGTTGGTAGTGGTGATATAATTCAGATCAACTGGTTTTGAGGCGGTCGAGTTGGTTATGCTCTCAAGTACATAGTTCAAATTGTCATTGAGTAATTCAATCAGTTCCATCTTCACAAGATCCAAGTGGAAGCTGGAGGCCAGTCTTCCTCTGAACTGATCGTTAATAATCTGTTTCAAGGACTCAGTTGCCTTGAGTGCTAGCTCGGGGCCGTGGTACCGCGCATCATAAAAACACTTGAATCCATTCACGACGGCCTTGTACCTGTTGTTTTCAAAAAGCAAGGATGGGCTTCTGGACGTGAGCAGATGGATTGCTTGGAATATCTTAATCACCACCTCCTGTTCTTCAAGGGATAGAGGCTTCTTTGAGTACGCTGGTAGCACGCTATTAAGGAGCGCATTCAACGAGTTTGAATCTTGAGTCTTACCCTCCGATTGCTGACGCAGCAGCGTGTCTAAGACCGAAGACAGTTGTCGTGTCTGATCGGACATCTCATGGAGCCCTTTTTTTTTAACGGATATCCAAGGAAAAAATAAAAAAACCTACGCGTTTTAATGAAGACACTGAGTGTAAGTTCTAGAAGTGTAGCTTTATTAAATAGATGAGTGGTATCTTGCTAGTCATTCGTAGCGGTATCGATGCAAAATGGCGGAACAAAGAGCTAGTTCTTGGCTCTTCTGAAAAGTAAGATATGAGGTTCTGGGGCATGGCAATCATAGTGGGCCCAGCCCAGACTTTGAGTGATCCCAAGTTGCCCACGCCATTCGTCTTCTGTCAGGATCTTGAAGGTTCCATTTTCAGTGAAATAATCGCTAGGAATGAGTTTCAACAATTCCCTAGGCAGTGCGACGTGTCGATACTCATAGTGATCGTCCGAGTATCTCGGAGAGTAATAGTACTTCTCCCTAAATGAAAAAATACGCTCCTTCTCTTGTGGCGTCAGCTCTCTTGGCCTTGGCTGTGAGTATGACATTGAGATAGACTCGTGTGCTTGTGTTTTGTCGATTAATTTTCTACAAAAAATCTGTGCCGACCTCGTCGCGTCGATCGGCCGTGCCTACAGCTCCCCAACGCGAAAAGAATTATGGCCGAAATTTCAATCTCACATAATGGCGCATATAATATGCATGGCATTATGAAACGAGATATTAGCTTGCCAAATAATCTCGTTTTTTGCACTTATACATGACAAGACAGCCGGAGAGCCCATGGAACCTCAAATTGTGAGAATCGGAATCAAGCCTTTGCCGCTCACCTCGGCTTTGGTGAAGAGCGACCGGTTGCTGGTACAAACTTTAACGAAGAACGGCTATAGCTGCGTGCTTCTTGCCATCACGAATCCAGGATACCGAGAAAATTGTAAGAGCTACTTCCAGTCTTTCAAGGACAGCATCAAAGAAGGTGGTTTTGGGGCGGTTCCGGGTGAACTTAAAGTGCCATTCCCCAGATCAAATGAAGTGAATATTTTTACAGGGCCTCATACCGGGAATACAATCGGCATGCTTTCTCCTTGGATCGAGCTTGGTGCCAATGATCCATTAATCAACGAGTTCTCTCTCCAGGTCATCTCTAATGAAATTGCATACGCTCAATTTCTGGGCATTCGCAGATTGCTACTAGCCCCGCCCAAAGATTTGAATCATCTTGCTGTGTTCACCAACAGCTTAAATTCCATCTTGCATAAATTCTCTGATATAGAGATTTCCATCTCTTTGCCTATATGTGAAGATCCGCAGATAAACCCTGCTACAGGCGAGCTTATCCCGATTATTGATCCGCTCTCGACGTGGGATATGTGGAATACCATACGCATACACTGCAATTATCATCGAAACTTAACAGTCAGCCTAGCATCCCCGAAACAAAATATTCCTGAACATGTTGTCAACAGGTGGTTGTTGGAGCCCATCCGGTTCTATCTGATCTCAAGCTCCCGCTTCATTCCAAATTCGAAAGGCTATCCAGTGCTTAATAAATACAACCAGCTCATCATCTGGAAGATTATTCAGAAAAAGGTATTAGATCCTCCGATTATACTCTTGCATGGAGTTGACAAGGAAAGTGATCTTATCGCTAATCTTAGAAACTCAACTCTCGACGACAACTCGGCCCAGGCCTATATTAGCGTTGACGGTAACAAAGTTTATTTAGGAGATCTCTCGTTTTTGGATTACCTGAAGTATCTCATAAAATCAAGCTCGAACCATAGCCAGCTTTTGCCGATCGAGGAGTTCACTCTATCGAATCTGGTAATGGCAAATCTGGACCCTTCCGAATTGAGATCGATAAAATCTTTACAAACACCCCTACAGCCCTTGTCCGAGAACCTAAACAATGCTACATATAAAGTGTTTGAGCAGGACCAGGCGAAGTATGAATGCTACGAGCGAGCACTGATCTCGTCACTGATGGACCTCATGAATTTACCAAGATTCCAGCATGTAAGGAATCTGACAAATTTTGGAGCAACTGCATTTAATACCTCATCTTTGACAGTGACTGAAAAGGTCCCCGACGCTAACGGTCAGCAATGCTTTGATTATCTCAAAATATTGGTGATCGGCCCTGGAAGAGGTCCTCTCATTGAACGACTTTTTGCAGCCATCAAATTTCTCAACTTGAATCTAAATAAGGTCCATATCACAGCAATCGAGAAAAGTCCAACTGTCATGGTGTATTTGTCTCAGCGAAACCAAGACTTCTGGAACGGAAAAGTGGAAGTGGTAAATGCGGATGTTAGGTCATGGAAACCTCGGGATCCAACACAGTCTGGATTCCATCTGGTCATCAGCGAGCTACTTGGTAGCTTTGGTTGCAACGAGCTTTCCCCGGAATGTTTGTATTCGGTGGAACGGTATTGCGATCCTGACAATAGCATTTTCATCCCCAAGGAATACACATCATTTGTTGCCCCTGCAATCTCCCCATCCATTTACACTAAGCTAATTGAGTGCAACGACTTGTCCAAATTTCATACTTGCTACATTCCGCTCTGTGATGAATACGACACTTTGTCGTCAAAGTACTCCAAACTCTGGACATTCCGGCATCCTCTTGGAAATGGCAACATGAAGCGTCAAGCACATACGATATTGCACTGCCATCGCAAAGGTACGATTCATGGTCTTCTAGGATTTTTCCAGGCAGAGCTGTACAACGGTATCATTATCTCCAACTGTCCAACCGGATCCGGCCCTAGCCCTCACAACCTAGTATCCTGGCTGCCACTTTTCATGCCTCTAGAGCAGCCGATGCAATTGACTGACGACCAAGAACTTGCTGTATTTGTGAAGCGAGATACGGCTCCTGACAGGGTCTGGTACGAGTGGTCTTTGGAATCTTATATCTATCTGGCTCTAACTTCGGAAAGCACTTTGTCCAGGAGCTCCAATAACTCATCATCGGCTATAAACCAGCCTGGTAGGCTTAGCCTTTTCAGTGGTGCTGAACAAAGCGGTGCGAGCCGTTCATCCATGGAGTCTGATGAATATCAGGTACGCGTACGCACCGGGACGACTCGAATCCACAACCCAAATGGCATGTTTCATTCCATGAAACTCTAATCTACTTCTACTTAAACTCGATTAGATATTGCTATGATTATGCAAATGCTTCATTCTCTATATGTAAATCCCTTGGGTCAGAAGCTGGTACTGGTCGTAGAGCCTTGTGTACATACTTCCCAAGCTCTTGTTAATCAAGACATTGTCAATGAATAGGTCCAGCTCATCGTCGCTCAGATGCAGCTGGAAGCGCTGTTTCAATTGAACGCTTGTATTCACACCTGCTTTGAAACATGGAAGTTGTGAGTCTTTCTGCATGAGCTCCACAAGATTGACTAGAGAGTCTGCATTTTTTCTGAGCGACTTGAAGGCCTGCTTCATTAGAGTTCTGAACTTCTGGAAGTAGAAAGAATCCACACCTCCAAGAAGATCAACATATTCCATAGTTAGCTTGAAAGGAGCGGCTTCAAAACCAACCGACCCTGGAGAATTGGAGAGAAGATAGCCAAAGTCGATGTGTATAATGTGTCCCTCCGAATCCAGCATGATGTTACCGTTGTGACGATCCTTAATTTGTAAAAGATAACAAATGACGGAATACGAGGCAAGCGAAATACAAAAATTCTCCTGAGCAAGCTTGTATCGTGGACTGTTCTCGTCACCGAACATGCGAATGAAATGATCCTTTAACGTAGCAATCTCTCCTCGAGGATTTTCGTTATTCAATGACATGTATTGAGTCAAAGATTTTTTGATGGAGTGTATCGATAAAGCGTTGGTAATGGTTTCCACCAAGCCTGTGGTGGAAGAGGTCACCAAGATTCTCATCCGCTTCACCCAGACTTTGACATTATCACGGTACCATATTCGAGCCATGGCTTGGATCAGCTGACAAGCAAATGCTTCTTGAGTCAAATCATTCCCTGTTTTGGCAATCACTGAGAACAGATCCCAGTTTTCAAGATGACCGTACTTTGATTCTGCCCTGATGCGAGCTTTCTTTCTATTCCAATCCTCGCCCAAATAGCTAAGACCGGCAACTTTTAAATCGTTTGAAAGTTTACGTTCACCCGCTTCGCCACGAATTTCGTTGAAGCCTTCCACGCCAAAGCCATGTTGCATGGCCTTCATTGAATCTATAATGCGAGCTTTAATCTCAGCTGCTTGTGAACTTGGCATTGTGGAGGCAGGTGACTCTAACTGCGTAAGCATCACCGCTGCAATCCTCATTTGGTTGGCCAATTCACTTTCGTTATCGAGCCCTCCCTCGTATTGGGACTTGAACGAGAGCTCTAGTCTTTTGATCTTCTCTTCAATCACATCTGTCGACGGAGAGTTTATTTTGAGCTTTGAATTGCTGGTCTTTGATTTGACCTGTCTTTTTGATTTGTGTGAATTTTTATCGATTTTGTTGCTCAAGCTGACAACTGAAAAGTCAGCTAAGTCAGATTCGTTTGCATCCCCAGCTTCCGATAATTGTTCTCCTGAACGAGTACTGGCTTTCATATCAAAAGAGTTCAAGGAAGCAGAAGACGAAGGTGCATGTGGATAAGCCAGGTCAAATCTATACTTCTTATCACTCAATTTGAATGTATCATTAGTTCCTTTGCTGTCTTCTAGTTTGTTCAGCAGTATTTTGTTATGAGCTGAATCTGGGTTGAAGTCAATGTCATCTGCAAGATATTCAACCAGAAGCAAGTACGGCACGCGCTCCGCAGAATTTAGAACAGCAGCTTCATTGACTGCAATCTTGCAAAGTCTGTGGAGTTTTCCTTTCTTATTCTTTGGCAAAAGACCAGGAATGTCGACTTCGCAAGGTAAGTCTTTGTTCAGTGTAGCTAGTTCAGCTTTTAATGTAGACAATCGAGCATCTTTCGGAACTTTTGCAAGCCTGATCGAAATGTTTTGTAGCGCTATAACGAATTGAGTTTCGTTCTTAAAGTAGTTCGATTTGAGAAGTTTGACTTGTTGTAGTTCTGATAAGGGAACCTTATGTGACAGTCTCGAAGATTGGGGCAAGGCGGGAGAGGCCGGCTCGTCGCCATACAAACTTTCAATCTCACTGCTATCTTTGAAATCAAATGAATTTCTTATCGATGAAGCATAGGAACCATCTGAAGAGTACGGAATGTCAGTGTTTGAGTTATCGTTGTCGAACAGGTGAAGATTGGGCATCGAAGAAACCGCATGATCATGTAGCCTTTCGCTGTCAAGGGTGTTGGAATGATCGAAATGATCGCTTTGGGCTTTGAGCAAGGACAAAGATGTTTTCTTCGCTTTCAAGGACGGTCTGCTAAGACTTGGCATGTTAATATCGGCGTATGAGTCTATCATGTCAAAGTTAAGCTGGTCTCTATGAGTGTCATTAGAATGCATAGATGATGATGAAACGCTTCGTTTTCCGCGACTCACAACTTTCCCGTTCCTTAAATCTTCGACTTCTTCTCTTGACCTTCCCAAGAACGCATTATTGATCGTGTTTTTCTTTGTCAGATTTTCATTCAAGCTTTTCTTGATGTCTCTCACCACTTCAAACACAAAAGACTTAAGTCGTTTTCCTTGTACTCTCACTATTGGTGCCACATATTTGGTGCTATTAGGAACACTTACTCCTGATATCAAGGAAGTCGCTAAGATTATGGATGGTGCAACATTTTCCTTGAACGACTTATGAAGCTCGTGCTTGCTGACAACGCCAGATGATGATGTAGCAGAAGACGTAACTGTATGCTGGTTATTGGAGAAGTTAAACAGCTGATATTGTAGATCATTGAGCATTCTTTTGCAAGTTTGGAAACCAATGCTTTCAGGTTGTTTGCTGAGATCCTGAAGCAAAGCTTGTAAATGCCAAAATGTGATCAAGCTGCAGTGCACGTCTCTCAAACATAAATTTCTCAACATCTCCTCGAGAGACACCGATTCCGTTTCCACTGTTATCAGGAGTTGGAGAAATTGAGGAATGAAAAATCTGAGCTCGCCGATAGGATATTTGGATGCCCTCTGACAGAGAAAATAATGTATTCCGATGTTGTCGGCATACTTTTGAAGGTAGTTTATACATTGATACAAATCAAAGTCTGGAGAATTGACTGACTCCAAGAGCAGCTCGTAACTATTTCCGCTGTCTGGACTGTCCATAGTTAGCTATCAAGAATTGAATTGGCCTGGATTTATCTATTTCCGCATAAATCGTAAATGGGTATCCAATTGACAGAGAATAACACTTGTTCTCCTAACAGTGTCCAAAGTCTAAATTTGTATTATATTATTGATCTTGAATTCAAAAGAAAAGTATTTGTTGCCCGGGTCAAAAGAACATGTAAGTAAATTTGATCTTTGTGGCATCCTTGCACCATTATATTTCGAAGCCAGCTGAAGAAAACAAAAATAAATTGCACTGAAGTGCCTTTTGATAACATGTCGCAGGATCACCCGTCGGTGAACTCGCGTTTTACACCGAAGTCTTATGCCACGCCAAGGAGACATCACAAATATGATACAGATGATTTACCATCGCAGCCTATCAAAATTGGCTACCAAAAAGTGACCCTGGACATTGATTTGGCTGAGCAATCAGTGTTGGGAGAGACTGAATTGACTGTTCTTCCACTCAGCTCTAGCGTGAGACAGGTTAAATTAGACTGCAGAGGGATGCAGATAAAGGATGTCACAGTGAATGGTAAAAAGGCAAGTTACCATTACGGTGACTTTTTTCAAAACGATGAGTATCTCAATGACACTGAAAACCCCGTGCTGGCCAATTATAAATACAACCCAAACTATGATACACATTCGGAAGTTGTAAAGCTGCAGCAGCATCATTTCTATAGGTCGATGTTCTATCCACTGTTTTCAGATCAGAACAATCAAGGGAATCCCTCCTCGTCATACACAGAGAACACATCAGAATTGATTGTGTATGTCCCAGATACTATCAAATTGAGGCTTCATGACCCAACATCAAAGCAGACTTTTTCACCCAACGTCAACTCTGCCAGGTCGCACACACCTTTGACAACCAATGCTATGATGAGCTCTGACAAAGTATACACTCCATTGAATATCAAAATCAGCTATCTGATCAGGAACTCGAAAAATGGATTACTTTTTAATGGAGGAAACGGCACAACCATCCCGAAAGATCGGTGGTTTTGCTACACCTCGAATAACGACCTGGGTTGCAGTGCTAGCTCGTGGGTTCCTTGCATAGACAACTTCTACGAAAAACCTGCGTGGGACATAAATATAATCATACCCAAAACAGTAGGCGATATAGGGGAGACCAAACTGGTTGGCTCTGATGAGGCCAAGAAGGCTTTAAGAAGAATGGAAACTGAAGAAGATGAAATGGACGACGAACAAGAAGAGCGCAATGATACTCCATTGGTAGTGGCGGTTCCAGATCTGATTGGTGTCAAAGAATCGCCCTCTCCTCTGGATGTTGGCAAGAAGGTGATTAACTTTCAATTTTACAATCCAGTGTCGGCTCATCACCTGGGCTTTGCCGTGGGAGCGTTCGACAGCTGCCCAATTTTGGACGTTAAACCAGGTACTGATGAGTTGGTTCCTTCCAATGCCCTGGCAAATATCGCTGAAAATGACATTAACAATGCCAAGAACTTTTCTGCTGAATCCAACTCGAATAAGGTACCGACTATGCTTTATTTCTTGCCTGGTCGCAAGGAAGAAGTTTTGAACACAACAGTTGCAATGTACAAAATATTTGATTTCTACTCTAAAGAATTTGGCTCATTCCCATTTCCCAGCTACACCATGGTCTATGTCGATGACATGGCGTGCGATTCTTGTGCATTTGCTGGTATGACAATCATGTCTTCAAGATTGCTCTATAGTCCCAAACTGATAGAGCCTATCTTTGATGTGACCGAAAAGCTAGCTGTTGCTCTATCTGAGCAGTATTCCGGCGTCAACGTTCTTCCAAAATCGTTGAATGACTTCTGGCTGGTAATTGGTATCTCATACTTCATGGCAGGTCAGTTTTTGAAAAAGCTCTTTGGTGTCAACCGATACAGGTACGAAGTCAAACTGCGCACTGATTATCTTTGTGAAATCGATGTTGGGAAAAGGCCTTTAGCCAATCAGTTGTTTCGCTTTCCGATCAACCTCTCCCAGGATATGGAATTCATAAGGCTGAAAGCTCCTTTGGTAATGTTCATTTTGGATCGCCGAATGACAAAGACTGATAAGTCATTTGGGCTGTCTCGCGTCATTCCCAAGATTTTTCTCCAAGCTATGTCTGGGGATCTGCTGAACGGAAATTGCTTGTCAACCGCCCACTTCCACCATGTTTGCGAGAAAGTGGCTCATCATAAGCTTGAGTCGTTTTTCCAAAACTGGATACATAGTTGTGGAGTTCCAATTTTCCAAGTGACGCAAAGATTCAATAAGAAGAGAATGTTCATCGAAATGAGCATCCGCCAGATTCAAAAAAATAATAAGTTGGAAGCAGATGACGAGCTACAAGTGGACATAAACTCGAAAGAGACCTTGAGGAAACAGCATCAGAGAGAGCATTTCGTCGATGAGGCTAACAAGTTTTTAGCAGAAGAAGAGACTTTTTCTGCACCAAATGTATTCACTGGCCCAATAACTATCCGTATTCACGAAGCAGATGGTACACCGTATGAGCACATTGTTGACATCAAGGATCCCGTCACCAAATTGGATATTCAATATAACACAAAGTACAGAAGGTCCAAAAGAAGAAAAGAAGAAGATCAAGAAGAAGCGGAGAGAAAGGAAAGAGAAAGAGAAAAGAGAGAAAGGGATAAACTGAGGAAAGAACGAGAAAAGGACAAATTGCGCGGCGACGATGATGAACCGACGGTGAAGAAGCTGGGAGATGTGTTCATGAAGCCGAAAGATCTAGAAGAATGGGGATTTACCGAAAAACAAAAAATCGAAGAAAACGACTACGAGATCCTTGGCGACGCATTCGAATGGCTGCGTGTGGATGCAGATTTTGAATGGATTTGCAAGGTCTACATCAATTTGAATGAAAATATGTTTGAATCCCAACTGAGACAAGACCGGGATGTGGAAGCACAGTTAGAAAGTGTCAAATTTTTTTCGGAGTCATTGCACCCTTCGATCTATTTTGCAACGGTTTTAATGAGAACGATTCTTGATAAGCGTTATTTCTATGGCGTGAGGGCCGAGGCGGCTTTAGGGTTGGCAAAGTTTTCAAAGGAGGATAACGACCATCTGGGAATGAGATTTCTGCTTAAAGCCTACAAGTACTTTTATTGTTACAACAATACCATATCCAAAGGATATCCTGAGCTGGATCCAAATGAGTATCTACCGCTGCCTAACGACTTTTCTGAATTCAGTGACTACTTTGTCATGAAGGCCATTGTGACTGGCCTGTCAACCGTGACCAATAAAACTGGTGACAGTCCAATTGAGTTGAAGAGAATCATGCTCAATATTTTGAAGTTCAATGACAATAATAATAACTACTTTGACGATTCCTTTTATCTTGCCAACTTCATTACTTGCTTGACAAATCTAATGGTTAGCTCAAATAAAAAAATTCCGAGCCACAATGAATCTCACGTTGAGATGGACCAGAGAAATCTCACAGACCCTACCGAGAAGTTTCTGATTGAGGCCATCGTGGAAATAAATAGGGCCGCAAAAATGGACCAATGGTCTCCCTCCTATCATCATATTGTGACTGTGACAATGCTTCAAGAGAAAGTGCGTCTGGCCTTATCTGGCCTTGTTGATCTCTCCTATATTGACTTGATTCCATACACCAGACCCTTCTACGATGCAGATATTAGACTGAAAGCTTTTGAAAGTCTTTTGCTCTTAGGTGGTTTAAAAAATTCGCACGTCTTGTCGCTATTCTTCACTACCCTCAAGCTTGATACCTCTCATTACCTTCGTCATCATTTGGTCCTTGCTCTAATGCGAGCAGTTGGTACGGCTGCCGTAGATGGAGTATTTCCTAATCTCGAAGATGATGAGTTCTTTAGAGCGAAAAAAGGAGGCTCCGAGGAAAAGAATAATAACCTCGTCATTGTTGAAGACAGTGGAGCAGGTAATGAAATGAAAACCCGACGCGACCAGCTGTCGCGACTCACCATGGAAGGAGCGTTGGAGGTTCTTCGCAGGGACTTGAGCATTGGTACGGGATTGCGCAAAGAGCTTTGGCTGGCAGTTCATTCATGCTTGCTATCCGTGGGTGCAAAACGAGATATATTTGATGTTATAGAGGTCATCTTTGAAGCCATTGACTCCTTCAAAGTCACAACAAAACTTCCGAACGAGAGGAAACTGGTTGCTAAGGTCACTGATGTTAGTATTGAACCTCATTCTGAGACGTACAAGGTGACATTCAAGAGACAAGGAAGACTAAAGATTCAAATTCCGACTATCAAGCTCAAAATTACTGATAGTAGTAACTCACGCTCTGTGCCGAAGTCAAAACGATCCTCTGTTTCGGAACCATCATCAGATCCAAGGTCCTCAAGTGAAAAATTCGAAATCAAATTCAAGTATAGAAAGTTCTCCAAGCGAAGACGCGTCGCATACGATATCATTCAAACTGACAAACAATCACCTCTCCGCTACGTGCGTTTCCAAATGTTTGAAAACAAAGTTTTGGTTTCCAACGACGAGAATTTTGGTGAAATAAGGAGCCTGCCGGTGAAACTAAAAATCAACCCTGAGAGGCTGCGCCAGCTTAATCCGGTTAAGATAGAACCTTGTACTACCCTTTCCGCCCCTGAGCCGGCTCCTGAGTCAAATGGTCATTGGCAGAATGGAGGGGGAGCCCAGAACGATAATCTTCAGGAAATGAAGCAGTGAACGCTTCGGAGAAAACAGGAGCTAGCGTAACGCCCTCGCTTCTGATCCGGGTGGCTCAAAGCAGGCGTTTTTTGATGCAGCGCCTCCATTAGAGATGAGTTCAGTGGCTTATGAAACGGAGATTGAAGTTTCGGCGGATCTCGAAAGGATCTATCTCTTCGCTAAGTCGCTTGGCAATCTCTTCTCTAAAAATGAAGCTTAACCTAACGTAACGTGTACTATTATAAACATAATGTATATTATCGGCGTTCTGGAAGTGGTGGAGGTACCCTAGATAGTGCAGGGCCAGTATCAACTAACCTGGTGCCTGACGGAATATCCATGGTCTGGGGGTCATTTTGCGTTTGTGCTTTCAATGGTCCTGAGTCCACATATTCGTCATCTTCGTCTGCAAGCAACATCTCTTCAGTCTCTTCTTCCCTATCGAGATCACCAAGTCTCAATTTTTGAGGAGATGCGAACGGCGAGGGTGGAACATTTTTACTCAGCGAGCTGCTTCTGTATCTCTCGTTAATAAACATGTTTGGACTCGTTGGAGTCTTTGGTTGCTGCTCATCATAGCCGAGCGAAACCATTGGCTCCATGCTTGTTGTCTCTGTTTTAGCAAACATCTCGGCAGACGACTGTCGGTTTTCAACTTCTGGTTGATCGCCTGCAGAGCGTAGCGTTTTTCTGATAATTCGACGGCTCGAAATCATCTCAGGAGGAGAATAGTTGATTTCTTTGAGATTTGCCGTAGATTGTTTTTCAGTAATTTTTTGTTTTGTTGAAGCGTACAGTCCTTTGAGCTTAGAATAGGATGTAGCCAGCGACTTGCCTTGTCCATCTCCATCGGCACCTTCAGAGGCGCTACCTGAAGCCGTGTTATCCACTAACAATCCTTTGTTCATCGACAGAAATTTTTTTGAGAGCATTGACGCTCTGTCTTTGTATGTGGATGTATTTGCCAAAGAAGAAGACGATCCCCCAGATCCCGTAGTCATTATAGAGATGCTGTCTGGAGCGCAGTTGTTCGTCACTGTCTGCGCCACTTCGAAAGTGGTGTCATCCCTGGTAGATTCCTGGGTGCTTCCTCTGTTAGAATTGCTGAGAGATAAATTGTCATCTTCTTCTAAGGCAGTATCATCCATAACAAGGTCATCCGTCTTGGGTGCCCGCGACGGTAATGGCGGTGGAACTGGATGGGATTGCTGCGGCGGAACGGCTGCCGCAGAAGGCCGTGCTGACTTGTCCCAAATACCACCTTTGAAGAGCTCGCCTTCTGTTCTATAAAACACAAGATCATCCATGAAAGGTAGCACTAGAGTCTTTCCCAATGCTTCCTTGAACCTGTTAGTAATGATGTTGGTAATAAGATTGTAGTTCAAAGCACGAGAACTGACCACTGGTTCAATCACCATATCAAATTCGGGCAATTTTGTGAACCCATACCATACTCTGTTGCTAGGAGGTGGTTTCATCCTAAGCAAAATATCCCCCTCCAGCTTTTTCATCACAATTTTCAGGTTAATATCAAACTCCCTCTGCTTGAACCTTGCCCCAAGGTTTAAGAACACTTTAGAGGCAACCTCTAGCACTAGACCACCGTGGTAAAGCACATGACACTGAATACTGAGGTCTCCCTCGGGAGTCAGGTTTTGCAACTTGGGAAATGTCAAAAAAGGAGCAGAGTGTCCAACATCAATCTTTTTTATTTGCAGATCATCCAAAAAGTCCGGCGTTCTGATCTTCTTGAGCCGTTCATCGATCTTATTCTTTATGAGCTCTTTGAATTCCTCGGTTCTATAATAGCTCAGGAAAAGGCGTCCTATCAGAGCATTTAGCCACTGCGTTGTCAGCTGTCCCTCCGAAGAATTGATGGCTTGAATCAGATCAATCATGTCTGCAGTCATGAAGTGCAGTGTTCGAGCCATAAACGACGGTTCGAGCAAGTCTTTGGCAGTGCCCGATTTAGGCACGTCTTTAGTGGTTGCTCTCAATAATGCGAAGTACCAGTCCTCCTTTTGAGTGTTGCGGTCTGCATAGAGGAAGAAAGTATCTTTTGGCGGAGTCTCCAGGATCACTTTCCCTTGCAAAATATTCACCAGGTTTTCGGGCTCAGGGGATGTAGCCGGTGGGGCTGTATGGTTGGGCTCTAAGTCTTTCTTGAATATACAGACAGCTGCTCTTTTCGTGAAAAGCTGGCCATCCTTCAGCTCTCTTGGCCAGATGCCTATCACATGGTTTGATAGCACGATAACGTACTGGACGTTCTTCTTTGCTTCATCATCATACAGAAACAAATTGCCATGTTTTAAGACCGCGTAATACCTGTTCTTCTTCCTTATCGCCTTCAACTTCTTGGCATCGAGTGACTTTGTGTCTTGTTTAGGCTCCTCCGCATTGGCAGGCGCAGACTTGTTTCCTTTAACCATTTTCAGAAAGCTACCACTTTTCGGGACCTGTTGGTTGTTGACCTGCTCGGATCCCAACGAACTACCTGAGGAAGCTTGTGTTTGGAACTCGCTCCAGTCAATTTGTGGGAATTGATAGTATTCGCGCGTGACAGTTAGCCATCCTTCGTGGTACGTCTTCAGGTCTGAGCTTTCTTTCTCCAGGACTTGTCCAGCCATCAAACTTCTGTAGCCTTCCGTTTCTCCTTTAGCCTTGCTTTCTTCCTTCTGTCTTGCTTCCTCAAGTTCTCTCTCTTGTTCAGGACTCTCTGGAGCCATTGGGAGCAAGTGCCATCCAATAATAAAAGTGATGGGCAAAAACGTCAGTCCTCCCACTATGTAAGTGATTGCTAGTTGGCATAATTTGTGCAAGGAATCTTTGAAGCTCAAGACTCTCATATCTGATGCTATGTTATTCAAGAACAGAATCAATGGCCATAAGGTCAAGCCGCCTGCTACATAGGCAAGAGCCAGCCTGGAAGTTGAGTTCATTGTCCGAGTTTATAAATTCAGGGGACGAGTAGAAATCTAAATATTTTGACGTGGTTCAGAAACATAGTTAAGAGGCTGGGTAGGAAAACAAAAACATTAGGACACCAGCGTGCACAACAATTGAAGACACGACAGAGATGATTGCTTCTAGAAACGGCTGTGCTCTTAAGACTCAATCCTTCTATGAAGAAAATCCACTCTTAGGTGGAAAAAATAAGCCCGACGCGGGGCTCGAACCCGCAGCCTTGTGATTAAGAGTCACACGCTCTACCGATTGAGCTAGCCAGGCTTTTGCTGGCCAAAAGGGCCTTCGGTTTATTCTGTTCTTACTGCAAGGTTTTGCCAGAACACCTACAAGATTTGCGGCTACCGAATACAATATATCAGTTAAAGTGATGTAACACCGTTTTTAATTATGGGGGATTTTGAAATCGCAACAAATTAATCGTGGTATATAATCACTCGCCTATTTACTGGTTTTTGCCTTTTTGGTGACAGCTTTTCCTCCAGGCTGTTTTCGTTTCTTTACCATTCCCGTTAAATCGTTCACAGGAACACTTTTGGGAGTGGCCTTGATTTCTGTACCGTCGCCTTCGCCCAATATGCCCATCATAATCCTCTTTTTCTCTTCCCGAATAGCGGCATCACCTTTCCTCAATTCATCCAGTCTTTGTTCCATCTCTTGAAGCAAACTCTCGTCTTTTTCTTGGTCAGAAAGTTCATATCTTTCTTTTATGGATTTGAGAGATTTTTCCATAGCCTCTACAGCCGTTGCACTGGACCCTGCTTCTCCCGTGTTGAACTCGGACGCCAGCGAAAGTTTATAGTAGGCTTCAGAAACAAGCCTGGACGAGAATGGATATAGTTCTGTTCTTAGATTGGCTAAAGTGGTGAAGTCTTGAGCTGCCTGGCTGAAGTTTTCTGTTTCTAAAGAGATCTCACCCAGCAAATCGTAAACCTCACTCAGTTTCTTTTTAATGGCCACAAAGGGCGAGCTGATCTCCTTTATGTCTTTCTTGTCTGAGTCCAAGTACGGCGTTTCCAATTGTTCATCCTGTAAGGTATTGAGCTGCTCTTCGTACAAGGTCCTTGTCAGATCCAGTATTTCCCAGGACACCTCGAAATCTGTCTGCTCTTCACCCTCCTCTCCTTGCTCGTGTTCTTGCTCATGAGACTGTTCGTCCTCTTCCTGTTCTTCCTTTTCTTGTTCAGATTCTTCTTCGTATTCTTCATTTTCAGCAAGCTGCTCGTTAAATTGGAACATTCCATTATCGTCCTCAGTCTCTTCGGCCTTTTCTTCCTGGTTATTCTGGCCACCAAACACTTCAGATTTGGACACAGCATTCTCGAACAAAGATTTCGCGTACAAAAAGAGCAAATCAGGGTCGTCCCTACCTGTCAAAAGATTGGATTTCTCGCACGCCTCAGAATAGTACTCGACAGACTTCTCATACTGCTTTTCAGCAAACGCCTGCGCACCCTTTTCAAGCAGTTTTACTAGCTCATGTGAATAACTAGATTCTTCGGTCATCTGTCAATTTAATTTAGCTTTCAAAGAAATTCTTAACCTATTTCCAATTACGCGTTCCAATATCGCTTGTAGCGTTGAATCTCGAAAAATAAATACAAATATCTTTTCTAAATTTAATAAAAAGCTTCTTTCAGGTTTATCTTTGAGCAGTTTGAATACGTACGAGACCTAAAAGATAAGCGCTATCATGACTGTTGAAAGTAAGTATCATCATTGGACTGGTTTGGGCGAACATCATACACAAAAAAACACTTTTAAAGTGTTCCTTATTATGGGCGGTACGCGCCAGCTGGTCAGATTGAAGATCAAATCTAACTAGTTTAGAGCCTGAAGAGAACGTTTTCCCTGCACAGGAGCCGGAACATGCGGAGTCAGCTCCTAGTGAAACAACCGCCCCTAAGTCAGAGGTCAAAATTATTCGGCGCAAGCTGAATGGATACGTTGGCTTCGCCAACTTGCCAAAACAGTGGCACAGAAAATCGATCAGAAGAGGTTTCAGTTTGAACCTCATGGTTGTTGGTGGAAGGGGACTCGGCAAATCCACACTGATCAACACCCTTTTCAATAAGGAGTTGTACCCAATCGAGACATTTAACAAACCAGAATTTCCTAATCCAGAAGATCCATCACCGGTTTCCGTCGAGACTGTCAGTGCCGATATTGAAGAGAACAATGTCAAGCTAAGCTTGACTGTTATTGATTGTCCTGGTTTTGGAGAAGGCATCGACAACACTGATTCTTGGAAACCCATTGTCGACGAGATCAACAATAGATTCGACATGTATCTGGAGGCCGAGACTAAAATCAACAGAACCACTGTTGTAGACAACAGAGTTCACGCCTGCTTGTACTTTATCGAACCCACTGGTCACTCTTTGAAGCCGCTAGGTATTACATTCATGAAGCAGGTCCACGAGAAAGTGAATCTAATCCCCGTGATTGCCAAATCGGATACGCTCACCGAGAAGGAAATCCAGGAATTTAAACAGAGAATCATGGACGATATAATCAACCAAGGCATCAAGCTTTTCACTCCTCCGGAATATGACAACGATGACGAGGAAACCAAGGTGGCTTCTCGGGAAATCATGGCCAAAGCTCCATTCGCTATTGTTGGATCCACTAATCAGATCCAAACTTCTGATGGAAGAATTGTCAGAGGCAGGTCTTATCCATGGGGCATCATCGAGATCGACAATGAGGACCACTGTGACTTCATCAAATTGAGACAGCTATTGATTAGAAACTTCATGGAGGAGCTGAAGGAAACCACTGCCAACGTTCTCTACGAAAATTATAGAACATCCAAGCTGAAGAAGCTGGGAATTGAGCAAGACGATTCTGTTTTCCGTGAATTTGATCCCGTCTTGAAACAAGAGGAGGAGAAACAGCTGCACGAGGCCAAGTTGGCTAATATGGAGGCACAGCTTAGATCGATATTCCAATCGAAGGTCAGCAAAGAGGAGAAGAAGTTACAGGAGACTGAGGCCGATCTCTTTGCCAAGCACAAGGAAATGAGAGACAAGCTGTTGAAACAAATCAAATTACTAGAGGAGAAGAAGAGAGAGTTGGAGATGGCTAATCCAATCCATCATGGCCCTGCTCCATTGCCTAGTACTGCGCCAACCAAGACCAGAAAGGGTTTCCTCCGTTAATTGTGCGTATTTGTGTTTTAGCGATTTGACTTTTTTAAAATTTACATAAACGGAGTAAAGTTTTTTATGATAAAAAAAAGTACAGTTGAGTGGAACCATAATGTCTCTTTATGATATTCTGGGAGTGGACTCTTCCGCCTCCTCGGTTGAGATTCGAAAAGCTTATAGAAAATTAGCCTTGCAACACCATCCTGACAAAGTCCCAGAGGAAGACAGAGAAGAGGCAGAGATCAAATTTAAAGAAATCAGCAGTGCCTACGAAGTGCTTATAGACGAAGAGAAACGAAACGCATACGACACATATGGAACTACAGATGGTGCATCCAATGGATTTGACTACCATAATTCAGGATTCGCTAACGCTGCATTTGGAGAAGGAGACTTCGACTTTGATCCCCAGGACTTCGCTAGTTTTTTCAATGGGATGGGAGGCTCTTATGGTAGGGCACCACCCCCTAAAACGAAAACTGAAGATGCAGTTTTGAATATTGAAGTGACCTTGGAAGAGTTATACAATGGAAAAGTGATAAAAACCTCCTCCACGCGGAACAAGTTGTGCAAGCATTGCAAGGGCAGCGGAGCACGCAAGTCGGCAATTTTAATCAAGTGCACCACTTGTCATGGTGACGGATATGTCATGAAGATTCGACAATTGGCCCCAGGGCTGGTAACCCAGCAGGCTGTTCTATGTTGGAGATGCAAAGGCAAAAGAACTATCCACAAGGAGAAAGATAACTGTAAAAAATGCAAGGGCAAGGGAGTGGTGGAGGAATCCAAGATTTTGGAATTCAACATTCCAAGGGGCGCTCCCGAGACGGGGTCAGTGGTTTTAGAAGGTGAAGCCGACGAAGAGCCAGGGCTTAAGCCTGGGGATGTGATATTGCAATATAAAACGAAAAAGCACCCAATTTTCAAACGACAAAACCAGAATCTGTATACGAAAGTGACGATTTCGCTGGTCGACGCGTTGTGCGGGTTTGAAGATCGGAAGTTGGTGAAAACACTGGATAATAGATGGATATCACTTTCCGTGCCTACCGGGAAAGTTCTGCGGCCAGGCGACTCGATTGTGGTTCCAAATGAGGGGATGCCGCTTGATGACAATTCCAACAAGAATGGAGATCTCTATATAGGGGTAGAGATTCAATTCCCTAAAGACAACTGGTTTTTGGAGAAGAATGACATCAGCAGGCTCAAGTCAATTCTAGATATCTCTTATGGCGGGCAGCCGCAGACCGCAGCAGGTGAGATCGAAGACGGAGAAATTGTAACCAACGTTGCTTTCAAAATTCAATCGAAGCATGAGTTGCCAAAATCATTCAATTCCTATTTCAATGACACCGATGTCACGCATATTGGAGTAGAAGAGCCAGAACCGAAGAAAGGGTGGTTTAGCTGGTTTTCTTGAACAGAGTTTTCCTGTATATGATGAAGTGAAAAGTGTCAGCGCTCTTAAAGTCGTTTTGGTTTGTAGCGGTGATGCGACTCTGATTCCTCTAATATTTTGTCAAGTTTCTTGGATGCGGTCTCTTCCCCTTCTTCAGGGAATTCCAATACTAATTCGTTGGTTTTGAGGGCGTCTTCCAAAGAATCCTGTTCTTCCATATCTTTCAAATATGAAAGATCTAATTCAAGCGGGTCATCGACACTTTTTGTTAACCTGCATTTATTGTTCAGTACATCATCAAGAACATCATCCGGAATCGGTGTTAAAGCGTGGGGAACGTAAGGAAGCTCGTCTTCCGCGGCTGGGACGACCTCGATGTCCTGTTCATCATCGAGTTCCTCTTTTGCCGAAAGCTTATGTTTAGTTTTAGAATGTGGCGAATCGCGTTGAACTCTGAACTTTCGAGCGGTGACAACGCCCGAATCACTATCAAACAAATGCACGTCGTTTAACGTTGAGGTCTTCCGAATCTTATTGTAATTTCCAAACTCCTGAGGTTTCACGACCGCATTCGAGGATTTAGTTCTTAACACGCTCTTCGATGTCTTCCGTAAGAGCCCCTTATCCGAGCGCACATCGTGACTCTTAGAACGCAGAGCGTTCTCCTTATTTTGGTTCACCTTCGAATGGGGAATGGAGGACATAGCAATTGTAAATAAATTGAATTTAGCCGCGAAAAGGCATATTTATTTGACCATTTTTTCGTATGCCACCAAATCAGAAGCAGGCCACACTGGAGTTTTACCGATCGCTGAATCGTAAGCTTTCAAGGCTGCAGCTTGATGCAGTTGCTAACAACCGGTTAAAGCTTTGGCTTCGGTCGCAATTTAGAGATACTTCAACACCATTGTATCGTAAACTTCAGGAGGGAAAGCGCTTTGACCTCACTTTAGATAGCTCCCTGAACGGTCACTACAAATCGGGTGTCAAATTACTGCGGATGGCCTACTATGATTTGATCTCTTTTGATGTACGAGCACCAAAATGGCTGTCCGATTTTGCCAGAGCTAAAGTTTACTCTGGGGCTCAAAAAGACCGATTTATCAACGAATACGCAGGCATACTAAAGGAAACACATGATGTTCACGATTTTAAAAGTATCCCAGGATTGGTAGACAAGTATATGACTAACTTGCGACTATCGGAGACAAAGTCTCTTCCTACAAATCATAGCATTACAGATATTTTGAACGGTGTCAAACCGGCAGTCCGAAACACAGCCCATGCATCCAAAAACCACCTATCTTCCCTGTTCAGTCAGTTGCGAACACAATACAAACTCCATATAGACTATGACTGGGCGTTACCGCGACTAAACGTCAAATTGTCCCCAAATTCAGCAGGCCTACCACTCTCACCATCAGTGAGAAGAAATAAGATTTTAGCGAAGTTGCTTCAAATAAAGCGCTTCATCAATGAGTACCCTCCGATAAAGATGGAAGATATGGAGCACTTGAACAAATTCGTCAAATCTGAGACATTTGACAATCATCCAATGAGCTTTGCTTACAGGAGGTTTACGCGAGACTCGTTTGCTTTGACTGAAAACGTAAAGTTCAGATTGTCGAAGATTAGAGACGTTTCAATTCCACCGCCGAAAGACCTCTTTAGCTACTATGTGAATGTGAAATAGATGTATGCATTAAATTTCTACGACGATGTAGCTCTTCTTGTTTGAATCAAGCAAGCATCCGATTCTTCGCAATGGGTTGATAGCAATATATCTAGGGATAAATCCCTCCCTAAACTCGGTGTGTTTCATGATATTTTTTCGAGACAGCTCAGTTGAAGCTCCAGTCATTATGTCACGAGTATCCAAAACCAAAAGATCACTTTTAATCATGTCATCCTTGAACGCCACTAAGATGACCAGCTCTCTAGGGTTCAGAAAAGTTCCTTGAATATCTGCGGTCTTACCAAGAAGCAAATCTGAGATTTCCAAGGGATAAATTGAGTGATTCAGTGTGAAGCAATCAAACTTCACGACTGTAGCTTGTCCTTCTTGCTGCATTATGACAAGCCCGAATTCCTTCTCGTCTTCGGTGTATATTGAAAGTTTGGCATTTATGCAACCAACACCTCCAATTCTTCCAAACATATCGGAATTCATTTTGGTCTTCATGTTGCTTTTGATGGCATCAAAGAATTGCTCACATGTGTGCTTTAGATCCGAGAAAAGTTGCGATGAGTCGTCATTAATTGATATCTGTAAGCCCGTTGTAAGGAACTTGATGACTTCTTTTGTCTTGATGGTGTCAGTGCTTTTCTCGTCAGAGGTTATTTCGACCAGAATTGCGTTGAGCCACTGAACGAAACTCTCGAAACACTGCTGTTGCTCGTTCAGTTTCAACATATTTTGGTAGAGCAGACGGAGTAGTTTAGAAGTTAGCTCAATAGCCTTATCTATAAGCTGACCTTGAAGGCCCAATTTGCCCTCATTCTCTTTCCAATTGGAAAGACCATGTAAGTCTGTAAGGTATACAAGCATGTGTTCCAATGCAGGAATCAGATTGTAGAAAAGGTTTTTTCTGGAGCTTTCATAGTACTGTTTGCCTAGTTTTGTCCACCTTTTCAGTCCTCGGTCTCCCAAATAGTCACTAATCCAAGCCCTAGTCGGCTCTGTCATGACTCCAGTCAACAAAAGATCATAAAGGTCATATATAGGGTCAACAGTATTATTTTTAGACTCCGGCAAAGATTCAATCTCGCTTTTCAAGAGATCGACTATGCGCACAGTGTAATCTTCAAAAGGCATGCATTCGGAAGCCAGATCATCAATCAACTCTTTAACATATGTGAGTAGGCCCACAAGTTTGGAGCAAGCAAGGCACACACGAGGAAGTAAGTTACCATATATTTCCACAAATGAAGTTGTCAATTTAATAACGAAAAGGCCTTCTTCCTTTTCTGTCAGAATGTAATGCGAGACGAGGTTTCTGGACGAGCAAATGCCCAAGAACGTTGAGTGAGAATCCTGCAGCTGCGGTAGCTGAAAATTCTCAATGATGAAGATGCCATATAGAACCAGAGAGATCATGCCATGCTCAGATCCAATGATGAGGAAATCAAGGGAAGAATCTTCGCACTTGATTAGTTGATCATCGTTGACCAGCTTTTTTGAACTATGTGACGATGTGAGTTTGGGTAGCGAGTTGGTGAGACTGATGTTAAACATCTGCTCATATTTGTTTGAGGTGTCAAATGTGCTGAGTCTATTAAACCAGCTGCAAGTTTCTATTGAACTCCCAATTTGAAACTTGAGCATCAATTTGCCACTGCTCGAATCAAATAGATTAGCTTGTCCCTCGGTGGAAATTATAGCAAATATCTTGCCATCAGGTCTCCAGCAAAGACACTCAATCTCTTGATCATCATCTAATTCGATTGTCCAGACCCGCTGGTTTCCTAATCTGTAGACCCAAAGCGCATTTTTGCTCAATTGGAAAGACACCAAATCCATAGTGGGGCACCAGAGAAAATTCTTGCTTGAACCCACAGCAAATGGTAATTGCTGGGCGGATGTTACGTCTACATCCATCTTTCCAAAGAACTCATAACAAAAAAACAACAAAAAACAAAAGTGCGGCGATCGACGCACACGACCTGTCAAGAGATAAGATGAGGGCGACGCGTTCAAAATTTACCGTACCTCCCTCCCAACACCTGGGCGCACACACAGTACGAGCTAAAAAAAAATAAACAAAAGGAAGCTCGATTATTTCTAACACTTCTTTCGTGCCCTATCTGAAATGATTGCCAAAACATCAAAATCTCCAGCATCCAAGCTGTCATATAAGGGTGAGTATAGTGTGCCTCAACATCTAACATTTAGAATTGATTACCAATGCCATCACCTCTCTGAAAGGCAGAAACGGGTCCAGGTAAGTTGAAAGGTAAACAATTGTCTAATAATTCAGTCGCCAGGCAATCAAGAAATTCATTCAAGAAAACTATCCAGCAAGCGAGTCCACTAGTTTTGATACTGCCTTCAATCTGGCTGTCAAGAAAGGCGTCATTTCTGGCTACTTTAAACAGCCAAAAGGCCCCGCAGGCCCTATCAAGCTGATAAGGGAAGCCGCTAAGAAATTGGTCACAAAGGCAGCTGAGAAGAAGCAGGCTACTAAAGTACTTTCCAAGTCTACCACGAAAGCCGCCATCAAGGATTCCCGACTAGCCACGAAAACAGCCATCAAGAAGGCAGCTCCAAACAAAGCTTCGCAAAAGAAGATTGCTGAAAAAAGGCCAGTATCTTCGAAAACTGTAAAATCCTCCGCCAAAGCTGCTTCAAAGGCAAGCAAGTCTTCGAAGGCAACCCAGAGTATTAGCAGCCCAACGGCGTCGAAAAAAGCCACCCCAACTAAGAGTGGTAAGACCAAATCTTCAGCTAAGCCTTTTTCAGCTAAATCAGCTGCGAAGAGAAGTCTCCCTGCTAAGTCTAAGTCTGCAGATACGCAAAAAAAAGTCACAACAATTTCGAAAGTTGCCAAACCGAAGGGTGCTCCCAAAAAGGCATCAGCTACCAAAAAATCAGCCTCCAAAAAAGCTTCTTCAGCTAAAACCTCGAAAACCTCCAAGAAATGAACTTGTTGGGAAAACCCTTTGTATTATTAGGAGCTTGTGTTATTACTACTTTCTTTCTTGCTTAATATCCGTATACTAGGTTTAAAACATGCTTTCGGTGGCGCATGCTAGACATCAATTTTTTTTTTTTTTTTTTTTTTTTTTTTTTTTTTTTTTTTTTTTTTTTTTTTTTTTTTTTTTTTTTTTTTTTTTTTT